TCTCCACATGACTATGAGGACAAACATGAGTGAAACGGTCTCAATCCAAGGGAGGAACATCAAATGGACCAAATTTGGGAACCGGAAGAGGTAAGGAGTCCGAAATGTACCTCTGTGACTCCACATTGTGGAAACTCACTTGTAGTGTATAAGATGAACTAGATGGACCCATACTTACCCAAACATGGATTAATAGGTTCTCCACATGACTATGAGGACAAACATGAGTGAAACGGTCTCAATCCAAGGGAGGAACATCAAATGGACCAAATTTGGGAACCGGAAGAGGTAAGGAGTCCGAAATGTACCTCTGTGACTCCACATTGTGGAAACTCACTTGTAGTGTATAAGATGAACTAGATGGACCCATACTTACCCAAACATGGATTAATAGGTTCTACATGACTATGAGGACAAACATGAGTGAAACGGTCTCAATCCAAGGGAGGAACATCAAATGGACCAAATTTGGGAACCGGAAGAGGTAAGGAGTCCGAAATGTACCTCTGTGACTCCACATTGTGGAAACTCACTTGTAGTGTATAAGATGAACTAGATGGACCCATACTTACCCAAACATGGATTAATAGGTTCTACCACATGACTATGAGGACAAACATGAGTGAAACGGTCTCAATCCAAGGGAGGAACATCAAATGGACCAAATTTGGGAACCGGAAGAGGTAAGGAGTCCGAAATGTACCTCTGTGACTCCACATTGTGGAAACTCACTTGTAGTGTATAAGATGAACTAGATGGACCCATACTTACCCAAACATGGATTAATAGGTTCTCCACATGACTATGAGGACAAACATGAGTGAAACGGTCTCAATCCAAGGGAGGAACATCAAATGGACCAAATTTGGGAACCGGAAGAGGTAAGGAGTCCGAAATGTACCTCTGTGACTCCACATTGTGGAAACTCACTTGTAGTGTATAAGATGAACTAGATGGACCCATACTTACCCAAACATGGATTAATAGGTTCTCCACATGACTATGAGGACAAACATGAGTGAAACGGTCTCAATCCAAGGGAGGAACATCAAATGGACCAAATTTGGGAACCGGAAGAGGTAAGGAGTCCGAAATGTACCTCTGTGACTCCACATTGTGGAAACTCACTTGTAGTGTATAAGATGAACTAGATGGACCCATACTTACCCAAACATGGATTAATAGGTTCTCCACATGACTATGAGGACAAACATGAGTGAAACGGTCTCAATCCAAGGGAGGAACATCAAATGGACCAAATTTGGGAACCGGAAGAGGTAAGGAGTCCGAAATGTACCTCTGTGACTCCACATTGTGGAAACTCACTTGTAGTGTATAAGATGAACTAGATGGACCCATACTTACCCAAACATGGATTAATAGGTTCTCACATGACTATGAGGACAAACATGAGTGAAACGGTCTCAATCCAAGGGAGGAACATCAAATGGACCAAATTTGGGAACCGGAAGAGGTAAGGAGTCCGAAATGTACCTCTGTGACTCCACATTGTGGAAACTCACTTGTAGTGTATAAGATGAACTAGATGGACCCATACTTACCCAAACATGGATTAATAGGTTCTCACATGACTATGAGGACAAACATGAGTGAAACGGTCTCAATCCAAGGGAGGAACATCAAATGGACCAAATTTGGGAACCGGAAGAGGTAAGGAGTCCGAAATGTACCTCTGTGACTCCACATTGTGGAAACTCACTTGTAGTGTATAAGATGAACTAGATGGACCCATACTTACCCAAACATGGATTAATAGGTTCTACATGACTATGAGGACAAACATGAGTGAAACGGTCTCAATCCAAGGGAGGAACATCAAATGGACCAAATTTGGGAACCGGAAGAGGTAAGGAGTCCGAAATGTACCTCTGTGACTCCACATTGAAACTCACTTGTAGTGTATAAGATGAACTAGATGGACCCATACTTACCCAAACATGGATTAATAGGTTCTCCACATGACTATGAGGACAAACATGAGTGAAACGGTCTCAATCCAAGGGAGGAACATCAAATGGACCAAATTTGGGAACCGGAAGAGGTAAGGAGTCCGAAATGTACCTCTGTGACTCCACATTGTGGAAACTCACTTGTAGTGTATAAGATGAACTAGATGGACCCATACTTACCCAAACATGGATTAATAGGTTCTACACATGACTATGAGGACAAACATGAGTGAAACGGTCTCAATCCAAGGGAGGAACATCAAATGGACCAAATTTGGGAACCGGAAGAGGTAAGGAGTCCGAAATGTACCTCTGTGACTCCACATTGTGGAAACTCACTTGTAGTGTATAAGATGAACTAGATGGACCCATACTTACCCAAACATGGATTAATAGGTTCTCCACATGACTATGAGGACAAACATGAGTGAAACGGTCTCAATCCAAGGGAGGAACATCAAATGGACCAAATTTGGGAACCGGAAGAGGTAAGGAGTCCGAAATGTACCTCTGTGACTCCACATTGTGGAAACTCACTTGTAGTGTATAAGATGAACTAGATGGACCCATACTTACCCAAACATGGATTAATAGGTTCTCCACATGACTATGAGGACAAACATGAGTGAAACGGTCTCAATCCAAGGGAGGAACATCAAATGGACCAAATTTGGGAACCGGAAGAGGTAAGGAGTCCGAAATGTACCTCTGTGACTCCACATTGTGGAAACTCACTTGTAGTGTATAAGATGAACTAGATGGACCCATACTTACCCAAACATGGATTAATAGGTTCTCACATGACTATGAGGACAAACATGAGTGAAACGGTCTCAATCCAAGGGAGGAACATCAAATGGACCAAATTTGGGAACCGGAAGAGGTAAGGAGTCCGAAATGTACCTCTGTGACTCCACATTGTGGAAACTCACTTGTAGTGTATAAGATGAACTAGATGGACCCATACTTACCCAAACATGGATTAATAGGTTCTCCACATGACTATGAGGACAAACATGAGTGAAACGGTCTCAATCCAAGGGAGGAACATCAAATGGACCAAATTTGGGAACCGGAAGAGGTAAGGAGTCCGAAATGTACCTCTGTGACTCCACATTGTGGAAACTCACTTGTAGTGTATAAGATGAACTAGATGGACCCATACTTACCCAAACATGGATTAATAGGTTCTCCACATTACTATGAGGACAAACATGAGTGAAACGGTCTCAATCCAAGGGAGGAACATCAAATGGACCAAATTTGGGAACCGGAAGAGGTAAGGAGTCCGAAATGTACCTCTGTGACTCCACATTGTGGAAACTCACTTGTAGTGTATAAGATGAACTAGATGGACCCATACTTACCCAAACATGGATTAATAGGTTCTCCACATGACTATGAGGACAAACATGAGTGAAACGGTCTCAATCCAAGGGAGGAACATCAAATGGACCAAATTTGGGAACCGGAAGAGGTAAGGAGTCCGAAATGTACCTCTGTGACTCCACATTGTGGAAACTCACTTGTAGTGTATAAGATGAACTAGATGGACCCATACTTACCCAAACATGGATTAATAGGTTCTCCACATTACTATGAGGACAAACATGAGTGAAACGGTCTCAATCCAAGGGAGGAACATCAAATGGACCAAATTTGGGAACCGGAAGAGGTAAGGAGTCCGAAATGTACCTCTGTGACTCCACATTGTGGAAACTCACTTGTAGTGTATAAGATGAACTAGATGGACCCATACTTACCCAAACATGGATTAATAGGTTCTCCACATGACTATGAGGACAAACATGAGTGAAACGGTCTCAATCCAAGGGAGGAACATCAAATGGACCAAATTTGGGAACCGGAAGAGGTAAGGAGTCCGAAATGTACCTCTGTGACTCCACATTGTGGAAACTCACTTGTAGTGTATAAGATGAACTAGATGGACCCATACTTACCCAAACATGGATTAATAGGTTCTCCACATGACTATGAGGACAAACATGAGTGAAACGGTCTCAATCCAAGGGAGGAACATCAAATGGACCAAATTTGGGAACCGGAAGAGGTAAGGAGTCCGAAATGTACCTCTGTGACTCCACATTGTGGAAACTCACTTGTAGTGTATAAGATGAACTAGATGGACCCATACTTACCCAAACATGGATTAATAGGTTCTCCACATGACTATGAGGACAAACATGAGTGAAACGGTCTCAATCCAAGGGAGGAACATCAAATGGACCAAATTTGGGAACCGGAAGAGGTAAGGAGTCCGAAATGTACCTCTGTGACTCCACATTGTGGAAACTCACTTGTAGTGTATAAGATGAACTAGATGGACCCATACTTACCCAAACATGGATTAATAGGTTCTCCACATGACTATGAGGACAAACATGAGTGAAACGGTCTCAATCCAAGGGAGGAACATCAAATGGACCAAATTTGGGAACCGGAAGAGGTAAGGAGTCCGAAATGTACCTCTGTGACTCCACATTGTGGAAACTCACTTGTAGTGTATAAGATGAACTAGATGGACCCATACTTACCCAAACATGGATTAATAGGTTCTCACATGACTATGAGGACAAACATGAGTGAAACGGTCTCAATCCAAGGGAGGAACATCAAATGGACCAAATTTGGGAACCGGAAGAGGTAAGGAGTCCGAAATGTACCTCTGTGACTCCACATTGTGGAAACTCACTTGTAGTGTATAAGATGAACTAGATGGACCCATACTTACCCAAACATGGATTAATAGGTTCTACATGACTATGAGGACAAACATGAGTGAAACGGTCTCAATCCAAGGGAGGAACATCAAATGGACCAAATTTGGGAACCGGAAGAGGTAAGGAGTCCGAAATGTACCTCTGTGACTCCACATTGTGGAAACTCACTTGTAGTGTATAAGATGAACTAGATGGACCCATACTTACCCAAACATGGATTAATAGGTTCTCACATGACTATGAGGACAAACATGAGTGAAACGGTCTCAATCCAAGGGAGGAACATCAAATGGACCAAATTTGGGAACCGGAAGAGGTAAGGAGTCCGAAATGTACCTCTGTGACTCCACATTGTGGAAACTCACTTGTAGTGTATAAGATGAACAAGATGGACTACATCAGAGGAACTGTGGACAAAACATTGTTCACACTTGAGAAGAAGAATGAGATGATGATGGTGCAGATCTATGTAGATGATATCATCTTTGGAGGAACTTCAGAGAAGCTGGTGGAAAACTTTGTGAAGAGTATGACTAAGGAGTTCAAGATGAGCATGGTGGGAGAGTTGAAGTACTTTCTTGGACTTTAAGTGAATCAGACTGAGAAAGGAATTTTTATTTCTCAAAGCACCTATGCCAAGAATCTACTGGTGAAGTTTGGTCTTGACAAATGCAAGGAGGCAAGAACACCAATGAGCACCACGACAAAGATTGGAAAGGATGAACAAGGAGAAGACCTTGATGTGAAGCTTACAGAGGAATGATTGGAAGCTTGCTCTTACCTTACAGCAAGTCGACCTGACTTAAGCTTCAGTGTTGGAGTTTGTGCCCGCTATCAGGCCAAACCAAAACAGTCCCATCTTCAAGCGGTGAAGAAGATCTTGAGGTATGTCAAGGGAACTGTCAATCTGGGGATCTTTTACTCCAAAGGATCCAACAGAAATCTTGCTGGATATTGTGACGCCGATTGGGCATGATGCGCAGATGATCGGAAAAGCACAAGTGGAGGTTGTTTCTTCCTTGGGAACAATCTTATTGCTTGGCTTAGCAAGAAGCAGAATTCTGTGTCACTATCTACTGCAGAGGCTGAGTACATTGCATTGGGAAGCTGCTGCACACAGCTTATATGGATGAGACAGATGTCAGCCGATTATGGGATGGAGTCTGGACCCTTCTTGGTCTACTGTGACAACAAAAGCGCCATTGACATATCAAAGAATCCGGTGCAGCACTCAAGGACTAAGCACATTGACATAAGACACCACTTTGTTCGTGAATTGGTGGAAGAAAAACAGGTAGTACTTGAACATGTTGTCACAGACTTACAGCTCGCTGATTTATTCACAAAACCATTGGACTTTAACCGTTTTGTCACCTTAAGAAATTCCATTGGAATTTGCACAAGTGGTTTTGAATGATGCAGGGGCTGATACAGCACTGGCTCGGGGTGTATAACAAGTTCAGATTTTGTTTGGAGTCAAAGGTGCCAATGAGGATCAGCTACTTTGTCATGCCGTCATGTCACCTCAACATAAGAAAAGTGAAAAGTAAGTGATTCTAAAAGCATGTTCAAGGTCAAAAAGCAGCTGAGCCAACTCCAAATGAATGCAATATGATGGAGATGGCTTGCTGCTTCAAGAACCAAAAAGTGATTCAATGAGCATAACAGGAAATGTGATGAACTGACAACAATAGCTCACAAGGCTAAGTTGGTTCATGTGATTTCTCGAAAGACAATGTTTCACAAGAACAAAGTCTGACGATAGAAATAAGAGCTTAATTGGAAAGGGGATGGATTGACAACAATAGCTCACAAGGCTAAGTTGGTCCATGAGCTTTCTCGAAGGGTAATGTTTCACAAGAACAACATCCAACGACAGAGAATGATCACATGTTCTGCCTTGAACAAAATAAAGAGTTTCACTTTGCACATCATTGGAATTAGAGGTGGTGATATGATCTGGGTATGACAAAGTGAAAGCTGCAGGTTGGAATCAGGATGGCCAAGCGCTATGAATCTGTTGAGAATTTGTAATACATCCTGATGCAAGTGCCGACTCAGTCAATGTCTCCTTCACTAAAATGAAAGGTATTTAATTTGAGATAAACTGAGTAAAAATGTTTTTAAGCTGAAAAGATGTGACACATGGGATGGTATTGCTTGTTGGATTCTACTTTGAATCGAATTTTATGTGGATGTCACAATTTTATCCTAAGTGTTGTACTGCTGATATTGGTGCTGAATGTTGCAGGAAGTCAAGCAGGAGCTCTGGATTTCTAAACCAATTAATCCGGCTGATTTATGTTGATTCCGATTGAATGGTGTTTTGAAACAGCTGTCATATCTACAAGCCAGCAATCTCCAAGCACTGTCGTCGACTGACGAAGCGATTGAAGTAGCGACCACTACATCTCTGGTAGTGACCACCGATGGTGTTTTCGAACCAGCAGAGCCGGAGGTACAACAGACCGACGCATCAATGTCTCTGTTAGATCCAAAACCAGCCGTTTCACCCTCTCGACAAAGCTCGCGAAACAGAGTTTCTTGATGAACTTCAACTAGGTCAACCGTTTTGAACTACAGCGAAGACATAGTTCAATCTGCAAGGTAAGTTGTCCTTCTGCACAATCTATTTCAATATGTTTATCCATCTTGTGTTTTTTAACTTGTGTGTGCTCACAAGCAGGGGGAGAATAGGATGTATCAGAGAACAAAAACTAGGATCTAAGCTAGAATTGTGGGGGAGCAAGACTTTTGATCTTGTTTGCTTTGTTTTGAGTAGTTTTCGATCTATAATTCTGGGGGAGGTGAGAGTTGAAAGTACTTTGATCTTTTGGATTTAACTCCTGTTCTGAATCATGTCTAATATTTCTATGACTAATGTTGAAGTATTCAGATCATCCCAGTATTCTGGTTATCTCTGGTATATGCATTGCTGTTTTGAGTGTTTACAGGTGCTTGAGAGACACAAAGCTAAAAAGGGGGAGATTGAAGATGCAGTTGGATTGACGCAGATCGTGAATCAGTCAGGAAGTGCATCAGGACGTGTGGACGGACTTGTAGCGGAGCTAAGCGAAGCTTAACAGAGCTAAAGGATTGATGCTGAGCTGGATGCGAGCTTGTACCGGTTAAGGACGAATCCAGAAGAGGCGGTAGATGAGCTGGATGAGGAAATTTGGAATTATCAAGACAAAAGGGATATTTTCTATTCTTAGAGAAAAATAAGGAAAGGAAATATTCCTTTGGAGATTTGGAGTAATCACCAAGACACAACCTTGTAGGGTTTGGCGGTTCGTCTATTGAGGATAAATAGAGGACCTTGGCTGCTTGGAAGCGGCTATCACAAACTTGAGAGCTTTAGCATATTTGGGTTTAGATTTCTTGTAAGAAAGCTAGGACAATGGGGGCTAGGGTTTGAGAGGTTCAAAGATCGTGGATAGATCTGAGAACGTGAGAGTTACTAGAACAACAAAGATCGTGGATAGATCATGTTTGTTGAGTTCGTTTAAGCATATACTTTTAAGTTATCTTAAAAAAGTTTCTAGTAATATATTTCTTTGTAGAGAAAACCCCGTCCCAGTTTGTGATCTACTACTGCATCAGTAGCCCTTGGTTTTTCACTTAGTTCAGTCTGCTCAGAAACTGTGTCACATGATGAATTATCATCGTCGTTGTCGTCGGATGCAACGATGATCTTCTTATTCTTTTCATCCGCCATAGTAATTGTGAGTAAGATCATCGAGACTACAATATGATGTATTTATAATAAGAAGGTTTCGTCATTAAAGTTGGTGGCGATTTAGCTTCACGAGAGGTAAGCCCCTTAAATTATTAGTCAACCTTGTAATTTGTTAATTAGACGAGTAAAGGTCGATACATCTTTCCAAGGTGATGAAGCCGACAATAAATATCTTTCAAGACTGAAAACCTATAAATCGATCAAAGCTTTGTTTCTCGTTTTCGAACTGTTACACATGTTATGAGGAATCTTTGGCTAAATGTAATATGGCACTATGGTGATAGAAGAGGCAAAATAAAGGGTAAAAAAAAGGAAAAATATTGTTAAATTCTTTCATATTCATATAAAATCAAATTGTTTTATATGAATATGGACCAACAAAAAACATTGTTATTAATAATTATACGAGGTAGTTGGCCCACGCATGCGCGGACTTGAGTTGTTTTAAAAATAAAAACATTTATAAGCTAAAAATAATATTTTTCGTATTCATTTTTTTTTTGTCGGCAATAAAGTTTCATTAAAAGTCAATAAAGGACAAATCCAGTACAATTTCAGATCCAACAACCCTGCAATAAAATAAAGCCCAATAAAAGGTCCAACATACAAAACGATAAGGCTAATTGCATGTTGAACACGTGTCACAATCAACGGGTTGACGGGTGTGGTGACGGAAAACCGACTGCCGACTCCGCCGACGCAGTGGTTCCTGGTTCGAATTGCCGATGAAGACTCAATAGAGATCCATCAAAGGCCGATTTCCACTCCGAAAATATACTGGTTGTTCTTCTTCAGAACAGATTCCGCAGTGAACAGGAACAGAAATCTTCTTGCCGCCATAAACTCCATCTCCGACCACCATACTCTTTGAGAAACTTCACCCCCAATACCTTAACAAAGGCCCTTTAGCGGAGGGATGTAGATTTTACTCCCTAAAAATAGATGATAAGAGCAATTGATTGACAAAGAAGAAAACGTCCTACCAACAACGGATTTTGGCTTTGTTTAAATAGATCTAACAAATTTAACAAAGGCCCTTTAGCGGAGGGATGTAGATTTTACTCCCTAAAAATAGATGATAAGAGCAATTGATTGACAAAGAAGAAAACGTCCTACCAACAACGGATTTTGGCTTTGTTTAAATAGATCTAACAAATTTATCCAAAGACCAGTTCAGAAAGAAGAACAAAAAAAAACATGAAAAGAAAACATAACAAAAGAACCGAACAAGGTCGGAGATACAACCGGGCGATGCTGGAACTAAACAACCGAACCTGATCGGAAAGTATATACAGAAAATCCGATCTAAGTCGGAGAAAAAAAGAAGGGAGTTTCTCTCTCTGAAATATTCGAGATATTTTTCGTATTCCAAACATCAAGAGTTTATAATGTAGGAGTTTTATATGATATTTTAATAATTATGTAATGTTTTTATTTATTCGATATGATTTGAACAAAAAGACTAAATAATTTAGTTGTTTTGCTATTTTCCTTTTGATTATAATTTTCAAGAAATAAGATTTTTTTTTTCATTAGAATATCTTAAGAACTAAGAATTTAAAAATGCACAAAAAACTACTCTACACCCCACCAATATAGATACACCACCCCCACCCATCCATAGAGTACACCATAAGACCATCTCCAACCCCTCATGCCATATGTTATTGCAAATGGCAAAAATATAGCAATAGCATTGGGTTTCTCTCCAACCCCTCATGCCATATATCATGCTATAATTTTTTTCCAACTTATTATTAATTGTTAAAACTACTTGATTTCTTCAAATTTTACAAAGTGAATCATTTGTTTTTCTTTTTTTGCAAAAACAACCAGAATTATATTTTTTTATTATTATAATATTAAAACAAAATACATCATATTACATAAAAATTATAGAAAACAAAGATTTTAACCTATTGTTTTATGTTTTTTGAATTTCAGTATTTTTAAAAATAAAATTTTAAGTTTATTATGGTTATGTTTTTATATTTCTATGAAATAAATATTATTTATATTTTGAAAAAGTTATGAGTATTGTTTATTTATTTAAATAAATCATAATCAATATAATTAAACTGTTAAATTAAAAGTAATTACAAATTGAAGGACTATTTTATAAATAAAAAAGTTCAATGGCAAAATAGCATATTGCATAATCTCATGCCAAATATAGAAGCAAAAATAGCATGATGCTATTTTGCAATAGCATATGCAATTGGGTTGGAGCAAAAATTATCGCAAAATAGCATATATGTCATATTTTTTAGCATGGGGTTGGAGATGCTCTAACCATATAACAGACAACTCTTTTCATTTTTTTATTATTATTTTTTTTTGCTTAATTTGGTGTAGTTGTTGTTATACAAACTTTTGTATGTTATTTTAAGAATACAAAATATTTTTATTTAGTCGATATGATTTGAAAAAAATATTAAACGTCATATGCTCATGTAATTGTTTATGGTAAAGGTGTTTCTAAATCCCTCATATAACAACAACAATTACAAATCAAAATTTTCAGTACATTATTTTTCCGGTTTTTCTTCTTACTCATTCCTCCGCTCTCTATCTTTATCATATTCGTCTTCTCTTGTATTATTCCATTCTTTTGTATCAATTTTCCTCCTCTCTCTCTTTGTCTTTTTCTCTTCACATTCCATTTTTTCTTCTTTGATTTCTTTTTCATCATGCTTTAGTTTTCTTTCGTCTTCTCAAATTTTTCATCTTCTTTTTCATCGTCTTCTTTTATTTTACTCGTGTTTTTATTCGTCTTTGTCTATGTTTTTTTATTTCACCTATCAATTCATTCGATAATTTACATTTTCAAGGAATTGTGAAATAGTTGTTTATCTTTATATAGTCGAGATCTTTTAAAAATCTATTGGTTTTGTTATCTTTCGATTATGAATTTACTTTAATTGTTTTAGTTTTTTTCTATTTGTGAATGTAATTTAGAAAAGTAGATATTAATTTATAATCGATATTTTTAATTTTGATATTCTTCATAATAATTCATTTTTTTTTAAATGCACCAAAAACTAAACCTACACCCATCAATATAAACCTACACCCTAAACCCAAACCCACTATGTAACACCACCACCCACACTTCATCCACCCTCCCCCTAAACAACCATACACCCTAGATCCTAACCATATTATAACTCCCCGTTCTGCCCCGTCTCATCCTGTCCCCTAAACAGTACACCATAACGCCACATTACAAATTTATTCTCGATTTGCTTTTATTATTTTAGTTTTCTTGAAAGAAGTTATCGTTGTTTTTATTTTAAATCAGAAATGTTAGTGTTAGATCTATAAAGAAAAAATGAATAATATATATTTTTATTGTTATAGATTGTAGACTCGTGGCACATAATATATGATTATAAATAAATCTTTAAACACCAAAGCACCATTTTTTTTTCAAAGTATGACAACATATCAAGAACATTAAAAAAATATATATATATATATATATCTTAAAGCACATAGCATAATCAAACATCAATACACTGTGTTTTTTTTTGTCTTCTTATCTTTCAATTTATCATCTTCTTATTCTTGTATTTTGCTCTTGTTTTCCTCTTTTATCAATGTATATCTACTCTAGTGTCTTCATATGCTTTATTCTTCTCATTTCTCTTTATATTTTTCTTTCGATTTTTATTCTTTTTTTATTATTACTCCCCACGTTCATATAACGTGATGGTGTCTATGGAACTGAATATTGGGGTGGAGAAGATGAAATCATATCCATCACTTCAAATTTTTATTCGGATGCGTATACCCTAAAAATCATGACTGACCCATAGATTTGTGTTTCTTTTTTATACCCTAAATCTCTACATATTCATGTGTTCTACAGAATATGTGGTACATGTTGTTAAAAACCTGATTGATGGTAGTGTCATTGTTTCACCTCAACAGCTACTAAAAAGATCCATAGCTTAAAAACTAATGATAAAAACATAGTAAAAAATTAAGGATTTAACAAAAGAAAATAATAAAGAACAAATTTTAAGTGATTTTAAGAGGTAGTAAATCTAAACCGGAAAAAAAAACCATGAGGTGGTGATCGGCGGTAAAATCGACCAAACGAAGATATGTTAACAGAGAAACACATTGGCGTCTCTCATATCCTCTTCTTCTTTTTCTTCTACAATCGAACAGTGAAAAGTATAGAGACTCAAACTCGTTTATGTCTACACATCCATCTTTTCGATCATCTGAAGCATGAAGATTCCTAGATTCTCTAAGGAATCGTTTAGCTCTTCATTTGTAATGCGTCTGTCTCTCTTCTTGTCGAACATCAGAAACACTCTTTTTAGATCCATATTTCAGCGGTGGTGGGTTCTTTTCGTTGATGTACCAAGAAGTAGGGAAGAGAACTCTTAGGCCTTAGCTTCATCAACATGAAGAACTTTGAAGTGTTGTTTATTCTACCTGAGACATCAGACATAATGATGAAAGTCTACCTGATATTCTTTAAAACTATCAAAGCGAATAAAATCTTATAGATACCAAATTTCAGCAAACAAAAAAAAGTAAAAGCATCCCTTTACCCTCGAGAGTGTGTGACTTTCTGAGAAGCAAACTCACAAATTTCTTTTGGTAAAGCCTTAACAAATACATTCCATCTTCCATGTCACTTCCACTAAGTGCATTTCTTCCCAAAAATATATGAAATCATCCGCAGCAAGGCAAGTGTCATATCCCTCAACTGCAGCAAGGCAAGTGCCATATCCCTCCACCGAAATCTTGTTGAGCAGACCTTTGTAGCAGCCACACAATCTGCAAAATCTTTCAATTTTATCCCTTAAAAGAGTACCAAACATGTAATCAAAAATTCTACGTACTACTTCAAATAACAATTAATTAATAGAAAAACTCCCGATTCATGACTAAGTAAGATAGTAAGTGGTAAAGCCATAATGAGAAGAAGAGATTAAATTGATGGCGAATTGTTGCTAGAGTACAAATCAGTATCGCTTTAGATTCACTTTCACTATTTCCATTAATTGCAGCTTCATGAATCCAAAAGCTTAAACACAGACATAAAAACCAAAGCTATAGGCAACGTCTTTATGTATATACATAAGACATACCTCCAGCTGCTTGTAAAGCTGTTTCTGTACTTTCATATGAAGCCGCGGAGCCTCTAGTAATACGTATATATAGTCAAGCCACACAAACATACAAAACCCATGAAAATCCATGAAACATATGAATATTTGAACACTTGCACATAAGAGACACAAACACACAAAACCCATTCAAATAAAATTAAGTACAAATTAAGATTTAAAATTCACCAGTGAAGGCGAAGACAACAACATAGTTTTGTGGTTGCGGTGAAGAGAAAGGGTTCACGTCAACATCAAAAGCAAAAAACGTTATGAAACTAATAATATGGATACTGGAAAAAAACAAAAAACGTTATAGTCTCGCCATTAGAATTAGGGTTTCATGAATATTAAGTTGATATATAAAAGAAAAGATGTTCATACCCTCTATTTTTGGGGAAGAATATTTCTGGCTTGGGACCATATCTGAACTTCTCGATTCCATCAGCTTACAAATAATGAATTTTCTGTTACAAAAGTGAGAGGAAGAAGTTAGAAGCGGATCAATAGATGATATTGACAGAAGATAACAAATAATCAGTTCATAAATAGATTTAATAGAACTAAGATCAAACTAAAACAATTAAGATACATGAAAAGAAGAAATATGAGATCTAAGAACTAAAATTACGTATAAAAGAGGAATTGTAAATCGTAATGAGAATTGTGTTGATTTTCCTTGTTCGTATCTATTTATATAAGACATGGTGGTTAAGAATCTTAGGGTTTACTTTTTATTTATCTTTCTAAAATTTATAATTTCTTCCAAAAATATGGCGGGAATATGGTAGTTAACATTTTTATCTAAAAATATTTAAGTCAATAATCAAATTCCTTTTTAATATAAAAAAGAAAAATTCGAAGATTTAATAATAGATTTTCATTAAGGGTATCTGTAATTCCGCGGCTGAGAGTTAACGTGGTGGCTCCATTCGAAATTCTGACTTCGCAAATACTAGTATGATTTATATATAAAAAAATCTTATATCACGTGACGATAAAATATACAGGGTCACTATCGTCTCATCATCGTGAGTTCAAAGCTCAAAAGCACACGAAGAGACATCAAAATGTACAACTTTACAATAAAAACTTCAAAATCAGTAATTTGGACGTACTTACATAGTAGAAAATGTAAATCGACTTATCGACCAAAGAAATTTGGTAACATATTTAACATGATTACCAAAAAAACAATTTGGTAACATATAATCGAAAATGGAATAAAATCTAGACCCAATATTTATTACTTGTTCTAGTGATTACTTGGACAAAGAGCAAGGAAAATAAAAAACCTCTTCTCGTGCTGCAAAAGGCGTGCAACACATCGTTTTGGCTTCTTCCTTCGTATCTGACGAACCTACCATCTGATCCAACGGTCCTTATCAAAACAATCCAACGGCTTTCCCCAACCCGATTCCTCTTTATATAATCGAACCAGACCATCCGATTCATCATCAGCTACTCTTTATTCGTTCACTAAAACCCTCGACCTCATCGCCCTTAATCTCTCTCTCTAGATCTACTCGACCTCCGAAGCTATGGCTACTATCACCGTTGTTAAGGCTAGGCAGATCTTCGACAGCCGTGGAAACCCCACCGTCGAGGTTTGTTTCTTCTCGCTTTTCCGATCACTCTCTCTTTTTTCCCCTTTTCCGGTCACTCCCGGATCTGTACATTGTTTATTCGTTGTGGATCTGTGTTAATAACGAGAGATTCTCCAATCGTCTATGTGAATTGTTTTAACTGTATGAGATTACGTTTTGTGAGGATCATCAGTGTTTTGATCCCGGAGAAATTGAAAGTTTAAAGTTACGTTTATTTCCTCTGTTTTGGATCGTGCGTTTCGTAATTTTGAGAAGAAGATAGGATTGATTATGTTTATATGATTCTTGCGACGGATCTGTTTGTTATTACTGTTTATTCATTTATCTGATTTTCACGATTTGGATATGTTTCTGTTGTTCGATCTCCAAAGAAAACTAATGATTGACGGATTTCATGTGATGATGGTTTAGGTCGATATCCACACAAGCACTGGTGTCAAGGTTACAGCTGCTGTGCCAAGTGGAGCTTCCACTGGTATATATCATCTTTAAATTTATATTCAGTGATATATCATCTTTAAATTTGTATTGCTGAGTGTGTATTTGTGGAAAATTTTGTTGTGTATAGGAATCTATGAGGCTCTTGAACTGAGAGATGGAGGATCAGACTACCTTGGAAAGGGTGTTTCCAAGGTGAGATTTCTTCGTGGTCATTTGTTTCTGGATTTGAATAAATGTTAATCTGAATCTGATATTTTCGTTTGATTTGTGCTTTGTTGATTTGAATAGGCTGTTGGCAACGTGAACGACATCATCGGCCCGGCATTGATTGGAAAGGTATGCTCTCGGTGAATCAAATTTGTTTCTGAAGTTGTTGTGTAGAACGTGAACAAGGCTCATTCGTGTGTGTGTTTTCTCTTTATTGTTTCTTGCAGGACCCAACTCAGCAGACCGCCATTGACAACTTCATGGTCCACGAGCTTGATGGAACTCAAAACGAGTGGGGTTGGTGCAAGCAGAAGGTGATTCAATAGAAACTCATTTTTTTGTGTATTCACTCAATAATAAATGACTTGAGTCTGACAATATTTTGCGTCTTCTTTTTTTGTGTACAGCTTGGAGCCAATGCTATTCTTGCAGTGTCTCTAGCTGTCTGCAAAGCCGGGGCCGTTGTCAGTGGCATTCCTCTATACAAGGTAGGACGATCTTGCAATAAATTGGTTACCTCTAGCAAATAATGACGAGACTGTTAGTTTTTTAGTACTAGATGTAGTTCTAAGCTCTTCCTTTTGCGTTATGTAGCACATTGCCAATCTCGCTGGTAACCCCAAGATTGTGCTTCCAGTTCCCGCCTTCAACGTCATCAACGGTGGATCCCACGCAGGAAACAAGCTTGCTATGCAGGAGTTTATGATTCTCCCTGTTGGAGCTTCATCTTTCAAGGAAGCCATGAAGATGGGTGTGGAAGTTTACCACAACTTGAAGGTAAATCTTCAATTTTGTGGTATTACAGCTGCTTTTAATTGCAGTGTGAATTGCTTGACTAATTACTTTGGACTAAAATCTTTTATGACTTAACAATCTTCTTATTCTCATATGTTTTTGCAGTCTGTGATCAAGAAGAAGTACGGACAGGATGCCACAAACGTTGGTGATGAAGGTGGATTTGCACCAAACATTCAGGAAAACAAGGAAGGTCTTGAATTGCTCAAGACTGCTATCGAGAAGGCTGGCTACACTGGCAAGGTTTGTCTCTTAGTTTAAGTAATTGATTTAGCTGTTCTTTTCCCCTGAAACTAAGTTCATGAAGCTAATGGGTCTCAATCCTTTTTTTGATTCCAGGTCGTCATTGGAATGGATGTTGCCGCTTCAGAGTTCTACTCAGAAGACAAGACCTACGACTTGAACTTCAAAGAAGACGTAAAACTTATTTTTCCCCTTATTATTTACTTCAGCTTCAGGATAAAACACATGAACAATGCTCTCAACTTCTAGCTCCTACTTTATTTGTTTCTCTGCAGAACAACGATGGTTCCCAGAAGATTTCTGGAGATGCCCTCAAGGACCTGTACAAGTCCTTTGTAGCTGAGTACCCAATTGTGTCCATCGAGGACCCATTTGACCAAGATGACTGGACCCATTACGCTAAGATGACCACTGAGTGTGGAGACAAGGTTCAGATTGTCGGTGATGATTTGTTGGTTACAAACCCCAAGGTTTGTTATTGTTCTTGACATAATCAGATTCTTTTCTTAAAGAACATTTCCTTTCTTTCAAAGTTTGCATGTCTCTTAACTCTTTTCTTCTTACAGAGAGTTGCCAAGGCCATCGCAGAAAAGTCTTGCAACGCTCTTCTCTTGAAGGTTAACCAAATCGGTTCAGTGACCGAGAGCATTGAAGCCGTGAAGATGTCGAAGAGAGCAGGATGGGGAGTGATGGCCAGCCACAGAAGTGGTGAAACCGAAGACACTTTCATTGCTGACCTCTCTGTTGGCTTGTCTACTGTAAGTTTTGAGCCATTCAAAAACTTGTGAGCTTTATTATCTGTCTGAATGATTCTCATTTGTATCTCTTTCTCTCTGTACAGGGACAAATTAAGACTGGAGCTCCATGCAGATCTGAGCGTCTTGCCAAGTACAACCAGCTTCTGCGTATCGAGGAGGAGTTGGGATCTGAGGCCGTTTACGCTGGACTCAACTTCCGCACACCTGTGGAGCCTTACTAGATCTATAAGCCCGTCTTCTTTGTCACGAGAATTTGACTTCTGTTTGGTCATTCGCTTAAAATAATAAAAGGATCTCTGTTGGTTTTTGCTTTGATTGTTGGAACCTTTTTAATTGGTCAAGTTATTCAGTTTTGTAAGAGAAATCTAATTTCGGCTTTTACTCTTTATATATCCCGTGCGATTCTTATGATCTCCATGGCTCTATGATCTGTCAAGTTAGTACTATGTTATTGCTATTGCTTCCAATGCCTCATGATAGGCAGGGATGGCGGTGATCAAAGCTTACATAATCAGAAGATGACCAGAACACATTCAAACAAATTTGGATCGAATATCATTATTTGTAACTTTCTCGAAGATGACTAGCTAGAACCAATCAAACAAACCCCTTCTCTGTTTTATCCTTCACTTAAAAAAGTTGAAACCTGCTGGAATAACTGAAGCAAGAGGGATGATTGATGATTGATGAATTACTGACTTGTTCAGTTTGACCTTTGGGATAAGATCTGCTAATGAGTTTTGAATTAACATATGAGCTCATTTCTACAAGAAGCAGGTTTGCCCGAGTGGTTAAGGGGGAAGACTTAAGTTCTTCTGCACATAAGTGCGCACTAACATTTGAATTTTTTTGCGGTGTTACTAAACTTTTGAGATGACAGTTAAAGAGTGTCAAAAATCTTTTACAAAAAAATGCAGGCTGTGGGGACACTTATGTGCAGAAGAACTTAAGTCTTCCCCCTTAACCTCTCGGGCAAACCTGCTTTCTTTGTGTTGTAGCAGACATAACAAAAATACTTACATTTTCAAAAGCTCTAGTCTTGTATAAGAACAAAAATATTTATTGCTCTGCAATGACAATCGAAACAAAGAGGCCCAAGTAAAAAACAATTAAGTTTCGATTTAACAACATTCTCATTTCTTGGAACGTTTCAAGTAAACAAGTAAACCTATACTCGTCAAAACAACAGCCCCAGCCACGACACCAGTCCTCCACCACACGCAACAGTCTCCTCCGCCGCCGCAGCAGCTTCCCTCAGACAAATCCTTAACCGTCTCGGTAAAATCAAGATGAAGTCTCAAAACCTTATGTCCCAAAGACCTAGCGAAACCAACCGCAGCAACAAGATCACTGTCCCTACTTATCAAAACCTTGTCACCTTCATCATCCTGGTACATAATCTGCATCCCCGAATCCTCAACACCGCATCTCTGCATCACAACACTCACCACCTCCTCGAAACTCTCCCCGGTCGAGCTAAACCGGTGCACTCGTCCATTCCGGTCTTCAAACTTAAAAGCAAACGAGCTCGTAACAAGTCCTTGAGACTGAACAGACTGCTTCCCTGTATCCGCTCCTTCGGAGTTTACCAACATGGTCGACATCTCGCTGTTCGTCTCGTAATCCTCCGGCGGATGTGGATCCAACGTGAGAGCCGAGTCCCAAAACTTCTGCATCATCGTGTTCGCCATGTCGTTAACCGCTCCGGAGCTGTTCTCAACCGTCGAGATAGCCGCATGAGTGATCTGCAACACGTCAACGCAAGCCGCAACGGCTCCGTCTTTATCCAAAACCGGAAGATGAAGAAACTTGCCGTCATGCATTATATGTAACGCGTCAAGAATCGTCGTCTCCATCGACGCACACTCAGGGCTTGGTGTCATCACTTTCTCAACAAGAGTCAGCTCGGGAGACAGATTCTGAGCCACGACTCTCATTAAAATGTCCTTTGACGTCAAGATCCCGTGAATCTTGTTCCCCACGGCGATGATCACAGAGTTAACTCTCAAATCTCTCATCCTCTTGGCAGCTACAAAGACGGGATCGGACGGCGACACGAGCGCGAATTTTGAGTTCTCGGTTATGATTGTGGACAATGCGGGTTTGAACATCCGTTCCCGCATTGTCTCGATGAAAGGAAACGGAGCGGCCGAGGAGAAGTTTCCGCTTCCGCTTCCCCATTGCCTGTCAACGCCTTCCACCGCAGCGGCTAAGGCGCTTCCTTGCTCTGCTGCTTTCTCCATACGAGAGATCGCATCGTAGAGACATTTCGTGATGTCCAAGAGAGCAATGACTTCTCCGTTTTCCACGACAGGTAAGTGCCTGAACTTCCCTTGAACCATCTTCTCAAGAGCCTCGATGGCGAGAGAGTCCGATGTGACGAAGATTGGATTCCTTGTCATGACTTTTGAGACCAGAGTGTGTTCTGGTCTCAACCCTTCTGCGATCACTCTTGTTGCTATGTCTTTGTCTGTGACGATACCGGAGAGAAGCGCGCTTGAGTCGGTTAAGAGAACCGCGTCGACACGGCGTGAAGCCATTCTTCGGCAGGCGTCGAAGACTGTGGTGCCTTCGGGGATGGTGAGGGCTTTGGAGAGACGTAGCTTCTTGACTGTTCTTTCGCCATTGGAAACCGGTTGAGCGAGAGGTGAGTCCGGTTTAGAGGTGTTCTCGGTGACGCTTGTGCTTCCGCTTCCGCTTTCTTCTGATTGGAGAACTGGTTTCTTTGAAGCTGAGTTTGCTCGTCTTAAACTCGAAATGCTTCTCTTCCCGGCTGATGTTTGAGTAGTCAATGTCATGTTTTAAGGAGCGTGAAAGGTCTTTTTAATCATTCCATTGATCTACACAAACAAGAGAGAGCAAGAACAAAATTAAGATTCTAAAGGAAACACAAACAAAAATAGCAAGAATATATTTAACTTGAATCACAATATTCAAGAGAGAACTCTCTGTTCAATAATCAAAACCGTTTTTAACAATTTGGATATTACCGTTTTCAATAACAAAAGAAAAAACAACAAAGGATATTGAGGAATGTATGTCTTTATATGCCAACACAATCAAATTTGGCGAATCTAACCATGCAATTGAAGACAAAAACAGAGAGGTTACAGAAATAATTTACATTTTCAGATTAGAATGCTGCTATGTCAAAAAAAAAACAGATGGAGAAGAAGAAGATGCCGACCGGAGATCAAGACTAGCGGTGAAGAATTGAGAAGGTTGAATTTGCTGGTGGTGTAATCAATTTGGTAGGGTTGGTGTTCTTTCCAAATCAGATTGGTGTTTTAAGTTTCGAAATTTGCAGCTGTAGACGAGGGAAAAAAAAAAGGAAAATCAAAATGAATCTTGTTCGTGTTTGGTTCTATGAGCAAAATCCAATCAACAGAGAAACTTGGATCACAAATTTATATGTTTGATCTTAAGAAAATTCGACAGAGTTTGATTTCCAGAAATAAGAATTTCTGTGTTATCTGTTTTTTTTTTCTCCTTTTTAGCGCTTTTCTATTTTACCTTTAAGACGTGTCAGGTGGTTCCACCACTCATCCCGGAAAAAGAAGAAGAGGAATGCAATAATTCTGTTATTATTGTTAATTAGGCTATTGTTTATAATTTTGGGGACAAAAAAGGGGTGTACCGTGTACTAGTTCGTGTGAGTAGTGGATGATTTAGGACCAGGTTGATTTTATTTATTAGATAAGAGAACAAGATAAATCCATGTGTTTAATAACTAATAAGAGTATATCGTTTCATATAGCTATGTTTGGTCCGTTTGGTTGTCAAAATAAAAAACCTATATATGTTTTCTAAACTCATGTGTGTGAATAATTATTTTGAAAAGAGGCGGAAATGTTGGATTAAGAGAAAATTATAATGGGAGGTGAAGAGAAATCATGTTCTATGCACCGTCGAGGTGGCATATTCGCCACCCATAACTTTGTGTAGGTCGTGTTTGTTAGTTGTGGTCCTTGTGGAGTATTAATTATTTAAAGCTTCCAAGTTCGAATATATATAAACATACTTAGTTCATGATCATGAACGAAACTCTTTTGTATTCTCTCTGGATTTGAGTGCACGAGAAATTCAAGACAAGGGAAGAAAAAGAAATTGTATAAGAGATACACGAGCTATAACGAGTTCAGTTTACCACATGGAATTATGTTTTATGTTAGCAAGAAGCGGAAGTTATAATGTTAATACCGACGGACGTATCATGCATGTATTTATCTTCTCTACATATTATATTGTAGATGGTTGCATCCTTTACTTCACTTAATGACTGAATCGTTTGGCATAATAAATAAAATGTAAACTGTAAGAAATTGTTTGGCTGAATTACATTCATATTTTTCTATGCTACTAGTTACGTACAGAGACGGTTTAGCTATTACCTATTGTTTAGTTTAGAGATAACTCTAGCTTTATTGAATCATTACATTTTACATACACAAAACACAATGTAATGTTACGGAAAATACAACTTGTATAGACTTATGTTTGGAGATCGAACCTATGATATGACTTTATATATCACCGTGAGCTACCTGCTTTTTAATGAAAAAGAATGTTCCTTCGTCAAAAGATTTCGACTTCTACATATTCTGGAATAAAGGATCTATCAAGATAAAAGTGAAACGTATAAACAATGATCTAAAAGATTTAGATGATGTGAAAAAACGGTTGAAAAAGGCATACATTAATAAAATTAGCATTGTATATATTTTGTTCAAGTCTTGTTCCTTGTGGCAGTGAAAGCAAAGGATCATGGCATTTGGCTTCCACTTGTCACTATCTCAGTTCGCATGAGAGAAAAAGTGAGAACATCACCATGGTCTTTGTCTCTTGACTCTCGTTGATTCGAGTTTCCCCATGTTCATATGTATAAGAATGAAATAGTTATATCATGAGCTCATGACATTTCGTAACAAAAACTGATTTTTGTTTTGTTTTACTTTCTTCCGTTCAAGATGATCAGAATAGGATAAGGATTGAGTCATTGAGCCCTTTGATAAATCCCATAAAATTTGTCAAAAAAATAAAAATAAATAAATAAATCCCATAAAATATAGTGTAATTTGCTTTCCTGTTAACTCTTAAGAATAACTAGAGGATATCCTGGGCTACGCCCGGGTTTATAGATTATAAATTTTTTTACTATTACATTTTCAGAAAAGTGGAATTATATTTATTTTTTCTTAAGGATTTAAAAATAGTTTTAGATCTATACAATTAACTATATAAGTTAATCGTTTACCTATAATATTTTATTTGTTTATATATTTTGAAGAATTTAGGAGGGGTTATTGGATGATAATATTGAAAAGAATGTAAAAGAATTGGAAAATAATAGATTTTGAAGTAATTTAAGGTATTTGTTGGGAATTAAACAAATTCTGTTAGTTTTAAGCGATGTATAGTTTTTTTTTTTTGTTTAAAGTTGGTTTCCCAAAGGCTTTCTAGGCCCAAGGACTAATCCAACATGGCCTTGCATCCGGTTACGCGTTATCCCATCGTTGGGCGCGGCTAGGTGGTCAAGGGGACTTGAACACGGATGGCGGTACTCACATCTGTAAGTCTATTACCACTGGGTCAAGGCCACTTGGTTGCGATATATAGTTTATATTATATTTTGGCTAATCTCTCATTATTTTACTATTAATTAATTTCACATAATTGATTATTTATATATGTTCATGTGTATTCTTTTTTTGCTTGAATCAAATTTTAATTTATTTATTTTAAAGAGGAAAATAATATTTTAACTTGTTAATTGATAAAAGGAAATGTAAATTGTCCGGTTTCTTTGGGGATGGATCCTTAAGAATTCACCTATCCCCCCTATAACGAAAAAACAGATTTGGATGATCCTCTATATTTTTTGTAAATATTGAAACCTACAAAGTTTCTAAACTATCAATGAACCATTTAAAATGGGGCAAATTACCAAAAGTTATGCGGTTTTGTTGCATTATCACGACACTTATTTTATTTATGCTATAATTTCTGCATCTTAAATAAAGGGAGTGTATAATAAAAAGAGACCACTTCCCAGACCGGTATAGGAATTTAAGCTGTTGACAAAAAAAAAAAAAAAAAAAAAAAAAGAGAATATATAAGGGAGTATTTTGTTAATAATGTATACATAGAAGTTCAATTTATACTTAAAATTAGTTAAACAAATTTTGATACCAATGAGCTAGTTTAATTTTGATATGTTTGTGTTTTTTTTTTTTTTTTCACTGAAGTTGGGTTTGTATTAAAAGCTCATATAGAGCATAGGTACACAAAGGTATCACAAAGAGAGTACACCAAGAAGACCAAAATCTCAAAACAGAGTTCGTAAAAAAAGATGGTAGAGCAACAATAGAGCTCATCCGAAACACCTGAAAGACAAACCAAAAGGATATAGGTATGTCATTTCCTTACTGTCCACGCAAAGGTTTTTCCTTCTCAAAAACTTCTGTCATCCATTGGGGTACACCTTGGGCAACATAAGACTGTAGCCTATTTTTCACAACCACACTTTTAGCAATTTCAGAGGCACCTAAATTTGACTTTGGTTCCTCGTAGCTGTTATGTTTGTGTTATGTGTACTCGTTTGGAAAAATGAGAAAGGAAAAACAGAAAACATTGGCATGTCGTTTAATTTAGTTCTCAAGACTTGGACGCTTCTCTTTCTTTTCTGGCAGCGGACTCGGAGACGTTTGGTCCCAAGTGTGATGTTGGTTTCCCAACCAAAGGTTCGAGTTTGCCTCCAATTCATCATCTGCCGTATCTCCAAGGATTGTATTGGTTTCCATGTTAGACGTCTTTCTCTTTTTGTCACTGAGTTCCGCTGCCGTAAGAAGGGCATGTGACTCCGAAGGATCAAGCTTCTCCAAATCAGCATCATCCGTAATGATACAGGAGACCGTGAAAGCCTGGCGAGAAGCAACGAAATTGTATCCCAAAGATGTTCATAAAGCAGAATTAGCATTAGTATGGGGAGAGGATCTGTAGTGAGAAACCTGATTAAGCCAACGTTGTTTGTCTTGTTGCAGGTTGTACAATACAATGAGGTTTAGACTTTCCCAATTTTCTGTTGCAGGCAGCGCTAGTGCAGGAGGTATTGACCAAGCACATCGAGGACAGTGGCGACGCAGTAGAAGCTAATATTCTCTAGCAGAGAACACAAAGTCAGTAGAAACAGAGACGTAGTTAAATTTAAATCCCAAAGTGTTTTTTAAAAAACAGGGGAGAGGTGTATTGCTAAGTACCAAGTCATGAATTGTGCAGGAGAAAATGAAACCGCAAGTAAATAAAAGTGGCGAATGAGAGAACTGAATGTTCTTGCTCTCTAATCTTAATGATTTCCAGCGACAGAAATGTGGCGAAACTCAAATGAGACAGATTAAGTACAAAAATGTTTCATCATGAGCTAAAACACACAAACAACATGACTGGACCAAGACGATAGTAATAAGTAAGGATTGAAGGCACCAGCCTGCACAAAACAGAGGTCTCAAAAGGGCATAACAGAACTTGCAAACAAAATCTGATCAAAGTTCACACTTTGCTTATACGTAAAATAAAAGGCCCTCAAATTATATTGCGACAAAATCAAATTCCGAGACCTTTTAAGATTGCTACTTCTATTGAATACCAACAGAATTCACACAACTTATGAGTTACCTGAATGACAATGAGTTATTCTGATGAAGAAACCTGGAAACCATAATCGAAAAAGAGATCGCAGAGGTGTAGAGAGAGGTAGAGGAGAAACCGAGAAGGTCGATGAAGGGTAACTATAAGCTTTTAAATTATAGAAGCAGAAGAGGCAGAAAAATACGTTTCAGAAATGAGAAGGGTAAGAGTCGCAAAAGGGGAAGAAGACACAGGTTCTCTCCGCTGAATTTTTAAGCTTTTATTTATTTTGGTTGAAATGCCACATGGTATTGTTAGGGAGAATCTCTGAGGTGCTATGAGAGACCCCAAACGTGTTTTAAATTAGTATAGATTAAAATTAGTATAGATTAAGAAGTAAAAAAATAAGCACTTTTTATGGTGAATAATTAAGAAGCGAGTTAAATGAATCTGATACAAATGTAAGGAAAACAGATATGGGGCCCACAGAGGAGCATATGTGCTTGTGTTGGGTTCACGTTTCACGCACTTACGGGATTCTCATTCCACCGACACTTACCGCATGCAGAGGAGACCTTTATGTGAAAATTTGTGATTTTTTCGTTTGTGTTTTCATTGTCCTGTTTCAATAATTTATAGTTTTTTTGTTCGTTTCTGTTAATTATATCATAGGATTTTTTTTTTCGAGATTTATCGGATAATCGATGGTAAACCGAAATGTTAAGCAAATATCGACCTTGTTAAATTTGACGAATCCGTCCATTTTGCTACTTTCGAATATTGTATAGAACTGTTTGTAATGTAAAGCTGATGAATGTTGTACCAAATTGTTTCAATGCGCCAATGCCAATTGCCAAATAGTTTGTTCAAAGAAGAACAAAAGTAGTTGATTTTCAACAGATATACTATAAATGCGTATCAACATTCAATGGAGATAAAAATCACTTGTTCTTCGCATATCACTTGTTGAGATCTGATTCATTTTCAGTTTGATATGTTCCAAACAAAAGTTTAGATATTCGAGATGTTAGGATCTTGATTTGAATAAAAAAGTTATGAATTCGTAATAATTTTACATGTTGTATTTACTTTATGCACAGACGTTTGTCTTTAGTTTGTAAAATATTTAATAGTTTATACAGTATTATTATTTTAAAAATAATATCTTATGTCGGTGTAAAGAAAAAGGAAAATGAGAGAGAAAGAAAATAGAATACAGCGTTGCCAAAAAAAAATAAAAAATAAATAAATAACAGAAAACTGAAATACCCAACCAGAAAACAAGTTGTTGATTATAATATTATATATTAGAGTCACTTTTCCTATAGTCCAGGAGACTTGATAGAAAAAGTGTTTTTTTGGTTTCGTAAAACTTTTCCCGCTAACTTAAACAACGGTTATCATAAAATATAAAAATATAAAAGTATGCACAATGCAAAAATACTTATGAAATGCTTAATATATATTTTATTATTAAAGTTCTTTTAAACACTTCTGTTAAGAGTTTTTTTTTAACTCTAATGGGAGATCCTATTGGGAGTTTCTAAAAAGTTTTTTTTTCTTTTTTAGTATAAGTTTTAATTTTATTTATGAATAAAACATAAAACACATTGTATTAAATAAAATTTGAAATACACCTGACATAAAAATGTTTTCAACATATATTTCGAAACTATAAACGAAAATGAACACTCAATGAAATTTTTGAATATCTCCAAATTTTTCACATATATATTCAATCAAATTATCTTTCGATTATTGATGTCTTTATGTAACACAAATTTATTTTGTTAAATAACTTCACTGTACAACTTATTTAGGTACATAATGTTAGTGTAAGACTAAGTTATAATCATAGCTAGCACAGTTTAACCAAAATATCATTAACTTTGTACCTTTTGGTAAGTGTAAGATGTGGTTGAACAAAGATCCTTTACATAGTTGATAAGATGAATTTCAACTTCCAATCCATTAGTATTGTTAAAAAATCACTATCTTCTTGACTCTAAAACAGATCATCTATAGTTCAAGACACAAGCTCGTCTTTAACCACTTGATAAATCCTATCTATTGACCTTTCAAGTTTTCCTTACAAGATCAAGCCTATAATTTGTTCAATGAACACTCGTATAAGAATGGTACGAGCTGAGTATAGAAAAATATAGTCAAACCCCAATTCCAGAGCCCATTTCCTTGTCATGGGCTAATTAGAAACGTAATTTTAATTTTATTTAATTACAAATTCCTAACAAATTGCGTTGATTATCTTCTAACAACACATCTGGTGAATAAAGTTTCCAAGCCAAAAGAAGTATCTTCAAATTGCGTTGATTACCTTCTAATAAAGTATCTTATTCATTCATGGTGACGCATCTTCTCTCCCGTTAAGGCCAAAAGAAGGCTTTTAAAGTTTTTTCTATAACGCACACTCTCAACTTCATCGTTTCCAAGAGAAAGAGACGAAATCGGACGGTGTGTTCGTATCGCTCTCAAGCTACCATGGAACCAGCTCTCTCTATCACTCTGATCTACTGGTAAAGTTTCCAACTTTTTTTATTTTTTTCTCTAAGATTTTGTATTGTTTGCTGTGAAACTGAAATGTCGTCTTCTACCTAACGGATTAGTCGTCCGCTCATGTCGCTACTCACCCAAATGAAATTACTTTCGGTGATCTCTCTCTAAAAAGTCCAGAAAAATGTGGATCTACTACTCATTTCAGATTCTTCTTTTTAATCGGTGATCGCTTCGTTTAAAAACAAAAAAAAAATCATCTCTTGGTGTCTCTTATCTTTTTTTTTGCAGTTAAAAATCGAAACTTTCTCACATTCCGGCGGAGAATCAAACGATTCCGGTGAAAGAAGAGTGAAGAGTCAAAAGAGAAGAATCAAAAAAATGGAGAAACAACAAGGGAGAGAAGAAAGCAGCAACCTTGGACCTCCATTATTGATTCCTCAGACACCTGTGAAGCCAATTTCTCCGATCTGTCCATATACACCGGAAGAACAATCTTATTGGAATCAGGCTGATGATTGGTAAGTCTCTGTGGGGTTTGGTTTGTCCTAAATTTGGAAAATTTCGGAAGAAATGTTGCTAATTGAAGTGATGCATGCAGGAGTTTCGTTGACATGAACGGTCTTGACCACTTGTCTTTTGGTGATTTACTGGCTCTAGCCAACACTGCTTCTTCATATTTGGTCTCACCTCAGACTACTTTGCCTGATAATGCATCCTCAGCTGCAACCGAAACGAGTAAAAAGCTTACCTTTTGATTCTGGTTTTTGATTAGAGATGATGAGACTGACTTGTTGAAATTTTGAAAGAATCATTTACTGAGAGAAATCTGTGGGTTTGGTTTTCAGTTGTAGGGAAAGTGGTTTGTGGAGAGAAAGGTGATGAAGCAGTAGTGGAGAGTCTGAGCTCAGTGAGTAACAACAATGTTGCTGAACATATCAAGACTCCGGAGAAGCCAAAGAGGAAGAAGCATAGGCCTAAAGTTGTTAGAGAAGCTAAACCGAAGACGGAAACCAAACCGAAAACTCCTAGGAAGCCTGTGGTTAAAGATCAAGAAAGCAAAACGCCTAGAAGGAAATATGTGCGGAAGAAGCAAGAAGTTAACAAGGATCAAGAACCAGCAGCTGTAGAAGCTCCGACTCGTGCCAAGAAGCTTTGCAGACGAGCCTTGGATTTCGAAGATGAGAGTTCCAAACCAGAAAACAAGTCGAGTCTCAGCGGTACTAAGCACGCAGATGAGAAGGAATCAGCTTGCGTAGAAAAGCTGTCGGATTCTGGAGATCAAGAATCTGATGATTGCTTTATTATTCCAGCGCCTAGCACGCGGCTCAGCCAACGTAAAAGAAAAGAGAATGGCGGTGGAGTTGGTAGTTTCATGGCACAAGCTGCAAAGAGAAGACAAGCTCCAAAGGAACCAACTCACTACGAGCATTGTGACAACCAGAACCCGCATTGGTTGGATTTCACAAAACTGATGAGATCTGACACCTTTTGTAGCACAGAGGAGACTTCTGCCTTTGACTCAAGTTGCTACAGTTTCACATCTCAGTCCAAAGCTAATAGAGTTTTGACCTTTGAAGAAACCAAGCTTCTCTCCGATAAGAGAGACTTGCCAACAAAGAAGAAAACCAGGAATCTGTCAGCTATAGATAAAGAAATGGAAGTCACTGAGAAGTTACAAGGAGGACGTTGTAGCAGACCGCAGAACAACAGTAACGCTCTTGTTGAGACGAGGGTGACATCGACATCAAGCAAGAAGAAGCGAGCCATTAAGCAAAATACTGTTCTCCTGAATCTTTCTCAGCATCCACCTTCGTTTGCTGGTAACAAACACATACACAGCTCTGGTTTTCTTTATTTCTTGAATTAAGTTAATGAATGCTTGACTGTTTCTTGATGTTGTTGATGTTCTTTTATTCAGCAGGTCTTACTCCGGATGAGCTTTGGAGTCAAGTTTACTCGGTTGAAGCAATCAGTCAGCAGTTGCGTTCATTAGACATCAACAGGGAGAATTCAGGGAATGCTCTTGTTCCTTATTGCCCAGGAAACCAAATTACACTCTTCAACAGTGGCGCTGGAGCAATTGTGCCTGCAACTCCTGTTAAAAAACGACGTCCACGAGCAAAGGTTGACCTTGACGATGAGACCGACAGAGTTTGGAAGCTTCTGATGGATAATATTGACAGTCAGGGAGTTGATGGGACGGATGATCAGAAAGCGAAGTTTTGGGAACAGGAACGCGATGTCTTCCGAGGAAGAGCAAACACTTTCATTTCAAGAATGCATCTGGTTCAAGGTACACACACTTTTTTTTTTTACTTTATGTAAATGTTCGATCTTTCTTAGTTTTATGACTCGTTTGTTATGCTTTTGGTTTTCTAACAGGCGATAGACGATTTACACCTTGGAAAGGGTCAGTTGTCGATTCTGTCGTTGGTGTCTTCCTGACGCAGAACGTGTCTGACCACTTGTCCAGGTATAAGCTCTTTCAGAAACTAAATACAAAGGCATCAACAAGTAGCAAAAATTAACTCTGTCTCTAACTTTTTTTATGTTCTCTGTAGTTCTGCCTTCATGTCAATTGTGGCAAAGTATCCTGCTCAATCAGTACCGACCAGAAACCCTGACGTAGGAACAAGCTCGTTCCAAATAACCTTCTTGGACTCAGAGGAACCGATGTCAAATCCCCCTGTTACTTTAAACAACATACCGCCTGATGAGGAGAAGGATTATCTAGACAGTGATGAATCCTCTAGAGGCAGTAGTGAGATAAGCGTTGAAGATTCTGCACTTACATGTCTGGATTCGTTGGTTTTTGATGATCCTCAAAATACAGAGAGAGCAGGATCGAGCTCAGAGATCAGCTCAAAAGGAGAGCATTATGGGTCTTTTGTGAAGCTCCTACAGGGTTTAGGGTCTGCTCAGCTGAAAGGCAAAGGAAGAGACGTTGTGAAAGAGTCTAATCTGAAGAATCAGTATCAAGAAGTTTGGGTTTCAAGCAATCCCGGAAGCTTACAAATATCACCAAAGGCGTCTCCTGGGGATTGTAGCTCAGAAGTTCAAGATTTCATACATCTGAAAAGGCAGACAAGGTCTTGTGATGACAGTAATGGGCCATGCTGTTGCTTTGGGGATGTTTTGAGTTGTCAGAAACCTGAATGCTCTAGCAGCGTTCCTTCCACAAAACGCAAAGAAGTGACTTTGATTCCTGATCTTAATGAAATCTTTCTTGATGTCCAAGAAGGCGCAGAGAAACCACCAGGTCCTGACTCAAGGCAGCATCGAGGCTCGTTGGGCAAAGAGCAAGATCCTAAGGACGATTCTACCTCAAAAGCAAAAGCCAAAGGGAAAAATGTTAAGGAAGAAACAGAGGGGTTTGATTGGGATAGTCTGAGAAGAGAAGCACAAGCTACCAAAGGCAAAAGAGAGAAAACAGAAAGGACAATGGACTCGGTGGATTGGGAGTCAATAAGAAGAGCACATGTTAGTGAAGTTGCTGAGACAATCAAGAGTCGAGGGATGAATCACATGCTTGCAGAACGTATACAGGTACACTTTTGTCATTATATGCGGCCAAATTTTGTTGATAACCTCCATTCTAAGTATTATTTGAATCTGAAGTGAACATGAAATTAATGCAGGCCTTTCTTAACCGACTGGTCACAGACCACGGTAGTATGGACCTAGAATGGTTGAGAGATGTCCCACCAGACAAGGCAAAGTAAGTTTGAAAGAAAGGTGTTTCATTTCTTGTCAATGATTCAATAATGCATTGCGTATTTCTCATATGTTAAACAATCATGCAGAGAATACCTTATGAGCTTTAGAGGATTAGGCCTTAAAAGTGTGGAGTGTGTGCGGCTTCTAACGCTGCATCATCTTGCCTTTCCGGTAAGCTTGGATCATCTTTTTTTTCTTTTTCTTGTTCCTGTTAAGTGAACAGTATGATGTATGAACGTAAGGTTAAACTTATTAACAGGTTGATACTAACGTGGGGAGAATTGCCGTTAGACTAGGATGGGTACCGCTCCAGCCGCTCCCGGAGTCACTTCAGTTGCATCTTTTGGAAATGTAAGCACTCTACACAAGATGGTCCTGAACTGGAAATTTTATATAATTTCTGATACATGTTGGGTTTTGTTTATCTAGGTATCCTGTTCTTGAGTCCATACAAAAGTACTTGTGGCCGCGTCTCTGTAAGCTCGACCAAAAGACACTGTAAGATCTCTCATCATGTTTATTATTAACTTCTCCATTTTTCATACCTATATCTAATACAGCCATTCATGAGTTTAAGTAATGCATTATTATTTTACAGGTACGAACTGCATTACCAATTGATAACCTTCGGAAAGGTATGGATAACATGATATACACACATCTATGTATGCATAAAAAAGCAAGATTCATGATAGGTTTGTAATCTAGTTAACTATTTGTGGTTCAGGTGTTTTGTACAAAGAGCAAACCTAACTGCAATGCATGCCCAATGAGAGCAGAATGCAGACACTTTGCCAGTGCATTTGCAAGGTACTACAACATGTTCCCTTTTGACGAAGAGTAGCTCTGAATTGGTACTGAGAATTATCTAACGTTTGCTTCTTATCTCCAGTGCAAGGCTTTCTTTACCCGGTACAGAGAAAGGTAGTGGGACACCTGAAAAATATCCTTTGCCTCTGCACCTGCCAGAGCCATTGCAGAGAGAGGAAGGGTCAGAAGTAGTGAGACACTCGGAATCAGCAAACAGGGCAACATGTTATGAACCCATAGTCGAAGAGCCGGCATCACCGGAGCTAGAATGCGCACAAGTATCAATGGCTGACATAGAAGATGCATTCTATGAAGATCCTGAAGAAATCCCAACTATTCAGCTAAACATGGATGACTTCACTAGCAACTTGAAGAAGATAATGGAGCACAACAAGGAGCTACAAGATGGAAATGTGTCCAACGCCCTAGTTGCACTTACCGCGGAAGCTGCTTCCATCCCAATGCCTAAGCTGAAGAATATCAGCCAGCTTAGGACAGAACACCGAGTGTACGTATTCATTTTCCTCTGTTATCCATTTTCCTGTGTTATTCGTAGTGTGCTAGGTTGAAATGAGAGAAGAAATACATTCTTCCATATATTAAAACTTGGATACAGTATATGATTAATTGGTAGAAGACAATTAAGTTGGGAAGAAGACAAACTTCCTAATATGATTAAGTTGGGAAGAAGACAAACTTCCTAATAGTTACAAGATTTTCCACTAAGAAAAGCTAAGATAGTAACAATATCGTTCAACTAGACTTATTTAACACTGATTATGTTTTTTGATTATTTTTGCAGCTACGAACTTCCAGATTCACATCCTCTTCTAGCTGGGGTATGTCAAATAACTTGAATAAGAACACATGATGCATATAGCTGTCAATATTCAAAACTTAAAGTTGTTTCTGTTTGTTATGGCAGATGGAGAGGAGAGAACATGACGATCCATGTTCTTATCTGCTTGCAATTTGGACACCAGGTGATCTAGTAGGAATTATTAAAATGATTTGCATATCTATAAACCATATTTAGTCAGATCAGTTAATAATAAAAACGTTTCTTATATATGTAGGTGAGACGGTTGATTCAATTCAACCAGCTGTCAGCAAATGCCTTTCCCAAGGGAATGGTAAGCTGTGTGATGAGGAGACTTGCTTCTCCTGCAACAGCATTAAAGAATCAAGATCACAGACTGTGAGAGGAACAATCTTGGTAAGAAATTGCATCCAAAACTCACGTATTGTATCTAAAACTCACTTGTTGCTAAAATTCAAATCATATGCTGTCAATTCATGCAGATACCGTGTAGAACCGCACTGAGAGGTAGCTTCCCACTCAATGGGACGTATTTCCAAGTGAATGAGGTCACACTTCAACTCCAATTGTTTCATTTATTTTATTTGCAATGGGACTTTTGTAATGTATTCTATATGTGTATAGGTGTTTGCGGATCATGCTTCTAGCTTGACCCCAATTGATGTTCCAAGGCAATGGGTGTGGGACCTACATAGAAGAACAGTCTACTTTGGTACATCCATACCAACCATATTCAAAGGTATATATACAATCTTCACCACGATATTCAAAAGTACAATATATATGATCTTTCATTTATTCAAACTTTTTTTAACTAGTTAAGCTATTTCTTTTTTCAGGTTTACCAACAGAGACTATCCAACAATGCTTCTGGAGAGGTAATGACATCTACATTTTGTTTAAGCTATAGCAACATTTTCCTTTTCTTTGATTTAAGTTCAAACAGACAAGAATTATCTAGAAAGCAAACCGGTTAAAGCTCAACATGTAGTTTAGATATTTTACTATTCATTTCTCTGTTTTCCCATAAATTTGATTGTTGAACTTTTTTAGGGTATGTCTGCGTACGAGGTTTTGACAGGAAGACGAGAGGACCGAAGCCACTGATCGCCAGACTCCACTTCCCTGCAAGCAGATTGAAGTCACAAGTTAACAGTAGCTGAGTCTTTTTTATGTTTTAATGTTAAGATATATGTCTTCTTCCTTAGCATTTTTCAGATTCTAAAACCAATTACAAGTTAATTCGTTTAGTTTCCATACCATTTGCAATGTTATTTTCGGTTCAGTTTTGATTACTTGTTTACCTGATCGAAAATTCGGTTCGAATATACAATTGATCTCTTTTATCGGCCTGGTTAAAATTAGATGATTAAACCGGACCATATGCGTTACACACTTCCGTTACAATACAGCTCAACTATCTAGATAACAGGCTACTTAATGGGCTAATATTCTTGGTACCACCAATTATGATCTTAGCCGCTTTTGTCTCTTCTCTTTAAATTAGGCGTTGCTTGTTTCCTAAACATTTTAATTATGTATTTTCATTTCCATGCAACATACGTTAGTTACGTGTATAGGTCGGGTTGACCCCTTCTTACATATTATAAAGTTTTCACTAATATTAAGAAATAACTAATGCATAGCTTTAAATGCATTTTTATTCTTTCATTAACAACTTTATCATTAATGCGAACCAAGAACAACTCAACAATGTTTTTACATTTATTAATAAAAAATTTAAAAAAATCAAGTTTTATGAAACAATTTTTTTTCTAAAACATCAAATTTTCTGAAATGGAGTAAGTATAACACAGTAATATATAAAAATAATACTCCCTCTGCTTTATAATATAGATTAAGAAGCCATTTAATTTTAATACTTTTTGAAATAAAATATGTTTTATCATCAGTTCCAAAAATATTTCAACCAATGAAAACTAAATCTGCAGAATATAAATAATCAAAAGTAACAAAAACATATTTAATTTTGCATAGACACTTTAAAACCCTTAAATAAGATAGATTGGTGGACAAATAGTCTAATACTCCCTCCGTTTTTTTAAAATGAATTTTCTAGAGTTTTCACACATATTAAGGAAAAGCTGATTTTCAATCATTAATGCATATATTTTTGCAATAAAACAACTTTTTATAATTTTCAACCAATAAAAGTCCAACAAATACAATTAATATTTCTTGAGAACTGAAAAAGTGCATCAAGAAACAATAAATAATGTTTAGAAAATTCATCTTAAAAAAAACGGAGGGAGTAGTCAACAGACTCAACACCCTATAACCTATTCCTAAATAAGTGAAAAATCATAGTTCTATAAATAATGTCCACGGTCACTTTTAAACATTTTCATTGGTTGAGAATTTTTTATAGGTATTTCAACAATATAATAATTTTTTTTTGTCAATAAAATTGATTTCTAAAATAGTTTCAGAATTTAAAACTACTTTTTAAACATTTATTTTTAAACTAGTTTCAGAATCCAAAACTACTTTATTTTAAAAATAATTTTACTGTATAAACTATTTTAGAAAGGGGAAATTTTTATAGGTGTATTTCAAATGTGTTTTGCTTTATGCACATTTATCTTATTTTTTTAAGTGAAATTTTAAGAAATACGTTTTTTTGGTTGTTTATTTTTAAAACTACACATTTATGGTGTTAGTTTTCAAAATTTAACACATATTTTTATAATCATTAATCCTAGACTAGGTTTAGATTTTAGGGTTTAGATTTTCGATTTAGAGTTTAAAATTTAATTTTATGTTTTGAAGTTTATATTTTAAAGTTCAATGTTATTTTCTTATATAAAATATAAAATAAAAATAGTTTTAAAAATTAACATAAAAGTGTAATTTTGAAAATTGACATTTCATAATATACTCACTCTGTTTTATAATAAGTGTTATTTAAACAAAATGAAAATTCAATGTATGTGGATATATCTGAACAAAATAACACTTATTATTGTTCAGATACATCCAGTTATTGTCTATATACATTTTGTTTAAATGATACTTATTATGAAACGGAAATAGTATATTTTTAAAATTTTCCTTGTAAAAAGTACTTTACAGTTTGCACAAAATACTTTATAGTTTATACAGTAAAATTATTTCTAGAATAATATCTTATGTAGGTGTAGAGAAAAAGAAAAAAATGAAAAAAAAAAAGGATAATAGAGAAAAACGAAAGAACCAGCATAGAACAAGTTAATGATTAAATTATTAGTTTATATATAGAGTCACTTTTCCTATAGTCAAGAGACATGATAGAGAAAATGTTTTTTTTTTTTTTTTTAAATTTCGTAAAACTTTTCCCGTTAACAAAACGAAACGTTCGCGCTTATAAACAACGACTATCATCATAAGATATAAAAACAGAACAACACATGTTCTCTCGTTCTTTTATACGTTAAGGCCAAAAAGGCGTTAAAGCTTTTACTAACTCACACTCAACTTCATCGTTTCCAAGAGAAAGAGACGAAAGCAAACGGTGTGATCTTATCCTCTCAAGCTACCATCGAACCAACTCTCTCTATCACTTTGATCTTCTGGTAATTTTTCTTAAATTTTATTTTTTTCTCTTAGATTTTTGTATTGTTTGATGTGAAACTGAAAAGTCGTCTTCTACCTAACCGATTAGTCGTCCGTTCATGTCGCTACTCACCCAAATCAAATAACTCGCGGAGATCTCTCTAATAATTCCAGAAAAAAGTGGATCTACTCATTTCAGATTCTTATTCACGTTTTCTTTTTAATTGGTGATCACTTCATTGAAAAAAAAGAAAAAAATCATCTGTTGGCGTCTCTTATCTGTTTTGCAGGTAAAAATAGTAACTTTCAAGTTTTTTAATCTCAAATTCCGGCGGAGAATCAAACGATTCCGGTGAAAGGAGAGTGAAGAGTCAAAAAGAAGAAACAAACAAAAATGGAGAAACAAGGGAGAGAAGAAAGCAGCAACATTCGAGCTCCATTGATTCCTCAGAGACCAATCGCTCCGATCTGTCCATATACAGCGCAAGAACAATATAATTGGAATCAGGCTGATGAATGGTAAGTCTCTGTGTGTTTGTTTTGTCCTGAATTTTGATAAATTTCCAAAAGAAAAAGTTGCTAAAGGAAGTGTTGCATGCAGGAGTTTCTTTGGGAACAGAGACATAAACAGTCTTGACCACTTGTCTTTTGGTGATTTACTGTCTTTAGCCAACTCTGCTTCTTCATATTTTTCCTCACGTCAGAGTCACACTTCTTGCGCTAATGCCTCATCAGCTGGAACCGAAACGAGTAAGAAGCTTCTCTTTGGTTCTGGTTCTTGATTAGAGATGAGACTGATTTGTTGAATTTTGAAGAAATCTGTCGGTTTGATTTTCAATTGTAGGGAAAGTGGTTTGTGGAGAGAAAGGTAATGAAGCAGTGGCAGAGAGTCTGAGCTCAGTGAGTAACAACAATGTTGCTGAACATATCAAGACTCCGGAGAAGCCAAAGAGGAAGAAGCATAGGCCAAAAGTTGTTAAAGAAGCTAAACCGAAGACGGAAACCAAACCGAGGAAGCCTCCGGTTAAAGATCAAGAAAGCAAAACGCCTAGAAGGAAATATGTGCGGAAGAAGCAAGAAGTTAACAAGGATCAAGAATCTACGCCGGTTCAAGAATCAGCAGCTGTAGAGGCTGCAATTCACGCCAAGAAGCTTTGTAGACGAGCCTTGGATTTTGAAGATGAGAGTTCCAAACCAGAAAACGCAGAAAACAAGTCGAAGGAATCAGCTTGCGTAGAGAAGCAGTCGGATTCTGGAAATCAAGAATCAGATGATTGCTTTATTATTCCAGCGCCTAGCACTCCTACGAGAAAGCTCAGCCAGCGTAAAAGAAAAGGAAAAGAAAATGGCGGTAAGGAGGAAGAAGTTGGTATTTACACGGCACAAGCTCCAAAGAGAAGACAGGCTCCAAAGGAACCAACTCACTATGACAATCAAAGAGAGAACACGCATTGGTTGGATTTCGCAACACTGATGAGATGTGATACCATTTGTAGCACATCATATGATGCACAAGAGGATGCTTCTGCCTTTGTCTCCAGTGTCCTAACCTTTCAAGAAACCAATAAGAGAGACATGCCAATAAAGAAGAAAACAGGCCATGCTCGATACCGGAATCTTTCAGCTATTAATAAAGAAATGGAAGTCTCTGACCAGTTACAAGCAGGAGGTTTTACTAAACCACAGAATAACCATATCACTCTTGTTGAGAAGCTGGTGACCTCGAGCAAGAAGAAGCAAGCCACCAAGTCTGTGAAATCGAAAACTAAGCAGATTTCTGTTCTCCCAAATCTCCTCCAGTTTCCTCCTTCACTTACTGGTAACAAATACATACAGAGCTTCAGTTTTCTTTATATTCTTAAATAAGTTCTTGATGGCCGACTGTTCCTTGATGTTGTTGATGTTCTTTTTTCCAGCAAATGTATCTCCAGATGAGCTTTGGAATCAAGTTTACTCGGTTGAAGCAATTAGTCAGCAGTTGCGTTTATTAGACATCAACAGAGAGAATTCAGGAAGTGCTCTTGTTCCTTATTACCCGGGAAGCCAGATTATAGTCTTCAACAGTGGCGCTGGAGCAATTGTGCCTGCAACTCCTGTTAAAAAGCGGCGTCCACGAGCAAAAGTTGAACTAGACAACGAGACAGACAGAGTTTGGAAACTTTTGATGGATAACATTGACAGTGAGGGTGTTGACGGATCAGATGAACAGAAGGCTAAATTTTGGGAAGAAGAGCGAAATGTTTTCCGAGGAAGAGCAAACACTTTTATCTCACGGATGCACCTTGTTCAAGGTAAATACACTACACACTTTTTTACATATGTAAGTGTTCGATCTTTCTTAGTTATATGACTTGTTGTTATGCTGTTCGGTTTTCTAACAGGTGATAGACGTTTTACACCTTGGAAGGGTTCTGTTGTCGATTCTGTCGTTGGCGTGTTCCTCACGCAAAACGTGTCTGACCACTTGTCGAGGTATAAGCTCTTTCAGAAACTAAATACAAAGACATACAGCTAAGTAGCAAAACTAATTTGTTTGTATTTTTTGTATGTTTTCTGTAGCTCTGCGTTTATGTCACTTGTTGCAAAGTATCCTGCTCCATCAGTACCTAGCAAAAAACCTGAAGTAGGAACAAGCTCGGTCCAAATAACCTGCTTGGACTCAGAAGAACCGATCTCAAACCCTTCTGTTACTGTAAACATCACACAGCCTGATGAGTATGTAAACAGCAGCGATGAAACCTCTAGAGGCAGTAATGAGATTGCCAGCTCGGTTCAATATTCAGTTGACAGAATGTCGGATTCAAATAAGAAAGGCTCAAGCGTTGAAGCTGAAAACATAGATCATACATGCATTGTCCAAGACCTGTTTCCGTCTGAAGATTCTGTACTTACATGTCAGGATTCGTTGGTTTCTGACGCTCCTCAAAATACAGAGAGAGCAGGATCGAGCTCAGAAATAAACTCAAAAGGAGAGCATTATGGCTCTTTTGCGAAGCTCCTACAGGGGTTAGGGTCTGCTCAGCTAAAAGGCAAAGGAAGAGACGTTGTGAAAGTTGATACAGTCTCTGCTGTAGAAGAGTCTAATCTGAAGAATCAATATCAACAAGTTGGTGCTTCAAGCAATCCCGGAAGCTTACAAGTATCACCAAAGGCGTCTCCGGGGGATTGTAGCTCAGAAGTTCAAGATTTCATACCACTGAAAAGGCAGACAATATCTTCTGATGACAGTAGTAATGAGCCATGTTGTTGCTTTGGGGATGTTTTGAGTTGTCAGAAACCTGAAAGCTCTAGCAGCGTTCCTTGCACAAAACGCAAAGAAGTGCTCGTCACAGAGACTTTGATTCCAGATATTAATGAAAGCACGAGCTTTCTTGATGTCCAAGAAGGCGCGGGAAAACCACCACCAGGTCCTGACTCTAGGCAGCATCGAGACTCATCATGCAAAGAGCAACAGCCGAAGGACGATGCTACCTCAAAAGCAAAAGCAAAAGGGAAAAATGTTGTAAAGGAGAAAACAGAGGAGTTTGATTGGGATAGTCTAAGGAGAGAAGCACAAGCTAGAGTAGGAAAAAGAGAGAAAACAGAAAGGACAATGGACTCGGTGGATTGGGAGGCAATAAGAAGAGCACATGTTAGTGAAGTTGCTGAGACAATCAAGAGTCGAGGGATGAATCACAAGCTCGCGGAACGTATACAAGCCTTTCTTAACCGACTAGTCACAGACCACGGAAGTATCGACCTTGAATGGTTGAGAGACGTCCCACCAGACAAAGCAAAGTAAGTTTGAAAGAAAAATGTTTTCTTTCTTGTGAAAGTTACTTAAGGCGTCAATGATTCATTACAGCATTGCGTGTTTTTCACGTTATTATACAATTATGCAGAGAATATCTTATGAGCTTAGAGGATTAGGTCTTAAAAGTTTTCTTTCTTGTAAAAGTTACTTAAAGCGTCAATGATTCATTACAGCATTGCGTGTTTCTCACGTTATCATACAATCATGCAGAGAATATCTTATGAGCTTTAGAGGATTGGGTCTTAAAAGTGTGGAGTGTGTGCGGCTTCTAACGCTTCACCATCTTGCCTTTCCGGTAAGCCTTGATCACCATTTTTTTGGCCTGTCTCATGTAAAGTGAGCTATATGATGTATGAACTTATTTACAGGTTGATACAAATGTCGGGCGAATAGCCGTTAGGCTAGGTTGGGTACCGCTCCAGCCGCTCCCGGAGTCGCTTCAGCTGCATCTTTTAGAAATGTAAGCACTCTACACAATATGGTCCTGAATTGAAGATTTTATATAATTTCTGATAAACCTTGGGTTTTGTTTATCTAGGTATCCTCTTCTTGAGTCTATTCAAAAGTACTTGTGGCCGCGTCTCTGTAAGCTCGACCAGAAAACCTTGTAAGACCTTTTATTAACCTCTCCATTTTCCATATCTAATACGGCCATTTGTGAGTTTAATTATTGCCTTAAATATCTCATAGGTATGAGTTGCATTACCAAATGATTACCTTCGGAAAGGTATGTATAAACGTTTTACACATGCAAAAACCAGTAGGACTTGATAGGTTTTAATCTTGCTAACTATTTGTTGCAGGTGTTTTGCACAAAAAGCAAACCTAACTGCAATGCATGCCCCATGAGAGCAGAATGCAGACACTTTGCCAGTGCATTTGCAAGGTACAACAACATGTTCCCTTCAATCATTAGTATCATTCAAAAATATCTCTGAATTGGTAGAGAGAATATTCTAACCTTTGCTTGTTTTACAGTGCAAGACTTTCTTTACCCGGTACAGAGAAAGGTAGTGGGACACCTGATAAAGATCCTTTGCCTCTGCACCTGCCAGAGCCGTTGCAGAGAGAGCAAGGGTCAGAAGTAGTGAAACACTCAGAAGAAGCAAACAGGCCAACATGTTTTGAACCGATCATTGAAGAGCCAGCATCACCGGAGCCAGAATACGCACAAGTATCAATGGCTGACATAGAACATGCATTCTATGAGGATCCTGAAGAAATCCCTACAATACAGCTAAACCTGGATGAATTCACAAGTAACATAAAGAAAATAATGGAGCTACAAGATGGAAACATTTCCAACGCTCTAGTTGCACTTACTGCTGAAGCTGCTTCAATTCCAATGCCTAAGCTCAAGAATATCAGCCAGCTTAGGACAGAACACCGAGTGTAAGTAACCATTTTTCTTTCATATTAACAATTTCGTTCAACTTGACTTATTTAACAGCTTGATTCTGTTTTTTGTCTTTTTTGGGTATTTTTGCAGCTATGAACTTCCAGATTCCCACCCTCTTCTAGCTGGGGTATGTCAGATAACTAGAATAAGAACACATGATGTAGTGCTGTAATTGAAACTTAAGTAGCTCTTTCTGTTTGTTATGGCAGTTGGAGAGGAGAGAACATGACGATCCATGTTCTTATTTGCTTGCTATTTGGACACCAGGTGATCTAGTAGGAAATATTAAAATGATCTTCATATCTATAAATCATTTAGTAAGATAAATTAATAACTAAAATAAAACGTTTCTTTAATCATTGTGATTTAAAAATAGGTGAGACGGTTGATTCAATTCAACCAGCTGTTAGCAAATGCCTTTCCCAAGCGAATGGTAAGCTGTGTGATGAGGAGACTTGTTTCTCATGCAATAGCGTTAAAGAAGCAAGATCACAGACTGTGAGAGGAACAATCTTGGTAAGAAATTGCATCTAAAACAACTTACTTGTCCCATAACTACAACACTACATAATGTATCTACAAATTTTGCTTTCTTGCAAATAATATGTTGTCATTTCACGCAGATACCTTGTAGAACCGCAATGAGAGGTAGCTTCCCACTCAATGGGACATATTTCCAAGTGAATGAAGTAACACATCAACTCCAATATTCTCCAATTGTTTCACTTATTTTATTTGCAATGAAACTTCTAATGTATTCTACTAATATATATAGGTGTTTGCGGATCACGCTTCTAGCCTGGTCCCAATTGATGTTCCAAGGGAATGGGTATGGGACCTACATAGAAGAACTGTTTATTTTGGTACATCTATACCAACGATTTTCAAAGGTATATATATGATCTTCACCATGATTAGATTCCGATGCCCTTTGTGCACATAACAAAAAAATTTCTAACTAGTTAAGCTTCTTTTTTTCAGGTTTACCAACAGAAACGATCCAACAATGCTTCTGGAGAGGTAATGCCATTACGTTTTGCAACATATTTTCTTTTATCGACAAGAATTATCAAGAAAGCAAACTGGTTAATGCTCAAAATGTAGTTTACATATTTTACTATTCCTTTCTCTGTTTTTTGGGGCAGCAAATGATAAACTTTTGTCACAAGTTCATAGATTGATGTTCTCACTTGAGTTCCAAGCATTAGATTTCTTGTTGAAATTTTGTAGGTTATGTATGTGTAAGGGGTTTCGATAGAAAGACGAGAGGACCAAAGCCTTTGATTGCGAGATTGCACTTCCCTGCCAGCAAAATGAAGACACAAGCTAACCAGCCTAGTCATGGTGTTGCATAGGTTATCCAATAAACACGTCATGTGGTTTAGAGAGAGCAGAGAGTATCATTAGGCCAATGTAACATAAAGCTAACAGTAGAGTTGTGTGAGGTTTTAAATTGGATTCATCTTTGTTTGTATTAAGCACAAGAAGCATTTTACAGTAGCTGAATCTGTCTTCTTCTTTTGCATTTTAGTATTTTACCAATTACAAGTTAACTCGTTTAGTGTTAATTCCATTTGTAGTGTTACTTGTTTACCTGATCAAAATTCGGTTCGATATACAATTGATTTCTTTTATCGGCCTGGTTTAGAGTCAGATGATTAAACCGGACCATATTCGTTACACACTTCCGTTAACCAACGTTCAAATCTCCGTCACACAGTTCCGTTACATTACAGACCGATCAACTAGCTAGATAATGGGCTACTAAATGGGCCTAATATATTCTTGGTAACAGCAATTATGATCTTAGCTTTGCTTTTTTTTGTCTCTCCTCTTTAAAATCCCCAATTCTCAACCCTAATTGATCGGAGTTTGTCCAAATCTCTGCCATTTTTGCTGAACTCGAAGCATTCCTATCTTCTCCGTTTTCTTCGTAGACTCGCGTCATGCATCTCAGTTGTAGATTGTAACTAGGCTTCTCTATTCGTTTTGTAATTTCAAAAGATACTGATTGCTGCAATGCTCTGGCTCCTCGATAACCAGGATTTGCTGTTATCGCAATCGAATTTTTGCCGATTAGATTTAGTTTAGGGCACAATTGTGCTGTATAGTTCTTAGAATGGAGAATTCGCGTAGACCGTTTGATAGATCCAGAGATCCAGGGCCGATGAAGAAACCAAGGCTCAGTGACGAATCAATCCGGCCTGTGAATTCTAACGCCCGGCAGTTTTCGTCGCAGAGGACGCCGGGAGCAACAACGGCGGCGGTGGCAGTACCATCGGCGTTGTCGAGATTTCGAGCTGGTGGCAGAGAAACGGATAGTAATATCGCCGTGAGTGATCCGAGCCGGGAGGCTTATCAGCCACAGCCGGTTCATCCGCATTACGAGCTCGTGAATCAGTACAAGTCGGCACTATCGGAGCTCACTTTCAACTCGAAGCCAATAATAACGAACCTCACGATAATCGCCGGAGAGAATGTCCATGCTGCGAAGGCCGTCGTATCCACCATTTGCAACAACATCCTCGAGGTGAACACCCAGCTTTCATGCCCATTGTTATAGTTCTTATACTCTCTTTGCTCCGTTTTTTGTTTGAGTAATTGTACAAATATAAAGGAAATAAGGTGGTTGGTTGGGATTGTGATCTATATACGAGGTTCAATGAGAAATTCAAAGTTTTGAAAGCAACCTCTAGTGTTTTTTTATATTCCTTCATCAAAGCCGCTAATGATTCTTGTTAAACAAAGTCTTATGCCATATTGTGGATTTCATTCTGCGAAAAATTTGTCACTTGAACACGCATTTATTATATTTCCCGACACTATGATGTAGGCTATCTTAAATGAGCTGTTGCCCATGCAACTTTTGTCCATGTTCTGCTTTTTTATTTTATTTTATGAATGCATGCTTCAGCTCCTCCTGTCAGTGTACTGAGTTTTGCTTATAAGAGTGTGTAGTCTCTTTGACAGCGTTGTAGTTGCTCTCAGATGTATTTCACTTTTACCATTTGGTGAGCTTGCTCTTTATAAGCTCTGTTTTTAGTGAGATTGGATATTATGTTAGTTGGCTTCTGCTTTCCGGATGCTCTCCAGAAAGCCAACACGACTTTTATTCGTATTTGGGTAGCAGAGAAGCATCTAACAATGGATCCTGTTCAATCGAGTTGGTGGGAAGACAAGGATTACTATCTCACCTTTTCTCACTTCAGCTAAGAGATTGACATTTTGGGCATGTGGATTTCATCAACGTTGTTAATGGGTCTCTGTGTCTATCATTGAATTCCTAGTTTTCAGGATATGTGTTAGTAGTAACTTGAGTGTCATCATGTTTTTACTTTAAATTCAAGTTAAACATAAGTTATTGTCTTTTAGGGACTCCTCAAGTGTAGAAACCCTCGATGTTACTCTTTATGAGATGAAATTGGCCTTTTTCTGGGTATCTGATTTGAAGAATATTATGCAGGTACCAAGTGATCAGAAGTTGCCAACGCTGTACCTGTTGGACAGCATTGTCAAGAACATTGGAAGGGATTACATTAAGTACTTTGCTGCCAGGCTGCCTGAGGTCTGGTGTTTTGTTGATAGTCATTGTTATGTATATAAATTTGTTTTCCTAGCAACTTCATCTCTGATGTCCCTCTCTTTACTTCTCTGCAGATATTTGTAAAGGCTTACAGACAAGTTGACCCTCCTATGCATTCTAACATGCGGCATCTCTTTGGAACCTGGAAAGGAGTCTTTCATCCGCAAACACTTCAGCTTATTGAGAAAGAACTTGGCTTTAATGCCAGAAGTGATGGCGCCGCAGCTGTTGCTACTACAGGCAGAGCTGATCCGCAATCTCAGCGCCCACCACATAGCATCCATGTGAATCCCAAGTATCTAGAAAGACAGCGTCTTCAGCAGTCGGGACGGGTAAGCAAAGTCAACTTTAGATAGCAGTGTATCAATTTATGGCCACAATCACATTCTTTCAAAGGGCTACACGCCAAAATTCAACTCCATGAAAAATGCCCTTAGTATTGGTTTTTGTGTTTTTGTAGACAAAAGGAATGGTTACAGATGTCCCTGAGATAGCACCCAATTTGACTAGGGATTCAGATAGACTGGAGAGAGTGTCAAGCATAACATCTGGGGTCTCGTGGGGAGGCCCAGCTAAAGTAAATGTAAGATGCTTTTTATGCTTTTTCCTTGGCAGGGTTACAATTCTGTACTTAAGTTCTGTCAACTGATTGTGTATTGAATGCAGACCATTCGGCGACCTCAAAGAGATTCACTTGGTGAACCCCTCTACGAGAAAGATATCGAGTCAATATCAGGGGAATATGATTATGCCTCTGATTTACCGCATGATTCGAGAACAGTGATCAAGAAAGTTGGTTCAAGGGTTACTGACGATAGGTCTGAGAAACAATGGTACGAAGCCATGAGCAGGGGTCCTGATCTGATTTCTGACCAGAGGGATGGGTTACATACCAAAAGCAGAGTGTCAAACTACGCCACTGCAAGACTAGAAAATTCGGAACCAAGTGGTCCCAGTAGAAATATTGGTGTGCCTTATGATAGTTGGAAAAACTCTGAGGAAGAAGAGTTTATGTGGGACATGCACTCAAGGTTATCCGAAACTGATATAGCCACTATCAACCCAAAGAATGAACTTCAAGCACCAGATGAATCAGAGAGATTGGTAAGCTGTGATTGTAATTTTTATTACTTTTTATTGTGATGTATCTCATTTAGTTTTTTGGCTTTTAACACTTTTCCCATCTTGTAGGAATCTGAAAATCACCTCATAAAACGACCAAGGTTTTCAGCGCCCGATCCGAGGCTTGATCCGGGAAATTCGATAAATTCATATTCCAGCGAGCAAAAAGATCCAAGTGTTTTTGGCCGCTGGACGTCTTCTCCTAGATCTTTGCATGATTCTGAAGTTTATCCTTCCGTTGGTTCAACCTCAGCTGCAGCTAGAAAGGGGATGCAGCCTCAATCTAGGGTTTCGAGCTCTGGAATTTTGCCTAACTCAGGATCTGGGTCAGATAGACAGTCGCCTTTACATGATTCAACTTCTAAACAGAATGTGACCAAGCAAGATGTTAGAAGAGCTCACTCCCTCCCTCAGCGTGATCCTAGGGCTTCCCGGTTTCCAGCGAAATCTCAAAATGTCCTTAAGGGTGACTCTGTACGGCCGCTAGATGCATCTCAAATGGAAAAGCTTGGCTCTAAGTCAGTAGATGGACATGTTCCAGGTCTTACTGTTGCTTCAGAAACTGCAGGACAACCCAACATGAGTGATTTGCTGCAAGCTGTCATGAAGAGTGGAATCCTTTCTAATAACTCAACTAGTGGTAAGATTAAAGAGGAGACTTCTCAAAATGAGGTTAACCCAAGGGCACTAAACCTGTCAGCAGCCTCTAAGACTAAGACTTTGCCACCAACACTGCCAATGTCGGCGGCTGGTGACAGTTTATTAGCTCGTTTAAAAGTTGAACAATCCTCTGCACCCCTTGGTTCGTCCGGCGTCACATCAGCACAGACATCAAAAGAGAATAGTAATGCCTCGGATCCTCTTTCGTTCCTCTTGAGCTCCTTAGTTTCAAAGGGCTTGATATCTGCTTCAAAGACGGAGCTGCCATCCCTCGTACAATGCACGGCTCCTTCCATAACACAGGACCATAGTCCTGATCATTCTACCAGTAGCTCTGTCTCTGTATCTGCGGTTCCGTCAGATGCTAAGCCATTGGTTTTGGTGAAAAGTAAGGATCCATCCAGTGCCCTTGAGGTAGCAACAGCCGAAACAGCAAAATCAGAACCCGAAAACCTCATAGGATTGAAATTTAGGGCAGACAAAATCCGTGAACTTCATCCCTCGGTGATTAGCAGTCTCTTTGATGACCTCCCACATCTCTGCACTTCTTGCGGCGTTCGCCTTAAAGAAAAGGAAGAACTTGACAGGCACATGGAGCTGCACGATAAGAAGAAGCTCGAGTTAAATGGCACCAACAACAGCACATGTAGGGTTTGGTTTCCAAAGGCTGATGACTGGGTAAAAGCAAAAGCTGGAGAGTTAGAAGCTGAATATGAGAGTGAACCTGAGAGTGCTATTGAGGATGATGGTCCAGCCGTAGCTGCTGATGAGAACCAATGCGCGTGTATATTATGTGGAGAGGTGTTTGAGGACTATTTCAGTCAAGAAATGGCTCAATGGATGTTCAAGGGAGCTTCGTACTTGACTATTCCTCAAGCCAACAGTGAGGCCAATGGTCCGATCGTCCATGCAAGTTGTTTGAGCAAGTGTTCGTTGCAGAGCTTGGAACTTGGAAATGCAATAAAGCAGGTAACTTGTTACTCTCTGATCTCAAAGTCCATTCTTTAATCCAGTTTGAATCCACCTTTTACGTTTTCCATTCTCTATTCTCCCAGGAAATGATTGAGTAGCATCCATATGAAGGAAGACCAAGAAACCTATGTAACAGAGGAAACAGGTTCTGTGATTCCTCTTGAGTCCCCTCATGATGGTAGTTTTGTAGAAAAGTGTCGAGCGTTGAGTTGAGGAAAGAAAAGATGTGCAGTATTTTATTTTTGAAAGAAAGATTCTTTATGTATGCTTTGTGTCTCTCTCGTTTTTTCATCTTATACAAATACAAAATAGCAAAGAGGCCTTCCCAATATTGCACGTTCCATATTTTGATGCCTTTCTTTCATGTGTTACAAAAGAATATGCGCGTTTCTTATGAAACAGAGATTTGTCAGGTTACGTGTCCTCAACATCCAAAGCAAACCAATGGCCATATATGTATCTACCTTAGCAATTACTATTTGTGTTGAGAGATTGTGTTATGATATCTATATTTGCGTGTAGTTGTGGTTATCATGTGAATCCTCATAGAATGAAAGTTGCCTTAATTATCACTTCAGCAACCATTTTACTTGCTTGTAGATTGGGGAAAGAGCAAATTAACATTTATTGGAGAGAGAAATAGAGAGAGAAATGCAAAAGGTGTGACCGTGTGAGAGTTAGTGATGTGTTAGTGTGTAGGTGGGGAAAGCAGAGGACACTCCTCTTTTCTTCGCTGTTCCTTTCGGGAAAACCTAATTTTCACGTGACTAAGAGCTCATCATAACTTAATGTGCCAATGTGGAATCGGATAGGCTTCCTTTTTCTTTTTCTTTTTCTTTAAGGACAAGTTAAGGCTTTTGATTATTCGTAAACGCAACTAGTCATCGCGGTTTAATGGTTTATTTGTAACTAATGGAAATGGTCAATATTTGTCCCCAAAAAGAGACATTTTGAGAATCGTATACGATATTGTTTTGCCCAAAAAAACAAAAGAGAATCGTATACGATATTTAATCTTATTAATATAAGTATGTAGCAAATTGGGAAACCAAATATGTGCTTTTCGTCTGTGAAAGAAGAAGACAGAAAAAAAAAAACAGTCTAATGACTCGAAGAAATCACATATCATTAGACTGTTTTTTTTTTCGAGTCATATCATCAAACGACCGAACTCTTTCCAGACACGAAGAGTTTCTGAAGGAAACCATACTCTTTCCAAAACGTGTTTAGCTCAAGAGAGCCACGTTAAGCATTAACAAACTTGGTTTTTTTATTAAGTGTGGGAAAAACAGATCTAATTATTGTTGTTGATGTAGTTGTGTAGGTGAGATGATTAATGGACTAGTAAGTAAGTAATCTTTAATTAGCTTATCCAACTGTCTCTTTTTAAAATTTAAATAGACTCGATTCGTTTTCATGACGTCTTCGATGACTCTTCCTTAAATTTTTATCAAGAATTCGAGAAATGCAAGTCCAAGATGTGATTTGTTTCTTGTTCATTTATCATGCTGCCTTTCTATAATTTTATCCCGAGAAAACATACGCCTAAATAGACCCTTTTTTCTTCTAATCACTTATTTTTAGTAATTTTGTAGCTAGCCAATCTACAGTTTTTCTTTAAGTTTAGATGTAGAACTTACTAATATTACGTTGAATGTTAAATATCTCATCATATTTTAGATAAGTTTGTAGATTTGATCAATTAAGGTCAAGTCTTTCTCTCCCTCGTGTTCTATTTTGTTTGAATGCATAAATTCATACTTTCGAAGACGTCATTGGCATAACTATTCTGGATTTTCCTAAAATTAACGAATACTAAAATACCGACACACACATCTTATATGGCAGCCTATGAATGTACATATCAGGTCAAACTATTATTTAATTTGTTTTTTTCTGCAACAAACTATAAACTAACTTGTTTTGTGAATAAACTATACTTAAATTAAATGTATCACAAAAGAGATAATTCATGGTCCATTCCTTTCGTTTTCATAAAGATGTTCTATTACGACCCAAGAGAACTTATTTCTTACAATATCGATTGAAGAAGGATATATATATGAAATATTGAATAGACAAAGTTATTTCGAGTATATCATCATTGTAGGTCCCTTGATTAGTTATTTTCCGGTTTCAAACAATTGTATTTTTGTAGTTAGCTTAGCTATTCATTTTTAACTTGAGTTAGCTATTCATTTGAAAATATATTAGTAGCAAATTTCTTACAGCAATATACTGTTCAAATCTTAACTCTTTCATTGTTTTACATAATTGATAAAATTATGAAAGAAAATCAAGCATTGTTTCCAGGACGAAATATCAAGCGAAGAGATGAGCATTAAAGTATTACATGTGATAATGCAAGGAAGGAACATGGTACAAAATAACAAAATATCTATATTTGTATTCCTCTCGATCTCTCTTGTCGTTTGCTTATTTCTCCATATCTAACTTACATTAAATGATTGATTTCTTCAAAATTTGATATCAACTAATAAGAGTATAAAAATATATATTCACAGACCGAATGAAACTGAAAAAGTCAGAAGAGAGACATCTTCACATGGCCGAATGAAACACACATCTCAAATACACACAAGAAGAATTCCTCTTCTCTCTTTCTTCTTCTCCATATCTTCTCTGCAACCTCCGTACCAAGAAAACTTTTAAACCCTAAAGATCATTTCCTCAGGTTTTTATTTTGTTTTTGAGTAAACATTCAATTCCTTCACTCTGTCACGTCTATGTTCTTCCACGTCGTTTCTAATTTCCCAAGACAGACATAATCTGTAAACTCCATTGCTCCTTTTCCACCAAAACTTTATCTTCTTTTTCTAAAAAACTTTGCCTTCCTCCAAAAGAAAATGTTCTTCCTTCCTTCAAGTATCTCTCTTTATCCACACGTATAGCATCCAAAACAGATTTATAACCCTTTTTCGAATTTTCCCTCGAAAATTAAATCTTTCTTCTAAAATCAATTTTCCCCATTTCCTCTAAAGTTTCCTCCTTTCTAACTTTCTGTCACACCCCTGTTTTTTTCCTTCCCTCCAAAATCAGAACTTTTTCTCTGAAATTGCTTTCATTCTCTCCCTCTCGTTCTCGTAAGTCACTCTGTTTTAGTCCCGGGAAAGAAAAAAAGAAAGCTTTTGTTTTTGTCGGAAAAGTCGTGAACCATGAGAGGCCTCGCGGCTTGTTACAGCGAGCACGCCATTAAAGTATCAGATGCCTACTGTTCCGGTCCTTCGAATCATTCTTACCTCTCTCCGACATTACCACCTCCTTCGATCCCCGACACAGTTACAACCACTTACAAATCCTCCGACAAAGCCGTCTCTGTTTCGCTCACCTGGTCGGATAATCTCACCGTCGTGATCTCGACGCCGCCGAAATCGTACTCTGTTTCCCTCAGGAAACCGAAAGGGTCAAGAAAGCTGACTTCTTCCTCCGGTTCACTCAACGCCGATATCCTCTGGGATCTATCGGAGGCAGAGTACGAGAGCGCCGGACCCGAACCGACCAGAGGGTTCTCCGTCACCGTCGTGGTTAATTCCGAGATCACACTCCGAGTCGGCGACGTTGACCACGAGAGTCTGCGGCGTGACACGTCGTCGTGGACGGTCTCGAGAACGGAGAGATTCTCGGGGACTTGTTCGATGTCTACGAAGGCTCAGTTCTCCGACGGCGGAACTAAGCACGAGATTCAGATCCAATGCGGCGGCGGAGGAGGAGGAGACGGTGGAGGAGATGAAGGGTATTTATGGAAATTGAAAAGTCCTGAAACGATGTCGGTTTGGGTGGATAAGAGGAAAGTGTTTCAGGTGAAGAAGCTCAAGTGGAATTTCAGAGGGAACCAGACGATGTTCTTCGATGGAATGCTCATCGACATGATGTGGGACTTGCACGACTGGTTCTTCAGAGAAACGGCGTCGTCTTCTTCGACTTTTTCATCGAAAACGACGTCGTCCTCCTCCTCTTCTTCCTCGTCGTCTTCTCCTCCGTGTGCCGTGTTTATGTTCAGGAGGAGGAGTGGATTAGACAGCAGATTATGGCTCGAGGATGACGAAGAAGAGAACAACAAGAAGATTGGATTAAGAGAAGCCAAACATTCGTTTTCGTTAATCATTTGTGTCTCCAAAAAGTGAAAAACAACAAAAATACATTTGATGGTTTAACATTTGGCAACTTTTAACATAACTGTTTGTTGTCTGATTTTTCATTTTTAAGTTTTCATGATTTTTTTGCAGTAGATTGTTCTTGTTTAGGACAAACGTAAGTTTGGCTCAAATACGAATCTTTTTTTTCTCATGCAACTTCGCAATAACGGTATAGTTCAAAGAGGTTATTTGTTATGTGTGTCAACTAGAGATAAAATCCCAAAAATCTAACCAATCCAGATGGACATAATCGATCAACTACTTATTTGTTTGCTCTTGTACGAACCACAGCTTAAAGAAATGATAAATCCTTTCAAAAAATTAAATTACATATTTTTCCTTTTCATTTGGCTTTCTCACGAGGACACTTCTCATGAATCGTTATCGTCCATTTCTTTCCACGGGATACATGCATTTTTCTGTATTTTAAAAGGAAGAAAAAGACTATAATCTACTTATAGAATTGTCACAATCTATGCCTTGGTTTGATATAGTTGAAACTTGCCTTCACTATCACGTCATCAGAAACTGAATTTATATTATAAACTGTAGAAGACGAATTATCCATATACATGTATGTATATATACCTTACTTAGTAGCCTAAATTTTGCTTATGTTATTTGCTTTATTTTCACGGTTTGGGGTTAGGTGAAATATTATATCCCTCACTCTACTACTTTATTCTAACTTCAGATCAACTATAATTTTCATGTAACTCATTAATTGACTACTAGTCACATAGTCACATGTTCAATCTTGATTCTTGATCCAGATTTCGATCTGATGGTTGATCAATTACGTGAAAATCAGACTAATACTCACAGTCTCACATCAATATTAGATCTTCAACTAATTTTCTGTTCCAAGATCTCTCAGTCAAAGAAAGTGTACGTGTGAGTTATAAACTAGAACATTGCATAGAAACAAATCAAACATTCAAACCATTAACAAGTATTTTCTTTAAAATAAAATGTAAATACATTGGGCCAGTGGGCCGAATTGGCGCCATAAATAGAACGTCGTAGAAGTTACAATCGAAAGTTAAAACAGTAATTCAAAGCGGTAAAAAATCGCCATCTAAAAACCATCTAACGGCTGGAAACATTTTACTTGGAGAAGAGGCCAAAACATTTCACGTTCTAGAACCTACCATCATCACTACACTATAAAACACAATCACCCCACTTTCCTCTTCCTCATTACTTTCTCTTTATCCAATTTTTCTCCATCGAACGACGATTCCTTCAACCATGGCTTCCTTCACCAGCAAATACGCCGGTAAGTGTCCTCTTCTCTTTCTTTCTCTCCGTAATCCGTTTATCAAATTTGTTCACGATTCGTTTCCGTTAAGTTTCGATCTGTCGTGTTACAGTTCTGCTTTGATGTTATTTTGTTCATAGTGGTCCAGATCTAGCTCACTCTGTGCATGCGATCATTGACATATTATCTGTTTACGCTCGCTCATCCAATCGATAGATCAATCTTAGATAGTTTGCGATTTCGGTTTAAGGACTCTAAGGTTTAACGTTTTGAGGTTTAACAGTTGATTTGAGTTTGTGATCGTCAATTGTTATACTTGTTTCTGCGATCTAGTTTTGTTTACCGGTTTGATTAATGGTGTTGATACGTTTTCATTCATTTTCAATTTTGAAACTCGCAGATGAGCTGATCGCGAACGCTGCCTACATCGGCACACCGGGAAAAGGTATCCTCGCCGCAGACGAATCAACCGGAACCATCGGAAAACGTCTCTCAAGCATCAACGTCGAGAACGTCGAGTCCAACAGAAGAGCTCTCCGTGAGCTTCTCTTCACTACCCCAGGCGCTCTTCCTTGCCTCAGTGGTGTCATCCTCTTCGAAGAAACTCTCTACCAGAAGAGCTCCAACGGTAAATTCATAATGATCTTGCCTTTAGTGCTCTGTTTCTCATTAGTATCCTTTTGATTGATTCGGTTGTGTTTCTTCACAGGCACGCCTTTTGTGGATATACTGAAGAAAGGAGGAGTCTTGCCTGGTATCAAGGTCGATAAAGGCACCGTTGAGCTCGCCGGAACCAACGGTGAGACGACGACACAGGGTCTTGACGGTCTCGGTGAGCGTTGCAAGAAGTACTACGAGGCTGGTGCACGTTTCGCCAAGTGGCGTGCGGTGCTCAAGATCGGTGAGACCGAGCCGTCGGAGCTAGCTATCCACGAGAACGCTTATGGACTGGCGAGATACGCTGTGATTTGCCAAGAGAACGGTCTTGTGCCGATTGTGGAGCCTGAGATCCTTGTTGACGGTTCTCATGACATCCACAAGTGTGCGGCTGTGACAGAGCGTGTCCTCGCAGCTTGCTACAAAGCCTTGAGCGATCACCACGTGTTGCTTGAAGGAACGTTGTTGAAACCGAACATGGTGACTCCAGGATCGGAGAGCGCCAAGGTTGCACCGGAGGTGATTGCAGAGCTTACGGTCCGTGCGCTTCAGAGGACAGTGCCGGCGGCTGTTCCGGCCGTTGTGTTCTTGTCTGGTGGACAGAGCGAGGAGGAAGCGACGAGGAATTTGAACGCGATGAATCAGCTGAAGACGAAGAAGCCTTGGTCGCTGTCGTTTTCGTTTGGGAGGGCGTTGCAGCAGAGCACGTTGAAGACTTGGGGAGGGAAAGAGGAGAATTTGAAGAAGGCGCAGGAGGCGTTCTTGGTTAGGTGCAAGGCTAACTCTGAGGCTACGCTTGGTGTCTACAAAGGTGATGCTCAGCTTGGTGAAGGTGCTGCGGAGAGTCTTCATGTTAAGGATTACAAGTACTGAGAGAGTGTGGATGATGAGGATAAATGATCGTTGTTTTCATTTTGATCGTTCTTGTGCTTTTGTTTTCTTGTTGTTGAAAACCTTCGGAATTACCATCTCAGTTCTTGTTTTGTGTTTTGTTAAGAGAAGTGGTTATAAGAAAACGGAGTGTGAGGTGTTTGATCTTGTGAAACCTTTTCAACAAGGAATGTTTTGTTGGGATTTGAAAACAGTTTTCTTCTGTTTACTGCGACTCTGTTTATATAGCAAACTATCATATTTGCGCGGTCGTACACACTTCACCCATAAAGTCTTAATAAACTCAAGAAAATAGAAAAGAAAAAATCCTTTACAAGTAAGACACATGAACAAGTTTGAGAGGCTTTCATCAACTTAGATGCAAAAAATTTCTTCTACGAGTAAGACAACATGGTCAAGGCTTTGCTACAACAGCCTACAAAGCCATTCTTAAACATTTCAACACTTTGATTTCTTAATTTTCATATAAAGTACTAGAAAATTGTTGTTTTCCAAAAATACTAACTCGATCATATTATTCAGCATTGCTATAATTGATCTCGTCAAGAAAAGTTCATAAGCTAATTTAGATATGTATTATCCGACTGAAAATCAATTTATTTATTTTCTTTTTGAGAACCACCAGTTTTATATTAAAGTTTGTTTTCAGTTAACTTAATACTATTTTTAGGATACACTCTTTTTTGTTATCTTTTGTATCAGTTGGAATCCTTTCATATTGCCACTTCATATGTTGAAAGGATTTACCGACTGCTTTAATATTGTTATCACATTCTACTTCTCAGAATACATAGCATGATAATTAAGATTAAAAACACAGTTTTTACAAGACATGCGAGTTTTATACAACATATGTAGATTTTGTTAGACAAAGATTAAGCTAATTATAGAGATACATTACTTTCAAGGACGTCAACAAAATAGTTAGTTTTCATTTCGGTAGTTGTAAGTTGTATAACCACAAAATATCATAGTTTGAGAACATATCTAGTCACCAAATAGTTCAATATACTAAAAATATAAGCTATATAACATTCATTGGTTGGGAAACTATATATAGTGAAACATATAAATCCCAGTTCCCCAAAAAATAACATTTTGTTCACCAAAATAATTTGACTCAGATGATTGGCTCAGATGTCACAAGTTTTCACATTATCACATAGATATGTGACAGTCTTGTAGAGCAAGTGCTCAACCGCCACACACCAGCAGTGTACATGATAGAGAAGTGTTTGATTATAATTATACATATACATATTGTTGGTTGGTGCGAACAAAGATTCCACGGTATATATCAAGACTTGAAACGGATTTCTTACCCTAATCGATTTGACAAGTTTTGAAGAGAATACTCTAGAAAATCTGTTACAGTAATCTTTAGTGGAGTGATAAAGCCTTCAAGAAATTGACCCAAACAGCAATATCACACACTAAGTTAATTATTCTTCGCAATCACACACTATTTTTTGTTTTCTTAGCAATTCTAAGACACTTTTAGATGTGATTATTTTGTAAATACCCTTCACCAAGTCAACTATATATTCATTTCTATTATGAATTAACAATTAACCCCAAAGTAATTAAGCAATTAATATATAGGAAATACATACAATATTATGCTATAGTCTGATTATGACATCGAAGAACCCGTGAAATTATACCATGGAGTATATAGCAAGATAGCTAGATTGATACATTTGTAAGTTATATAATATAGTTTGCTGTACATAAATAAACCGCACCAACTATCTATATATTTAATAAAACAAGCTGTGTCCAAAAACATGATAATTTACTCCTTACTTTCACCTCCAGTCAAATCATTTGGTTAAGTAGACTTAACCCATGTCTCGAATGACATGCATACTATATGTGAAGTTTTCAACCAAGACACCACATTGGAGAGTTATTCATTTCAGTTTATTTCAAGCAAAAAATAAAATTTCTAATTGAAGTATTTACAATACAAAGTGATGTCAAGATCACGAGAAAACATATATATTCCTGAGAATATGTGATGGTGAAAACGACCACCTTAGATAGAAACATATATACATTGAGACTTATTTGGCCACCACCCAAAAAAACGCGATTTCCAACCAAAGGAGCAATTAAAAGTATATCTTTACAGCTTTAACTTCATCATCTCCGAGCTGTGATCAATCATTCCCAAACCCTAATCTCTTCATCCATAACTGGTTTGCACTTTCTCCACTCTATTCTCTTCACTCTTCACTCCACACCACTTCACTACTTCACTCTTAAACTAACTTAACTCCCCCATAAAATGGCTTCGATCTCTTCCTCTCCTTCCTCAAATTCAACACTCACCTCTCCTCAAAACCCTAATTCTCATTATCAAAATGCCAGGAACCTCCAAAGACAATGGCGGCCGTCACCCTTTGTACAGGGGAGTGAGACAACGCAAGAACTCAGACAAATGGGTTTCTGAGATCCGTGAGCCGAGAAAACCTAACCGTATCTGGTTAGGAACATTCTCGACCCCGGAGATGGCGGCAATAGCCTATGATGTGGCAGCTCTAGCCCTCAAAGGCACTCAAACTGAGCTCAACTTCCCAAACTCAGCTTCCTCTTTCCCTGTCCCAGCCTCCATGTCTCCAGGAGACATCCAGGCTGCAGCCGCTTCGGCAGCCGCTGCTTTTGGCGCTGCTAGGGATGCGATTGTAATGGCTAATGATGACAGTGGAACAAGCGGTGTGGAACACAGTAACATGATGATGATGAATGGTGGTTATGAGAATACAAATATGAATGGATTCATGGATGAGGATTTGATCTTCGACATGCCTAATGTGCTGATGAATATGGCTGAAGGAATGCTTCTCAGCCCGCCTCGTCCTCCCGCCTTTGATGCCGTTTGGGACGCTGATGGTTTCAGTGGAGCAGACGATTACTTGTGGAATTTTCCTTGATAGATAAAACAATCTAACTATATGATATAAGTATATGTGATTTTGTGTGTTTTTATATATATTTTATGTATGTATGAAATAAGGATATGGTGTCTGGTGATGCATTGCATGGTTAGGCCCCGTTAAGACCGCAAGATAAGGTCGTGCTGTATTAAAGTTTTTTGTCTTTAAATTATTGTCTTATAGTCTGATGTAATAGCAAATGTAATCGCAGTCAATGCCTTGACTGATTTACTCATTTGTTTATTTTACATATGGATAAAAAATTATAGAGCTTGGTTTTTTTAAATGGTGATATAACTTATGTTTGTTATAGTCCATATTCCAAAGCTAATGTGCTAGAAATTATTCCATTTTAAAACTGAACTACATTTTCGAGGACTTCTTTATCTATATATATAAAGTTCAAGTTATTCTCTTCTGCTGTGAACACGTCATCAAAAATGATACCTTCTAAAATCTCTTTTATTCCACGTCAACACCTTCTTCAAATTTTGGTTTGGTTTAGTTTTTTTTTGATCCAATCGGAGACCTATACGTGAAATCTCTTTGCACCTATATGTGAGATGTCTTCCAATGGTTTACCTAATATGGTCTTTGGATCTTGAACGGAGGTTGGATTCGTCGACGGTGTCAAAATCTGGTGATGGATTGGTTGATTCGTGGGTTTTGGTTGATGGGTCGTTGGGGTTTGAGGTTTCCGAGAATCGAATCGGAGACAATCTAACCACAACTATCAATTATCAATTATCATTACAATTGCAGCTAAAGAAAACCCTAATTTGAGATTAAAACCCTTTAAAGACGGAGGAGATTGGTGGAGTGAGAAATCGTGCGAGAAACAGAGAATCTAAAATTGAAAACTAAGGGAGGTAAAGAGGCGATTGAGAGAAGCAAGCAAACAAATGAAAAGGATATGAGTCATGATGAAACGAAGATAGATCCGCATAGAGAAGAAGCGATCCGGAACAAATCAAAAGGATATGAGTCATGATGAAACGAAGATAGATCCGCATAGAGAAGAAGCGATCCAGAAAAGGTCAAATGCAGAAGAAACGCAACAAAAGGATTTTTGGACAAATCGATTTGGATTTATGTTTATTGACATAATAATGGGCCCAACTGAAAAATCCTCTCTTATTAACCCGAATCATTAACCCGAACGAACCAATTTATAAAATAAACCAATTTATAAATCCTCTCTTATTAACCCGAATCATTAACCAGAACGAACCAATTTATAATATAAACCAATTTATAAAATAAATCCGAAAAGAATTAAACAGATTGTGAAAACGACAACGTTTGGAACCTTTATTAGGTTAAATTTGCAGTTGCAAACGACTGCATTTCTTACTCTTTCTCTCTCTCTCTCGCCTCCGGCCTTCTTGCTTCCACTCCGACCATAAACGCCGTCTTCAATGGGCAATAATCACACCGACGAAACACCTGCTTTAATTGTAAGCAATGTAACTGCTCTACTCCTAATCCCTATAAATAGCTCTCCACTCTATTCATTATTCACGAAATCCCAAGTCTCAACATCATATCTCTCTCCTTCTCTAAGTTTCTCTGAAAATGGCTTCTGCTCCAGTTTCCTTCTCTGAATTGAAAGCCGGCCGCAACTCGCCGTCAATCGTTGCTAGGCTCCTCCGTTTCTGGGAGGCCCGTAATGTCAAAAAAGGCGGATAGCTGATGGGTGTGGAGATGCTTCTCATCGATGGAAAGGCCCGGAGGGGATAGAGGCAGAGGGGAACAGTCACAGAAACAGTCCTCTTGAACCATACATATAGAGCTGTCTCACAATCATTCTCGATTCTGCTTTCAGTCAACCATGATGACAGCGTCAATTAACGTTTCCCGGCTTAACACTTTCAAGCACCTCCTTAATAACGGCGCCATCTATGCGCTTAGTGGGTTCGACGTCACCAGGAGTAACTCACATTTCAAGTTATGTGATTCCCCTGTTTGCATCCGCTTCACAGACAACACTTCCTTCGAAGAAGCCCCTGAAACTAATTTCTCAATACCAACCGAGATGTTCCGGTTCAGAAATCATGATCAACTCCTCGCATTGGCTAACACAAACTCCGAACTCCCAGGTCCGTCGTCATCCATCTTTGCGTACTTCATTTTAAAATCACTTCCGTTGTTCTGTGAAGAAATTACTATATATAGATAGGATAACCGCAATCATTAAAACGATGTTTGATCGCCTTTGGTTTTGATTGATTATTTTTCCCAAACTCTTAGAGCTTCATCTCAGATTAATATTTCTTTATTCTTATTGCTAATCTACACTGTTCCCTGTTCTATGTTCATTGTATGGGTTAATTTGGTGTTATAAAACTCCAAATCTTACCTCTGCATTTCAGACATAATCAGCGAGGTGACCTCCATCAAGACAGTCTTAAATGAAGCCACAAACATCCCCGATCGAGTCATGGCCCACATTCGTCTGGCGAGGTAATATTCGAGACATGATCTGGATAAGTAACCAGGTGCTTTTAAAATAAATTGATAAACTGTAGGTGCAAAACATTTATTTCAACTTGAGTTTCAATACAAACAACAATTACAAACAAACAAAATTAACTTATGTGCATTATATTTCGAGCTCCATATTCTTGCTTTTGTGTATTACTTGTCTGTTTTTAACCTGATTGGGAAATGAATTCGAATGGAGCTTGGGCAATAGCTATTTCATTTGTATGATTAATTTTCGCTTGAAATGCCGATAATTAGCACTACTTTTGATGTGTGACTTCTTCAGAATTGAGTATTTGAGATATTCTTGCTTTTGTGTATTACTTCTCTGTTTTCAACCTGCTTGAGAAATGAATTCCAATGGAACTTGCCCAATGACTATTTCGTTTGTATGATTAATTTTCGCTTGAAATGCTGATATTTAGCCCTGCGTTTGATTATATTCTGAAATAAAGCATTGTAAATGCTGATAATTAGCACTGCATTAAGCTTAATTTATGCGTTTGGTAATTGGTAGAACTATAACAGATTTGAGGTTTTTTTAATCAGAGAAACACAAAACAGAAATGATATTCTTAAAACATAATTTTGTCTTATTTTGTGAGCTGAAAAAACTTATGAATTAGTCAACTCTGAAAGGGAAAAAGGGAGAAAAATTGTTCGTTTATTTATAAGAAAAAACTTAATACTGAACACATTTACATTATAATTATTCTTTGTGACTCTGTCTAGAGCGTTTGGTTATATTTAGCACTGCGTTTGGGAGAAAAGTTGTTCGTTTGTTTTTAATAAAAAAGTTTGTGATGGTGAATCCCGACAGAGTAAAACCCTTAACGACCATTCCAATCACCTAATTTACACAAATTGCTCTAAACTAACATCGCAGATCGTTTACAGGATCAACCAGTGGAAATACATCCAATTTTACGGAGCTCATGACCTGTTCTTTCTGTAATGCATTAGTTTGGAAAGGTGAGGCTATAGGGAGACCAACCCATTCATCGAGGAAGCTTTTCGCCATATGCTGTCAACAAGGGCGTGTAAAACTGCCACCAGTTAAAGAGCCACCGTCATCGCTTAAGGAACTAATAGATACACCAACTTACCGCAAACACAACCGCCTCCTCAACTCGCTCCTAGCCTTCACCTCAATGGGAGCTAAAATTGACCACACAGTTACGGGAACACCGGGACCATTTACGTTCAGCGTCCATGGCCAGAACCACCACCGGATGGGATCCCTTTTGCCAGCAGATGGGAAACCACCACAGTTTCTCCAGCTATACATCTACGATACAGCCAATGAAGTAGAGAACCGAATGAAATCCATGAGCCGTGGAGAGTCTAAAGTTAAGGTTGATGAGAAGATACTCGAGCAACTCATCAAGATGCTGGATTTAAATAACCATCTTGCTCAGACCTTCCGACATGCGAGGGATCGTTATGAATCAGGAACTGGAGAGGAATTTAACATAAGGTTGATTAGTCAGAAACAGCGTGGAAGACAATACGATTTACCAAGTGCAATGAGATTGTCGGCCTAATAGTTGGAGACTTCAACCTACACAGCGGGCAAAGAGATGTCGTTGTCCAGTTTAAATCTTTGTCTCTGCAAATGATCAGTGACCTACATCCTCTCTTTATGAGTTTGCAGTATCCTCTTCTTTTTCCATATGATGAAACCGGTTACCACCCTCAAATACCATACTGCCCAACAGTAGAGTCCAGAGTGAAGAGGGAAACAATGACAATGAGGGAGTTTTATTCGTACCAGCTTCAGACAAGAATGACAGAAGGAATGATACTTATAAAGTCAGGACGTTTATTGCACCAATATATCGTAGACGCATACACTGCAACGGAGCAAGAGAGGCTGCGGTTCGTTATACTCAACCAAAAGAAATTAAGAGCCGATTTGTACAACAACATTTGCGATGCACTTGACAGAGGAGACACAGACGCAAAAAGTATTGGCACAAGGGTTATCTTACCCTCATCATTCACAGCTGGGCCACAGTATATGTCTGAGAAGTACCACGACGCCATTGCCATTTGCAGATGGTTTGGTAACCCTCACCTATTCATCACAGTCACTGCTAACCCAAATTGGGATGAAATAAGTGAACACCTGGAAAAATATGGTGGGGAATCAGCAAACAGTAGGCCAGATCTAGAAGTGAGAGCTTTCAAACTTCGGCTTGATGAATTGATGCGAGATTTCAAAGTAGGAACCTTCTTCCCAATACCGGAAGCAGGTAGTAAAGCCCTGCATTTTTAAAACAAAACGTTGTCAACAAGTATTGGAACTTCACATCTAACTAACGAGAACCTATCTTTCTTTGTAGTTGTCTATACCATCGAGTTCCAAAAGCGAGGCCTCCCACACGCACACATACTCTTATGGTTTAGAGGTTTCACACAAGAAGCCACGCCATCCATCATTGACCATTACATATCAGCTGAGATTCCTGACAGAGAAACAGACAGAGAAGGTTTTGATTTAGTTCAGCGACATATGATACACGGGCCTTGCGGTGATAGTCGAAAAAGCTCACCGTGTATGGAGAAGGGAAAGTGCACCAAGAATTTCCCGAAACCATTTGCACAAGAAACCAGCATCGACAAGTCATGATTCGTTATCTACAGAAGGCGAGATGATGGCTCTAAATTTGTTGAGAAATGTGATATGAAGCTAGATAATCGGAATGTTGTGCCTCATAACCTCAGCCTCCTTAGGAAATACAAAGCTCATATAAACGTCGAGTGGTGTTGCAAAACCAGCGCCATTAAGTACCTGTTCAAGTACATCGCAAAAGGAGTGGATAAAGCTACTATTGCGATCGAGAGCTCAAAGAAGGAATCTAAAAAAAAAAGTGGGGACAAGTCAGAGAAACAACCCATCAATGAGATCAATGAGTATCTCGATTGCCGTTTCCTTTCTGCATATGAGGCTGCGTGGAGATTGTTTGGTTTCCCTGTTCATCATAACGAGCCTGCGGTGATCAAGTTGACAATTCATCTGCCTGGTCAACACAGATTAATGTTTGATGGAAAAACTGATCTTAGAACTATTTTATCAACGGAGGATATAGAGAGAACTATGTTTACCGCTTGGATGGAAGCCAACGTCTTATACGAGGAAGCCCGCTCACTTACTTTCGTTGAATTCCCGACCAGGTTTGTTTGGAATAGCTCAACGAAAACGTGGACACCGAGGAGGGGTCTACATCAGTCCAGCAGGAGGGGAATTGTACTACCTACACATTTTGGTCAACATTTTAAGAGGCCCAACGAGTTTCAAAGATATATACTCTGTAGGTGGTGTTACGTACGAAAAATTCCAACAGGCATGTTACGCGAGAGGGTTATTAGACGACGACAAAGAATGGCACGATGCTCTCGACGAGCCATCACAGTGGGCCTCTGGAAGTCAAATGAGGAAATTATTTGTCACAATTTTACTCTATTGCCAAGTTGCGGATCCGCTATCACTTTGGAAACACGTCTGGAAACATTTAGCTGAAGACATCCTATACAAGAAGGAGAAAGAGCTGACCTTCACGGCTTTAAACCTGAATGAGGCCCAGCTACAGCAGTACACGTTGATGGAGGTGGAGAAACTTCTCAAACAAAATGACAAGTCCTTAGCCGATTTTGCAGGGATGCCACTGCCGGACAAAACAATACTGCGAGACATTAACAATACTGTTCTCAGGCAAGAATTGAACTTCGATAAATATAAAGAGAAGAAAGAGCATGACAGGATGTTCGACTTACTCAATGTTGACCAGGAGAACATCTATGCGGCTGTGTTGGAGTCAGTGGAGAAGAAACTAGGGAAACTGTTTTTCGTTTATGGGCCAGGTGGGAATGGGAAAACATTTCTGTAAAAGACAATTATTGCGAAGCTACGTTCAATTGGAAAAGTGGTCATCCCTGTAGCTTCAGCCGGCATTGCAGCTCTGCTTCTACCCGGTGGCAGAACAGCTCACTCGCGGTTCAAGATACCTTTATCAGTCGGGGAAGAGACAATATGTGATATCAAGGGGGGGACTATGTTAGCGGGATTAATAGACAAGGCAGATTTAATCATCTGGGACGAAGCTCCAATGACTCACCGTCACGCCTTTGAAGCTGTAGACAGAACTCTGAGGGATTTGCTATCTGCAGAAGATGAATCTGCAGCTGAGAAAACTTTTGGTGGTAAGACAGTTTTACTTGGAGGGGACTTCAGACAAATATTACCAGTTGTGCAACAAGGAGGTCGTCAAGATACGGTGTCATCATCCATCAGTAGGTCGTACCTTTGGAACTCATGTTCTGTGTTTACCTTAACAACGAACATGCGGCTACGTGATGAAGACAGAGAGTTCGCAGCCTGGATATTGAGAGTGGGTAATGGAACGGCAGAGAAAGCACAAGCTGCAGAAGAGGCTCAGGGTGAAAGTGAGACAGTACTCGTGCATCCAGAATTTATCCTCCCAAATACTGAGGACCACTTACACGCGATCACAGATGCAGCATACCCAAACTTCATTCACCACTACCAAAACCACGACTACTTGACAGAGAGAGCCATTTTGACGCCAAGGAATGACACTGTCCATGAAATCAATACCTACATGCTCTCCAAGGTCCAATCCGAGATGAAGGAGTATTTAAGCTCCGACAGCATTGAAACAGAGGCTAAACCTGCTGTCAAGTCGAGCAGCTCCGACAGCAGTGAAACGGAGGCTAAACCGGCTGACAACTACACGCAAGAGTACTTGAACTCACTCGAGTTCCCTGGCATACAAAACCATCGACTCTGCCTAAAGGTCGGGGTTCTTGTGATGTTGCTGAGAAACCTGAATCAAAAAAACGGATTGTGCAATGGGACAAGGTTAGTTATTACACGTCTTGGAGACAAGGTGATAGAAGCAGAGATACTTACGGGAACACATATCGGGGAGAAGGTACTAATACCAAGGATAACACTATCTCCAACTGACCACAAGCATCCATTCACGCTACGAAGGCGGCAATTCCCTGTCAGACTCTGCTACGCAATGACAATAAATAAGAGTCAAGGACAAAGTTTGAAACAAGTGGCGCTCTATTTACCAAAGCCTGTATTCACTCATGGTCAGCTATATGTGGCTCTTTCGCGGGTTACGTCCCCCGGAGGTTTAAAGATATTACAATACACATCAGGAAAGACAGGGGAAGAGGACGTCACCAATATTGTGTACAGAGAGATTTTCAACAACCTGCCTATTTGATAAGGTAATGTACACAACTTTGGCTTCAACCACTACACTTAATATTCACCCTTCGTGTTCTCCACCACAATATAGCTACATAAACTCTATGTATAAACAGATAACCATGGAGTCTGAAGAAACTAGAAGATTCCAACACAATGTTCGACGTGACCGGAAGTTACTAAACGCTTAAAGCCTGCTTCTACTTTACGGAACCAATGTTGATTTCAAATATACTTTTCTATTTACTATTTTCGTAATCATGAGTAAAGTCGTTAAATGGATCTTCACATTATCAGATTCTTAATATGTTTGAAGCCGTAATCATAAACACACTTTACGAAACACTTACATTGAATAGGAGACTCTTATAATAGAGCAGGAGACGTAAACAGCTGGCACCCAAAACCAGTAGCGGTCCGTACGTCCCCACCTACAAAAACTAGATGATTAGAAGCATGTTACACCAACTGGATAGAACACTATGTACACCCACCACGTGAACACTATCATGAACTACGATTGTACTACAAGCCCCTATCTAGATGACTGGTTCCTCTTGAAATAACCAACAAGTGGACTACAAATCAAATGGGCTTTCAAATTAGTACCCAAACTCGTACACACACTCATGATAAAATAAAATAGAGTTATAAAAAGCCCATATACATCACATACACTTTGGTCTTATTATAGATGGATAGCTCGAACAGTCTAATTTAACCTAAAACAATTACAACCGAACATCCTAATAAACGCCAATGAAAAATATTAATGCTCCCAAACACAATAAAGAGAGTTTAACACGATTAAAACCGGACGTTACATTCCTCTGCTATCTAATACAGCCGCAAACACACTAACCTCAACAAAACTATAAATTGTATATCCCTAACTCTTGAAAAGAATTAGACAAGCAAATAATATAATTAAAATACATACGCTGGAATCAGAACAAATTACCAAATATTTAAAGCCGAAGATATTTAATCTCCTTTCTATAATCACTATATATCAATGGAATCATATTTGTAGCCGTCACAAATGAAACGCATACAAAACAACTGACTACTGCACTCTCAAAGAGAATTGAAAAGCCCCCACCTCGCTGATAATAATTACAATGCATTAAAGGCCTAATCAAGACAATGTAATAGCAACCTACAGAACACCTATAAAAGGGGAATGCTTCCACTAACCTCACCACACTACAAACATATACTAAAAAAAAGAAACCAGAATGGGAGAGAGAAGACCTTCTTCACGATTGGAGTCCCTCCCCGACGAGCTCCTAAGAGATATTATCTCACGTGTTGCCCGTTCAGACAGGACTGACGTCCGCAATGTGATGGTCACATCAACCGAGCTCTCAATCCATGCAAAGGACCGCGAAGTTCGGAAGAGTATCAACCTAAGTGCATTCACACGTTTCCCACGATGGGCCGAGAACTTCGAGAAACTGATGGAGAAGTGCGCCGACGGGGGGAACGTAGAAGCACACTACGTCAAAGGGATCCGAGAGTACTTCCTGCAGAATAACGTAGCTGTTGGACTCAACCATTTGAAGAAAGCCGCTGACGGTGGGTATGATGATGGTATTTATCTATATGTTATACTAATGTTGTGCAATGGTGAAACTGTGGAGGGAAAAACTTACTTAGACAAGCTAGAGTGGACAAGAAACATGGCGAGAGGTGATAAATGCTGGAGAAACGTTAGAAGATCCCTTGAAGCCATCCTTGTGATTAGGAAAAACAAGTACGTGACAATGCTAAAAGCAAGCAGGCCGCGAAAGGAATGCAAGGTCAACGATATGGACACAAGATGCGAGAAGTGCTACTACTACAAGCAGATGAAGATGTTTGTCAACATCCGTAGTCTGTACATGTAATTTGGAAAATGCAATAATCGGTCCTCACAAACATGTTTTTCAACTTAAACCATGTCTCACATACACCTATTAATAAATGATGGCATGATATATGTTGTAATGTCTTCTATTATTAATAATATCATTATTTCCCTTACCTCCCAATACAATGACAGTATTTCAAAGTGAAGCAGACCAAATGAATCACCAGAGCCCTTGACTAGATACCTAATCCAAAACAGAAGATAACATAAAATCAGATAGGCTAGAAAACAAAGAGAAGAAATAGTTAACTACGATTAGGTGTAACTCTTATTAGAATATTTAAGTATTAGGAGTACGAATTCTCCTTGCAACAGAACAAAGACTTAATATGGGCAATAGACATAAGTCAAGTCTGTAACATTGAAAACAAAATGCTTTGTAACTACTAACTTTCTTAGACGCACTTTAGATCTCAAAGTAACACTTTTGGCTTAATAAACATCAAAGCTCAAGAATTTGTACTGATATATGATTTACACTAGAGAACAGAAACTAAAGCTGATAAATTTCTTCAGCATCTCACCGGGAAAGAGTGACAAGCGTACCTCGAATTTCCAGGATCCTCGGTACTAAGAGGAGCATATGATCCATTAAGATTCAACAAAGATGTGATCGCCATTTCGATAACCGGGCCTAAGATGGATGGTGTTCCCGTCAACGAACTCATCTCCGTCGGTGTGGACAATGAAAATGACCCCAATGGTACTCGGGCGCTCTTCACAACCTACGAAGACCATTTATGTGGAACCAATACATAAATCAAGCTAAAAAGCTGTAAATTTCATTTAAATTGTTTATGGAAGAAGAAACCAATTAGTTCCAACTCAAAGTTTTTCTCCGTAACTAGCTCATAAACTATATCAGCCCATTTTTAAAGAGTTACAAGAAAAGATAATGTCTTCGAGTGGAAAATGGAAAATACAAAGAGATAACCAACAAGCTATGAGACACCTATAGAGAAAAAAATTGAGCAGCAGACGAACCTTTTAATTCTATGTAATAAACATCAGATTCATAAAACATTAATGTCGTCATGTCAAACAAGGGCAATAAATTGAGACACTTTCTCAGCTAAGAGGACCAGAAAACTCAATTTCACTAAATTTCAGCAACAATCTCTCAATGCTCTAGGGCTAATTGTCGCCACAACACATCCGCAAAAGAAGAGGAAAGTATGAACCTTTGAGAGACTCCGGCAAGCTGAAGCTTATCCCAGATAACTCTGATGCAATCAGGACACTCTGGGTGATCTTCACCATTAGGTGTATCGTGTAATTGATTCCGGAGGATTATCCGGTCGTTGGTGTTTTCCGGGAGAGTTGGTGAAGGGTCAACGAGAAGCAAAATCAAAAAAAAAAACCTTAAAATACATCCAAAATCATAGAAACTCAAATGCAGCTACAAATCTATATGATCCACAATCCAAAAATTGAATCCTACAAAACAAAACTTCAAGACAATCAAGATAGATTGATTCTTCAAGAGGCAGAGCGCTATTCAGAACACTTATAGTTATAAACGAATTGAAGCCAGTTGATGTTGATGCAGAGAACAAAACAAACATAGAAGAGAAAAACAGAAAGTTCACTGGATTATCAAATTGAATGATCCAATTAAAAGGGGTTAATAATAATTACCCTTGTTGATCCGCAGCGCATGGAGAATCCGGCGGTCTCCACAACAAGGCAACGAACTGATGGCATGAAGAAGAGAAATCCGGTGAGAGCTTGTGTCGGATTCTGAGCTGAAGGATTNAAATATGGTGGGGAATCAGCAAACAGTAGGCCAGATCTAGAAGTGAGAGCTTTCAAACTTCGGCTTGATGAATTGATGCGAGATTTCAAAGTAGGAACCTTCTTCCCAATACCGGAAGCAGGTAGTAAAGCCCTGCATTTTTAAAACAAAACGTTGTCAACAAGTATTGGAACTTCACATCTAACTAACGAGAACCTATCTTTCTTTGTAGTTGTCTATACCATCGAGTTCCAAAAGCGAGGCCTCCCACACGCACACATACTCTTATGGTTTAGAGGTTTCACACAAGAAGCCACGCCATCCATCATTGACCATTACATATCAGCTGAGATTCCTGACAGAGAAACAGACATAGAAGGTTTTGATTTAGTTCAGCGACATATGATACACGGGCCTTGCGGTGATAGTCGAAAAAGCTCACCGTGTATGGAGAAGGGAAAGTGCACCAAAAATTTCCCAAAACCATTTGCACAAGAAACCAGCATCGACAAGTCAGGATTCGTTATCTACAGAAGGCGAGATGATGGCTCTAAATTTGTTGAGAAATGTGCTATGAAGCTAGATAATCGGAATGTTGTGCCTCATAACCTCAGCCTCCTTAGGAAATACAAAGCTCATATAAACGTCGAGTGGTGTTGCAAAACCAGCGCCATTAAGTACCTGTTCAAGTACATCACAAAAGGAGTGGATAAAGCTACTATTGCGATCGAGAACTCAAAGAAGGAATCTAAAAAAATAAGTGGGGACAAGTCAGAGAAACAACCCATCAATGAGATCAATGAGTATCTCGATTGCCGTTTCCTTTCTGCATGTGAGGCTGCGTGGAGATTGTTTGGTTTCCCTGTTCATTATAACGAGCCTGCGGTGATCAAGTTGACAATTCATCTGCCTGGTCAACACAGATTAATGTTTGATGGAAAAACTGATCTTAGAACTATTTTATCAACGGAGGATATAGAGAGAACTATGTTTACCGCTTGGATGGAAGCCAACGTCTTATACGAGGAAGCCCGCTCACTTACTTTCGTTGAATTCCCGACCAGGTTTGTTTGGAATAGCTCAACGAAAACCTGGACACCGAGGAAAAGACAGTCATGTATAGGAGAGTGGTCTACATCAGTCCAGCAGCAGGGGAATTGTACTACCTACGCATTTTGGTCAACATTTTAAGAGGCCCAACGAGTTTCAAAGATATATACTCTGTAGGTGGTGTTACGTACGAAAAATTCCAACAGGCATGTTACGCGAGAGGGTTATTAGACGACGACAAAGAATGGCACGATGCTCTCGACGAGCCATCACAGTGGGCCTCTGGAAGTCAAATGAGGAAATTATTTGTCACAATTTTACTCTATTGCCAAGTTGCGGATCCGCTATCACTTTGGAAACACGTCTGGAAACATTTAGCTGAAGACATCCTATACAAGAAGGAGAAAGAGCAGACCTTCACGGCTTTAAACCTGAATGAGGCCCAGCTACAGCAGTACACGTTGATGGAGGTGGAGAAACTTCTCAAACAAAATGACAAGTCCTTAGCCGATTTTGCAGGGATGCCACTGCCGGACAAAACAATACTGCGAGACATTAACAATACTGTTCTCAGGCAAGAATTGAACTTCGATAAAGATAAAGAGAAGAAAGAGCATGACAGGATGTTCGACTTACTCAATGTTGACCAGGAGAACGTCTATGTGGCTGTGTTGGAGTCAGTGGAGAAGAAACTAGGGAAACTGTTTTTCGTTTATGGGCCAGGTGGGACAGGGAAAACATTTATGTACAAGACAATTATTGCCAAGCTACGCTCAATTGGAAAAGTGGTCATCCCTGTAGCTTCAGCCGGCATTGCAGCTCTGCTTCTACCCGGTGGCAGAACAGCTCACTCGCGGTTCAAGATACCTTTATCAGTCGGGGAAGAGACAATCTGTGATATCAAGGGGGGACTATGTTAGCGGGATTAATAGACAAGGCAGATTTAATCATCTGGGACAAAGCTCCAATGACTCACCGTCACGCCTTTGAAGCTGTAGACAGAACTCTGAGGGATTTGCTATCTGCAGGAGATGAATCTGCAGCTGAGAAAACTTTTGGTGGTAAGACAGTTTTACTTGGAGGGGACTTCAGACAAATATTACCAGTTGTGCAACAAGGAGGTCGTCAAGATACGGTGTCATCATCCATCAGTAGGTCGTACCTTTGGAACTCATGTTCTGTCTTTACCTTAACAACGAACATGCGGCTACATGATGAAGACAGAGAGTTCGCAGCCTGGATATTGAGAGTGGGTAATGGAACGGCAGAGAAAGCACAAGCTGCAGAAGAGGCTCAGGGTGAAAGTGAGACAGTACTCGTGCATCCAGAATTTATCCTCCCAAATACTGAGGACCACTTACACGCGATCACAGATGCAGCATACCCAAACTTCATTCACCACTACCAAAACCACGACTACTTGACAGAGAGAGCCATTTTGACGCCAAGGAATGACACTGTCCATGAAATCAATACCTACATGCTCTCCAAGGTCCAATCCGAGATGAAGGAGTATTTAAGCTCCGACAGCATTGAAACAGAGGCTAAACCTGCTGTCAAGTCGAGCAGCTCCGACAGCAGTGAAACGGAGGCTAAACCGGCTGACAACTACACGCAAGAGTACTTGAACTCACTCGAGTTCCCTGGCATACAAAACCATCGACTCTGCCTAAAGGTCGGGGTTCTTGTGATGTTGCTGAGAAACCTGAATCAAAAAAACGGATTGTGCAATGGGACAAGGTTAGTTATTACACGTCTTGGAGACAAGGTGATAGAAGCAGAGATACTTACGGGAACACATATCGGGGAGAAGGTACTAATACCAAGGATAACACTATCTCCAACTGACCACAAGCATCCATTCACGCTACGAAGGCGGCAATTCCCTGTCAGACTCTGCTACGCAATGACAATAAATAAGAGTCAAGGACAAAGTTTGAAACAAGTGGCGCTCTATTTACCAAAGCCTGTATTCACTCATGGTCAGCTATATGTGGCTCTTTCGCGGGTTACGTCCCCCGGAGGTTTAAAGATATTACAATACACATCAGGAAAGACAGGGGAAGAGGACGTCACCAATATTGTGTACAGAGAGATTTTCAACAACCTGCCTATTTGATAAGGTAATGTACACAACTTTGGCTTCAACCACTACACTTAATATTCACCCTTCGTGTTCTCCACCACAATATAGCTACATAAACTCTATGTATAAACAGATAACCATGGAGTCTGAAGAAACTAGAAGATTCCAACACAATGTTCGACGTGACCGGAAGTTACTAAACGCTTAAAGCCTGCTTCTACTTTACGGAACCAATGTTGATTTCAAATATACTTTTCTATTTACTATTTTCGTAATCATGAGTAAAGTCGTTAAATGGATCTTCACATTATCAGATTCTTAATATGTTTGAAGCCGTAATCATAAACACACTTTACGAAACACTTACATTGAATAGGAGACTCTTATAATAGAGCAGGAGACGTAAACAGCTGGCACCCAAAACCAGTAGCGGTCCGTACGTCCCCACCTACAAAAACTAGATGATTAGAAGCATGTTACACCAACTGGATAGAACACTATGTACACCCACCACGTGAACACTATCATGAACTACGATTGTACTACAAGCCCCTATCTAGATGACTGGTTCCTCTTGAAATAACCAACAAGTGGACTACAAATCAAATGGGCTTTCAAATTAGTACCCAAACTCGTACACACACTCATGATAAAATAAAATAGAGTTATAAAAAGCCCATATACATCACATACACTTTGGTCTTATTATAGATGGATAGCTCGAACAGTCTAATTTAACCTAAAACAATTACAACCGAACATCCTAATAAACGCCAATGAAAAATATTAATGCTCCCAAACACAATAAAGAGAGTTTAACACGATTAAAACCGGACGTTACATTCCTCTGCTATCTAATACAGCCGCAAACACACTAACCTCAACAAAACTATAAATTGTATATCCCTAACTCTTGAAAAGAATTAGACAAGCAAATAATATAATTAAAATACATACGCTGGAATCAGAACAAATTACCAAATATTTAAAGCCGAAGATATTTAATCTCCTTTCTATAATCACTATATATCAATGGAATCATATTTGTAGCCGTCACAAATGAAACGCATACAAAACAACTGACTACTGCACTCTCAAAGAGAATTGAAAAGCCCCCACCTCGCTGATAATAATTACAATGCATTAAAGGCCTAATCAAGACAATGTAATAGCAACCTACAGAACACCTATAAAAGGGGAATGCTTCCACTAACCTCACCACACTACAAACATATACTAAAAAAAAGAAACCAGAATGGGAGAGAGAAGACCTTCTTCACGATTGGAGTCCCTCCCCGACGAGCTCCTAAGAGATATTATCTCACGTGTTGCCCGTTCAGACAGGACTGACGTCCGCAATGTGATGGTCACATCAACCGAGCTCTCAATCCATGCAAAGGACCGCGAAGTTCGGAAGAGTATCAACCTAAGTGCATTCACACGTTTCCCACGATGGGCCGAGAACTTCGAGAAACTGATGGAGAAGTGCGCCGACGGGGGGAACGTAGAAGCACACTACGTCAAAGGGATCCGAGAGTACTTCCTGCAGAATAACGTAGCTGTTGGACTCAACCATTTGAAGAAAGCCGCTGACGGTGGGTATGATGATGGTATTTATCTATATGTTATACTAATGTTGTGCAATGGTGAAACTGTGGAGGGAAAAACTTACTTAGACAAGCTAGAGTGGACAAGAAACATGGCGAGAGGTGATAAATGCTGGAGAAACGTTAGAAGATCCCTTGAAGCCATCCTTGTGATTAGGAAAAACAAGTACGTGACAATGCTAAAAGCAAGCAGGCCGCGAAAGGAATGCAAGGTCAACGATATGGACACAAGATGCGAGAAGTGCTACTACTACAAGCAGATGAAGATGTTTGTCAACATCCGTAGTCTGTACATGTAATTTGGAAAATGCAATAATCGGTCCTCACAAACATGTTTTTCAACTTAAACCATGTCTCACATACACCTATTAATAAATGATGGCATGATATATGTTGTAATGTCTTCTATTATTAATAATATCATTATTTCCCTTACCTCCCAATACAATGACAGTATTTCAAAGTGAAGCAGACCAAATGAATCACCAGAGCCCTTGACTAGATACCTAATCCAAAACAGAAGATAACATAAAATCAGATAGGCTAGAAAACAAAGAGAAGAAATAGTTAACTACGATTAGGTGTAACTCTTATTAGAATATTTAAGTATTAGGAGTACGAATTCTCCTTGCAACAGAACAAAGACTTAATATGGGCAATAGACATAAGTCAAGTCTGTAACATTGAAAACAAAATGCTTTGTAACTACTAACTTTCTTAGACGCACTTTAGATCTCAAAGTAACACTTTTGGCTTAATAAACATCAAAGCTCAAGAATTTGTACTGATATATGATTTACACTAGAGAACAGAAACTAAAGCTGATAAATTTCTTCAGCATCTCACCGGGAAAGAGTGACAAGCGTACCTCGAATTTCCAGGATCCTCGGTACTAAGAGGAGCATATGATCCATTAAGATTCAACAAAGATGTGATCGCCATTTCGATAACCGGGCCTAAGATGGATGGTGTTCCCGTCAACGAACTCATCTCCGTCGGTGTGGACAATGAAAATGACCCCAATGGTACTCGGGCGCTCTTCACAACCTACGAAGACCATTTATGTGGAACCAATACATAAATCAAGCTAAAAAGCTGTAAATTTCATTTAAATTGTTTATGGAAGAAGAAACCAATTAGTTCCAACTCAAAGTTTTTCTCCGTAACTAGCTCATAAACTATATCAGCCCATTTTTAAAGAGTTACAAGAAAAGATAATGTCTTCGAGTGGAAAATGGAAAATACAAAGAGATAACCAACAAGCTATGAGACACCTATAGAGAAAAAAATTGAGCAGCAGACGAACCTTTTAATTCTATGTAATAAACATCAGATTCATAAAACATTAATGTCGTCATGTCAAACAAGGGCAATAAATTGAGACACTTTCTCAGCTAAGAGGACCAGAAAACTCAATTTCACTAAATTTCAGCAACAATCTCTCAATGCTCTAGGGCTAATTGTCGCCACAACACATCCGCAAAAGAAGAGGAAAGTATGAACCTTTGAGAGACTCCGGCAAGCTGAAGCTTATCCCAGATAACTCTGATGCAATCAGGACACTCTGGGTGATCTTCACCATTAGGTGTATCGTGTAATTGATTCCGGAGGATTATCCGGTCGTTGGTGTTTTCCGGGAGAGTTGGTGAAGGGTCAACGAGAAGCAAAATCAAAAAAAAAAACCTTAAAATACATCCAAAATCATAGAAACTCAAATGCAGCTACAAATCTATATGATCCACAATCCAAAAATTGAATCCTACAAAACAAAACTTCAAGACAATCAAGATAGATTGATTCTTCAAGAGGCAGAGCGCTATTCAGAACACTTATAGTTATAAACGAATTGAAGCCAGTTGATGTTGATGCAGAGAACAAAACAAACATAGAAGAGAAAAACAGAAAGTTCACTGGATTATCAAATTGAATGATCCAATTAAAAGGGGTTAATAATAATTACCCTTGTTGATCCGCAGCGCATGGAGAATCCGGCGGTCTCCACAACAAGGCAACGAACTGATGGCATGAAGAAGAGAAATCCGGTGAGAGCTTGTGTCGGATTCTGAGCTGAAGGATTTTTTCACCGAGGCGGCGAAATGTCGACGAAACTCTTTTTCCTCTTTTTAAATTTGTGTTTCAATTTTCTTTTTATTCAACCAACCAAACCGTGACACTTTGGGGTATCAGGAAACTTGCTTAATGATTGATTAAAACTTTATTTTTAAAATAAAATCACCTTGAAACCCATCTAAAACCTTGCCCTGATAAGGCCGTTGGAGATGGTGTCAGTAGATTCGAGAGTGAATCCGCCGCTCGAATATTGAATCTCACGTCGCCTACGATTCCAACCGTTCCTTCACCCGATAAAATCAAATGGTCCAAAATCATTAGCTACTAATGGGGCATATTTGGCCAAACGTAGCTAATTAAAAACACGGCTACGGCAACACAGATAAACGGCCCAACAACCTACGTCCCACAAAGGCCCATAAGTTTTACTAAGTGTTTCCGGCCCAATTTCAGACCTAACCGGATCCATGATATTTTCTTAATCACAACGGCGTAATGGACAAGCGTTAACCGAAAACTAACATTCAACACCCGAGACTTGCAAACGACTGCGTTTCTTATGTTGCCTGATAACAACGATTAGGTTTACTCTCTCTCTCTCTCTCTCTCGCCTCCGGCCTTCTTGCTTCCACTCCGACCATAAACGCCGTCTTCAATGGGAAATAATCACACCGAGGAAACGCCTGCTTTAATTGTGGGCAATGTAACGGCTCTACTCCTAATCCCTATAAATAGCTCTCCCCTCTATTCATTATTCACGAAATCCCAAGTCTCAACATCATATCTCTCTCCTTCTCTAAGTTTCTCTGAAAATGGCTTCTGCTCCAGTTTCCTTCTCCGATTTGAAAGCCGGCCGCAACTCGCCGTCAGTCGTTGCTAGGCTCCCCCGTTTCTGGGAGGCCCGTAATGTCAAAAAATGCGGAGAGCTGATGGGTGTGGAGATGCTTCTCATCGATGGAAAGGTAAATTCTTCTCCTCCACCCAAATTTGCCCAATACCATCGAGGAGTGTTTCCCTTATCACAGAATATTCCTAACAATTGCTCAATTTGTGCTTCACAGTCAACTCTTATCTCAGCAACAATCAACGTCGCCCGTCTCAACACCTTCAAACACCTTCTCAGTAAAGGCGCCCTCTATGCAATTGGTGGGTTTGACGTCGCAATGCCGAAGATTACGTTAACGTTATGCCTTGACGGTCACTCAATCCTCTTCGTTGTTTCGACCTACAACCATCGTTCTCCCCAAACAATTAGTGCGATAACCAAGGAGATATACATGCCCTCGGACACTCAACGCTTGCTCAGATTTGCAAAAGCCAACACAGAGATCACTGGTCAGACCTTTGTTATTCTAATTTTTGTATTCGCTAAGCAACTGTTAATGCGAGTACTATGAGCTCATTCTCCTGCGGCTCTGTCCTATTTACTAAATAAAACACACAGATAGTGCATTCACAATTACATGTGTCCAATGCAGGTTTCAAAGAACGAGAAGGAAACATGATGACATATAGGTCAGCCGGACTTACACCACAAACTTGCTACGTAACGTAAGTTTTCCAACATTGAAAGATTCAAAATGTATTACTTATTATATTTATTATTACTCCAACCAAACTCAAAAATCAATTTCCAGGTCGGCTACTCTAGGATTCGGCGATCTTGATTTACAAATCAAAACCATCACATACGGTTTCAAGAGGACAACCATTGACGGAGGAATTAACATAACAGAATCCACCGCACTTCCAGGGACACATTCAAGAGAAAAGAGCAACGAGAATGAATCTGAGTACTACCACATTCGTTACATTCACGCCTGTGAAGCTTCATGGAGGCTCTTCAATCACCTCAGACAACCCAACATCCCCACCGTCCAGAGTATGCCACCCCATCCTTATAATGTGGGAAGTGTTGGTGTACAAACAACTAGGTTCACCCGTTGGATCGCGGCGAACATGACAGAACCACGCCAGCTGAGAAATGCGACCGCCAGAATGTTTTTCCGGTGAGACCCAGCCTTGAGGGAATGGACAGACATGTGGAGAGAATACCCAATCCTGAGTGGTTGGTACCAACGTCATCGCTCGACGAGGACATTAATGTCACGATATTACGACATTATTTCCAAAGATATTGGTTCAAAATAAGTACCAAACATAAACACATTACACAGTCTGAAGCAAACACGCTAAAATAAAAAGTATATTGATGTTTTCATTTACCTTTTTAAAAAAAATCAAAATAATAAGTTAAATCAATATTGATGTTTTCTTACTATTCTAATCGTTTAAAATAAGAGGAGATACATTGTGTCATTTTTAAAACTCATGAGACTTAAATTCCATAACAAATTAACTAACTAAATGGATACTTAATAATTGGGTTCCTTATATTGTTTTATAACAGGATGCTACGAATTATGAATCTAATTATAAAATAACCAGCACAAATCTATTTATAAAATAACCAACATCGACATTGTTTTACGAATGGTTTGATTTACGAACAAGCTATATATGGAACCATGAGATACATGCAATTATTAGAAGAATCATGCCCATGTATTATCTTCAAATATTAATAAGTTTCGTGTACCTACGGTGGCGAAAATCTCAACTAATGGCCATGTATTATATTGGAAATTAAAGTTTTATGAAATTTGGTTTCCATAAGCTGGAACAATTAAATACGTCCACGAATATTTGAATGTAAATTACGAGAATTATGGTTTCGTACTAATTTCAAACATTTATACAAAATCAGCAATAATAGACGATCAAAATATTATAAGGTCTAAGTTTGGAATACTATAGAATGCATCCCGTTTTTGGTAATTGTTATAAATAATGAAAAGCATATCAATCACATAATCGTATCTAAAAAGTAAATGAATAATCGCGGTGATGGAGTTTGTCAATTATACGTTTTAATGGTACTGATGATACGTTCATAATAAAACATAATCAAAAAACTGCGTCATATATGGTAATATAAATGAAAAATCCAAATCAGGAATGACAGCCTTCTTTGCAGAATCTCGCCGCCCATCGTTTTAAACTTTTAAAAAATGAGAAATTTCACGCAGTCACCGGAAGAAATCACGAAATCACCGCTACATTAAATTGTGATACGCAAATACGATTGCGCCCAATAAAAGGAGGACACTCGACAGACGGTTCTATACACAGAGACATCCAAAAATATGGATCACACCCAACAAACAAGCAGGCTCCTTCAGCTCCCAAAATTTATCCTCTCACATATTCTCTCCGAAGTTGCTGCGTTCTCTATGTCAACGCTCCGCACCGTCATGGAGACCTCACCGGTTTTGGCAAAAGCAGCGGCAGACGCACGAGTGTACAAGGCAATAAACATGAGGATACTTGCGCTCCATCCTTTGACAACAGTGCACATGTACAAGGACATCATGGAAAGAGCTCTTGCAAGCGGCAACGTGGAAGCACATTACATCAAGGCTATAGTCGAGTACTTCCACAACGACAACCAAGAGGCCGGACTACATTTTCTCAAAGTTGCGGCACAAGGATCCTACACGGACGGGATATACCTATATGGGATTATATTGTGCTGCAGGGGCCAAATGGAGGAGGGGACAGCTTACTTGGACTCACTCGGATGGAGAGAGAACATGGCAAAGGGTGATCGAACGTGGAAAAGTATCAAAAGGACATTGCATGGAGTGCAAGTCCGAGAACTGCCGATCTACAAGGAAACACTGTATGAAATAGGACTCACACTTACGTGTGAGGAAGAAGACATCCGTATCAGATGTGATGACTGCTATTACTTCAAACAGATGGCGAAATTTGTTTTCATGATTTAATAAGGGAGGAATCTTTAATGTTTCAATACATCACCATTGTAACCGACATATTTCGGTCGAGAATAAAACACGGTCATCACATGAGTTTTCTTTTGCATGGTTGATTGTCACTTACTCATACGCAGAAAAAGTGATATTTCTTTTTTTAACCAGTGAAATACTTAATATTAAATATTTCTATTAATTAATGAACATACAAAAAAAGGAAAGAAAAAAATAGTGAAACACAAGACATGTCTGTTGTGGTAATATTTTTATCTTGGGTTTAGTTTCGTCGTAAGAATTACTAATTTGCTTGACATCACTACACACAACAACACTGCAACTTAACTACTCTGTTCAAACTCAATAATTTTTTTCCCGCAAATAACCAAAAGTAATCAAATGTTTTATTTGACGTTATTTTATTTCAATGTGCTCTAAATTCCATAATTCCATCACTGTAGTAACACCATACCCGCAAATGTTTGAACTCTTAAGATACCAACTAGATCACTAGCTTTGAAAATTATAATCATCCTGTAAATAAACATAATCACATAAAATGCCCGCGCGTAGCGCGGATCCCCCCTAGTATATATATATATATATATCAAGCTGACATAACATTAGCAAGCGGATAACAAAACAGTTCTTTGCAAACATTACTTTTCTTTTTGTAACGTTTGTAAATAATAATATTTGAGGATAGCTAGCTAGTTAGAAGAAATAAAGGGAGCTAAATGGGTTTGGTGAGGATAACACACAAGTTGGTTATGGATAGGAGTCTTAATCGAATCATAAGCTTGCTGATTTTTTTCCTGATGTAATGATACTTTCTAATTTGATCACTCATAAAAGTCTTTTTTAGACATAGAGTAAAACCTCTATAAGATAATAATGTTGGGATTTTGAAAATTTATTATCTTATATAATTATTATTTTATAGAAATATTATATGAAAACAAAAAAAAATTCAAATATATTTTTTTCATTTTTTTAATTCAAAATTTTCTTATACTTTGTTATTTACATATTATTTTATATTATGTAATTTATCATTTTTCTTTTTACACATTTACTTCTTTTCTTTGTCTAACACGTTATTTTGTTTATATTGGAGTCATATTTTACTAAATTCGACATGAGCTCTAACGAAAGTCCAACTTTCAGAAAACACAAACTACATTAAAGTCATATTTTACTAAATTGTCTTATGCCTAAATTTTATAATTATTATTTTAGTTTATTGTTGGGACTATATTTTTACATAGGAGTTTCAAAAGTATTATTATCTTATCATCTTATCGCATTTTGCTATTTTTTACATTGGTCCGAGTTGGGACCGAATAAATTTATTATCTTATAGTGTTTATTATTTTATCGAGTATTATTTTATAAAGGTTCTACTTACCTATGTTTAACTTAATTTATTTAATCAGTTAAATGGTCTATTCAGTATTGATTTCAGCAACTATTATTTGGAAGTTGTAGAGACAAACGCAGAACGGAAACGGAAAAAACGTTTGTTAAGTTTCAATCAAAAAAATAATTGGTTATATCTAACATATTATAAATTAATAATACTTTTATCATTCTGCATAGCATTCAAAAGTTTTGCATTTGATAGATGTTATGCTTGTCAACTAGGCAATCCATCCGAACTTGTACATAAAAGAGTTCAAAACAACATACAGTATAATGTATTTCCAAAATATGCATTATATTTTGAGGGTAACGTGTACTTTTGACAAACTTATATAACACTTTGATATGCATAGGAGAAATTGATACACAAATACAATAATACAAAGATCTTGATAAAAACGAAAAAGATCTAAACATATTCCAACTACATGGGCTTTTGGAAACTATAAACAACCCATGCAGCGCAGCCCGTAGGCTTGAAACACTAAAATTAAATGAAATTTTCCATTCCTCGCAGTTTAAACGTCTGCCCAAGAAAAATGGTGAAAAAATTGAATGAATGAAACGAATGAGTAAATTCTAATAATCTTATTTCTTCTGTTCTTCATCTACTCCCACCAAGATGTTAACCGTACTTATTTTGAACCTCTCAAGCTTCTCCATAACCTCCTCGACTAGACTGCCCCCTCGGGATCGTGTCGTGTGAGTATTAACGCGGTTTTCAAGCTTAGAACGCTTGTGATCTCGAAGCATCTCTTGAATCTCTTTATGATCTATTAGCTTATGAATGTCGTCTTTTCTGCACGAATCAGAGAGCGATGTTTGGTTGCTCATTGTATCGTTCTTTTAAATCGAGAATGATTCACTAAATAACGATTTTGAAAGTAAGGTTGTGAGAAGGGAAATATCAAAAGTAGTCGGTTTTAAATCTGTTAGGTGATTGATTTATATGTTGTGTGTATGTATCTTGGATTCATGGATTGTGTGCTTATATATACAGAGAGGACTTAAGACACGATTTAAAGAAGACGTAAAAAAAAGAAACAAAACGACTGAGTACTCTTCAAGGGATATCAAACATCGCTACTTCTTCAACACGTTGAATATTGTTGATTCTGTATTCCCGCCTTCGCAAGTTTGACTAATTTTTTATTCTTTATAAGGTTTATATAATAAATCATTCCTTTACAATGACGTGTTTCTAGAAAACCATATTCTGTTGTAATTGATAAATTAATAATCTACAATCTAACAATTCATATTTACACGTAACACGATCGGTAACTTGCGTTTTGTAAAAATCGACCTTGTACCAACTGTTACCAGATGTTTAGAAGTAAATTTGGATTTGGTCAATTATTAGACCACAGAGCTTCCAAGAACTATTAAAGAAGGAAAGATCTGTCGAAGGTTCATCACAGGAAAATTACCAAAAGTCAATGGGGTTTGTCTTACTATTCACTTTGATTATGAAGCATCATTAGCTTTAGCTGGCACCAGCTGATCCGTGAAGCGTTAAGAGTTAAGACGTTGACATTTCTACTGAATTGACCATTTCCTACCATCATGCTATCAAACAATCTCGCATTGTTTGAATATTAAAACCTTCTATTCAAGTGTCCCTCTATTTAATTAATTCTAGAATAGTTGTCACTAATATTAATAACTACTAGATGCAATCTCGTTTTTTATTATTAAAAAAAAAAAAAAATCAAGTTTCCAAGAAAATATGCATGTTTAGACTTTAGACATAAAAATTCCATCAAGTAAATTATTGCACTTAATAATAGAAGTAGGATTAAACACCATCACAGCTTTACAATATAATACTAGGATTCTCATTAACTTGCATTATGTCATTGAAATTGCAGTAATGAAAATATATTGATCTTTCAGTAGATTAATTAATACCCTTTATAAGAAAGAAAGAAAAAACTAAAAAATTTACTTGTGATCATAAGCCTGGAGAACAGTGTAAACAGTCTGGATAATAGACAAGACCAAAAGAATAAAAGCAGCAAGAGCAGAGATAAAAGACCAAGGAGAACTAAAATAAGTGTACTTGAAAGTAGCCCAATCCTCGTGCCAACTACTCTTGTAATACTCATTCACTTCTTTAAACAAGTCGTTGAGATAACACTGCGCTACGTCGAACGCAACGTCTTTGCCTAGACTGTTGACGAACCCAGCGACTTCTGCTTCTGTTCCCAAATAGTTCTCTATGATGTCGTGGTCGCACAGATACTCGACGTCCTTGTAAGTGTTCATCAGACAGTCCAGCAGCGTCGCGTACGTCGTGAAATGCTTTGAGCACGACGCGTGGCACTGCTCGTACGCCACGCAGTTCTGCAAGAGACCGCACATGAAGTCGTCGACGGTGATCATCGGCATCTCGATCGCTCCGTGTCTGAATCTCACGACAAGGAAGCTCTCAGCGTCTTTTAGCTCTCGGATCTTGATCCCGGATCGCCGGAGCTTCGAGATGCTGTGGATGATGTTCGACGGAGTCTTCTTCTTCCCCGGGTTCGTTACTGGCGGAGCGTGAAGATCACTCGCAGGGATGAGGCTTGAACGGACGAGGTCTAGGAGGTGTTTGGCTCGTAAATCTTTAAATCTTGCAAGATCTTGGCTTCTTCTGTGCATGGTGTTGTTGAAGAACACAAAAGCCAGAGACGGTAGAGAAGCGTTGGTCTCTTTTTCGGTATCTCCTCTTGTGAGATCGAACAAAGCTTCAAGAACGAAGAAAGGGATCTGATTCTCAAGACGGAGAAAGTCTCTGTAGAAGAAAGGAAGGACCCAAGCCATGGTCACGAGTGGATCTTCCGGTTCGAAAGGAACAAGTCTGCTGACTTTACGAAACAGCTCAAGAAGGAAACAGCCGTCGAGCACCATCATCTCGTTGAACTCGTCCGAGTCCATGTCGATTGACTCGGAGTAACACTCTCTTGCTTCTTCCTCAAGGATCTTCACGCTCTTCATGTAGTCCTCTAGGGTTAGGTTTTTGGTTTGGTGGGTTCGAGTGAGAAGAGCGTTTAGGTAATGCCATTTGTGTTCTTCGAACATTCGGAGGTGCGTTAGGCCTCGGTGGTACGGTCCTATGGAGACCACTCGCGGCTCGTAGCATCTGCCGTTGCAGTCGATCATGCTCTGAGGTACTCGGAAGATCGAGCAAGTTGGTTTTCCGGCGGCCGAGCTGAGCAACCTCGGTGGCTCTCTCAGCTTTTTATGCATCATCTCAATGCGGATTTTGAAAATGCTTTCTCCTCCGTCGTCAACGGAGGCGTTAGGCGGTTGGTCCACCATTTTTTATTGCTCTGAATTTTCTTTGAAGAACCAGTACTGATTCTTTTTTTCCTGGCGTGTACACGATCCTTAAAAGTAAGATCTCCCACAAACATTGCAAGTAAATAATCTAGAAGATATATATAAATAAAATATGCTAGAAAGTATCGGTTGGTATCACATAGGTGTCAATCGGGCCATCCATTTCCGAGTATAAAACATACAATCAACTTGTTGGTAATTAATTTTGAGTATAAAACTAATATCCAGTCCAATTAAGCATAACCAAACCAAAACAAATTCTCGTTATGCCAGTGATTCTAAACCAAAATCCGTGCCTGATACGCAATCCTAAAACCTGATAGTATTAATTCTAAATGATTGTTTGAAATCCGATCGGATTTAATCCCATCAAAGTGATTTTAAGTTTTTAACTACCAAAAAGAAAAAGGTTTCTGGCTCTACGTACTGACCAGTTTGCCACCATTATATGAAAACAACTTGGAATAGCTAGGTGGTACTTATTATATGACAGGAAACATCGTTGAAATATGTTGTAGTACATATAAGAAAAAAATATACTATATACTATATAGCCGTAGAGATACTGCGGTATCATGTTATGATCATACGTATGACTTATTATAAAAATATATATCAAATTGAAATTTAATTCGTTCGTGAGAAACACGCAATTCAGACGTGGAACTATTTCTTAATTCTTCTTCATTGTGAGTAGTTTTAGCCAATGGTTCATGGAAACTAAAATTAACCATCCCTTTTGAAACATGGTTAAACATTAAACGTGTATTAAAAATAAAATAGTTTAACTAAAGATAAATATCTTAATACTTAATTTTAAAATTTTGTTATATTATTATTATTATTATTATTATTATGAGTTCCATTAATTAGAATTATGTTCAACTTTAGTTCATTCATCGAGAGAAAACACCATTTGCTAAGCATATTCGAAAATTAGGCCTCACAAACACATACAAGAAGAGCAATGGTTTGAAATAAAGGCTTAGGTAAGAGCAGGGGAAATTGTCCCAAAAGGAGAATCAACTACTTGAACAAACAAGAATGGATAAAATGGGAAAATATGTCCAAGTATGTATGATTATCCATGAGTTGCTTTCAATGCATGCAAAGGTAATGAATTAAAGGTAATTAATTATGAATCAAAATTATGGTTCAAATAATCAGAGATATGCATCAATTCACAGCAATAATTAAAATGGGATGTGCATGTCAAGATAAAAGCAAGGTAAACATGGTTCTATCTTAACTCTTCGTTCTCATCCTAATGCACAAAATATTGAAGAACCAACGCACATAACAAATCTCATGAGATAGCAAATTTATAAGTTTATATCCCCGACAACGGTGCCAAATTAATGAAAAGATAGATCATAAAATTCATTATTACTAAGACTAATCTCAAAATCATTAATTTACTCTGTTAAACTAAATTAACTATTTAATTTTATTATTAGTTTTTAATTATTTAATTATTCGGTTTTTTGAAAACAATAAGTAAGTTTCTATCATGTATCTATTGTCTTTCCAAACTAAAAATTGTATAAAATACGAAATTCCGATAAATTTTTGTGCAACATAGATTTAAATTAGGGGTGAAAACTAGATAGGCATTATCCAGTTTCTTTTGAGACAATTAAGTACTCCCTCTATTCTCTAATAAGTGTCCTTTTAGAGAAAAAAAATTGTTCACAAATAAAAGTCTTTCTCACAAATCAATGCAAAACTTTATTGTATTTTGGGCTTTTGACTGTTTGAATTCTGCAGATTAATTTTCTATTGGTTAAATTGTTTTGGGAATGATAATAAAACATGTTTTGTTTTGAAAAAAAAAAAATGAATCAATTTCTTAATCTGTGTGCATAACCCTAAAAGGTCAATCTAAGACAATGACTTTGAATGACATTTAGACAGACAATATCATAATGAGAACAATTATACTGACAATGAAGTTTTATCATTATTATGAAATATGTCGCATGATCTAAATGTAATTGGTCTAATAAAACTTAATCCAATGTCCTAGTCAAAACCATATTTGGAGGATCAATGAACCAATTATGTCAAAAAGAACATTCAACGAAGATTTGTACAACACAAGGTATATGGTTGAGTAAGCAAAGTTATGACATTTTGTAGAAGCGTTCCGAGTGACAAGAAAATCTAGGATTAACGTTATGGGCTTGTATTGGGCTTTTGTTAATAGAGGTGATTCGATTTATAAGTCAAGTATATCTAAATATCAACTAATTATCTTCTCTAATAAAATTCATTATTTGTTCATGAACATGTCGAGGAAGAGACAAGTTCGTGGGAAAATTCATCAATCAAGAAGACGAAGATAGAGAGCTCTAGATCGGACACGGCCTCCTCCACTTCTCCACCGTGTCTTCTCCACTCTCCGGCCTCCTCTCTTATATCTTTCCGCACCACCGCCTCTACTTCCTCCTCCGCTCCTAGCCCTACCCTCCATGCATTATTCATCATCCTCCACTTCTTCTTCCTCTCATCATTCTTTATCCTCCTCTCATCTCCCCCACATCCGCTCTCTCGTGCCATCGCTTCATCAACGTCCTCATATTCTTCATCCGAGTCATAAACCCTTACGTTATCGTCTTCCTCGCTCTCCTCATACTCTTCATCTTCTTCTTCTTCCGACATCTTCCCGTCAAGGTCTACCGGATCCAGCCCCGCTAACTTCTCAAATCTACGAAGCTTCTTGAGTAGTCTCCTTTTAGCCCCTGTTTAATCCAAACATACAACAACTTTAAAACCCTCCAAACGTTTTGGGGGACCATTTTAAAATTTGGCCCATGTGATGATTTAATATGCATCGCTTACTCACGTTGTACAACTTCGAAGCTACACGAGAGGAGATTGAGATGGTCGTCAGGCTCTCGCTGGTGGTGGTCCTCGTCGTCCTCCTCTTCCTCAAGAGGGTCAAGTACAGAAACAGGGCTACATTGTTCCTTGTCTTCCTCTTCTTTATCTCCTTCTTCTTGTCCTCTCGCTTTCTCTAAGCTCTCTGTCTCATCGCTATCTTCGTCCTGTTACAACTCATTTAACACACTTTTGGTTTAACCATTTTTTTGTCTCTTGCTATTTCAGGTTTTGTATCACAACTAATTATAGCTATTCGAATTTATATCTATCCATTTTTCCTCAATAACTTCTTTAATTTTTTACTATGCCTTTTTTTTTCATATACTACAACCACACAATTAAATACATACTTGTCAAAAGTATTACAAAAGGTTTGGTTTACATTTAAGACTTAACCCACTGAATTACAAGATTGAAAATATGGTTTTGGTGATTTGGCAGAAAATTAATAAGTTTGAAACTTTGAAGTTGAACTAGCTAGTGTGATGCATTAATCGTCATAGTGGGGGATATTGACCACAGGTATGTAAATGACATAGAGACACCCCAAGACACCGAGGCTTTACGACAGGTGTTCATTCGAAGTAAGGGCATGTCCGTCATTAAGAAGTAAAAAAACATATTTTACCGTACTCCTGAAGAACTTACATGATTCAGTCATATCATATCAAACAGACAATTATCAGCCAGCCATGTGTCTCTGCTCTAATCAGAAGATGTTTTTTTTCAGGTTTTCCATGGAATGTTTTTTTTTTAACTTCAATTTTTTTTACTGTATGGTAATTTTATTACTATAATAGATTAATCACTAGTGCATTTAGTTAGATAGGCATAATTAAGATAAAATAAAATGCTAAAATTTCAAAAAAAAAATCAAGCCAAATTATTATTACTTAATTTTTAAGAGTTATGGTTTAGAATTTAGATTTTGAATTAAGTTTTTAGATGTTTGGAATTAGTTTTAGAGTTGAATTTAGAGTTATGGTTTAAATTTAGAGTATTTTGTTAATCAGATATAGAATTTAGACTATTTTCATAATTGTCCTAATAATTTAAGTTATAGTTGGGTAAAGACAACAGAGAGATAGAGACAGACCTCTGTACTGCGTCTGGCCGGAGAAGTAGCCGTCGACGTGAAGTGGGGAGTCCGGTGACCGGAAGAAGAAGAAGAAGGAGTTGTAGTTAGGACGAAATGAAAAGGGCTCTCACAAAAGCACTTATCTCCTCCAATCTCCACGAAACGCTCTCGCCGGCTACTGCTGCTCGTCGGTTCCGACCCGCGTTCCGACGAAACCGCATTTCCGTCGGCGTCATCCAGACGCGGTTTCGTTTTACGGTTTGTCAACCGCTTCAAAACGGACCCGAACATCCCAAACCCGTTTCCTCTGTTCCGAGTTTTGTCGTTGGTCTTATTAGCCTTCGCCGACTGTTGCTTCTGAATCCTCGCCGCCGCCTCCAGGAGAATTGCGGCTGTTCTCGCAGGAATCTGGAGGAAAACTCGACCGTCACGAGTCTTCTTCTTCGCCGGAGACCGGAGCTCGAAGAGAGGAGATTTTCTCGGGTCGGGAGATTTATGAGTCGCTAAGAAACAAGAACTCTCGCAGGAGAATAAACGAGGAGGAAAAACGGCGGCGTTTTCAGACTTTCGCTTCTTGACACGCAAATCGGAGCAACCCATCTGAGATCGAAGGTCGGCGATGTAATGGTTGAGATGAAAAGGCTCTTGGTCATCTTCAAGCAGCTCGTGTAAGTGCTTCTTCTTATCAGCAGCCATGGAGACAAACTCACTTTAAACTTTTGTTTGTTTCACTCTCTTTGTGTGGAATTCAGAATCATGGAAAATAGTAAAACGAAGGAAGCTTTTTGCTCTTTCTTATAAGAAGAGAGAGAGAGAGGGGAGAGAGACAGTGAAGGATGAGGAACAGTTATAGACAAAGGGAGAGACATTGGATAAAGAGTCAATGCTTGGATTTGGCTATTTCCTAGCATCTTGAAAAAAAAATATTAAAGAACATAAAGTTTTCGTCTTATATTCTTTCTTTCTTGATATTGAAATTAAGATTGACATGTGTCTTTGTGCAACGGTAATTTTGTTTGTTAAAGAAAGTTTAGTTCACATATTATTATCAGAGTGGGCCTTAAAGACTCCTGAAAAATAGAGTTTACGTCTCACGTTTAAAGAGTCTATTTGTGGACTTATTTTGTTGGATTCGTATATTTATCTTTTTTTTTGTGAAAAATATTGATTGAGCATTAGTTTCACCTGAACTTTAATGTGCTCAGCTGCTCATGTACTCGGTTTATGTAAGCACAATCAATTTCAAATGAAAGAACCGTATATATTATCGAGGAAAAACAAATGTTGCATGATCATCGAGATATTTCCACGTAATTTTGAACTTCCCAGTTTGTGTTTTTCGGACATCTCGTTCTTGTTTATAACATGCGGCAAAATCAATCGCTAATTAGTGAACATGCATAACATTTGTGTGAGAACATGCGAGTATGAATGTGTGATTAAAAAAAAAACTGTGCGAGTGTGATTGGTAAAGACGTAAAGTTAATACGTGGTAAAGCAAAATCGCTTTAAAACAAAAAAAATACTGCTAAAAGAAAAAAATGACAGCGTCTGTGTCATACAATAAAATTTAGTTAACTGTAATAACTATGTTTAACTATGGTAGCTAGAGTTAACTATGTTTATGATTATAGATTTTAGTTTTTCTCTGTACGTTGATGATTGCTAAAATGACAGTTCTTGTTGAAGTATAATTGATCTTCGAAACCATAACTGGATAAAATTGGATATGGTGGCCAGAAAGAGGATGCAAAATTTATGTGGGTTCAGTCAACTGGTTTGCATGTAGTAACTCTTGTTTTTCCATGTGTCTTGCTTGAAATTATAGGTAGTATCGAATTGCGAGTCCTGATGTTGGAAGACAAGCGGCCATATAGACAAAAAAAAAAAATGTTAAGATGCACAAGAAGAAATCAAACTCTCTATACCATATTACCATGTCAGAATTTGTAGTAACAACACCCTAAGATTTTGCTAACTGTTATGCATTTTTCTTTTTGGGTAAAATGTTAAGTTGATATGCAAAGTTTTGTTGTAATACAATAGTTGAGATACAATTCATAGCACTAACGAGACGTGTGACGAAAAAGAAAATCTCAGTGGAACGTGTAGCCCCCCTAACAACGTATATATATTTATTTTCTTTTATACCTTAAGTATTCATTTTGTATTCATACTTTTCAATCAAAATTATAAATTTTTAAGTGGTAGTTGCCATTAAAACCCAAAATATCTATCCCATTTTAGATATTGAAAACATCCGTAACAAACCCTGAATTGTTCTCTATTTGTTCTTAAAAGCAATTATTTACTTTTAAGTACACCATTTTTTAAAAATAGTGCATCAGTTTCTCACACTAAACACCTTCCCATAAGACCATAATTCTGAATCAAAGAAATTTACATTAAATAAGTATTAATCTTTATGGAACAATAAAAAAACATAAAAATCAATATTATGAGAACATGTGAAATATTTGTTTTTACCCTAAAAGACTAAACTCGAATAACACAAAATCATTTTCAACGCGACTGAGTTTTCTAACATTAACTTGGATTTGGTGCGAGTTTTTCTCTAGCAGAGTAGTTCAACTTCAAACTAAAATTTCTAAGGTGAGTGATTGATTTTGGTATCGTGAATATTTAAGTGCTTAGTGAAATGGGTTTCGTTTAATTAAATACTGTACTATCCTTTTGATATAAATGAACTGACGTTAACTGGATTGAAAGCAATAAGGTATGATTTTAATTAGTGATAACAATCTGATTGGCACTTGACGTAATTCCTAATCTGGATATCTGATTTAGTGACGGGCAATTAAGAAGAAGAAAAACAGCCCATGTTCTTCATTTAACGTTCCCGGGCACAACACGAAATCTATTAATGTTGATTAATTATTATAACAAATCTCAAATAACAGTGGTCGGATTATCAACTTATACTCACTCGGAAAATAGTATCTGCCGATGTCGAAATCAAGATAAGAAGCAAATCAATGGTATCACGAGGCTACTAAAATTTAGATAGGTCGGATATTGATGACAAAAATAGGACATTATTCTATTTCGTCTTTGCATAATTTTCGACTAATAAACAGGTCCAGTTTTTTGTCGTAATATGTCTATGATTAGTATCATAAATTTATATATTATCTTGACCCTAACAAACACAGTAGAATACTAATTTGCTAATCAACGCAACTGTTGGCAACTACTAATCCAACGACTAATTTGTCCTACGTACAGAAGTTTGTAACTTTGTATACTCGTATATTGTCCACACGTGAAAATTTGGTAATATATACACAAAATAATATGGATACACATCGAATTATCTTCTCTCCTTGAGAATTGAAATTATACAAATGAAAAATATCACTACTAGTTACCATAAAAATGCATTGGGCAGGACAAATAAAGGTTAGCACCATAAATGAGAAAGAAAAGTTGTAGGCTTTACAGCTGGGTACTCCCTTTAATTAAATTCTCAGCATCTGTGGACTTTAGGTTTATATATTTATAGTATATGGTGATATTTTCACTTATGGTCCGACCTGTAATTTCATGTGGCACTACAGTTTATTTATTGTTTACTTTTGGCTTGCATTTTGAAAACTGATTTAAAGAAGTTGTGGAATCATATGTATATATAATTGGTTTTACTGTTCATCCACTCATACCTATTTTTCAATTATTGACAAATCTTTGTGTTTAATAATATGCAGATTTTTTTTATTGATGTTGTTGTCTCAATATGAATGATTTTTAGCATAAAAAGCGATGTCCACTAATTATCAACACTTATATAAAAAAATAATTAGTTGTAATTTGGTAATATACTGTATTAAATAAATAATTAGCTAGGGACACTGTTTGTTCTCGGATATCCCCCTCTCTACTCTCTAGTAAGATTTAATATTAACCTAAACCACTTTATATACATAAATGAACGAGATTTAAGATTAAATAAAGCTGTATTAGTTTGAGTAACAGCTGACTATATTCTGATTATTTCGTAATAAGCCAAAATCTACGACCCTTTTTATCATCTGAGCATGCAGCAGACAAAAAGATTTTGCTGAACGCGTGGAACGTCAAACGACACCGTATATGCTTGTTTTGTCTTCTAACTAATTTTGATTGTTATGACAAAATTGTGAATTGACCAATAAATTAATATATTACCCCATTCGTACCATGAAATGTCAATTTATGAATATACCGACGGATTTTATTTATGCATGTACTTATTAAAATTTAAAATGTTGCAAGACAAAATCCGAAGATAATAGTTGAAATTTGAAAAAGAGATATATGTAGTTCACTGCAAGTATACCGTATACGTATATATACACTACACCTAAATTGTTTTTTTCATATCTGTAGCAAAAATTTCAAAACAAAACTCAACGTAAATCAATATCACTTACAAATCCTTTATCCAAAAGAGGAAAAGAAATCAGTATCACTTACAAATTAAACCCTACCTTAAGGTAAATTTTTTACGGCTCCACGTACGCCGAGGAATTACTAGGAAGTTACTAATTATGTTAACTAGAGATTGAAGCCCCGCGTACGCGCGGGGTTGTTTGTGATAATTATTTTGTATGGTTTTATTTATCTTTGTTGATTTGAATAATAATAGTTTTGTGTTAATCTCCATGTTTTGATTATATTTTGAGTTAACTCAATCACTCACACTAAACATATGATCAATTTGTTTTGTTTTATTTTATTAAGATGTAACTCTACACTTCATCTCGAGCTTTTCGTAGAATCGCATTTGCATTCGATGTATTACTGTTTACATATATGTTTTGTTGTGGTAGCATTGAGCATAATGACCTATTGATTATTTCTATAATGTTAGTTTTGTAAATATAGATTGTATTTTTGAAACAAACATGTCACAATCCTTAAAATTTTCATGTTTTATTTGGGTTTTTAAAAAGAACTCTAAATATAATTTCTCATTAACTTCTACTATATAAACTAAATTATATTCTATTTTTTTTAACTTGTAAACACATTATAACATTTAAAAAATAGGAGAAATCTTCTATAAAAAATTCTAACTCTAATTTTTTCATGAGCTTTCTACTATATTAATCAAAAAATTATATTCAATATTTTTGAACTTGTAAACACATTATAAACTTTTTAAATAGGAAAAATACTATTTTATGTTGCATATTTCTTTATTTCATCTCCATTTTATATTACAAATGTTTCTTTAAATTTTAACACCAAGTTATCACATACTTTATTTTAATTAATTAATGTATTTGTGTATTTTTCTTAGTTTTATTTATTTTTAAAATAGAATATATGTAAAGAAATATGAAAAGACAAGTATTTAATAAATATTTAAATATAATTTATTATTATTGTGCTGTGGAGAGAGCAACTCCCTAATTATATATAAGATAAATGTCTTACGATATAAATCGAATTCTTTATCGCATCTTCGACATATCAATCTTGAAACCATGTTCATGATTAACGAGTTCTTAACGGATCCCTTCTCTATGAGAAAAGATCTTAAACATTGAAAGTTTAGTAAATAGATATGCTTCAAATTTCTTCCAAATCGCAAATAATAACTCTAATAAACCTTAAGGTCGAATTAAAAGACATCAAAATACCTGAAACGCGACTTATATGAGATGAGATATTTCTCACCAGGCTTATAAATTTCTTCGATCTGATCAACCACTCTATCAATTCGGTTGCACGATCGGAAAAGTCTTCTTATGTTTCATATCTGGTCTCTCAAAAAGTGTTGTAAGCTACGTATTTTATTTGCTTTAAACGCTATTTGTTTATGAAAGCTGATTGGCAAAACCAAAACATCTTAGGTCTAATAATACATACAAGGGAGTCACATTCGTTTTGAATAAGAATATGTTTGTGTAATACGTACATTATTTATCAAAAAGGGACATTCGCGGACGACAGAAAAAAAAAATTACAAATGCAGTCATGCAGACTATGCTGTTTCGCGGGCATGATACTTTGATAATGTGTTTACATTTACGCAAATCGCGCCATGCTGTTATTTTTATCTATAAAATACAAAAATATGACTGTAGTAATAAAACGTGTAAGTGGATAAAATAAATGCACCTGTACTTTATATATATAGATAGTAATATATATGGCTCTCATCAGAATTCAACTTTATTTTGAAATTATTTGGAAACCCACTTTGTTTGTAACTTTTAAAAACCACCAAGTGTACTTCAACTGCAAACTTGCTATAGTTTTGAACTTTTAATTGTTCTCCCATTGTTTAAGGTTGATTGTGTACTTAATAGTCGTCCTTATCTTAATGTTATCTTTACAAGGAATTTTATAAAATAATTTTCTTATTTGTCGATATTTGTATCGCTCTGAAACTTCTAAAACAATTTTATAAACATGACTAATATATAATATCAATATGTAAATGAACACTAGCATAAAAACTCCAAGATACTCAAGCGCAAGCTCACCGAAAATATATAATCGGAAGTAAGAACAGAACATAGACAAAGATAATATTAAAGAATAAAAAGATGAGGTACCTAACAATTTATTAGTGGAATGGTATGATTCAAACTTTGTCAAATTCAAATCTCACTCCTAGAAGAGCTTCCTATATGAAATAATGGTCCGTTGATTCTTGTTTAGAACCAAACCTTTCTCTCCTGCCTCGATTTCTTGTTCTTTAGTCACATGTTCTAACTCTGATTCCAGCGTCGAAATTTTTTGTAGGGTGGTGTTCTAACGTTTCATGCATGCCAGTGCCACATGTGTCAACCGATTGAGATTCTCCAGGGACCATCGCAATTAGCCGATTACAGTAGAGTCGGTCAACCCTCGCACCCCTTTGAGAACCCTGAACGACGAGCAAGTATCGTTGTTTTCTTTAGCTGAGAATCTCACATACCCAGTGGACGGATCATGACGTCGAGAGACTAGTCAGAGGTCCATAAAAAATCAAGAGTTTGGATCCCATCACTCGATCGGGAACATAAACTCTATTCGAGAATGGATGTATCTTACCCAAATTTTTACTATTTACCACTGATTCCTTGAACTAGTAGTTATATAGGCCTTACTATTTACCACTTTGCATAGGTACCGTACAACTTTGTTTTTTACCGATCTGCTTTCAGCTATTACACCTACTTTGCTTCGATACAACATTTGAGAACTACAGCTAAAACATTAGTAGACAGCATTTTTTTACTGTTTTAAGTTAAACTACTCAATTATTTCAAATTCAGTGTACCTTATTCATCCATTCCTCAGATTTTATTTTACAATGACTCCATGAGGTTGGGACCATTAATTGCATTGTTTTCTCTTAGCATCCATCCTTGATCTCCATATATACTCTTTCTTCATTACACTACCATAGTCCATTATTCTCAAGACCATCTCCATCCCTAAAACCATGTTTTTGGTTCTAAATTATTTTTTATTATTAGTTTTCACACAAATCAATTCTAAAAACTTTTGTATGGTTTCTAAATTATTTCTTCCTCCATCCCAAAAACTTTTTTTTGGTTCTTAACAAAAAAAAAAGAAAAAGAAAAGCAATCCCGGAGAAAATGAACTCACGAATGAAGATCTGATCATAATTCAAGACACTTGTAGAGTTGGGATCATTAGCAGCAATCATTCCAATAGGACTCACACAATAGTAAACAATAGACTGTCTCAATAGATCCCACGCTTCATCCTTGATAGATTTTGCTCCTCCAACTGATTGTGCGTTACCATTAGATGAAAGACTTCCATTCACAGGGAGAGGCATTTCGTCCAAGTCGCTTTTCAATTCAGTTCTAAAGCCATCAGAAGGAAGCAACGTTGATCTGATGTTCTCCCCAACATCGTGTTTTTGGCATTTGCATCTCGTGGAAACTAGTTTCTTCCCCTTCAAACCACAGTTTGGACTATGAAATGAATGTCCTCTCTCCACGGATTTTGAGCTCTCATGCGAGTTCGTACATTTTTAAGCCCCTTCGTTTTCTACTAGCGGGTTTAAAGGAGAGTATAGGAGTAGAGTTGACAAAGGAGGAAGCTAAATGAAAAGATGGAGATAAAGATCCCAATGGAACTCGTAGAACTGTTTCTGAAGCAGCCATTTTTGTATCACCACAAAGAAATAGCTAGAAGAAGAGTGATAAAACTTCCAAAACGATACCTGCAAAGAGAAAAACGAATAAGACGACATGAGATATTGAGAATCCAGCAGAAATGAACAAACTTTCCATCGAGAGTGTGCATGAGAAATCATCAACAAGGCATATTTTTGAATACCCAAATCACCTGATAGTGATGTTCAAAAGATCTAACTGCATAACAGGACTCCAAAATGAGCAGAATATTATGCCTGAAACATTTCATTCTCAAAGCCTTAATCTAGATTCAACAGATTTTTCAGTAGAGCTTGATTCAAAATCATCAAAACGAACATGCGAAAAAAGAATCATATAGACTCCACAACCACAGAAAACCAATTGTGTTTTTATTTCTCTAAGATTGCAAAAAAAAAAGAAGGAACAAACAAACGAGAAGTAAAATAAAAAATCGGCAGCTAAAATAGTATCAATGAAAATGGGATTAGAGCATCGCGTCACAAAGAGATAACGATAGAGAGACTTACTTATGATGACCGAAATCGGAGGCAGAGAAACAGAGAGATATGGACAGAGAGAGTGAGATTCATGGCAGGGCGACAAAGATTAGTCATACGAAGTGAGAAAGATAGAAACCGAGATCATCTTTTCCGATCATACGTCGGATGGAGCCTGATCGACGGAGGGAAGCCGTTTCGATTCGGCGGAAAGAAGAGAGAGAAAGAGAATTGAGTTTTCTCTTTTTGTTTTTTTTTTTCAAACCCTTTCGACGCGTGTCGGGTTATAAACCAAGACGAAAATCTCTTGCTAAAAACCTGGTTCCACAATTTTATTTTCTTTTGCCTTTTTTTATTTCTATTTAATGGCTAAAAACTTTCTTAAAACCCATTTTAGAACCAGGGATGGAGTGCTCTTAAGAAATTGTTACTTTTTGTTTTGTTTTGTTATATAAGAAGAAGAAAACGTGTTATATTCTTAATGTAGAATTTTAGTTAGATAAGATTTCAATAAAAATCCCATTAGTAGTTAGAGAAAGACATAACCGAAAATTATTTAACAAAAAGTAGAATGCAAACAATACTATATAGACTAACCAGTTTAATTTATTAATTTGATAGTCCATACTGTACTATGGACCATACACAAATTTTTTGGTCCACATTTCAAATCATGACAACTTCAAACCTCATGCACAGAAATATAGATCACTTGTAGTTTTTTTTGTCCTTACCAAGAAAAATACAATTAAACAACATTTGTTTAGTTTCTACCATCTCATGATAACTTTATATTTTGTTCTTTACATAACGGTGGAAGTTTTTGGAAGTGACAGAGAATAAAAAATCTGTGACAAAGTTTGTATGAAGAGAGAATTGCCATTAACGTAGCAGCCAAATCGTCAATAAATTAGAGGCAGACAAAGCATAAGGTCATGAGAGTCGTTTAGAATCCTAAGGGCTAAGGCGCCTTCGACATGAATGTACGTGGCCTATCTACACAATTCGATATAAAACAAAATTATACTTCAATTTTTTTTAAAAAAACTGCAACCATACTTGGATTATACTATTATATAATGTTCCAACAGAAGTTCAAAAATCAAAAGTTTAAAATTTCGAAGTTTATCAAAGATTGGGAGAATATGGACATGAAGCCAGATTTTTTTTTATATAAAACCAAACAAGATAATGAGTAATATCATTACTATCATCACTTCACGTAGTTGACAAAAAAATTGAAGCTGTGAACATGGAATTTATATCAAAATATTGTGATGTTACATGATAAGACGAAAATATCTCTGGAAATCTGACTTCGAATTCTAATACGCGATACATGTTAATTACAAGGGTCAGTGATTTTTTTTTTTTGTAACATCTGATTATATTACTTCATAATGTTAATGGAAAATACAAATATTTCCTCAACCAAACTGGTGGTGATGAAAGAAACATACAAGAATTTTGTGATCGTAAGTAAGCCTTAGCTAATACATCTGCTGCTTGGTTTATTTCCCTGTTGATGTGGCCAAGTGAGCATAATGGTAACTTTTGAATCCAAAAGTTAATATCACAAAGGATATTCCCGAGCTCCATACTCTTCTTTTGTTGGTTGATTATATTTGTAAGCTCCAAATTGTCCCCTTCAAACCACACATTTCTCCATCCTTTGCACCATATTCGTTGAACCACATAAAGGAAACCACAAGCTTCAGCTTGTAAAGGCGAATCAACTTGTGGGAGCTTTGTCCATCCTGCCTCCATGAACATACCCGTATGATTCCTAACTATCCATCCTACAGCCATAGAATCACTATCTAGGGAGAAGCTACTATCAAAGTTGCACTTTAGAATTCCTTCTGGTGGTGGTTCCCATTGAGTTGTTGCGTGGCGTTGCCTCTCCGTATTATGCTTCTCCGGATTTGCCTCTAACCATTCCATTGCTGCTTGCAAGCCCCTCCTAGCATCCTCCTGCGGCTGTGTGACCTTTTTTGGAATAACATTTCATTTCTTGACTTCCAAATCATCCACATTACCCAAAAAGCAGAATATCTCACCTCATACGACAGATCTTCAATCTCGGTAAATGACATTGACTTCCTTATATTATCTTCAAGTGTGCCCTGACCATCCAGAGTCACAAAGTTAGCGCATCTCCATACCGATTGGGCTTGTTGACACTGAAAAAATAAATGATTTAGTGTCTCCTCTTCAAGACAGCATCTTTGACAGATAGGATCAATATTTGTAGCACGAGAACATAATCTTTGTGCCGTAGGGAGGGCCTCAGATATTACCTTCCAAAAGAAGTGTTGGAGTTTTGGCACTATCTTTGTCTTCCATAATGCATGTTTGAGTGTAGCTGATCCCGGTGGAGGCTCAATTTGGTCTTCATGGGGAATAATATGTGTAGCCGTCGAGTAGCCTGATTTCACTGTATACACACCATCCACCGTATATGGCCAAACATATTCATCTTTCTGAGCATATCTTGAAAGCCGGATGGTTTTAGCTAGACGGGCATCTTCCAAATCCAATAATGCAGCAAGCTTGTCCTCATCCCATTCCCGTATTCCTGGCTTCCATAAATCCTTCACTTTCATCTTTCTTCGATGTCCTTGTTGCTGTACCACCCTTGGCGGTAGCTCTGGGAGCCAATTATCATTCCAGACACTTGTATCTTCACCATCTCCTAATCTTACTTGTAAACCTTTTTTAAGCAAGGATTTTCCTGCTTGTATTGACTTCCATCCATACGATGGATTCCTCCCACCCACCGACTCTAAGAATGTCGATGATCTGTGGTACCTTCCTCTGTACAACCTCGCGAGCAAAGATGACGGATTAATAAGTAATCGCCAAACTTGTTTTGCTAACAGCGCTTTATTGAAACAATGTAAATCTTTAAAACCCATACCTCCTTCACTTTTAGGTAGTGCCAAGCGTTTCCATGAGATCCACGATATTTTCCTCCTTCTTTGCTCGTTTGTTCCCCACCAAAATTCTGAAAGGATACTATCCACCTTTTCACACGTTTGTTTTGGTAATAAGGTGATGATTGGTTCTCCCGCTACCACCCGCAAACGCTGCGTTTGCGGTTCGTAGCGGTTCTTGGCGTTTTATAACAATCATGACAACCGCTTTGAACCGCTCTATACCACTCTGTACCGCTCTATATCGCTGGAAATCAAAAGCTCCTTTCCGCAAGCGTTTGCGGTTGCGGGCGGTTGCGGTTTGAAAAAAAAAAAAAAAACATAATATCTCCAAATTTGGAATAAGGGTATATTTTTTTGAAAAATACCCTAATTATGTTTAAAAATTTCGAAAATACCATAGATTTTTTCTGTTTTGAAAAATACACTTTTGGAATGTAAAAAGTCTGTTTTGACGTGATTTAAACAAAAAATAATAAATAATTACAAATTAAAAACGAAAATTTAAAAAAAAATAGAATTAATAAGTTTTTTTTTCAATAAATACAGTATATGTTAAATTGAAACAAATTTTAATATTTTGGACCTTTATGTAAACAACTTAACCTCATACACATTCCAACCAAATGAAACTTTAAATAAATTAAAACTTTACATATTTTTAAAGTTTATGAATTATTAAAAATTTAAAAATGGAGAAATATATCTTTCATTTTTAATGTTTATCTTTAGACAAATTTAAATATTTTTGAAACTTTATATAAACAACTTTAATCTCACCCATTTAAACTTTATATAAATAACCTTATATTTTTATTGATTTTTTAAAAAAAATCTAAACAGGTAATTAGGACACTACAAGAAAAAAGGAATATTGTGACAGAAAATTTGTGACAAATTATTTTGTCATAATATTGTGACAATTTACATACAAAAATGTGACAAAGTTATTTGGTCATAAAAGTGTAATATTTTCGTTATAATATTGTGACCAGAATGAATGTAACAAACATTTGTCACTAATTGTGACGAATTTGTTATGAAATATTTAGTCACAAATATTGTTACACTTTTGCGACTAAATCCGGTAATTAAACTGATACGATTTTGGTGACGAAACTTAAGTCACTCATAGTTACAAAAAGTTGGTAAGTATTTTGTTACAATTAGTTACTGTTTTTGTGACCATTGGGTGTGGTCATAGATTATGACATAATTGTTACCATTTTGTGACAATATTAAAAACTTTATGAATTTCAAATTATATAAGAAAATAGTATAAAAATCCCAAAACTACAGAAAATTTAGATAAACGCTCTCTGTTCCTTTTATACTTGTATTTGTATAAAACGAGACATATTTCACCAATAACTTGGGTTTACGTATGAATTTGAACCCCAACACGTGTTAGTGATTTGAATTGTCTTCTCCACAATATAAGTTCCCTCTGCATGTCATAAGCATGTGTCTGTATCTCTTTCTTTTATATTGCTAGATCTTTAAACACTTTGGCTGATTGCTTTGTTATATATTTGAACCGTTTCTCTAATAATAGGGTGTAGTCGTGACTCTCTTTTTAATATATCTATGTTTGCACAAAAAAAAAATGAGATAGAAAATTATTCTACTTGGTTGATTATTGTTCTCGACTGATCTTTCGGCTAATATTGTCCATCATTTTGTTGTGTGCACTATGCAGTAGGCGAGATTCGGAAGTGAAGCTCTTTTGGTTGTGATTTTAGATACAAAGACTTGATTCTCCATTGAACGATTTAGGGTATACATTTTTTACAAAAAAAAAAACGATTTAGGGTATACTTAGGGTAATATAATTTTTTGTGATTGCGACTTTTCAAAAAAACAAAGGATGCCTACCTAAATCTCTGCTCTTTTTCTTAATTCACACTTAATTACGGTTATAAAGCTAAGATTTATTTAAGTTGTACAATATGAATCTGAAACTCTATTATTACCTACGATATATTTTGCAATTATCAGATAAAAAAAAAATATATATATATAGATCTCTTAGCTAAAATTAAGTTAACCACCACAACCCTAAATTATGTGATATCAATCGTGGAGGCTCAATCATTTTAACGGCTTAAACTTTCACAAGAGAGCCAAAAATTTCCCCAATTGAGAGATAAAAAACGTGTTAAACATTTTAACCATCTCACTTAGCCTCTCAAAACCGTTCTCTCCAGTTTCCTTCTATAAGAGCCTCGCAAAATAAGGCCAACTGCTTTGTCTTCAATTTCATATATAGATCTCATTGGAAGCCGTTCTTCACGAATCTGGAGTTTTAGAAACTAATCTATCTATATGTTAATTTCCAGTTTGCTTTGTGATCATTGATTGGTGTTTATGCTGAATTTTGTTGCGTCTTCTTCATTAAGATTCCTCTATAAGCTTTTTTTTTTTCATTACTTGCATCTATGATCGGTGGTTTATTGTACTTTTAATTACGTTTTTGATTTGTAAGAAGTAAGAACTTAAGTTTTCTTTTGACAGATTTTGAGATTGATACAATGGAAACAACCAAACAGACCAGGTTTGTGCTTCCGTCATATTCCAGAAGCTAATCAGTTTCATTTCAGTATGCAAAATCTCTGTGATGGAGCCCTTTAAAGTGAATTCTTATCTCTTGATTCACAAGATATCATACTTCTTAGATGAAAAACCTCTATGTTGAAGTGCATCTTATTAGTATGATTTCAGTAGTTATTGAATGCTAAAACTGTGTTGAAACCATCCCGTTAGTGGTGTTGCAAGTGGGCTAAGTGTGTTTACTTGAACTGGACTACTAACTAGTTTATTCATGAAACAATCTACTATTTCAATGTTTTTTAGTGATGAATCATCCCTGTTGATTCAAAAGCTTCTCTATGTTCTGTTTCAGTTGGCTGAATTACTTGAACTGGACGAGGACTAGTCCACCGTGTATGTACTAACTCTTGTAAAGCTCAACCTTAAAGTTTTATATAATAAATTTTCACAAAATATCTTAATTCTGTATATGATATTGAAAGAATTGTTGTGTTTTAGTGAAAATTCAATTATGATGATCTTTATCTGCAAAGTTGATTGAAGCATTTGGTTTCAAATATTTATTTTTGTCTTGTGTTTAATGTTCACATAACCTGTACTTTGTTGAAGGAACTCCAGTCAGCAAGCAAGGCTCTCGTTAACATCAACGAGCTCGTGAGCATGCCCTCAAACAGCAGCAGAATAACAACAATAACCGTTTTAATGAAGATGAGGAAGCACTGAAACGTGAGCACACTGAAGAAGAAGAGCGTCCTCCTCCTTTATGTGTTTTCAACAAAGAAGCTCCCTCACCTCTCTCCAATACAAATGCAGACACCAAAACGAGTCAAACAACAACTCAAGCAGAACCAAACAAGAGCATTGTTCGTCCACAACAACTGCCGTCGACAATACACCAACCTTAATCTCATCATCTGCTGCTGCTACCAACACTGCCATCTCAGCGTTGCTTGAGTTCTCACTCATGTGTTTCTCTGACAAGAAAGATAACATGCGGCTTATTCACAAGGAAGCTCCTCCTACTACTCTGCTTGCAAGTTTTGGAGAGAAGCTTAAGAGAAACGTCTAATTCCAACTCCACCACCAAAACCATTTATCCTTAGTTAATATTTATCAAGACTTTTTCTTCTAAATTGTGCTATTAGGATTTCTTTTGTTTCGGATGATTTTTTTTTGTTTTGTATTGGGATTTTTGTATTTTAAGAAAGTATTTTATATTTTATCTTATTTTTGATTTTTTTTTGTTTTTTGTTTGTTTTACAATTGTAGATGGTGACTGCGTAATTGGTAATGATATGTCACAATTTGCTACGGATTCGTCATAAGAAAGTGTCACAACTAAAAATATAGTGACGATTCTATGACTATAGTTTAGTGACTAATTGTGACACATTTGTAACGTTTTCCTCGTCGCATTTTTGATACGCTTGAGTGACTAAAATACGGTAATAACTCATGACAAATTTGGGACATTTTTTTGTCACTATTTGTGACAATATTTTTGTCACGAACTATCACGTTTTTGTGACGTTCACAATACGTCACAGTTTGTGACGAACTGTTATTGTTGTTACTCGTCACAAACGGTTTTGTGACGTTTTTGTGACAAAAAATGACTTGTGACCATTTTATTGTGACGTTCTATAATTTATAGCATTTTGGTCACAATATTCTTTTTGTGACTGAATATTGATATATTGTGACAAAAAAATGGTAACAATAGTCACTTTTTCTTGTAGTGGGATGGTTTAGTATGTAAAATGATACAAAATTATTATCAAATCTTAATATTTTATATTTCTTATTTGAATTTCATTTTTATTAAATTAGTTAAAAAGTTCAAATTAGGAATAATCATTTCACATATAAAAAAGTGTATTTTTCAAAACTAAAAAAAATAAGGGTAGTTTTCAAATTAACAATTAATCAAAGAATATATTTATAAAAAAAAAATCTATTAATAATATGGTTATATCTGTTTTAAATAATTATATATTATGTTTATTTTAGTAACTTTTGGTTAAACCGCTCTTGCACCCGCTGGTTAACCAGTCAAAAATATCCCGCAAACGCAACCGCTATGAATTGCTGTACCAGTCGTACAAACAGCTTTTAATCGCAAACTCCTGCTTCCGCAAACTCCCGCAATCACTACCGCAACGTTTAAACCAGTCAGGCCCTAAGAAACAATTCATTGAATAAACTGGTTTGGCTTGTGAATTGGCTCAGTGAATTGTTGTAAATTTTCCGAACAAGCGCGACTTGACAAAGTTGCCAAAAATAATGACGTTATATCTTAATATACAAAATTACAAAAATATATAAAAAACTGAAAATTATACCATAGAGTGTTTTCGTCCAATTGTATCAAAAGTTGATCAACTTCTTATGTTATGCACCCTTTTGCCATTTTCTTATATAATTTAAAATTTTAGCGAAAATGGACCTCCTTGTATCCAAAACCCCATATGCCCCAAAAATAACAAGCGAACTGTGTTTATAGAACCTACCATTTGTAACTCAGTCATACACCATCAATCGGAGGGGCACATATATCGATTGTAGACGTAGTGTTGTTATTCGGTAGACTGAGAAGAAAGTTTAGAGTTAGTTCACAATCGACAATTGGTACACTGACCTCTTTAACTCTAATTCCAACTGTATTACGTTCAACATTGCTCCCTTTTAAGGTTATCACAATCTCTGGACAGATGACACTATTTTTGCTTTCTATTTTTGTTGAAGTCGTCGTTGGATGACCAAGCACAAGTTGTACAGTACAACGCAAGTGTTCTTCAGTGTGCACTATAACAGATTCTAGTTACTTGACTAGTTGACTTACGTACTCATTAAATTACTAATACTGCTTTATTCTCATATCTTGTCGAGTCGTAACCAACTGTGAACAATAGTGTTGTCATAGCAATATTGTGAATCAAGCCAATAATCTCCTTGGGATGAAGCATCATAGTTTATGATCATTTATCGATTCTCTCTACACAATTATATTATCGTGCATTAGTGTTGAGGGTTTTTCATTTTCCCTGCTGCCAGCCCAATGACTATGATCCTTTGCAATCTAGGCTATGGTTAAAGAGAGTGGATACAGAGGCAACATAACAATTTGGCTTTATGGAAATTCGACGAAGTTAAGTATTCGTTGAAAGTAAACAACCGTCCGTTTTTTATCGGTCGAATAAACGAAAACTTTTTTTTTTTTGGTTAAATGAAAAAAATTCCGACCAACTTAGCCAAATTTGGTATTAGTAGACAGCTTCCAGTATTTAGGTTAAGATGTACAAAATGGAAAGTCTTATGTAAAATAAAATAAACACTGCGAGGATTCAGCCGTTCCGACAGCTTTCATATTCTAGAGCGCACGCGAGATACACTTTTCTTTTCTTTTTTTTTGAGACTTTACTAAAAAGCAAAAAATATAGTAAAACAATTTGCAATAAAATAAATTAAATTCTTGTAAAAAGAAGAGACAAACATAATACAGAGAAGAAAGAACGGAGAAAAAAATAATCACTGTGATGAGTTTCGGTATCCTAAGAATCTCCCATTCCCCCCCTAATTTTGGTTAATCAAACATACGAGAACCCACAAATTTTACAAATCAACCCAAAAATATTTCAAAACTAACAATAAAAACACCCACAATCTTAAAAAAAAATACACACATCTTACAAAATGAAAAATTCTTAAAACTATAGGTACATCACACCAAAGAGACCCCTAAATCCAAATTAGCTTCTTGAACAGATTCACACGGTTTCTATGCTCTTGCTCAGCTCCTCCAGCTTCTTCATCCTCAACTTCTCGCTTTCTCCTACCAACTGTTCCATCTCCCCAAGGAAGAAAACCAAACACCATTTATGTATAACAAGCGATAAAAAAAAACCAAAAATAGACTCCAATCTGAGTTCTCTGCAAAATTAGTAACTTAGATGAGAGAGCTCGGAACTAACCTCCATGAGTTTGGTGATCAGCTGTACTTTCTCCCTGTTCTTCTCGTTGAATGAATCCAGCGCTTCCTTGTATTCCCTTTCCTGTTTCATTTCATAGTCAATTGTTAAAAAAGTTTCTAACTTTCTTGTTTCAGTTGGTTTCCATATAAAGATCAAATCTTTGGTGTGTATATCTCAACCCAAAATGAAATCAAAGATGCAATCATAGTGTGTTTACCTTCTTTTGGACAGTGGAACCTAAAGGTTTGAGTTCTTTGTTAACACTGTCAATCTTCTTACGAACCACAGAAACTTCCTTCCTCATTGGATCCGCCATAGACTCAAGCTCCTGTACAAACAAAAAATCACATCTTTTTGGCTTAATTTCATCAAATCAAATCAAAAACTACTGTTCATGATGTTCAAAGCCAAAAAGTCAAAACATTTCTTGTCGATTGACCAACCCTAGATCTTGAATAAACCCTAAAACAGAGAAGCACCAACAAACAAACATCCAATCTCTACAAACCCTAAGACTGTTTCTCTCTAATTTCCAAAAGAAGAGAGAGTGAATCAAACAAACCTCGCGAATGGTGGAGAGGCGTCGGGTTTCTTCCTCGACCCGACCCAACTGAGCCTGGATCCGTTCACGAACCTCCGTCCTCCGCTTCTCAATCTCTTCCTCTTTAGCCCTAAACGCAGAAAGCGCAGAGCGAGTCATTTCCTCGTCTTCTCTCGACATATGGCTGCTGAAGCTCAAGCTTCCCGTGTGCATCACCATCTCGTTGCTCTGCGGCTGCGGTTGCGCCTGAGGAGGCTCCGCCGTTGTCGCTGCCGCTGTTGCGGTGGCTCCGGCTCCGGTTCCAGCTCCGGCGTTGGTCTGAGTCATCTTCGGTTTCTCCTTGGGGTTTTTGCTGTTCCTCTTCCTTAGACCAAAGCAGGAAGTCGAATCTTCTGCGGAATTACGGTGGGGCTCTTCGATTAACCCTATTTTTGCTGATTTGGGGGAGAGTTTAAAGATGATTCGAAGCTTTGGAGGCGTTTTAATGGCGGAGGCGTCTGTTTTTGGTGATTTGCTCGCTGGATTGTTAGTGGGTTTCGGTGGTCTTTGGTAAAAGGCGTTTCTTTTAAATAATTATCCCAAAACCTTAATTACATCATTTACGCCTAATCTTTTTCATTTAATCATATCAATTCTCTCTTCTGTCTGTATTTGTGTTTTTTGTACGGCATGATTTTTTAAGGAATCGCTATTATTGTTTGTAAACTCGAGGTTTTTGAAATATTATTTTATTTCAATATATGGACTTGTTGTATAAAATTAAAATTCGGAAAGAAGAGAGGATGTCTGTAAAGCAAAAGCAAGAATATGGCAAATGCATAAAAGAATTATTAAACTACAAATTTGGTATGGTGTATGCAAATGCAAATAATACAGACTGTTTTTTATTCATTAAAATTAGCAAAGCAAAGAAAATGACCTAACTGGACAAGTGACAACCATATCCAACCAATCAATCGCGCGAACATTTATGTTTCTTTTTATTTAACATATAGTTTAGTATAATATAAAATGTAAAATATTTAATGAATCTTTAGCATACTGCCAGATATCAAAATATCTTGAAATCAAATTATAGTTGAATTTACGTTGATTTGGATTAAACAATAAACGTCATAGCTGTAGATACAAAGCAAAGAGCCAAAGACGAGTCATCAAGAAAATCCTTTTAGTCTTTATACAATAACTTCAACTACTTTCCATCTCACCAAAACTTTTTTTAATCGATTCTTTTATTGGAGTTTTACGCCTAAGAGTTCGCCGGTATTTTTGAAAATGGATTTTTGTGGTTGCAAACGTCAATAAATGGTTTATCGATGCATCGCATTATTCACGTAAATTCGAACTTGTATAAGATCTTTCAAGTTTTCACTAATAGAACCAAGTTCTCGTGGTCTGGTGGTAATGGAGCCTCAGCTGAAGTGCTCGCCATCATGAGTTCGAGTCCTCAGCTATCCGGGCTATCTTAAATGGTAAGACTACGTGGACTGCCGTGGACCTCGTAGGATTAATCTTGGGCCTAGAAAATCTTTGGATCATCCACAGTTATAAAAAAAAAAAAGTTTTCACTAATAGTCAATTTGTTATGACGGGATTTAAGTTTTATATTTTGTGTAAAAGTCATTGAGAATTTAGTCTCCTGTCCTACCATCATTGACTTGACCAAAGCTTACTTCCAAAGACTTTCAAATCCGTCGCCTGTCAAATCTAATATATTATCACTCTACACGTAACTAAACTAATGGTGCATACTATTACTACACGTAAATTATCAAAATAATCATAGTCACAAGTAATCACATAGCCATCAACATAATCCTAATCACAAGTAATCACATGGTAGGAAAAACAGGATTCATTGGGCCTTAACAAATATTATATTGGATTTAAAGAGATAAATATTTGTTGGATTGGGTTGGGCTATAGAAGTAAGAATCATTTGTTGCCTTATATATTGTTTACAAGAGTTTTAGTGCTGGATTGAAACTCTTATAATAGAGAAGCCTATAAATGGATAGCACAATCTTTTGAGCACATGTCACACTGGCTTAATGTTAAGTGGCAAACTTTTGATGAAAAATTACCGAAATCTAAACATAAACCCTGACACCTGAAAGCTAGAGTCCTCACTAGTCCTCAAAAACACTTCAAACATATAAAATCTAAAGTTAAGATAAAACATTTTCGTGAAGACATTATATCAAACATAAGTAAAATACTAAAATCATATGAAAAACAAAAAAGGAATTTTTTTTGTGACAAATGGCAATTTTTTACACACAGCCCCGATATTTAAAAATTAAAACAAAAAACACCCACAAAACTCACACTTTACAAAAGAAGGAAGAAAATACATCACAGTTCACAGAAAGAACCACAACTTAAAACCAGTGTCGGCAATGGGATCCATCACACGGAAATGAAATTTTTTTCTATATTTATAAAGCCCTAATTTCCCCACAAATTAAACATATAACCCTTCTTATCACATTGCTTGATATTTCTTTGGGCCAGCATTTACTTCTTCATGATCTTTGTCATGTGTTTGTGACATCCACTAAATGCTCTTGCTCAGCTCTTCGAGCTTATTCATCCTCACACTCTCGCTTTCTCCAACCAACTGTTCAATCTCCAAGATAAAAAATTAGACACCATTTATGCAACATATACAAAATCGACAAATGAGGGAAGCTATAAGATAAGAGCAAGAGACTAACATCCATGAGTTTGGTGACCAGCTGAATTTTCTCCAAATTCTTCTCGTTGAATGCATCAACTGCTTCTTTGTATTCTTTTTGCTATTTAATTCCATTTACACACAAAAAAAATTCCGAGCTTCAGGGTTTAATTAGGTTTCCTTTTGGGATTAGAAAAATAAAATGAAATGAACCAATCTTGAAAGAATAATGATTTTTTACCTTCTTTTGAACAGAGTAACTCAATGGTTTGAGCTCTTTGTAAACGCTATCAACCTTTTTACGAAGCAGCAAAACTTCCTTCCTCATAGGATCTGTAATAGATTCAAGCTCCTATACAAAAAACCATCATCATTCATTACAAAACAGAACTTCGAACTTTTTTATTTTCTTTCAAGTCCAAACTACGCAGTGGAACATGTGGTGCGTCATATTTTCAAGTCATTCAAGGCATCAACAGTACCATGCATGCATGATTTTAAACCTATAACTTGGACATATATAACGTTAATTTTCTATTTAAAGATAAAATATAATAATAAGAAACCTCGCGGATGGTGGCGAGGCGTCGAGTTTCTTCTTCGACGCGACCAAGCTGAGCCTGGACCCTTTCACGAACCTCCGTCTTCCTCCTCTCGATCTCACTCTCTTTGGCTCTAAACGCTGCAAGCGCTGTACGAGTCATCTCGTCGTCCTTGGAAAAACTGGTGTTCCCGCTCAGGCTCCTTTGAAACATCATTTCGTTGTTCAGAGGTGGCTCTGCCGCTGCGGCACCACCAGCTCCGGCTCCGTCTTCGGCGTTGGTCTGAGTCATCTTCGCGCTTCTCTTTGTGGTCGTTGCTGTTTTGTGGATTGGGGTTTAGAAATCTGATTCTAAGCCTGTCATGATGCATTTTAATGGCTCTCGGGGTGATGGGTTGTTAGAGTAGATCATTCTTTAATCAGACTATTTTTTCTTTTAATTAGTAATTCAATTTATATAATTTTTTTTCAAAGGAGTGGAAAGAAAAAGGTTTTAAAATACCACATAAATACTGAGGAGAAAAATCGAGGAATCAACTAATTACCACACCAAAAAAAAAAGTTTTACTTCAACAACGAATTAAATTTTTTGAAAGAGTACCACTTATTTCATGAAAGACTTCTAAAAGTTTAGTTTAAGTGGGAAGAGAATTCTATAAGTTGAGTAAGAATTGTTAAATCATTTACTATTACTAGTAGAATCCATTCCTAAAGTTTAGTTTAAGTGGAAAGAGAATTCTATAAGCTGTGTAAGAATTGTTAAATCATTTACTATTACTAGTAGAATCCATTCTTAAACTTTTTAGTAGAAACCCTTGTTACACCTTAAGCCCTTTAACAAAAAAAAAACCCTTGTTACACCTTAAGTTTCTGATATTTTTTATTATACAGGAATTCTGGAATACAAAACAAGAAGAACATGCAAGAACTGAACAGTAATGCGAAGCAGAGACGACACAGATTTATCGAGGTTGTTCGAACCATAACCGGTTTAGCTGGATTGAGCTCAACCAACAAGGCAGCAATATTATGATAATTTTTAACAAGTTCTGTATAAACGAATTGTTGATCGACTTCTTTAAAGAATTGTCAATATTATGCTGTCATAAGCTCATAGCGTCTTCTGAAATGACTTGTGCAATAAGCGAATGTAATATTTAGAGAAAAAAATATTTGACCTAAATTAGAAATTTGAAGTCAGTGTCATAGTTAACAGCAATTAGAGAAGAAGGCTAGAAAACAAGAGCAAAAACGTTTAAAATAAGAACACTATACATTAAGCTAAAGTTTTGCTGTGTTCCTACGGCATGTTATATGAAAATATTGTATACTGTTTGGTATTTAAATTTAGACAAAGTCAATAAAATGACCGAACTACCAAGAAGTGCCACCCAACGCCCAGCAACCGTATGTGCAAAAGTTATTGATTTTGTTTGTCTTTTCTCCATGTACATACAAATAGCTTTGAATTTTAAAACACAGGACGTCGAATAGAAGATAACACGTATATATCCATACTAGCAACCGTTAGATAACATCCATACTACACTTCTTAAAACGAAGAATACTATATATCAATATATGTTACCGCCAAAAACAATTTCCCTCAAATACAGTGACATCATCGACTAATTGCATCAGCGCGTATAAAATCCAAATTCGACGACAATTGAAACCCTCTAACGAGTGGAACAGCTTACTAATATTTAAGATTATCCTTGTATATATGTGTCTAGTAAGAGTATCGTGAACCAAACAGAAACTTCCAAACATTTAAAACAAATGAATTATATATGAAACTATAACAAGAAAAAGTATGAAGACAAGATATGTGGATTTTTTTATATATATTTCTCCTCTGTTTGTAGAATGAGACAAGTTAGCTTGTTTGATGTAGAGCGATTTGTTGCTCTAATAAGAAAAAATGTTTTCTTTAGTGTCACGTTCACGTAACGGTGTAAGTAAAAACAAAACAAGTAGAAAAAATTTATGGTGATTTATTTGACTAATTCTTTCAATATTTCAGCTGAGCAGTGCATGGATAGATGAAATCGAGCTGAGAGTGGAGGTGGAGGTGGACTGTGGCGGTTAAAGCATTACACTAACAATAACAAACAAACCTTGGAGTCCGTTACAAAGAAAAACAAATCTTGGAGCCACAATCCAACGATCTCACAACCTACAGTACACGTAAATTCCAATAAATTTATAGCATCCGACGGGTTACATACTATAAAAACTCAAAACAACAACATTGACTAAACAGACTAATTGCAATTATCCCATATTGTAGAACTCCATATGCAGAGATATATGTGTTGCGTGATAACGAAGAAATACTAAAGGTGGAGACAATTTTGGGCCTAAACACATGCCAATTAATTTCAATTGTCCGTTTATACTGTGAGCTCAAATATTAGGCATAAACACTTCACCAAAAAAAAAAAATATTAGGCCATAAACAAAGGTCCTATTGCCTATTGGTTACAGGGAGATCATTTCTTTTTCTTATTATTCCTCCACGAGTAAATGCTTCATTACTAAGTTTTATGTTCGGTAAGCTCAAATATTGGGCTGTTCAGATTATGGCTCATACCTCTTTACGTGGGCCTAGACGACAACTCTGATTAACAATCTAGCTTTTATCAGAATATTACTATGGTCTACAAATTTTATTGGCGATAGTGACACAGTACTGTGTGTGTGAGAGATTTCGATCGGAACTTTTTTATGCAACTCTGAAAGTTAACCGTTTTATTCATCTGGTCTACAAATTTTATTCGACGAAAGACATGTTCCGGTTCAAACATAAACCTTGGATACAAAGTAATCTTCACTCTCGAACCAATAGTAATGTTCTTTTGAGTAATTTAACATGAGGGATTCGATCTATAACCTTGGATTAGATCTACTATTATGGCTGATCTTATGGAAACCAACTTGTGAAGTATACTGATTTAAAAACATACATAGAGATATTGGCATGACATGAAGGCAAAGTAGTCTTTACATAGGATTCTTTATGTTATTATTTTTTTAATACATAAAAATCAAACTATTTAAAGATCGCATGTTTGATCTTTGCATGTTGACACGTGCGGTCATGCGCTTAGATACCTTGTGTCAATGTGATGTCTGTGTGCGCTCTCACCAGAAAGATCTATTCTTTCCTTTTTCCTTTTCTTTTTCGTTTCTGTATATTTTATTTTTGTCATCTTATTAAACCCCAAAAAAGAACATAATCTGTTCAGTTTCAGTCTAGTAGCCTTTTTTGAATGTGATAATTAATCTATATAAACCAATAGCAAAGATAGGAACTTACATTTACAAACATAGGCATATGCTTTTGTTTGTGTAATGTTAGTAACATTAATGTTACGTACGCCTAAATAATATTTTCCAGTCACGTGATTCTATGTATGGTATTGAAGTATAAGTGGACCGCTAGAAATGTTTTCGCAGACGTCTAGATTCGTGTCTCGCAAATTATCATCTTTTAAAAAAAAACATACCAACAGAAAATAAACACGTGAGAAAAATTAAAACAAAATCTTGCAAAGCAAAAGATGATTCGGTAAATTTTTTGGCAAAATAAATAAAATAAATTCTATACCAAACTTAAAAAGTAAAGAAATAGGGAAGCATATGAAAAAAAAGAAAAAAACGAAAGAGAGAGAGAAGGAATAATAAAGCACGTGGGATCACGTGACGCCTCGCGTGCCGGCGTGACTTGCCTTTTACTACAAAAATAATAAAAAGTTTGTCCGAAGGAAAAATGGGACCCACGTGGACTGACTCTGACCCTTCTGTTGTAAATATACGTTTCTTTTTTTTTTTTTTTTTCAACAATATACGTTTCTTTCTCATAGCAAGAAAACAAAAGAAAATACTACTGTAATAAATACCAACAGATTTTTTTTAAAAAATAGTCTGACAAAATGTGTCAGAGAAACGTATTTGTCTTCTCTTGGACATGTGAACTCTCGCCCTCCTTTGCCTCTTCTTCTTATTCTCTGTCCTTTGCTCAATTTCTATATTACGATTTCGTTTCAGATTTGTTGTACAGCAATAACTCGTTTCGTTTGTCAATTTAATCAAAAATATCCACCCACATTTTATAAAATTGATAGATGTAATGGTAAGTACGACATACCTTCTCTTGCCGACGTAAAAAGAAAAACTAATCATGCCAAACATTTTACTTCTTAGTTGTTACAGTTTATTTTGTGAAATGAAAATTATGTAAAAGAAATTAGCCTTCCAATACATCCAACCCTTATAACTTTTTATAATCTCGTTAAATACACGTTAGAACTTCTTAATGAGAGCCATAATACTCTTTTTACTTCTATTTTTTAACAATTTTTGGGGTGTGAGGGTGATATTATTAAGAGTTTGTAGGTTAAAAGGTAAAAACATAGAAAAAGAGGGGGGTAAATGTGAGAAAAGAGAGAAGTACTATGAGTAGTCAAATCAAAAATGAGTCACGGCCAAAAAAAAAAAAGATTAGAGAGAAACCCTCACCACCCACTTGTTTACTCACTTTTATGCTTTTCACTTCTGAGTTTTCTGACACAGCCCACCTGCTTCTCTTTTTCTCATTATTACTTCTCTCTCTCCACTTCATTGTCTTTTATCCTTTTACCTTCCTTGTAAATTATTTATCGAGCCGAACCAAACAAATGAATTGTATACAAAATTGAATACTATAGAAAACAACATCAAACCGTTGACAAAAAGAAAAAATATCATTGAACAAAAAGTTTTGGCAAAACTAACCTATGGTATTGGTTTTGGTTCCAAAAATGGCAACCGCATGTAGAGTAAGTGATTATTTCATGTTACATCAAGCGTTGCTAACATAGCTACGAAGGATGAGTGAGCTCACATACTGCAATGTGTTTATCTTAGCCATTAATCATCTATTTTATGTTGGTCATATGACTTTTTATATCGATGGTTGTCATTGATTATCTAAACCTTGTATATTCGTTTTAAAAACGAAGCCTTCACCAAAACATAGCTCAATGGTCGAGTACTTAAGTCACTTACGGTAGATATGGAGAAATTCATCTGTCCAAAATCGAAAACCTAACCTGAACTATCCTTTTTTCTAGTGTATTTCACAAGCCTCATTTTAGCCACCAATTACGTTAATTCATTTTTTTCCAGCCAATTTATTTTCTTTATCAGCCACTAGCCAATCAAGTTTTTTAAGTATTTTCAAATAATATGTTTTCAATGTTGTCCAAAAACAAAAGTTTCCAATGTTTTCATCAACCATCAGCCAAATCAAGTAATTATGTTCAAATAATATGTCTTCATTTTTGCCAACTGATTCCACAAAAATTCAGTCACTCCACCAAATTAATGTTACCATCTATGGATAAATATTATACGAACGATGGTACAAAATTTAAAGGTAAAAGTAGAAAGAAAATAGAGTGGAAAGTACATTCAGTACAGTGTTAATAAATAAGAATTTAACGAATTTTACTAACTCTGTTTCGAAAGTAGATCGAGGTTTGTCACCGATGCAATTGCACAAATTCTATCGTTGTAACTTGTAACGCTCACTAGTCAAATAATATTTAAACAAATCAGCTCTATATGGTTAAGGACAATAGTATTTTGTCATTAGTTAAATTAAATACCCCTTGTACAGGCTTTTGTTTTCTCAACAAAACTTGAACTTAATTAAAAGGAATACTAATTAGTAGTATTAAAATGGAGATATATGCAAAGTGTTATTTCCAAGGCAGCGAGAGACAGAAAAACTGCAGGTTAATATCTCTCCATCTTCATCTTGCAGAGTGGTTCTTTCTGGGTTTCCTGACTTTGCTTTATCAAAAAAAAGTATTAATACAGACGCCAATTGTTTAATAATCTGTGATTAATGAAGATTTGTGAAACCAATTAATAAAGTTATATAGAGTTGTTCTCTAGTCTTTACTGTATAGTTTTCTCCCCCATCTGTCTTGTCTCTCACTGTCTTTTTCTCTCAAGTCTCAAGTGCCCTAATAAAAACCTCTACCCCCTTCTCTCTGTCCCCTCTCTCTCTCTCTCTGCAGAAGAAGCTCAGATACAGAAACTGACTGCAAAGAACAAAGCTTCTTTCTTAACCGGAAAAAAGTTATTTTTTTTTTTCTTTCTTCTTTTGCTCTTCACAACCCCAACAAGACTTTGCTATTGTTGCGATAGCTATTAAATCAGACCTTGGAACCAAAAAAAGGGGAAAATAAAAACTATTATCCCAAAAGCAGCCAACACTCTCTCTCTCTCCCCCATGGATTTGCAGCTGAAACAATGGAGAAGCCAGCAGATGCAACAGCAGCTGACAGAGTCAGAAGAACAACCATCTGCAGCCAAGATACCAAAACATGTCTTTGATCAGATTCATTCCCAAACTGCTACTTCCACTGCTCTACCTCTCTTTACCCCTGAGCCAACCTCTTCTAAACTCTCCTCTTTGTCTCCTGATTCTTCTTCCAGGTTCCCCAGTGAGTCTTCTTCTTCTACAAAATTTCCCTCTTCTCTTATTTTTCAATCATATTGTCCAAATTAGTGACATGGGTGTTGTTGATTTTTTATCTGTTTCTGTAGAGATGGGGAGCTTCTTTAGCTGGGCACAGTGGCAAGAACTTGAACTACAGGCACTGATCTACAGGTACATGTTGGCTGGTGCTGCTGTTCCTCAAGAGCTCCTTTTACCAATCAAGAAGAGTCTTCTCCATCTATCTCCTTCCTACTTTCTTCACCACCCTCTTCAACACCTCCCTCATTACCAGCCTGCTTGTGAGTCTCTCTCCTTTCTTGGTTTCTTCATTTGAGAATATGCCTTTTTCTATTTTGAAATCACTTCTCGTTGTATTAAAAGAAAAGTTTATCTATTTCTCAATTGGGATGCATGGGTTTAGTCTTGCTTGTTGTTGGAGTTTTGTTCCCAAGATCCAATCTTTAATTTTGCAAATCTTGAAGAAACATATGTGACGTGTTCTTGCTTTTGTAAAATCTAAGATTCGGATTGAGTAGGTTTTAAAATCTATGTTCTTGATTTGATCTGTGAAATGAATATTTTTTGAAAACAGGGTATTTGGGGAGGGCGGCGATGGATCCAGAGCCAGGGAGATGCAGGAGAACGGACGGTAAGAAGTGGAGATGTTCAAGGGACGTCTTCGCCGGCCACAAGTATTGCGAGCGCCACATGCACCGTGGCCGCAATCGTTCAAGAAAGCCTGTGGAAACTCCCACCGTCAATGCCAGCACCGCCACCACCACAACAACTTCCATGGCTGCCGCCGCCGCGGCCGCAGCTCCACCCACGGCAACATCGTCTTCTTTTGCCTTCGGTGGCGGTGGTGGTGAGGAAGTGGGTCAAGGAGGATCTTCTTGTTTCTTCTTCTCTGGCTCTTCCAATTCTTCATCTGAACTTCTTCATCTTAGTCAAAGGTAAATAATAAAGACACTGTCTGTTTTAGCTTGTTTGGTCAAACACATTGACTTCTTATCTTTCTCTTCTTTAGTTTTAACTCTTTAAGCCAACAAGATTTTGTTTAAGACTTGAGACGGTTGTTTTGAATATTAATGAATCAAATTTTATATCAATCATTCATAGTGTTGCAATTGATTTTGACATTAAGGATTTAGAGTAAATCAAGACTGGGTTTGTATGTTCATACACTATGCCAAGTGATGTTGTGAAGAGAGGGGTAATGTTGGAAATTGAGAGACACAACCTTATCATTTCTGGGGTTTTTTTGTTTGTTTGTTGGCTTGATTTCTTTGTGCAAAAAACTGGTTAGAGATAATGATAACATTGGATTTGATAGAATCTATTTTTGTGAAGCTAGGTGAGACTTTTCAAACAAAGAAACAGAAAGAGAGAGAGAGAGATAGAAACAGAACAGCGAAATGGTAGGACCTTAGTGAAAGCTGACCCATATATGTCTCATATCTTGCAGAAAAGTTAAAGCCTTTAGATTCTTCTGCACCCACCTCCCCTATCCACACACATCACATGATACATAACTCATTAATAAATCATATTTCCTTGAACTACCTAATCAGTTCTTTAAAACCTGCTTTAAAAGGTGCTTTTAAAGCCTATAAACAAATATTAACTAGGTTCCAACTAGGTTGTTGTTGAGCCTAATTGTGGAATCTCTTTTTACACCTTTTGCTTTGTGCTCTGTTTTCTTGTTTATGGCTTTAGTCTCTTTGACTCAAATGATGAGATGTGGATTTTCTGTTAATAGTTGTACAGAGATGAAGCAAGAAAGCAACAACAAGACCAACAAGAGGCCATACGAATCCCACAATGGATTCAGCAACAACGGATCAGACGGAGGACACATCCTGAGGCACTTCTTTGACGACTGGCCTCGCTCTGAAGCTGACAATAGTTCAAGTCCCATGAGCTCAGCCACTTGTCTTTCCATCTCCATGCCCGGAAACTCTTCCTCGGACGTCTCTTTGAAGCTGTCCACAGGAAACGAAGAGGAAGCCCGGAGCAACAACAATGGAAGGGACCAGCAAAACATGAGCTGGTGGAGCGGTGGAGGAACCCATCACAACCACCACCACATGGGTGGACCTTTGGCCGAAGCTCTCAGATCTTCCTCATCGTCTTCCCCTACCAGTGTTCTTCATCAGCTCGGTGTCTCCACACAAGCCTTTCATTGAACAGTGTAAAACCAACACAACATTGCGGTTTTTTTTTTTTTTAATGTTTGTTTATGGGTTTCATTCAAAATTTTCGCTGTATAAAGAGGGAAGGCTTTTGTTCCTCTCTTCCCTTTTCTTAAGCTTTTTCCCCTTTTCTCTGCAGATTTTCCTCTCAAAGATTTATGTTTTTCGAACTTCATATCTTAGGCAAGTGTTCATATCACCAAATAAAAAACATATGATGAAGCTTGAGCAAATATAGAAGTGCAGCAACTTTTATTTCCTTTTTTATAAGTTACATGATGCTGCAAGAGAAAACTAAAGCATAGGGAGATAAAAGGGTAAATCGTTGTAATACAAAGAAGCTTACAGTACAAATGCCACCCCGGACATTCTTCTCTTGCTACTAAAGATCTTCGGGTACAAGGCCTATGGGCACAAGAGAAGATTCTTCATCTTCTTCATCACCCTCTACTGCAGCGTAAACTACAGCGGTTCTGCACGGCGCATACACCATGAACGAACGAGGCCTATCATCGTACTTTCCATCCTGCATAGCAAATAATCAGTTTCTTTGCAATGGCTTGGAGAAAAGAGACGTTTCTGTATAGTTAATGGTCTTACAGAAGTGAAGAACTCGGCGGAGTCATCTAGCCGATTGAAGCCTCCGAATAAAGAGTCATCAGAGTCCAAGACGATCTTGTACTTTCCAGGAACAAAGCAACCGATACGGTAGTCAGAGTAACTGTTGGTCCAGTGGAAGTTGAAGACGAAGACCAAGTTACCTCTCTCGAATACGATGACTCTGTCTCCTTCATCCTTGCGGGATATGTACTGGTGCTTTGAAGTCATGAAACCGTACTTCTCCTCGAGATGTTGCATCGCTCGATCAAACTCTTGCAGTCCGTGGTATCTAAGATACTCTGCATCTCCCAGATCAAACCTGCGTCGGCATTTGTCGTAACTTCCATTGTTCCCAGGGATGACTCTGCCGTCAGGAAGGTGCTGGTCTGTCCTCGGGAAGTCGATCCACTCAGGGTGTCCAAACTCGTTTCCCATGAAGTTGAGATATCCTTCTCCACCTAATCCCATCGTAATGAGACGGATCATTTTGTGTAAGGCAATCCCGCGGTCTACACGTGGAGTGGCCTGACTATCCACGGCCATGAAATCATACATGTCCTACACAAAATGGGTGGAACAGAAGCTTGAGTCAAACAATCCATATGTAAATACAACTGACTTGAGAGTTCTAAGACCGCAAAGAAATTGGTACCTTGTCCATTAGCCAGAACGCTATTGTTTTGTCTCCAACAAGGGCTTGATCATGACTTTCCGCATAGACGACACAATTTTCTCCCCACCTCCTGTTGGTAAGCGTGAAAACTATGTCACCAACCTTCCAGTCCTCGTCTCGCTTCCTAGAGAAAATACAGCTCATGAAATCAGTTCAATATGATACATCAAAGTCCGATTCAGTCTCATTGAGAGGCCAAGCTTCCTGTGGACGTACTTGAGAAGCTCAATCCATTTATCAGCTACTGCCATGTGCAAACGGTAGTCAAACCCCACACCACCGTCTTGTACAGGAATGCAAAATGCTGGCATTCCGCTGACCTGCAACGAAAATCAATTGAGATAACAGAAGAATGGTTAATAAGATGAAGAGATCCATAGAAGAACCGAGCCAAAAAGAAAGAAAGTTATCAAGGATACTAAGTATCACTAGACGAAAGCACATGTGACTTACATCTTCACCGACAACAATCGCCTCAGGGTATAAACCATGAATCATATCGTTCACCAACATCAGATAGACCACAGCGTCAACATCAGTAGAGTATCCAAAGTACTCATCGTAATTCCCAGTAAATTCGACCTGACACAAACGCAAGCAGTTAGCTTGAAGAAAGCCATATATTTGGCATTTAGATATTTGTTCTATACTCATGAGTAAAGCACAGTTACTATTATATTGACCTAACGAACAACTTAATCTCATACGAAATTTTTTATCACCTGCAGTCCATGATGAGTGTACATCATGGAAGTTACACCATCAAATCTGAACCCATCAAACTTGTATTCTTCTAGCCACCATCTCGCGTTGGACAGGAGATACCTTAGCACCTAAATTGACATGGTGGTCCATTAAAAGACTTTCCCAGTATTATTGCAATATTGAATCTATGCAGAGAGACGTACTTCCCAGCTTCCGTAGTTGAAAAGACGAGAATCCCACATCCAATGATAGCCCCGTGATCCAGAGTGGAAATATTGACCATCAGTTCCATCAAACATGTTGAGGCCATCCAGTGTGTTTTTCGATGCATGGCTGGTGTAATTTAAAGACAATGATTATTTTCTATGAACAGTTCCATTTTCAATTGATTCTACGACAAAAATTTAACTGATATAAGATGATTCTGGAGAAGTTTTGTTAATGAGAGACCAATACCTGTGCACAATATCCATCAGAACAACCAGACCTAGCTCATGGGCTTTGTCTATCAAAGATTTAAGGTCATCAGGTGTTCCAAAGCGGCTGCTTGGAGCGAAAAAGTTTGTCACATGATACCTGCATTGCATGTAGCAAAGTCACATCCTAATCTTTTAAGGATCACGTATGGCTTTCGACAGGAATGCGCTGAATGATAGGTAGATAGGCAAAGCTATATCTTGGAGAGGAAGATACCCAAAGCTGGCATAGTAGGAATGCTCTTGAATGGCCATTATCTGAACAGCATTATAGCCAAGCTTTTTTATACGGGGAAGCACATCATCTCTAAAGTTGGCATATGTATTTATCATTGGTTCCTGCAGATCAAAGATAGCGTATTGTCAAAAGTGAAATTCTTCTGCATTCAGGAACCTAGAACGAAAAAGGAGATCTTAATTTTTTGTTCGCATTCTTATATTGAAACTATACATTCTGTAAAGATGACTGAGCCAAAAAGCAACCATGAGAGTCATCTTGCTCAACAGACTAGATCCAAATTCTCTGTAAATGCCTATAACAATCTTTTCACTATCCTCAACAAGCAACAAAGAACCTACAAGAGTTGTCCTGTCAAAGACTCAAATGTAGTTTATGCAGTCTGCATAACTTCTAACTCTGTCAGTAATATTTTAACACTTATTGTAGTGATTGTCGTTCAAAGAAAAGAGGGAAGAAACGGACCGTACTACTCATTCCAACATGTGATTCATATATACGCAGTGATGTGGGTCTCCTTGGACGAGGATGTTTGAACACATATTTCTCCTGAAACAATGGAGTACTTTTTAGGCATTCAGCGAAATCACAGGACCAGAAAAAGGGCACATATATGAAACCCCATATACACAGATAATGCTGGACAATAGTTATGACTTAAATGCTAAATATGTTATCCCTTGGATAACTACATTTTGAAAGAGTTTAGAAAAACACCAAAATAAATGAGAAGATAAAGTAAGTATTGGTTAATACCTCCTCAGCAGGGTCATAATATACTCCATTGTATGGGATCTCGCCTGGTGCCTGGACAGAGTACTTGATCCAAGCTGGAATGGAGTCTTTAATACCAGATGGGGTATCCATGCGAATCTACCAATGCATGAAATCAAATAAAGTTATGGAAAAGAGTTACAGTAATGACAACTTTGCATGTTTTTCCTAAAAGGTACTGGTAACACACTTCTAGTTCTCTGCCAATATCTTTTTCGCATGAGATAGTTAGAAATGCATTAATCAAATCACAACTCTAATAGTTCACTTGAAATGGAAGCTGTTGTAAGTAAGATATTTCTTTCTATAATTTCTGACAGCTGCAAATAAATGAGGAGAAGGACGTGGATTTCCTCCTGAAAGTGATATAGAGAGTGTGCAGTAGCAGCAAGTTGTAATGGAAATAGTTTTATACATCTGAACAATGACTTGAAAACTATTAACATGTCACCTTTACGCGGGAGCCATGGGGAATTGCTGGGGAGCCATCAGCATTATTCGGTAGAAATATTTCCCACACACCAAACTCGTTCTGCTCAAATTTTAGTGATAAGACTATCTTAGATCAGAATTCCAGAAAGTAATAGAAAGGAACAGAATGATAACAGAGTCAAGAATGCCGCCAACAAGAATCACTGAAGGTTGTAATTTTAAGTACCAGCTCAAATGGAAGCTTAAACCATAGATCTCAAATTACAGTGTGCATACCCGAGTCATGACATCGGCCTTAGAATTCCAGTTATTAAAATCTCCAATTAGTGATGCTGCCTGGAAAGGAAAAATTCAGCCAAAGAACTTGTTAGAAAAAAACAGTAGTCTAGATTTTCAATCCGGTGCAGATACATGCATGGAATAAAATACAAAGGACATAACCAATGTCACAACAATATGGCACTACTCTACTTTCATAAATGAGACCCTGTTTGCCCAAGCTGATAATTCATAGTTATGCTAAATACAAAACAATTTGACCAGTTTTTCAATCTGGAACCCAACAACACAGAGAATATGTATTCACCACCACACAAAATTTGATATGGTAGCAATAGGTGTGGATCACATTGTCAATCAGATTGAATGTGGTAGTACAAGAGTTTCAATCCATGATTCTACATATTTCTCAGTCATTAGTACAGATTTTGAAACTCTAATGACTGAGCAAAAATAACACAAAATCATCTCAATAGTTAGGTAAAGAGTTGAGATGAAACAAACCTTAGCTCCTGGTGCCCATTCCCTGTAAGTGATACCAGTGTCGCTAATAAACCAGTGAATCATAATTAGCAACTGCAATACCAACTAACTGTAGGGTATTTACTAAACTTTTACCGTGACTAGACTGCTGAAAATGCAATAATAAGAACAGTTAAAGCTATCGAGACGGCACTTGAATACATTAAAATGGCGTTTACCTTCGAGTGAAGCCAAATATTTCGTAACCACGAGAAAATGCCTCTAGGCCACCTTCATTCTTGTCGATTTCTTCACGCAGTTTTCTGTACTGCCCATATCTGCAACGGCATGCTGGGCAATTAGAATATACCAAAGAACAGAAACACAAGTTTTCAAGCCAGGAGAAGGATGAATATATGAGCATAAACCTCAATAAAAACTAATTTCGCTGTTTAATAGTTTGGTGAGAAAAACGATGATGAGAGACTTTTACTCTTAGCAAACAAGTTAACATATATAACATATTGTTTACCGATAATCAAGATGACCGTTATATTTTTTCAGCATAGGATCAATGTCATATATTTTCTTCCCATCTCCAGGAGGTGGAATCTTCCTCAGTCCAACTTCTTGGACGAAAGACTCTGGCATACTTGCAATATTTGATGTTGAAAGCGCAGAAGTTTGATCTCGTCCCTCCGTTTCCTCGAGTATCTAATAATAAACATTTGAGAACAGCATCGGAGATACAAATACTTTCTCATGCGCATATAAATGCAAGAAACAATGCAGATGCGCTTGAAAGAAGAAAATCATCCAAGAGTCAAACACGTTTTTATGAGAGATTCTTCAATAGTACAACATTCATGGTTAAGTCTCGTCACACCATTACTTTAACTAAGTTTCTGGTTCCATACATAACTTCATTTGTGATACATAACTACATAGCCGAGTAGACAAACAACAAACCTGAGTATCTGCAGAGACAGTTTCTCTAGGTTCTACTTGATCAGTGGCAGCTGAAGAGCTATCACTCTGGTGGCCACCGAGCTTCTCAGATGCTGTGGTAGCTAAGGAAGAAGACTCAGAATCATAGGATGGCTTCCGAGCACAAATCTTCCCTAAGAAATTAGCACAATCCATGTCAAAAAGAACACAAAAAATTTCAGATTCCAAAATGTAAACCACGCACCCAAAATAAAATTCAGTATCATTCCACAGAGCAATCAGAACGGTAACAAGACACTCCTACAAAATTTAACAAATTCACCTGATTAACATCAAACTGGGAAATCTCTGGATACGAAGCTCCTCAAACCGAAGTTTCTAAGATCACAAAAATTCAGGTCACGAACATGTATAAAATTTTCAATATATCTCTAATCATCTAGTAAACTTCCTCAATTCCAACCACAGAACACAACACCCTCCAAGCAAGCAGCAAGCAATTGCAATTTGCAAATAAATGAATGATCCATGAACAACAACAACAAAAATGAAATCCACACATTGACTCCATGAAAATCACCAATCTCGAAACCCGTGCCGTAGAAGTAGATATAAACAAGGAGCAGTACCAGAAGAACGAGAGTCTTTCCTCAGAGAGAAGGAGACGGCGTTGCTTCTCCGATCTTCATTGAAACTGGGGAGAGACGAGTTCTTAATCGACGGAAGATGAGAGAAACGTACGCCTGATATTGTGTAAACCATGGCGAGAGAGAGAGAGAGAGAGAGGGAGAGTTTTGCAGAGAGCTTGGGAGAGAGTGAGGAGCGAAAAAAGCTTGAAAAGAATAAAATCTCCAAAAAAAAAAAAACTAAACGACAAAAAAATAAAATTAATCAAAATCACACGAAGCTCATCAGGGACGGAGCATACTGTGCCACGTGTATGATGTCAGATATTTATATGGGACCCAAACAAGCGTCTCTCGTCCGTTTTCTTCATATGCATCAGAAAGTAGCAGAAACTCATTTCTCAAAAACTCCACCTTTCAAGTTTTAACCCAAAAAAATCATCTTTATCAAGTAAAAATCAGTCAAGCGTTAGTTCTAGTAAGACATGTTTACAATAAGGAAAAAAAGAAGAAAATTTTGTCTTTTTTTACGTTAAAAGAAGAAAATTTTGTGTTGTCAGATTTTTTAGACTGTAAAGGATCTCTTGATTTGGAGGATGAGTCCAAAACTTGTACAAATATCATTCCCATGAGAATCGTCAGAGGATATACCAAGAGAAATGATTTATAATTTGGAAATTATTACCAACCAAATGACAACAAAGATAATATAAAGGGAAAGAAGATTTACATAAATCCATGATTCATCAACTTTCAACACTATTCTACAAAGACTTGTAACTCTAGTAATATGTTTAAGGCTTTGCTTCTTCACCTCCTTTGGAAGTTGAGGTACTTGATACCATAAGCGAAGACAAAGACAAAGAGCAAGATCCATCCGATGTGGACAACAGCCACAACTGGTAAGAAGTCATGTTCAAACCCAAACCCATCTTTGAGCAGCGTTTTGAGACTCGCGTCTCCCACACCAGCGATGTGCACGATCGTATCTTTGTCTCCTACTTGAGATGTAATGATTCCGTACAATGTCCAAGCCACTGGTGTTGCCCAGTAGTACCATCTCCACCATATTGGTATTTGCTGCATTTTAAACATAACTTAAAAGTTAGTTTAGTAGCTCTAAAAAAACACTTATTGTTTTTATCATATTATTATCAAATGGAAGGTTGCTTAGTAAAATTTTACCGGTCTTGGAATGAGGAAACCGGAGAAGAGATTCCATAGACTGAGGAAGAAAGACATGCAGATTCCGGCGATTTGATAGTTTGGTGTCAAGGCCACAAGCATCATACCGTATAGCGTGAAGTAGATGAAGCTTGTGAGCATGTAGTAGTAGAACCACAAGAATTTGGCCGCGGTCCAGTCGTATCCGATCATTGAGTAAAGGATTAGCGTATAAATTGCGGTTTGTATCGTGTTGTATATGATTTCCACCGCCACCTATACAACATTTTAACATTCGTTTAATCCTCTAACCATATATTTAGGATAAGTATATGCATATAATATAACATAAGAAATTTAGAATGGTTAACCTGAGAAATTGCATAGGGAATGGCAGAGTACATTCCAGCCGCTTTTTCGCGGTAGAAAACGGTTCGCTCAGTTGCGACTGCGGGTTGAACGGTTGCAGCGTTTGTGGCGCCGAGGAAGAGTACAGCAGCGTACATAGCTCCAAAGAAATTATTCAAATCTTGCTGTTTCTCTCTGTTTTTTTTTTGTTTTGAAATGAGCCACATGTCACATTTTGATAAAGATGATAAATTTGTTTCAATAATGGAACATAAAAAGGGGAAAGAAGGGCTTACAGTCTTGTTCCTGTCTGCCAGAAAATGAGACCAAACAAGACACCAATGGCTATTGTCATGATAAACCGTATGGCATTGTACTGAGGATATCTCCAGTTTGACCAAAACTGTTTCCAGAAGCAAGCTTTCATTTGAGTTGAAAACGGTTGCGAGTACTTGGTTTTGAAGTAGATATCTTTTGATCCCTGTGGTGGAGTACTTAGCTCTTTGATGAGTTCTTGATTTCTCCTGAAATAGCATCAAACTTTCAGATTAGAAAGAGACAGTGTAACAGTATTAGCAACTTTTTGTTTGTCAAACATACCGATTAAGAGACGAGTTGGCAAATATCTGAGCAAAGTCCACATTCATCTTTGACTCCATTGAAGGAGTTGTTACGTCAAGCATCCACGTGGCAGGATTGTATCCATCAATGATCCTCGGAACACCTTCAACAGCCTCAAAGTATTCAATGAGTTTCTGTGAGTGATGCCCTAGACTTCCAGCATATATTACTTGTCCTCCTCGTTTCATCAACAGAAGCTGCATTACATGATTTTGTTAAATTTTCATTCTGGATTTTTTGAGACTCATTTTTGGAAGGCAACAAACCTCATCAAAGGATTCGAAAATGTCGATGCTAGGCTGGTGAATGGTGCAAACAACTGTTCTCCCTGTATCAACAGTGTTTCTAACAGTACGCATAACAATGGCAGCAGCTCTTGCGTCAAGACCAGATGTAGGCTCGTCCATGAAGATTATTGATGGATTAGCAACCAACTCAACCGCAATAGTGAGCCTCTTCCTCTGTTCTGTTGAAAGACCACTAACTCCAGGAAGACCAACTATAGAGTTTCTAAGTGGTTGCAGCTCCACCAGCTCCATCACTTCTTCAACAAACATCTATCAAATAGGCAAAAAGAGGTTATAAAGATCTTACGAGCGATTAAGAGAAAAAGAGTGAAACTTTTATGGCATGCTTACCTCTCGTTGTTTGGCATCTATATCAACGGAGAGACGAAGCCATGCTGAGTAGATGAGAGATTCATAAACAGTAACATTTGGAGAATGGATGTCATTTTGTTCACAGTAGCCAGTGACTCGAGCAAATGTTGCTTGGTTTTTGGGGTAACCAGATATGCTTATACTTCCTTCGACATATCCTCCTGTTTTCCTTCCGGCTAAGACATCCATTAAGGTTGTCTTACCTGCACCACTGACACCGACCAATGCTGTCAATATCCCTGGCCTGAAAGCTCCACCAACGTCTCTTAGTAACTGAAGACGATCGCCTTCTACTCCTTGTGACTTCATTTCCTGCAAAAAAATGTTTTAAGGAAACAAGAATGAATGAAACTTCAGGTGATAAGTGAAGTCTAGATGTATTAGACTATAAGAGACGCAGTTTTACTTACCGCAGGCATATCTACGTAGTAGTTCACATTGTTGAATGCAAGAGAAAGTGGTTGGAAAGGTAAAACCATTCCTCTCTTTGTCCCATTATTTGAAAGACTACTTAGTTCCACTACAGAACCTGCAAACACATAGAGTCTCTAGTGTGAAGAGACAGAACAATGAAAAGAAAAGATAGCTATATGAATTAAAGAGGCAAAATAGTTCACCTTCTGATTTGTTCCCTTTCTTTTTGTCTTTACTTTCAACCACAACTGTAGATTTGGAATCACCGAACGCTGAAGAAAACGTTTTTGCAAGATTAAAACCATACTTTTCAAGATCTTGTCAACAAGAAAATGGTTCTTGGTTCGAAATCTTGAAATAGGTAGAAAAATCAAAAACAAAGAGCACTTACGGTTCAAAAACATCAAGGCTATAACGTAAAAGAGATTGAACAACAAAGAGAACCCAAGTAGCGCCACGATACAGATCCAAAACCAGTATGGCTCTGTAAAGAAGCCACGGCTCTTCAGAAGAAGTTCTCCAACTGTTTTCGCGTCGATGCGGGGATCAGGGTTAGGCTGCATCACAGATTTTTGCATCACAATTTGGGTGAAGAGAAGTCAATCAAGATGAGAGGAGACTTGATGAAAAAAATTCTTACCGCTCCCCAACGCTCATCCAGAAACTCATTCATAACAATAGCAGTCTGTCCATACATCATAGGAGATATGTAATAGGCCCATGTCAACCATGGTGGGATATCATCTGTGGATAAACAAATTTAAGATATGTTTGACTCTGTAGTTGAAAAAGATCTTATATATGTTTTTGTGATAAGATTCTGCTTACCTTTAGCAACAATGAAGCCTCCAAGAGTAAATACAATTAGCAATGTGAAGGTCCCTACCGAATTAGAGATGACTTCTGTTCTTGCAATGGCTCCAAGAAATCTAAACAAAGAAAGTGCCATCTGATTCACACAGAAGAATGCAAGCAACTGCCGGAAAAACCTAATAGCACAAAGTTTTGGTTAGTTAAAAGAGAAGTGACAAAGTTTCTAAGTGGTATTCATGAGCACTAGAAGCAAGAAAATGTATATCACCTGGCAGCAGAAGGAGCAAAACCAATAGTGTAGTATGTAAGAATGATCCATATTCCTGACTCGATAAGAGACAATGGAATCTTGAGAAGAAACGCTGGCAAGGCAAAAGCCCAAGGAGGATAGAAGAAGAAGTCTCTCTGCTTGTAGAAAACAGGGAGCCTCATGACCGTGAATGCTAATTCAGCCATTCCATTAAACATTACATTGACCAAGCTGAAAAACAGAGCACCATAAAACTTCTGACCATCTTGCACCGTGCCTACATGCATCTCTGTCCTGAGATAGACCGTCATGGCAATAATAGACATGATGGTTATCTGTACGGTCTTGAACACGTACACGAAGGAGTTACGTTTCATGAGCAGCCATTCTCGGTCAAAACATGCCTTGAACAGCTCCCAGTTTGATATACCATACTTTTGCGTCACTAACGCAGCGGGATGGGTTTTAGATTTGTCATAAGGAGCTCTGATATCTGCAGCAAGCTGTTGTCCGGTGTGAAAAGAATTGTAGCCGCTTGAGAAGTCACTCACTGAGACATATCTGTAAGCTTGTTCTCTCTTGTTCCAGTACTGTTCTTGGTCTTTCTTAGACGTAACTTCTTGAAGAAAGTCTGCAACACCTTTCCTCTCAGGGCATTTGAAACCCATGTACTCAAAGAATTCAAGAACGTTGTCTCTAGGGCCTTGGTAGACAATTTCTCCTTCTGAGAGCAAGATAATGTCGTCGAAAAGCTCGAATGTCTCCGGTGCTGGTTGTAGAAGAGAGATAATCATGGTTACATCGGAGATATGAACTAGTTGCCTCATGAACTTGCAGATTTGGAATGTTGTGGAACTATCCAACCCTGTTGAGATCTCATCCATGAAAAGAGCTGTTGCTGGTCCTACCAACATCTCTCCTGCTCAGATTTGGACAAGAAGTCATCCGAGTTATGAACACTGTAATGATATCAAAGTGAACACACTCAAAAAGGTTTTACCTGTAGTTAGACGCTTCCGCTGTCCACCAGAAACACCTCGTCTCATTGCATCTCCAACAAGTACATCAGCACAGATGTCCAGACCAAGTATCTGCCAAGTGGCATTTACCAATAATGAGCCCAAATATTCACTTTCTTTAGTAACAAGAAGAAGCAAGAAGATCTCTACCTTAAGTACATAGTCTGTAACCAAACTAGTTTCTTGTCCTGATATGGCAATAGACTTCATGAAAGCATCAATTTCAGGGTCTGGCTTTATCCCTGCTTCTCTCTCCCTCCTTGAGAGCTCGGTTAGGAGCTGGTACCGAGTCCCAACACCTAGACAGCGTCCAGAGAAATCAAGCGTCTCTCTCACCGTCATTTCACCAAAGTGAAGGTCGTGTTGACTTATGTAGGCACAAGTCTTTTGAGGAACAAACTCGCGAAACTCGTGACCACAGTAAGTTATCTTCCCTCCCATCTGTTTTTGCCATTGCAATGTCAAACAATGATAGACTCGGAAACGTTAAATATGATAGAGAAGAAACAAACATGGAGGGTGTCATCGAGCTTCCCAGCCAAAACTTGTAACAAAGTTGTTTTCCCTGAACTTGGTGGACCAAGTAATAAGGTCATCCTGTAAAAATGTTACAACAACAATCAAATTTTTTAAATAAATTCTTTCTCCTCCCATCTCAAAACATTCCAAACAGAGTCCACACTGTTGTAGCAGTTTCACATTACCTTGATGGTTTGACAATGCCACTGATATTTTTAAGTATCTGAATCTTGCTCTTTTTAGATGGAAGCAGGTGGAATAATCCAAGCATGCTCTGTACAACAAATAACATAAAAAAAAAAAAAAAAAAAAAAAAAATTAAAGGCTTCATCACTTTAGAGGATAAGGTAACCACTAACCAATATAGTAGACAATCATTTAACTGAAAGTTACCCATGCCCATCATCAGTTCATAAATTTTATAGTACACATACAAACTCATAAAGTTTGACAATTTTTTTTTTAAATATGTATAATTTGGACCGACAAGACTACTGCCCAAAAAAGGTGAATATTTATGCCAAAATGCTAAAAGCCGTAAAGTTAGGTTTTATCCTTCTTTCTGAAATCATTTTTTAGATCTTATTTTGTCAACGCCATCGAACAAAAAACAGAGTTACCAAAAAAAAGAATAAAAAAAATTGAGAACCTCTATTGTATTCAAAGTGACGTTGTAGAGAGTAGGAAGAGCTCTGCTTGCACTGCGAATGTCTCCTTCCACTGATATATTCTCATACCTTACTTCAATCTTTGGCACTTCGATTCCCACTCTGTAAAAAAAAAAACTCAAAAATAAAAATTTAATACACAAACTTTCCAGTTTCCACTCTGTTTTTTTTGTAAATTATAAAAATTATAAATTTAAGATTCAGAGAAATGTTCTAAATTTACCGGTCTGTTCTCTCTCTCAATCGGCGAAGAAACTTCTCGTTATCTTCCTCAACGAATTTCAAAATCGTTTCCATTAAATGTTTCTTCTCCTCAGGTGCGAGATTCGAGAGATCAACCTCCTCAAGCCCAACCTTCCCGTTGGCCGTCGTCTGCGGAAGCATCCCTTTTCTTAGCCGGTCGTACGTCGGCAGTCTCTCGAGCGCCGCCCACCGGAGCTCCGCGTCATCTTCGTCCCGCCTGTCGCTTCTCCCGAAGACATCGTCCGGAGAAGCAAACGAATCTCTCAGGCTTCTCGAAGCTTCGACCAAACTCCGCTGGCTCGTGGAAGCCAGACTCCCTCTCCCGCTCATTGTTGATACCAGATCTTCGTCTCGTCCTAGCATCCTCCGCCGCGACGAACGGGTCGTCCGGGTGGAGTTACGACGGAGATTCGAATCTCAGGCCGATTTGTTTACTTCCTCCACTGAATGGGAGAGAGAAAACTTGGAGAGAGAGAGAGAAAGGCGGGTGAAGTTTTTGTGAGTTTCTCAATTTAACATTTCTTGTTAAGACTGAAGTATATAAATTTAGCGTTTGACCCAAAAACAGAAAGAATCTTATTTAAATATATACATTTAGTAAGAACACTTAGCAAATTTATATATCTATCGATAAGATAATACTACATATGCATTTTTATTATTACTATACATACATTGGCGTGTAAACGTAATATTGTAGGTAGAAGAATTTATACTTGTAGTCTTGTACAACTCTTGATATTATTTCTTAACATTCATACCAGAAAGAAAAAAAAAAACTCGTGATATTATAATATGTGTCAATGTTAATTAAGATTGTGATATTTATCAATATGATATGTATCAAAGTTAATTGAGATTGTGATATATGTATTAAAATTAATTAAGATTCTGATATGTTTCGATGTAATTAGAAAGGTATACTTTAAGTTAAAATTTATATACTTAGGGTGATTGATTTTTGTTTTGTTTTTAAATATTTGAAGTAAGATGAAACTTTTCATTTTAATTTTTTTATCTTTCCCTTTTAAAATTTTTGTAAGAAGTTCACTAGAAGGTGGAAGGTGGTGATAGTTTGAAAATTGTAAAAGTAAATATATCATATTTCAAAAAGTATTCAAATATCATTGTTTTTAACTATAAGAAAAATATATTGTAACTAATTATTTTTTTATATATATTGTTATGGTTGCATATTACGACCTGTCAGTCTCTGATATAAATAAAAGTTCAGAAAATACAAAAATGTCAACTGATACGGCAAAGTACAAATTTTAGTAAAAGTGATACTTTATTATTTGTCTTTCAAACGTTTAGGGTCTGACTGGTTTAACCGCTGCGGTTGCGGTTGCGGGAGTTTGCGGCTGCGGGAGTTTGCGGAAGCGGGAGTTTGCGATTAAAAGCTGTTTGTACGACTGGTATAGCAATTCATAGCGGTTGCGTTTGCGGGATATTTTTGACTGGTTAGCCAGCGGGTGCAAGAGCGGTTTAACCAAAAGTTACTAAAATAAAAATAATATATAATTATTCAAAACATTTATAACCATATTAATAATTTTTTTTTTGAAATATATTTTTTGATGAATTTTTAATTTGAAAACTACCCTTTTTTTTTTGGTTTTGAAAAACGTTTAGGGTCTGACTGGTTTAACCGCTGCGGTTGCGGTTGCGGGAGTTTGCGGCTGCGGGAGTTTGCGGAAGCGGGAGTTTGCGATTAAAAGCTGTTTGTACGACTGGTATAGCAATTCATAGCGGTTGCGTTTGCGGGATATTTTTGACTGGTTAGCCAGCGGGTGCAAGAGCGGTTTAACCAAAAGTTACTAAAATAAAAATAATATATAATTATTCAAAACATTTATAACCATATTAATAATTTTTTTTTGAAATATATTTTTTGATGAATTTTTAATTTGAAAACTACCCTTTTTTTTTGGTTTTGAAAAATACACTTTTTATATGTAAAATGATTATTCCTAATTTAATAAAAACGAAATTCAAATAAGAAATATAAAATATTAATATTTGATAATAATTTTGTATCATTTTAACATCCTAATTACCTGTTTAGTTTTTTTTAAACAATTTAATAAAAATATAAGATTGTTTATATAAAGTTTAAATGGGGTGAGATTAAAGTTGTTTATGCAAAGTTTCAAAAATATTTAAATTTTTCAAAAGATAAACATTAAAAATGAAAGATATATTTCTCCACTTTTAAATTTTTAATAATTTATAAACTTTAAATATATGTAAAGTTTTAATTTATTTAAAGTTTCATTTGGTTTGAATGTGTATGAGGTTAAGTTGTTTATATAAAGATCCAAAATATTAAAATTTGTTTCAGTTTAACATATACTATATTTATTTGAAAAAAAACTTATTAGTTTATTATTTTTTTAAATTTTCGTTTATAATTTGTAATTATTTATTATTTTTTTGTTTAAATCACGTCAAAACATACTTTTTACATTTTAAAAGTGTATTTTTCAAAACAGAAAAAATTTAGGGTATTTTCGAAATTTTTAAACATAATTATGGTATTTTTCAAAAAAATATACCCTTATTCCAAATTTGGAGATATTATGTTTTTTTTTTTTTTTTTTCAAACCGCAACCGCCCGCAACCGCAAACGCTTGCGGAAAGGAGCTTTTGATTTTCAGCGATATAGAGCGGTACAGAGTGGTATAGAGCGGTTGAAAGCGGTTGTCGTGATTGTTATAAAACGCTAAGAACCGCTACGAACCGCAAACGCTGCGTTTGCGGGTGGTAGCGGGAGAACCAATCATCACCTAATACCCAAACTTAGTACGTACTTTAAGAAAAAAAAAATTGTTTTGGACGACCAGTGCGGTAAACTAATCAATCAAATTGATGCCACCATCATTAATGGAGAAGTCATTTGATTACACGGATTGAACGTGTTTGTCATGTCAATGGAGTGATGTCATTGCATGTGTAATAGATAAAATTATAAGCTGGCAAAAGAGATCAAAGTCTAAAGTTTCTTTTATTTTCGGCCAATCGAATTTACTATAAGGGAAAGAAACACAACGAAAGTCTTTTCTTACAACATGTGATTATTATTGGGCATTTCCAAACTACATTATTGTTGCAACTTGCAACTACCATAGTTTTGTACAGTTCAAAATAAAATGAAACATGAAGATATATAATCGAAAACAATAAAACCAAAATATTGTCCTTTAAAATGACAGAACATTTTGAAACAGTAAAAATATAATTATGGGATGATGGTACCATAAGAGATGAAAGTTCAGTTTTAATTTTATTTGGTAAAGTATATGACAAAATGAAAAAAATTCAAAACTATTTTGCTTACATTTTCGTTCTCACCACTTCAAAACGATAGGAGTACACGTTGTCAATTGGAGCCGTAATATACGACCATCTCTGACTCTCACTAATCAAATTCTATCAACGACTATATAGTTACATTTTTTTGTAGTCTAACGTCAGCTCGATCGTCCGTCGATGGTAGGTATATCCGGGGAGAATAATCAAGAGCTATAGTTGAGTTTTAAATCACGAGTGTTCGTCGTTCATTTTCCGCCAGATGCACTCGGGGCAAATCTTCGACATTTTTGGGTAACGCCATTTCTCATTAATCAAGCGTATTTAACACGTGTTTTTTTTGTACTAAAACGACAAAAATCATTATCTCAAATGGTTGACAATGGGTTTCATGCACTTTTGTCAGCTTAAATATGTTTGACTGAATATTGCATCACAATCTTATGGAAGTTTGAATAAAATGCCATCGAAAAACCATTCGTATACCTAGCCGTGGGCACAAAAACCCGAACCGAACTGAACTGATTTTGATGAAACCGAACCGAACCGAAAACAGCACAAAACCCGAATGGTTTTTAGATTTCTAAATCCGAAAAACCGGAACCGAAACCGGACCGAACCCGAAGCGAACCGAAAACCGAAAAAAATACCCAATATATAATTATATATATAAATAACTAGCTATATTAATTTTTATAGTAACCAAACTATCTAAATTATAATTTTATACTGAATATATTAGGTATAATTAGAATAAAATAACCAAAATATTTAAAATATCCCAGATCTTGTAATAATATTTATTTAAACTCAATTTTATTTGCAAAATTTAGTTTAATTTAATTTAAACTATTTTATTTTTATTTTTTTATCCCATGTTCCAGCACCTGAAACCGATCCGAACCCGAATAAAACCGAACCGAAATCGAACCGAATCCGAACATATAATGAAAAAAACCGAATGGTTTTTATATCTTTATAACCGAAAAAACCGAAAACCGAAAAATCCGAACCGAAAAACCGAACGCCCAGTAGGAAATAAATAAGAACTGGCTTCTGTTTTACCCTTTACACTTTACAGTAGGAAATAAATAATAGTGTACTCGTTAGCAAATCAAAATATAATACTTAGTTCTGGTAATTGGGGACCACAAAGATTCTGGTAACAGATAATAGTAAAAATACCAATATGAAAATAATAGTAATACATTTCAGCACATTTAACTCTTACCGTTCTTGTGATTGGTCATAAAAGAAACGCTATCCCTTACAGCTATGGTAAAGAGTTGTCATGTGATTTCAGATACAGTCCACTCAAATGGGACAAAGCAAATCTTTCAAGATTTTAACTTTGAAGGAAATCCATATTTAATATTATTGTTGGATCCAGATTCTACACTTGGAATCTAGACCTTAAGGGTCTATTACCTTGATCCAAGATTGAAGTCCAGACCTCGAACCCACCAAGCGACTCCCTTGTAAACCAGTTAACTGCCATCCGAGCTATTCCGGCGACGTAAAGACGAGCTCCAGCTCGATCAAGGACCAGGTCGGCACTGCGAAGAAAGATGAAGTTAAAGAAGATCCCCTTCAAATCCGGTCTGGTCCGAGATCACCGGGATCGTTAGCTGCACGTGGCGAGATACACGGAGGTGGATCGTAGCTGATTCTGGAGCTATAAAAGGAGCTTGAAAACAGTCGGATCAGGGACACATCTTCTTCCGATCACTTTAGACCTAATTACTATCATACTTTCTTTGTATTCACCTTTGAGCTTAGTTCTTTCTCTCTTCTGAGAATTCATTGTAACCAAATTCATTCGTTTAATACAATTCCGTTTAGCCAAATCCTTGCTTACGATTCATTCGACTTACATCAAAATCTAGCCCTAAATCTCCCTAAGTTTCTTCCTTGCAAAACCTATAAATTTCGAGTGTGGTTTTCATAGCCACATTTTGGCGCCGACTGTAGGGAGGAAACATAGATTTTCTTACACAAGGGTCGAACCTAAGCCAGGTAAGAGCGAAAATGGATACTATCCGGTCGCAAACCCAGGGATCTAACTCCCAAAACTCGATCCCATCGGATCAGATCACCTCGAACATCAGTAGCAGCCAAACTGCTGATGCATCGAGAGATCAGATCGCGCCGAATGTTGGTAGCCGCCAAACTGCCAACACTTCGAACACGCCGATCACATCTGCTACCGCCTCCACTGGAGTGCAGCTTAGCACTCCACCTCGCGTGGAACCAGTGGTGATCAATCTCGCCACGCCGGTAGCAACCCCGAGCCCGATTCTACCGAATCTGGGTTCGCACACCATCGAGAGACCTCTCTCTCGAGTTTGGGTCAGATCGGAAGATCCCCCAACAACTGTGACTCCACAGAGTCGGACTATTCCTGTTCGACCTGCATCTGCGACGTAAACTCCTCCGCGAGCTAGTCCAGATGATCTGGCACAGATCAGACAGCTTCTCACCAACCTGGTAAACGGTCAGCGCGACCACGAAACTAGGCTGGAGAGACATGAGAGACGCCTCGCTGAATCTCGAAACATCACTAGCCCGCCTCCGCGGACTCAGCTCGATTTTTCGACGATCTACGCATCTGGCATACCTCAGGCGCAATTCGTTACGCCTTCGCGACCTCAAGTCTCTCAGACTTTCGGTCCACCGCCGAGCTCGCCACCAGTTGGCATAAACAATACGAGCTCGCACCCAAGCGAGACGAGAGCTCAACCGAACGTTCCGCTCTCATCTCCACCCCCAGGGCCACCTGGTACCGATCCAGCTAGGCCTAGGTGGTTTGGCGCTTCAGCTTTTGCCTCGAGCTCGCAGGCAATGCCTCAGTTTGAGAATCAGCTAGGCGCGACATACGGTTCACAGCCCTCCGCAACAGCGCGAGAGCACGTGAACGGGAATTATCAACAATTCCCTAGCTCGAACGGTCAGCCCAATCGAGCTCAGTTCCTGATATCGACAGAGTGATTAAAGAGTCTAGACGAACTCCTTTTTCACTCAGGATCAAAAATACCTATATCCGAGATACCAGCAAGCTGCGTATCCCAGAATACTCTGGTAACAGCGATCCGAGAGCTTACATGCGAGCTTTTAACCTCGTCGTATCTCGAGTTCCTTTCTCTCCAGAAGAGATAGAAGCAGCCTACTGCAGGCTCTTCGCTGAGAACCTGATCGGACCAGCTCAAGAATGGTTCTCAACGCTGGACGAAAACTCAATCGATAATTTCGACCAGCTCCAATCAGCCTTCCTAAAACAGTATTCGATCTTCATCGAATCTAAAATTACGGAAGCAGACCTTTGGAGACTTTCTCAAGGTCCAAAGGAATCACTTCGATCTTACATTGACAGATTCAAATCAGTCAAAGCTAAGATCACAAACCCTAATGAGGCAGTAGCTCTACTTGCCCTCAAAAACAACTTGTGGTACGAATCGAAATTTAGAGAAGAACTAACTGTTCGACCTACAATTTCACTAGATGACGCATTACATCGCGCATCAGCATTCGCAACTCTCGAGGAAGACACAGCTCTCCTCAGAGAAAAGTACCTCAAAGGGGAGCTCGCATATGCTCCACCAGGTGCTAAGAAAACTGCACCAGCTAAACCACCTTCGCAGAGTAAAGGACAACATTCCTACTCTATCGAAACTTCAGCTCCCATAAAGAGCTCGGAGGAAGAAGAGAAACACTGCGATATTCACAATACAAACGGCCATTCCACAGAGGAATGCCGTGCTAAAGGCAAAAAGTCTAGCAAAAAGAAGGGAAAAAGCAAAACAGCTGAAACCGCGGTTAAGGCCGAAAAGCCAAAACCCAAACCAGCTAAAGACTCCGACAACGCACCTCAGAAAAGAGAACGCGAAGTCGAGGTCGAAGCTCCCGATTCCCCTCCTTCTAACAGGAAAAGAATCGACCTAATCTTCGGAGAGCTCAGCCTTTGCGGCGGCTCAACGAGATCCGTGGTCACCCCCCCACCCGCTCCTAGAAAGGCTACGAGCTCTAGCTCACACAGACCTCCTAGACTTGTCGGGGGGATAGAGCATTCTTACAGAAGCTCGCCTGTTACATCACCTACCTCCAGACCCGATACTAAGAGCATTGCGATCTCTTGCTTACGCAGACTTCACAAGCTCTCGGGGGGAGTAGAGCCACCTACCCCTAAACGAATTGACTTCATTTGCGGTGGCTCGAAGATGTGCAAAGACTCGATTAACTCGATCAAAGCACATCAGCGACGGGTCGAGTCATCTGGACAACCACGTCCTCTAGACGGACCTGATCACGAAATCAAATTTCGAGAAAGCGAAACACTCGCACTCGATAAACCTCATGACGATGCACTCGTAATCGAGCTCGCCGTAGCCGGATTCGAGCTGACCAGAGTCATGATAGACACAGGAAGCTCTGTAGACGTGCTGTTCTACGATGCTTTCAAGCGAATGGGATTCGAAAACTCCGCACTCATAGGAGGCCGTACGCCCCTAACTGGGTTCGCAGGAGAAACGACCTATTCCATGGGAACTATCCAGCTCCCAATCAAAGCAGGTGGTATAACGAAAACAGTTGACTTTGTGGTCGTAGATCGCCCCGCGCCATTCAATGCCATTCTCGGCAGGCCGTGGCTCTACACCATGAAAGCAGTTGCATCCACTTACCACCAATGCGTCAAGTTCCCTACACCTTGGGGAACAAAAACAATTCGCGGTTGCCAACGAGCTTCCCGAGATTGCTATATGGGCAGCTACTTGCGAGCTGAAAAATCGCCAGTATAGCAATTACAGAAAGAAGAGGAGCTCGCGATTCGGCAGATCAAACATGGCAAAGATCCGACCGTCCGCGAACCTCGAAAAGACTTGGTCACTCAGGTTTGCATCGACGAAACCGACCCCGAAAGGCGCGTTGGTATCGGAATCGATCTCGCAAAACCTATCCGTGACGAGCTGATCGCCTTCCTAAAGGAAAACATCAGCACATTCGCATGGTCCACCGCGGACATGCCCGGGATTGACACTAGGATCACGTCTCACGAGCTGAACGTAGATCCCACGTTCAAACCCATGAAACAAAAACGTCGAAAACTCGGCCCAGATCGGGCTAAAGCAGTAAACGACGAAGTAGACCGACTACTCAAGGTAGGCTCGATCAGAGAGGTGAAATACCCCGACTGGTTAGCTAATCCTGTAGTTGTCAAAAAGAAAAACGGAAAGTGGAGAGTCTGTATCGATTTCACAGACCTTAATAAAGCTTGTCCAAAAGACAGCTATCCACTTCCTCATATAGATCGCTTGGTCGAAGCTACGGCTGGTCACCAGCTCCTATCCTTCATGGATGCGTTTTCTGGGTATAATCAAATCAAGATGAACCCAGAAGATCAGGAGAAAACAGCTTTCATAACAGACCGAGGTACTTACTGCTACAAAGTAATGCCATTCGGGCTAAAAAATGCGGGAGCTACATATCAGCGCCTCGTAAACAAAATGTTTGCCGATCAGCTCGGTAAAACAATGGAGGTGTACATAGACGATATGCTGGTCAAATCCTCTAGGGAAACAGACCACGTCGCACAGCTCCGGGTATGCTTCTCCATACTTAACAAGTACGGCATGAAGCTGAACCCGACTAAGTGTACATTCGGAGTTCCGTCTGGCGAGTTCCTCGGTTACCTAGTAACTGAACGCGGAATCGAGGCGAACCCGAAGCAAATCTCTGCCCTCTTAGATATGCCTTCTCCAGAAAATACTAGAGAAGTACAACGGTTAACCGGTCGAATAGCAGCCCTTAATAGGTTCATTTCCCGGTCAACCGACAAGTGTCTTCCATTTTACCAGCTCCTCCGAGGAAATAAAAAATTCCTCTGGGACGAAAAATGCGAAGAAGCTTTCAAACAGCTCAAAACTTACCTCAGCGAACCTCCTATACTGGCAAAACCAGTAGAAGGAGAACCGCTATACCTTTACATCGCGGTCTCGCCTGCAGCGGTCAGCGGGGTCTTAGTTCGTGAAGAGCTAAACGAACAAAGACCAATCTTTTACGTAAGTAAATCCCTGATTGATGCCGAGACTAGATACCCAGCTATGGAAAAACTTGCCTTAGCAATAGTAATGTCCGCTCGCAAGCTGCGACCTTACTTTCAATCACACACAATCGTGGTGATGACCTCGCAACCATTGCGAACTATGCTACATAGTCCAAGTCAATCTGGACGACTAGCTAAATGGGCTATCGAGCTCAGCGAATACGACATCGAATATCGAACTAGAACCTGTGCTAAAGCCCAGGTACTAGCTGATTTCATGATCGAGCTGGCACCGGAAGCCAATAACGATACCACCCTCTCTAAAGTTTGGACACTCTTCGTAGATGGAGCCTCGTCCAAACAAGGAGCTGGCGTCGGAATCAAACTCACATCTCCAACCGGAGAAGTGATCGAACAATCGTTCAGACTCGGATTCGTCGCCTCTAACAATGAGGCCGAATACGAGGCACTCATAGCCGGACTCCGACTCGCAATCGGGATCGGCGTGAATGAGATCAACGCATTCAGCGACTCCCAGCTCGTTACTAGCCAATACAGCGGCGAGTACGAAGCAAAAGAGGAGCGCATGGAAGCTTATCTCAAAGTAGTTCGAGATTTAGCTGGACAATTCAGTAAATTCGAACTAACTAGGGTGCCTAGGGGAGAGAACACTTCGGCTGACGCCTTAGCTGCTCTCGCCTCCACTTCGGACCCAACTGTAAGACGTGTGATCCCAGTCGAAGGCATAGATAAACCTAGCATCGACATCGCACTCAAGTCTGACAGTATAAACGCAATCACCTCGCGCCCGTCTACTCGTTCTCAAACTAGACAGTCCCAAGATCCGGGACCATCTAACCCGGAACCTGATTCCGAGGAAGAAGAACCTGTCCAAGATAGGCAAAAAACAAGGTATATCGATTCGGACTCTTCGCAAAATACGCAAGAGTCCACGATCCATACCGTCCCATCTGCTATGGCGAACGAACTCACCTTAAAGGAAGAGTTCGCTGCGAGACCCGACTGGAGAACCCCTATCATGGAGTATATCCAGCTCGGAGCCGTCCCAACGAAAAATGGGCTTCTCGCAAGCTAAAAGCCCAGAGCTCGCATTACTGTATAATGGAACCATAAATTGTACAAGCGAAGTCTTATCGAACCATATTAACGTGTGTTCACGGTAAAGAAGCTTACACCGTAATGCACGAGACTCATCAAGGACCTTGCGGAAGTCATTCCGCAGGCCGAGCTCTCGTCATACGGATAAAAAGCTAGGCTACTTCTGGCCAACAATGATAGCGATTGCGAGCAGTATTCTAGGCGATGTGATAAATGCCAGAGGCACGCCCCAAGCATTCACGTCCCAGCTGAAACACTCTCGTCGATCTCTTCACCTTATCCTTTTATGAGGTGGTCTATGGACATAGTAGGGCCTATGGTCTCTTCGGGACCAAAGCAATTCCAATACCTACTAGTCCTTACCGACTACTTCACTAAATGGATCGAGGCCAAACCATACCAACAAACGACCGAACTCGAGGTCCGGAAATTCATCTGGAAAGACATCATCTGTCGACACGGGCTCCCTACGAGATCGTGACAGATAATGGATCTCAGTTCATAGCTCGAACATTCAAAGACTTCTGCAAGAAGTGGAACATACGCATAACGTATTCCACACCTCGTTATCCTCAAGGAAACGGGCAAGCTGAAGCAACAAACAAAACCCTCTTGAGTAACCTCAAGAAACGGCTCGACGCCCGTAAACATAGGTGGTCCGAAGAGCTCGCAGCAGTTCTTTGGGCTTGCCGAACTACCCCTCACAAAGCTACTCATGAGACCCCGTTCTCATTAGCTTACGGGCTAGAGGCCGTCATCCCAACTGAAACTTCCGTTCCAAGTCTTCGCAGGATGCAATGTCCAGCGAACGTCGAGCTGAACGAAGAAATGTTGAGAGATCACCTTGACCTTATCGACGAACGTCGAGATCAAGCTCTGATCCGGATACAAAACTATCAACAGGCCGCAGCTCGCTATTATAATTCCAAGGTCAAGCACCGAAGATTTCATATAGGCGACATGGTCTGAGAAAGTACAAGACTATACCAAAGAGCCCGGTGCGGGAAAACTTGGGACCAATTGGGAAGGTCCCTACCTCATAACCGATGTAGTTCGCGATGGCGTCTACAAGCTCACAAAAGTCAGAAACGGAATACCTGAACTAAGACCTTGGAACGCGATGAACCTGAAAAGGTACTATCATTGAAAAGGATCTAATCTGAGTATCTCCACCCCTCGAACTACGTTTAGGCTTGATCCTCCTTCCCTGGGGGTACGTAGGCAGCTCAACCACGAGTCCAGCCCCAATCCGAATTTACTTCGTTTTATTTGAGACGACCTCATTGGCCGGCCCTAAAACGGGCTCGATTTGTATCATCTCGAATATTATACTTAAATAAAATGTTTTCTATGTTTATCACTACGAATTGCTCGAATCGACTCAGCAAGTCCTTAAGGAAATTCCGAATTACTTAAGCGTATCAATTTACGTCGAAAACGCCTGATCTTGCGTGACCTGAAAAGAAATCGAGCTCTTTCCAACGGCCAGATCTTATCTTCACCTCGAAGAAAAGAAAAATTTAATGCCTTAGGCAATTTCCAACGACGAGATCCCCGCGATCTTTTACCCCGTTCAAACTGTTGCGGATAAGCTCGAATATACCCCGAATCGAGGAATTCGAATTTAGCCCGGCAAAAGTTTGAATTTTTGAAAATTGAAAACAAACCGCCCATTTTAAGTTCGAAACTCACTTAAAAGGGTTGGGGGGCAATTGTTGGACCCAGATTCCACACCTGGAATCTAGCCCGTAAGGGCCCATTACCTTGATCCAAGATTGAAGTCCAGGCCCACTCAAGCCCAGCAAGAAGACCTCGAGCCCACCAAGCGACTCCCTTGTAAGCCAGTTAACTGCCATCCGAGCTATTCCGGTCGACGTAAAGACGAGCTCCAGCTCGATCAAGGACCAGGTCGGCACTGCGAAGAAAGACGAAGTCAAAGAAGATCTCCTTCAAATCCGGTCTGGTCCGAGATCACCGGGATCGTTAGCTGCACGTGGCGAGATACGCGGAGGTGGATCGTAGCTGATTCTGGAGCTATAAAAGGAGCTTGAAGCAGTCGGATCAGGGACACATCTTCTTCCGATCACTTTAGACCTAATTACTATCATACTTTCCTTGTATTCACCTTTGAGCTTAGTTCTTTCTCTCTTCTGAGAATTCATTGTAACCAAATTCATTCGTTTAATACAATTCCGTTTAGCCAAATCCTTGCTTACGATTCATTCGACTTACATCAAAATCTAGCCCTAAATCTCCCTAAGTTTCTTCCTTGCAAAACCTATAAATTTCGAGTGTGATTTTTATAGCCCACAATGATGAATTTGGTCTTGCTTGCAACTTTTGGAACGATTATTTGTTTGTTATATATAGATATTAGACAAAAATAACATAACGTAACATAGTTAGATAGTAAAAAAACACATACGATATACTTATATGCTAATTAGGAGTGTGGCTGGTGATTAGAGGGGAACAAAAAGAAGTGGGATGTTTCTCTCCCGACTCTGTTTTGTGTTTTTGTTCTTGTGCTTTGGTTTTTCTCATTGGAGAAAGATGAAATATAGTTCATCTCCATTCTTCTTTATTGGTAAAGTTTATCTACCATATCTTCCCTTTTTTTTCTCTCTTATGTGTAACCTCCCATTCTCTTGCTTTTATAAAGTGTAAAATCTAAAATCTTGAAGAATTGAAGGCTAGTTCTGAAGAGAAATAAATTTCAAGAGTACTTTGAGGGCTGGATATATTATTAATTTATTATATATAATAAAAAAATTATATTGGTAGGTAATAAATAGAAATGAACGTGACCACACATATGTGGATGAGAAGATCGGACGGCCAAGAAGTAAACGAAAGAGATACAGCACCCCACGAAGTAAGGGATTTTCATCACATGACAACAGTCTTCATTTGGTTCTTCCCCATGCAGTCCATAAATACAATAATAGGACTTTTTTCTCGGTATAATACAATAATAATGATCACTGGCATCATATCCACCACAATCATTAACAATAGAGAGTAGTTCATACTTTTTTCTGTTTCTGGAAAAATGAATTTTCTGGAAGAAAAAAAAAGTTTGTTTCAAAAAGATTAATTTTTTATTAGTTAACAATGATGAATTGTAAGTGATAAGAAAATTGACTCAAATTATTAAATTATCATTGGTGAAGTTTTACTTTGTGTTTTTTATATGTGTGAAAACTTTTGAAAGTTTATACTATTTCAGAAACAGAAGGAATAAAAAAAAATCGAAGCATTTAATATTTAGAGAGTTCCCAAAATATTTAATTGTTTGTTTACTACAAAAATGTTGTAGCAAAACAGCCATGACATGTGCTCAACAAATTCTTACTGTTTCATGAAGTTTGTACGTCTCTCAGTCATGTTTGTTCAGCACTAAACGCATTGCACAAGTTTTGGAACATTTACAACCTTTTAGGAAGAAAACATTTATAAATTAAACCAAATCATGGCAGCAAATTGGTGAAACTGTAAATAGCATATCTTTATGATTGATTATTTTTGCAGCCACTCGTTATAACACATTCACATGAAACAAGAAGATTCCGTAGTAGTGTATTGAATTTATCGTGAGATCAATATTTTAGAGACGGTCCAAATTTCCATGTCCCCGTAAGCTTGTTAACTAAATTTTATTCTGGGTTATCCCAACCCATTTTGTTTTTTTAATCTTTTGTAATTTAATAATGCATGTACACATGCTCATGTATAGCGTCACCTATGACGAAGTGTATTTTTATTTTGATTATTATTCTTTTCTTTTCCAAAATATAGTATAAGCGACTAGAGTGTCATTAGTTGTAACTTGTAAATGTATTTATATGGACGGTGACATGACTTCGTACGTTAAGAGTTAAAACAGTGCACATTCGTTACATTGGACCTGTCACAAACACAAAACTTTGATTGCACGTTACAAATACATATACGCGTTAAGTACGTCAATAATATAGGATCCCAAATAAATACTATTATTGGGTCAATTGTATGTTCCTAAGCTTTACATCCCTCCAGCTTAAACGTCAAGAGTAATTTTTAAAAATAATTTCGTCAACTACTGGTTGAAAAATATTCCGTCAGTCGATGGAAATAGTGACTTTCTCAGTGTTTTAAAAAAAAAATCTTCTACCAAACGATTTCTTTTTAGACACTGCCAAACTTTAAAGAAAGGTCAAAGATTGCAAATTGTGTTGGTAAAGAAAATAAAATTGAAAATTGTCAACAAAAATAGCTCAAAAGCCAATCCTCTATAATTCTAAAAACTAGAATATACTTCCTCCGTTTCATAATAAGTGTCATTTTGGCAAAATGAATGTGGACTTACCCAATACATCTATATATATTTAGATACATTGGGTAAATTAAAAGTCAAAACGACACTTATTATGAAATGGAGGGAGTATTAGTTGTAGAAAATTAAAATTGTGGTACAAGTAAAGAGACTCAAGACAATTAATTATCTAACTATTTGTACTACTCTACATTTTGTAAACGTTTTTAATCTCGATCGAAAAATACTTTAAGAGCAAAAAACATCAAAACCAAAATGGTCAGAGAATTTTCCATCAAAAGCAATCTACAAAAGGTATAAGTAATGGGACCCTATAAGTAATAGTATTCACCAACGGCCAACTATATAAAATCGAAGTTAAACTGTAATCCACCAAATTAATTGCCTTTATTGCTAGAGTTAGAGACGGTACGGTACTTATTGTTATTTTTACCAGAAACCATTCTATTATAGTCACAATCTACTCCAGAAATATCGTTAGTTAATCATCTGAAAATGATCTTGATTAGGACAATTTTTAATAAATAAAACCCGGCTTGATAATAATTTGCTAAGTTGACTTTCAACGGATGCTACGTGTCCTTTAGTCAACTCCTATGTAATGACAACTTTCTTTAGTGATTTCTATTCAGCATTCAATTCATTTATCAATCGGATAAGATAACCAATCAAACACCACACTCAAAGACTAATCAACTTTCTAAACCGCACTTAAAAAAACCAAACTCGAAACCAAAATCTTTCAGTTACATCAATAAAATAAAAACAACTTGTATACTCTTTGTGTGTATAAGCTGTAATCAAAGTCTTTGTTTGAGCAGCGTCTTAGTGTAGTTTTGGCCATTCCAAAACATAACAAGCGTCTCTCTATGCACTGGAGGCAAGTCTCTTCCCAGAACGCATCTCTGAGACTTGCATCTACTGATCTTCACTATGCTTAGGAAACGACCTTCTTCTTCCTCCTGCCAATCCAAAAAAATATCCAAGAAACTTGCCATGTGAATCTTTGGATCTAAAGCTACAAACAATGTTTTGATATGATGTTCTCTAGCTACGAAGAAACCTTCAGTATGTGTTTTGTTCTCTGTTGCATTTTCTTACCTCTGGGACATCGAAATTGCCTTCCTTTGCATCACACATGTCCAGAGATACCAGCCGAAGCATTGGAAACTGCTCATTGTTTAGATCAATTGAGCACAAAATACAAATCATTGCAACAACACTAAATTTCTTTACGTAGATATGCATGAAGGTGCCTGAAAATATACCTTCAAAGCAGCATCAAGAAGGAAGCTTTTCTGTATCCCAGAGCCCTGCATGAACAGAGAAAACCGAACCGTTGGTAAAGCTTGGCACGTCAAAGATTTTATAATTCTTTTTTGAGGGCAATGCAACATAGCACTAAAAGACTAGTGCGGACTTATAGAAGAGAGAACTCACGTTGTGGCGAAGTAAAAGATCTTCGAGAGCAATGCAGCCGTACAGAGAAGCCACACCATTCTCTGTTATTCTTCCACATTCCTATCAATGATCCAAACATGGTTATGAACAAAAAAAGACTTGATAAGCAAGTTACTACTGTTGTTCTAAAAGGTTCATGTTTAAGATGAAACACAATCTTGCGGATTACTAATAAGCTAAAGGGCCATAGAAAACCTCCAGATGAAGAGAAATCATTCCAGGCCATCCAGCTGAGATGATAGGTTGAGAATCTGAGAGATAAAACAAGAAAAAATCAAGAAATGGCAATGGATTATGAGGTTAGATGATTTGTTTTGTACCTGAATCTAAGTGTAAACATCCTAGTAACGAAAGCTCGGTCAAATTCGGACAGCTTTGCGTGAGAACAAACAAATCATCATTGGTCATCCAACGAGCGACCCTCTCAAGCCTTAGCTTTCTCAGATTCAGCATAGAGAACTTGAAGCTTTCAACTGATATGTCACCGAAACAATAGGACAAAGCCAACTCTTCTAAATGCTTCAACGATGTCACAATACTTGTCAATGAAGAATCAGATATTTCCTGGCAAACCAAAAAAAAAGTCAGTTATACTTATATCTTTCAGTAACTCCCTTTGAAATTCTAAAGAACAAGAACTACCTGGAAACAAAGGACGATAGACTCTAGCAAAGGACATGTCAAAGCTAGAAGCTTTAAAGCATCTTCACCTAAAGAAGCTCCCAAACCAACACTTATAGCTCGTAGGCACGAAAGTGAAGGTCTCAAAGACTCAATAGAGAAATATGAAAACCCCCAACCAATCTCAAGCTCCTCCAATCCATTTCCCTTGCTTAAACCATTAAACACTTCTTGGCAAGAAAGCAACGGAGAGAAATCGTCATCAATCTGTGACTGAAGCAGATTTTTACATCCCTTGGCTTTAAGGCTTTTTAGATTAGGATTTTTGCTAATCACTTTAGCAAGAGCCATACTAGATATCTGTAAAAAAGCTCCAAATTTAGCATTAGTACTTCAGAGCATCACTTGAATGTGCCTAACCAATGAATGACTGACCGTGGTATTTGAAATATCAAGTGCTTCCAAGGAAGAGCCAGAGAATTCAGATAACACACAGTCTGAAACTTTTGTATCCCTTAAGCAGAGGCTCTTCATTTTCTGTGTCCGAGATATCAAGTTTAGAAGTGATGTCTCACTGATTCCTGAAAATGTAACACTAAATCTAAGTAAGAAGCCATGAATTTTTACAATAAAGAGAGAGACTGAAATGGGACAAGATACACACCCTCGCATTTACTCATGTGCAGTATCTGAAGATTGGGTGCTAATGAAGTTGTATCCACATGCTCATTGGTCATAGAAACACTAGCGCACAGTGCCAAAACCGAATTCTCCGAGAAGGATGTATAGCTAACTACGAGAGAGCTTAAGCTTTTACACCTCTGTATAACATATGCTATGCATGCATCTGAGAGTAGTGCACACCCTTTTATGTTCAGGTAACACAACGAATCACATAATCTAGAGATGCTCCGCAGATCCGTATCTGTCACATATGCAAAAAATAAGGCATCAATCAGCTACAGAAACATACAGTTTAGCGACCTTGTAGTTTACTAGCAGCAACAAGACTAACCACATATATCACTTCTACCCTCCAGCGTTATTCTTGTGATATTCGAGAGCGAATGAAGATCTTGGCAAGATCCAGAGGAATGACTTCCAGATGTTAAGAAGATGATGGGTGGGGTTTGAGCTAAACCTGGACTTGAGTAAAACACAGATGCTTGAGCCATTATTATAGGAACAATATCGACTGTTAAATCAACTTCAGTAAGCTGGCGAAAATCCTGGAGGAGTTGGAGCATAGTGGAGACCTTGATGCTAAAGAGATAAGCAGCTCTCAGTTTTCTTAATGATGGGAATGACTTAGAGAAGCACTTGATGGCAAGACTATAATCAAGACTCTGACACTTGGAAATATCAACCTCTTTCACCATTTCAAAAGATAGAATTGGTAAAGTTGAGAAACTTTTTAAAGACTTTCTCCACATGGGGTTTTGGAAGTATGAGTTGGGAAGTAGTGACATTAGCAGAATGGCTTCATTTAACTGTGGGCATCCTGAGAGGTCTAATCTCTGATTCAGGAAACAATTGACACAAAGCTTTTCAAGGACTCAACTACTAATCAAAATGATCAAGGAAGACACTTCATATGAGAATAGATACCTCTGTGTATTCAGTCAGACGAACTCTAAGATCAGCAGGAGGTCCATCTCTTAGGCTATCGACCAAGCATGTGGATGACATTTTCGTTAGTTTAGTAACCAATTCAACGCTTTGATCAGCAAACTTTGAGAAACCGTGAGACTTGCTTCTTCCTCCTGAAATATGGGAACAAACTCAACTCAATGTTCCGGCTATATTGCCAAGTAGGAGATATATCTTATCATGACATTACCTGCAATAAACCACAGTGGCAAAAGACTAAAACGGACCTGTAATATTGAATTTGACCAGAAAATAACCTAAAGTGAGAACTACAGTTCCATGAAAGCTAAACTAAAAACTAATTCATCTCTGCATAGGTAACGGACCTTCTAAAACATTACCTGTTCCATCAAGTTGATTACGTTATCCTGACCACTCTCTGACAAGTCAAACATTCTTTTGTCGGCATCAAGCCAAACAAGAAGTGCCTCAGCAAGATGCATCTCGCTGTCAGAGTTTAGCCAAAGGTGAGAATCTTAGGTATGTTTTTGCATTAATAAGATTAGGAAATTAGCACAAACATACCTATGTACAGTCAGATGAGCATCTTTTATGCAACACATCAACAACTCATAAGGAACATTTCCAAAACACTTATCATGTTTTATCAACATCTGCAAAACACATTAGGATCATTTATCGCTACCAGTTAGATCTTTTACATATTATTGATAGGCTAAAGAGTTAGTGATTAAAGGTACATACGAGATTCTTTGCAAGATAGGCTGCACAGAGATCTGGCACAAAGTCTGCAGCTGTAAGTATCACAAGTCATGTGTTTTAAGAGTTACAATGATATCAACACCTAACATAGTGAAGCATGATTCAACATCAAATGAATATTTAGAAGAAAAAAAATGAACTAATTTGATAACTGGAGATCCTAACCACGCTCGAGACCAAAAGTCCACATCTGAACAAGGTCAGGCAGTTGTATTTGTGGTGATTCGTGGACATTCGATGATGCCACCATCGAAAGCCAGCTGTTGCATTTAGTGAGAAGCCTCTCCACTCCAAAAAAGAGTGCAGCCTATAGTATCAATTCTCATACTTCCATAATTTAGCATGTAACAAGAGAAAACACACACAAAAAAAATGAAGAAGAAGGAGAAAGATTAATACAAACAGCTTACATCGAATAGAGGTAAGAAACTAGTGGATGTAAGATCAATGGCGCAATCATACATAAACATCAGAAGATACAAGAAAGTCTCTTGGTTCCATTCGATAGAGATATGATCAAGGCCTGATTCACTGTTACAAATCCAATTTCAATCAAATCATCCGCACTCTGATTGAAAACTAGACACAAGTGGTGTACATGCGTATATATGTAGGAATCAGAAACTACCTGAAGTTCCCGCTAAGAAGGCCATGGAAATACGAGGACTCTTGAATGAGCCTGCATAGAAGAAACGGAAACCTCTAATCACTTCACTAATAGTACTAAAAAGGATCGAGCTTTGGGATGAGGAATTGTTACGAGACTTGCCTGGCTCGATGAGCTCGGACTTTCAGTCTTCCGGAGCAGAGTATCTCTGACAAATCCCAGGATGCAATTTCCGAAGCTGAGATTGAAAACGGAGCAGATTCGTCTTGTTGACTACATGGGTGGTTATGATGATTATTCACGACGAGGATGACGAATTCGTCGACCAAATTTAGTGCCATTCCTTCAACACAAGCGAATTAAGTTTAACTAACTCTAGGTTCCAACTTTATTATATACAGCGCTTCTAAACTATTCAATTCACATGATTAATTAGAGAGAGAAAAAAGCCAAACCGAACCGGAAAATTATAATTTTAGTACCGAAACAAACCAGAGCATCCTCCACTGACGGAATTCCTTATGGAATTTGTGTAACCACCATTACCAAACCAGACACATTACGGTCTTGAAAGCAGAAACCAAATTGGTTGGTTTAATGAACACAAGTTCGGTCGGGATTAATATCGGATCAGAGTCCTTTACTCCGATCGGCAAGTTTTGACTTTTAGAGAAGAAGTCCACCTGAAGCGAATCGAAGCGGTGATCGGAGTGTTTTTGTCATCGGCTCATCAGTAATGCATCACTGGGTTCAAGCTTCCTCTTCCGATTTCAGCGGAACTCCTCCACAGCCGAGGAGGTAAATTGATTGCTCTTTCTTCTACCATTCTCTTTTACTACTACGGCTCTCGAAATTCCATTCGATTCGATCAAGCTGATATCTTGGTGTTTGTTTTATATATCAGTGGGCATACAGCTGTTAATGTCGGAAAATCAATGGTGGTGGTGTTCGGTGGTCTCGTTGATAAGAAATTCCTCAACGACATAATTGTTTATGATATTGGTAATCCATCATACTCTGTTCCCTTTATCTTAGCTTCTCGGTGATTCTGTTTTGTGTAAAAAGCTTCGTACTTTTTTCAAAATTGGTTGTCTTATGAATGTTTCTTCTTTGTTCTGTGGATTAGAAAACAAACTCTGGTTTGAGCCAGAATGTACAGGCAGCGTCTCCGAAGGACAAGTGGGTCCTCCACCACGTGCATTCCATGTCGCCATCACAATCGATTGTCATATGTTCATCTTTGGTGGACGTTCTGGTGGCAAGAGGTTGGGCGACTTTTGGGTTCTTGATACAGGTACATGTCTAACTTCTAACGACTTTGTCACTTCTTTCCATGACGGCTGCTAACATTTGCTGCAGATATATGGCAGTGGTCTGAGCTGACCAGCTTCGGCGACTTGCCTTCGCCTCGTGACTTCTCTGCCGCTGCTGCTATTGGCAACCAGAAAATTGTTTTGTAAGTATCAAACTTTAGCTCGGTAGGGTTTAGATTTTAGTATTGCTGCCTGCATAGCTAAACGGCCTTGGTCATTGGCAGGTTTGGCGGCTGGGATGGTAAAAAGTGGCTGTCTGATGTTTATGTTATGGACACAAGTAAAACCTTTAATTCTCTCTCTCGTCTACTTCAGTTTTGCGGTAAACTGTTTTTTTGTTGCTGATAATGCTTAACTTTCTTGGCATCCACTAGTGTCTCTTGAGTGGATGGAGCTGTCGATTTCGGGGTCTTTGCCACCTCCTCGATGTGGTCATACAGCCACCATGGTTGAGAAACGGCTTCTTGTTTTTGGTGGACGAGGTAGACTACACACCAAAACTTTGGTTTGAGTTGATAACAAAGTAACAACTAAACTGATTTTGTGGTCTGTGACTGTGATATGGTTATCTTTGGCAGGAGGTGGTGGCCCTATCATGGGTGATTTGTGGGCTTTGAAGGGTCTGATAGATGAAGGTTCTTTCTTAAAATGCATTGAATCTTGTAGGAGTACCCTCTATTATTAAGTTCTGTTTGCTGATCTTATTGTGGTTTACCTTTGTTGTGGAAGAAAGAGCGTGAGACACCTGGATGGACCCAACTCAAGCTTCCTGGCCAAGCACCATCATCTCGGTGTGGTCATACAGTTACATCCGGAGGACATTATGTATGTCCTCTTCAGCTCCTGTTTGCTCCTTGTTAATCTCTGTTACATACATCACTCGCATCATTGATTTTCTCTATGCAGCTTCTGTTATTTGGGGGACATGGAACTGGTGGATGGCTGAGTCGTTATGATGTCTATTATAACGACACTATAATTTTGGACCGAGGTAAACTTTTGCTCACTCGTCTCATTAGATCCGTCTCCTGCTCAAGGATCACTAAAATTTCTTAAGCAACCCACAAATTTAAAATCAACTTACAATAGTGGAATCTAGTGAATGATGAAATGTGTTGTAGCTTATCATTTTTCTCGCTGTGCTTTTCTTTATATGCTTTGTTTTCCTTTCTGCCTTCACATTCTAGTAACTGCTCAGTGGAAGCGCTTACCAATAAGCAATGATGAGCCTCCTCCTCCTCGAGCTTACCATACCATGACTTGTATCGGAGCTCGTCATCTTTTACTTGGTGGTTTTGATGGAAAATCAACCTTCGCTGATCTTTGGTGGTTGGTTCCCGAAGGTATTTTATTCTTCTTTGTAATGCTGTCCTACACACACCATCAATAATAGCGAAGAGATCTTCTGTGTCTCTCAACTTCTACACTTTCACCACAACCTTATCCTATTTTCTTTTTTGCTTTCCTCAGATGATCCGATAGCCAAGAGGTCTTCTGTACCTCAACTTAGAAATCCTCCTGAAGTTAAGGAGTCAGAGAGAGAATTGGATAAGGTAATTGGAGTTCCTTCATATTAAGTCACATTAGCTTCTCAACTTGTTTTAACGATTGAGAGTAACGGCAGGAAAGAGGACAAGAGGGTTCCACTATTGCTGAGTTGCAAAAGAAAATGGGAATATCTGTTTCATCAGGGTTAAGCCTTCAAATCCCTGAGGAGTCAGAAGATCAAGAATTCATTGAATTAGGAACAAGATTGATAGAGAGAGATGTAGTTGGTGATCGAGCCTCCATGATTCAGGTGATCTTTTCCTCTGTCTATTTCAGGATGTGTGATTGTGCTATATCTTGTACTGAGATTGCTTCTCAATGAAAAGATGGCAGCTCAAGCACTTCGTCAACATTGGAAAGAGTCCACTCCAACGAATTTACAATGTAAAGAGCTTGGTTCCTTACTTCGAGATTATCAGCGACTGGTTACTCGAAAATACACGTGAGTTCTTACCCCTTCTGAAAACTATTACTACATGTTATGAAATTTCACATTTGCTTCTTCCTTTGTCTGACACATGTTTGTTTCCATCATTGTGGCGGGTGTGTCTCAGAGCACAGAGCAGCTTAACATCTCCTGATTTTGGCCTCACCGGAACGAAGACCTTTACGTTTTATCACATCAAAAGTTCTTCCGAGGTAATATTACATACTTTCCTTCTGTTATTAGCTCTCTAGAACGGTTGACACTTATCAATCAACTTGTTGCATCATGGTAACGGCCCTTTCACGAATCTCACCCCTGGCATCTGTTCTGTGGCTCTAAGTCTAGATTTTCTAATCTTAAGTTGATTTGAGAATTAGAAGTATTTTCAAGTGTTCTTAGTTTTTGATATGCATTACTCTGTTCCTTATTTTTTTCCAATTTTGTTTGTTATTCTCAGTTGCGGATGGATGACATCCCAAAGTTGCTGGAAGAATATAAAACGCTTCTAATCTGATTGAGGAGCTCCTCCATGAAACTCACAAGGAGAAACAACCATCTTTAGGTCTGAATTTCTTAAACCCTGAGGCAAACCATTTTTTTCCATTACATTCTTTTACATATTCACTCACTTTAAGAGAGAAACTTAAATTTCATATATGTTGCCAAAACCTCAGGCATGTTTCATTGTAAAAGGTCGAATTTTATTATCTCAAGGACCCAACAGTCTTGTTGATTTCTTCCAGCTTCTTCACCCTTACTCTTTCACTTTCAGCCAGTAGCTGCCAAGAAGATCAACGAGATTGCGACTAGCATTACCACTGCAACCATTAAAGCTAAAAGTCTCAAGAGAATCAGATTTTCTGATAGGGAACAATCAGTTTACCTCCATTAAGATTGAAACAAGGTGAGCTTTCTCTTTGTTCTTTTCGTCGAAAGCCTCTAGTATCTCTTTGTATTCCTTCTCCTGACATTTATGGTATGGTGTGAGTATTGATGGACATAAACGAGTTTGTAGAGTTAAAAAGAAGCAGAGTAGCTAATAAAGACTTATATATGAAACCTTCTTTTGGCAGCTCTGAGACAAAGATTTGACATCTCGATTTGCCATGTCGATTTTCTTTCTTAGCATCCCTACTTCCTTCCTCATTGGATCTCCCATGATTTCTAGCTCCTTTGAGACAATGTTGGTGTTATATAATAAAAGGATGAATACGTTATAATAGAAAGTCGTATGTTTTCTATTGGTGTTAATGACTTATTGGACTTACTTCCATTTTCTGTGTCAAGCTTCTTGTGGCTTCCTCTGCATACCCAAGTCGCTGTTGAACTTTCTCCTTAACAGCCATCTTCCTCCTCTCGATCTCTTCTTCTCGGGCTTGATACTTTCGCCATATGTCTTCTTCTTCGTTCTCATCCATTGGTATCTTACCTTTGATCGAAGTTGTAGCTCCTGAGTTGTTGGTATTCATCTTCTTGCTCCTTTGGTTTGTTTTTCTTGTTATTACAAGTCCTGACCTGAAGTCTCCAGACACTTAACCCTATTTATCTACTACTCTCATTGTCTGCTTTCTTTCTAGTATGGGCTTTTGCTTTTGCTTCAACCTTTTGAAAGGAGATTGCTTTGCCTTCACACCATTCCAAAACAAAGTAATTTGGTAAAGAAGAGAAAAGATAATGACTGAAAACACAAAAAGATTTTTTATGTCAGTTTTATTCCTCTGATTACGATTTCGATATTGGATTAGTTCAGATTTTTTTTATCAATCTGATAAGCTAAAGAGAGGCAAATCTACCTATTGGACTTAGAAATGAGTTACAACAACAACGGTACTCTTTATATCTTAACCAGAGACTTTGTCTGCTTAAACCGTACTGTCTCTAAAACAACTCGAACTCAAGATGATCTCCGATGGCTTTACATTCAAGATAACCATTATTCCCCTGAGGAGAAGTCTCCGTTGCACCATTGTCATACACATCCGGAAGCTCAGGCGGAGTGGCGCAGCGGATGAGAGCCCAATTCAATCCTTCAAAGAAGTGATGTCTCTTGATCTCTGCAGCTCCTTTCTCTGACCCGAGACGGCTCTCTGGATCCTTCACTAGCAACTTTCTTATCAGATCTTTGGCCTGTAAGCTCACAAGCGGGCTATCAGGAAACTTGAGGTTCTGAAACACAACATTGGACAATGTCTCCTCATTGTCATAGCCTTTGAAAGGTGTCTTCCCGTATAAAAGCTCATAGAGAAGGACACCAAACGTCCACCAGTCTACTGCAGCACCATGTCCTTCTCCTTTTATGATCTCTGGAGCCAAGTACTCGTGTGTTCCCACAAACGAGTTCGATCTTGCTTCGGTTGGCTCAGCCACAAGCTGAGGCAGTGATGATCTGAACTGTTGGGTCAAAAGATCAGCTCTTTTCGGTTTTCTTGGTTTCTTTGGGTTTCTTGCTTGTGTTGATGAGAGCCTAGGGCTGAAACATGAGACAACACGACACGATGGTTCGATGCATAGAGGCTGTATGCAGTTGGATGTGTTGTATAAACCCGACATTCTAGCTGGATCTTTCCCCGGTGGAGAAGTTGATCTGAGAAGAGTTGGATTCACCGCACATGTGAGTGAGAGATCAAAATCTGTAAGCATGATGTGACCATCTTCTCGGACAAGAATGTTCTCTGGTTTCAAATCTCTGTATATTACACCAAGCATGTGTAAATACTCCAGCGCAAGGAGGACTTCTGCTACATAGAACCTGTGAACAATAGTATCATCAATTTTTTGCTCATGAGAGAAATAGTTTTGTGAGCATAATGAAAATGTGAAAAGGATAATCTTACCTAGCTGCAGGTTCTGAGAAACACCTGCTGAGCTGTTTCTGCCTCAGGACATGAAGATCTCCACCGGGACAATACTCCATTACCAGACACGATAGATTATCTGAAGTAAACTGTGCATACAAGGTAGGAAGAAAAGGATGGTCCAGCATTTTAAGGATAACCCTCTCAGCCTGTGCCCTCGGAGTCTTTTTCCTCCGGGCCAAGAACTCGATGTCCATGACCTTTATGGCAAACAGACAGTTTGCACCAACCAGCTCAGCGAGATAAACTGTTCCTATGTCTCCACAGCCAAGCTTTTTCAAAAGGTTGAAATGTCGGAGTCCTAGAGAGCCATGCTGCAATTTCACATGCTTGATTGCTTCCCATCTCACATCCATAGACATGTGAGGTTTATTGCCACAGCTAAACCTGCTTAGATTGCTCTCCTCGCTCATGCTTGTGCTGCTGCTATAATTTTCTAAGCTATCCTTTGAGCTCAAAGAGAATTCAATCTTTTCGCTGGAAGTTGGATTTTCTCTTTTCTGTTCATCTGGAGAGACATCTTGTTTCATGACAATGATAGCGCCACCACTTTCACTAACCTCACAAGAATCGGAGGAATTCTTTTTGGCCTCTTTATTACACTTCACAATGCGGATGAGATGCGTGCTTGCGAGTGATTCTTGATTTGCTTCTAAACTGTTTGAGCATTTCTCAGTATTTGTGGGCGGATGGTCTTCAATGCTGCTGTTCTTCAAGGCACAGTGGCAATTCTGGCACAGGATTTGACTTGCACTAGGCTCTAAGGAACTATCAACTTCCTCTACCATTTTCGTAGCAGAGGCTACAGCGATTCTTAACTTCTTTTTAAGCAAAATCTTCCTTTTCGGCCGCGGTTTAGGACGTGGGATATTTCTTGGTACCTTGCTTTTCAATTTGCTGTTCTCTGTTCTTGAACTAGTTGCCTTATCAACCTTCTCTTTTAGCTCTGAGTCACCAAGAGCTGTTGAATCACTTTCCACTCTTGCTGATGAGACGATGCTTTTGTCTAGCTCTTCAGCATCAACTTTGCTACCAGAACACAAAGGCAGCGACGTAATATGTTTGTCTATTTCTACCAAACCATCTTCAACGACCACATGAGGAGGAGAGGTAGCATTTTCATCAATCTCTATCTCATAATCTCCACTACCAGAACTGAGAGAAGATCCAGATTCCTGCATTTGACATCTCACTGTCTTTGATGGTTCAGATATGGAGTTAGAAGGCTCTGCCTTAAGGACAACAAACCGCTGAGGCACACTCTGAGAAGAGCTAGGTATATCGTCAACCGGCGTCAAAGATATCTCAACCAAGCTTCTTTTGCCCTTGTCCATAGGGAGACCAGACCTGCCAGCAGATTCATTCAAAACTTGTCTGTAAAGACTCTTTATCCTGTCAGCTTCAGACACCCTTGGAGACGCAGCTGCAGATTTCGATAACCGTTTCTGAGCAGCCATTTCTGATGCCTTGGAGATGCAAAGATCTCTCAGAGCTTGCTTCAGTGAGATAGAATCAGAGGGACCAACTCTCGGTGATCCCATGGGAAAAGGCTTTTTCATAGCAGCGTTATTAGAAGGGCTTGTGGTCCTGCTTGGACCAGCGCTTGAGCTCATCTGACGATGGTGGAAAGAAGAGCCAAGAACTCCTCTAGGTGATGGTTTTATAGTTATAGACTGAAAAAGCTGATCAATGTCATACTCCATAGAACCTTGATTCAGTGCAGGACGCTCCATATCTTTGCTTGTTCCCAAAGCTGGCTTACAATATCTGCTAGAATGTTTGGCCAACCTCACCACATCCTTCTCCTCAACAATTTCACAAGCACCGGCTAACGATCCCATCGCAAGGACTTACTTTGCAACAGTGGAGCTCCTCAGACTGATATCAGTTTCAGACTTCATACACCACCACAAGTACTGAGAACTCTATCCAGATCACGTAAGGACTTTGTTTTTGAGAGACTGTGAGAGACTCATCTTTCTTTGATTCATGCTAAACATCCGAGTACAACACCCTGCAGCAATCACAGTCGTTTGAATCAACTTCTTTTAAATAAATCAAACAGCCTGTACTCAAAACGGAGAGCAATGCCTATTGAGTAAAGGGAAGAAGAAAGGAATATGTAACAGAGAAGTGTAATGATAAAAGTAAGGATCTTTGAGAAGTAAAGGGGAGAAAAAAACAGATCCAAAAAGGAAATGAACAGGTAAAGTCTAGTTATAGACTCAATGATGAACCCTACAGAAGTAAAGATGGACACTTTAGACTTTAACAAACAAAAAGAAGAGATTTTTTTAAAGGAAAACTTTTAGTAAAAGTTCAAAACCACAAGCCACTGGTTGGAGTCGGTGATAGTTTGTAAACTTAAACTATACGGAAAAAGTCAGATTGCTTGGAGATGTCAAGCCAAGTTTGAGCAAAATTCAAGACCTTAAATCATATTCAACTTTTACTAAATAATAAGATGTCCCATAGAACAAGACCTTAAATCATACTATTGAACAAAAAAGTTTAGCATTCTTGGTCCCAGATCTCAAGAAGCTATGAACAGAATGCTAAGAACAGTGTTGATTCACATCAAATCCAGTATACGTTGCACATTTGCTCATAAACCCAGAAAACAATATTTAAAGAAAACCAAGAAGCCCCAGAAGACGGTCCCCAAATCTCATCAAAAGCAACAAAGATCGAAATGCACAAGTAAAGAGGGCAGATACAACAACAAAAAAAGGTAAAAAATGTTGAAGACAAAATTAAAAGAAGGTGTACCCAAGAAAGATCATTAGGTTGCAGAGAGTGTGGCTATGGGGCTCATAGAGATTCCAAAAAGAAAAACTAATGCTTGAGGATGAAGATGAAGAGAATCCACAAAGATACACACAGTCACAGAGAGTTAAAACAAAATTGTCTTTTTTTAATTTAATTTTGAGGGGATTTTGGTGTTTAGCGTTTGTTGGGAGAAGAGAGGTCTGTCTCTGTGAGTGTGAACGTTAAATAAAATGCCCCAGGTGGGCCCCCAAAGCATATGTTTGCGGGTCTCATGTTTCTCTGATAATTACGTCCAAGTTCGTCGTTTCTTCTTTTATTACGTTTCACATCACTCTTTTCCGATTATGAATTAATTGTGGCATTTTGTTTCTTTTTGATTCGGAACTTTAACTTCGTTTTGAGTTCGTTCTTTGTATTTGGCGATCAAAAAACAAAACAAATAAAGGTCTATTTGTTTCTATTTAATGATGTATGGTCGTTGTTGAGACTTGAGAGATTGCAGAAGATATCATCTATATTCCACAAGGTGAAAAAATGACACGTGACAAAATTCAATTATTGGCTTGAGACAAGTAGCTGTGTCTTTAGAGCAGAAAATAGGTAGTAAGGTAGGTATCATCATTTCTACTTTGTTTATTGTTCCATTGTTCAAACGAAGTGAGTGAGAGAGTAAGATCGATCGATCAAACGGGCTCGCTTGGCTCTTTTGCATCCGATCGATCCATTTCAATCTCGATGATAAAAGTTGAACTTGTTTATGATTTTACTCTTGCATCTCTTCCTATAATTTCATAAGGGACATTATGGAGTGTAGATTTTGCAGACGGCACGTTAGATAGATTTTAATAGCTTTTTCAAAAAACTTGGTTGTCCTGTTAATACTGTGATAAATATATCAATTATTGGGGAACAAAATTGTCAGAAAATAGACAAGTGACCTCTATGAGTTTTTCTTGGTTTCATGTGTGTTTGTTGTTATCCCTTGTTTCTTTCATTGACGTATACTACTACTACTCTTTATGTTCTTTTTCTACGTCGTGTTTATGTTTAACTCGATTTGTCTTCATTGTTCCCCAACCTGGGCTGCGCTTTGAGTTTGAAGCCCGAGAAAAGAAGGAGAAGGTTGTAGCAGCAAAGCCCAAGATGACGAAACAGAGAAGGAGGAGGAAACACAACAAACTTCTTCTTCCTCCTCCTTCCTTAATCCTTGTCTTCAATTCATCCTCTTGTAACGACATTTATTCCCTTTTCTTGGTTTCACAGTACTCTCTTAAATCAAACATGCACATTGCACTAGATTCCTGTTTATAGTACATAAACAAAATAATCCTAAATGTTTTAGATTCATTTTAGAAACATACAACACAGAGTCACTGATCAACACTAAACCAGTCCACACCCTAAAAGACAAAACAAGCCACAACCCTTTTTCACATACGCCAAACTAACTGTTCAAAAAGATGGCTTTATCAGCAAGAACCTAAAAACCCTTCCAAAAAGCAGAAATCTTTTTCCTTGGAACTAATCAGAAACTCCTGCGTTTGCAAGCTTTGCAGTGAAATTCAGTTTCTTGATCTTCAGTTTCATCTCCTCATAAAACAACGCCTTCCATTCATCACACAACTCTCTTCTTTCCTGCTCTCCAAGGTTTTTCAGATTCTGAAGCATCGAATTCTGTTGAGATTTACTAAAACCTTGAAACGCTGTCCACGCCTCAAGTGCGTCCTGCAGAATAGCATCTTCCTCACTCTTCTCTTTCTCACCTCTACCAGTCTCCATACTTATGTTACTCACCGGCTCTTGCTCCGTCTCACGCACATGATCCTTCTTCAAAACAAGAGTTTAAAGCTCAGTTACCGCTTAGCATAATGGTAATAATGAGTTTGGCAGGAAGCAGAACAGACACTAACTACCTTTTCTTGGTCCACATTCTCATTAACCCCTTCATCCTCCGCAGAAGGCACATCCTCCTAAAGATCATTACACATCAGTAACATCAAAATTTCACATAAGGTTTTGAGATAGTAACAAGGAGCTTGGTAGGAACAGAACAAACGCTCACATACCTCTTCTTGGTTCATATTCTCATCAACCCGCTCATGCTCCACGGAAGCCACATTAAGATCCTATAGATCATTTCACAGTTTATTCAATGTTTTGAGAAATTAAAAAGAAATTTGTTAGAACAGAATGACTCAATACCTTTTGTTGGTCCATATTTTCATCAACTCGTTCAGGCTCCGCAGAAGTTGCATCCTTCTTCAAATCAAGAACCAAAAGATCAGTTACGCATTAGTAACATCAAAATTTCACATTATGTTTTGAGATTGTAACAAGGAGCTTGGTAAAACAGAACAAACAATCACTACCTTTTCTTGGTCCATATTCTCATCAACTTGTTCATGTTCATGCTCCGCACAAGGCACATCCTTATTGTGTTCAAGAACCTAAAGATCATTACATATTAGCAACATCAACTTTTGCATTCTGTTTTAGTGATTGGTAAAAACAGATACGAACACTCACTCACCTTGTCTTGATTGACATTCTCACTAGAAGCATACTCTGTTTCGTTTTTGCCCCATATGATCATTGACAATTTGAAGATCTCATCGTCTTCAGTACTAGCAAAGGAAAGTCTTTTCCTTTTCCAGTTCGCCTGGTTATCAGTAAATCTCTTGACCAGGTTCCTGATCTTATCCTTGAGCTGCTGTTTAGAGAAGTCTGCTTCAATGGAGCCTATATATCCGTAGAAAGCATCCCAATCAGATTGGTAGCTCAATTTGGTGTCCTTCTCATAGTCCACAATACTCTTTTTCCACACACAAAAGCAAAAATATAAAAGTAAAAAAAAACAGAGCAAAGATTGATGAATATATGTAAATAAGAACAAGAAGCAGAGAGAATTCACAAACCGCGAGAATGATGAGCTCGTCGTTTCTAGTCCAGATCATCTTCGAAACAGAGGAAGACATCGGTGTCTTCGCCGTCGTTGTCTTCTGCTGCTTTGCCCTCCTGAGCATCGCCTCCATAGCGGAGACTTCATCGTCATGCATCGACGAAGGCAGAGGTTGGTCCTTGTTTCGATTTTCGAGGCAATCCGATTTGGTGTCGCTTGAATCACCTCTGTGACGAAGCTGCCTCTTACCAACCATTGAAGCGGTGATCAAAGATCAAAACTTTGCCAAAGTTTTAGAATCTCTCGGAGAAGAAAAAACCCTAATTTTCCTGAGTAATATTGTGATTAGAAAGAGCGTCTCTTCTCTTTCAAAATCTTAGCGCAAAGCCGCAATCTTTTTAATCGACGCTTTGATATTTCTGTTGGAATTTCAAGAGTCTAATAAAGTAAATTGACTCAAATACCCCTTTTACACAAAACAAAATCTGTTTTTTGGTTGCCTCTGTTTATTAAACTCAAAGATTATTGATTACACAGTTTCTTGAAACCTTTATGAGTCTACAAAAATTTCATACAATACTAATTACAACGGTAACAAGATGTATAGATCTTTTATTTTATCAAGATATATTCACACAAGGAGTGTGTGTGTTGGTGGATGTGAGACGAAACTGTACAAAAAGTTGGGAGGAGGATCAGAGAGAGTCTTGGTTAAAGAGGTTATACCCTGAGATGAGGGAACTGCAAGCAAAGGCAAGGAAGGCCAAGAAGGACATAGCGATCGACGCACTCGCCATCTCCGTGAACTCGTCTTTCCCCCAGTTTGAAACCCAGTCGTCAACACGAGTCACTGCTGCTGTTGATGCAGATATAAGCAGGTATGCAAGTACCTGATACCAAACACAAAGAAAACAACTACTCTTCTTCAGAACACACAAAACCCTTTTCTTGATAAGTGTAACAATATTGGACTTAAGCCACAAAATTTTGTTCTTTGCCTCACAGGAGACACCATAGAGATAGAGAGTTGCAAGATAAAGATGTTTGGGATGAGGAGAGATTGTAAGTTAATTAATGACTTGCCTGATCCATGATGAACTCAAACAGAGGACGAAGGTGGTGGCTGATCAAGTGCTTCTCTTTGACAAGATGGAATGCTAAGTCACATGCTTGAAAAGCTGAATATACAAATGCAACCACGTTCACTGACAGACAAAACCTGCCACCATTTTCACAAGATTCAGTTTGGGTCTCACAAGCAAAAGCATCAATAAATTGACTGACAAGTGTTGGAGCAAGACAGCCAAATGGGAATTTGAATTACGATCCAACAAATAAACAATCAATATTAAAACAATCATACAAAGAAGCAGAAATTCACTTCCTTCAAGGCCAAAAACATAGACTTTACAGATTTTCATGTGATTGCGTACAATAACATCCAAAAGAACAGATTTTGACCAAATCAAGCGTTGAAAACAATTCACATGAACTAAACTCATCCATATTACTTCTCAAACACCCAACACTAGAGATAAAGCTTGAACCTTTTTCCAAACCCCTAAACCCAGAACCACAGATTCAAGAACATCACCATCTGAGAAGATGAAGAAGAAGAAGGTACCTGTACTCCTTGTAACGATCGAAAGAATCGCCGCTCCAGCCTTTGGTTTTATCAGCGGCCATGACTGAGAAAGAAATCAAAGCAAGCACGACTTCGCTTAGCCGAAACCCTAAAGCTGAGAACTTTACTACTTGCTCCCTCTTCGACCTCCTCAGAATAGCCAACACAGCTCCAGATCGTTGTTGGCCACCGCTGCTTCTCCCGGAGCCCACACGCGCACTCTTCTTCGTCTTCGTCACCGGAGGAACGAATTCTTTAACAGAAGAAGAAGGATTGTGGTTTTGGTTGTGATTGTGAACCACCACAATCGGAGATGGAGTTTCCTCGGCTTTGGCGGCTTCTTCCTTCGCCGGATTCTTGGTTCTCCGACTCTTGGGTATACATTTCTCGTCTTTCTCCGATTCGCTGGAGTGGTCAAGCGAATGTGGAGGCGATGGAGACGAAGAGAATTGAGCAGTGGACTTATCGAAAGTCACTATCGCCATTGAAGTATCCGTCGGAGGTTCCGTGGATGTAGAAGAAGGTGACATCGGAGATCTCATCGGAGAAAAGAATCAAGCTTGCAAACGAAATTTGAGGATGAGGAATGATGATGATGATCCAACTACGCAATCGAATTTAGGAAAAAGAACAAAAGTGAAGTCGTCCAGTAGAATGAGAATCAAACAAAAGAAGAAGACCTTGCAAGAATCTTTTGTAAACCGTCCCTGAAGTCTTGACTTTTTAGTAATGTTGCCCGATAACTTTTAAATGTAACCATCCACACCCTATAGTTCTAGTTCTGGTTGTAATTGTATGCTGCTTCTATAGATAGATACACATATAATGTAGTGTGTAGATGGTATCTGACAAGTGACAACTTATATTGAAAGTTTTGGACACATCCAATAGGTCTCATACATCACTAATTCACTATGAGGAATTGTTTTTTTTTTTTTGAGAAAAGGATTATAATGATAAATTGTTGGATATATATGTATTATAATTTAAAATTGTTTGTCAGGTAGAAGAAGAGAGAATACAGAACGCCATCCTTGATCGGTAATATGAACATCGTCCCAGAAAAAGAATGACTTTGGATCTTTGCAGAGACTGAACAACTTTTCACCTTTCTTTCCTACATCTCCACAAGAGTTGCCTCTTTTGTTTCCCACACAGCATGCCTTCAATGGGTCCGCAAATTTTGAAACTCCTGCCCAAATTTAACATTTATCGTTACAGACTGAAAGTCTTGAAAGAAAGAAAAAAATTCTAAGTTTAGCTCATGAAGAAAGAATAACGTACCAGGAACCCCTTTGTTATTGAATATGCTCAAGAAAGCATTGTAGAGATCAAACTCGAGGAAACTTTTATCATTACTCTCATCGTTTAGTTTTCTCAGTCCTTCACGTAGAAGAGTGTTGTGGAGGTTCGTGAACGTGTCACTGGTGTTGCAGCCTTTAGTAGTGGTAAGCAACGGCATGCATTTCTGCGGCGTAGACATAGCCACTAACACCTGTCTCACTCCCAACTCCTTAATTCGCTTCACATTCAACAAAATCTCTTTCACAACTCTCCTTATCAATTCTGGACGACCCTGCATGCCATTTTCGTTCTTTTGTTATAACAATATCTAGGTTACATAAAGCTAATTTAGTAACCGTTAAAATAATTGTCTTAAAAGATGAGATAAGTTTATTGTTCACATATATACACTTAAACATTTGAAAGAACAAAAACATTATCATAGTAACCGGTAACCGTGTCTAAAGAAACGGTTTCTATACCTGAGAGGTACCGTTGAGTCTGTTGTAAGTGAGGTAGTCATTGCCGACGATGCTAAAGAGAGCGACGGAAGAGTTGAGATCAGCCGGTGAATAAACATTTCTCCGGATGAGTTGTTCAAAGGAATCGATCTGCCTACCCGCCTTGGGGACTTTGAAGATTGTCTTAAACACGCCGGCTCCACCGTATGCGAAATTGATTCCTTTTTTCACGACTTGTCTCGATCGTGCGAAACTTCTCCACTTGTATGCAGTCGGCGTTCTAAGTCCAAGGTACTTCGCTACATGATATATTAATACGAGTCAAACTAATGAGTTATTGGATTTGGAATGCATATATATTATTCTGTCAAATGATTAAAAACGCGGTTTATTTCTCTGTTTATATGACATGCAGGGTTATTGTCTCTTTCGTTAAGTAATCGAAGTTCTATCAATCTAATTAAGCCTTCAAGGCCTTGCTATATATCGAGTTTGCAATAAACTAGATACATATATTTTGTGCTGAGTGTAAACGTAAAAATAAATAATTATATATTAAATTCTTATAACAAACTGTTACCGACTCTTTCGATTACGAATATATGATAAAATTAGTTCTTTAGTAAACTTTTATTAGTTTTTAAGACAACTGTTACGTGGTGATGTAATAAATAAATGGTTTCAGCATAATATTTAACAAACTAGTCTGTAACGTAATATGTAGACTTACCTTGGTAATTTATGAATTATCATGCATCATATCACCAAAATCACGGTGTAAATTGTTTATAGTATAATTTACGTAAATGTGTATTTTGGTAGTAAATATACTATCAAGAAAATTTCTTACCAAGATAATCAGTGGAGACACGACCATCAGAAAACCGGCCGGCTGGTTTTCCAGGAAAAGTGATTCCGTAAGGAAACCTCCACGAGGCGGCGATTGTGACAGGTGTGTTTCCGGTGTCCGCGTACGAGTCTCCGAACACAAATAACGTTTTTGGATTGAAACCAAACATGCCATCTTCCTGTGGCTGGTCGTTAGATGGAGAAATCGATCCTTTTACCCTTTTAAAATCTAGAACGATAAGACATTAACATAACCAGTTAAAATAATACTATTATCCATTATATATCCATGGATGTGTTTTTAATTAACAAATTAGCAATAATAATATGAAATAGAAAAAAAGAACGGAGGTTTTAGTTTTAGCCGAGCGGAAAATCTCAAACATGACCACTAAACCAAAATGAATATATAATCTGATGATATTTCTTTGAGAGTATAAAAAACACGTCAAACAGAAGTAAAGAGGTATATGTACCTGATAGAAGAATCATACAGAACAAAAGAAACCAACGAGTGATGTTAGTTATGTTCATGGTCAATATTTTATGTGAGTGCGTGTGTGTGTGATGCATGGAAAAGGTATGAGCTCGAGTGCAGATATAGGCGAGCAGATTGTGTGCGTGTGAGTCTTAAGGTTTTAATTTTGGCCTGTGGTTAATAAATTAGCGGTTTCCATTGAATTAATTGATTGATTAAGTTTCTCTAAGACTCATTTTGTTTCTCCGTTTTCATGTTTTAGATGTTTTTTCTTATCGTAAATAAATGTTTTTTCCAAATTCATTCTTGTTTAAATGCTTTTTTAATAGTGATAAATGAAATCTGCATTATATTATAGAGATATTTCTATTGTTTACATTTTTTTTTCCGAAAATTTTAACCATCGCCTAATATGTTTTGTGACCTCGTGTGCATCATGTAAATTGGACGATGTGGCACATGTCACATGTGGCATGTCTTATTTACATGCATGATGCATGTAAGCATGTTACGTGATGGTCTCTATAAGTAGAAAAACTACACGGATCCTCAGCTTCTCGTAGAGTCGTAGTGACCTCTTGGAAACTACCAGTCTACCACTAATCATTGGTAGTAGACAAAACCTTAATTATACTACAATATTGTACTTGTGTGTCTTTATACACCACACAAGTACATAACCAAACTCACTAGCTCAGGCTTTAGGCCTTTTGACCAAGCTCTATTTTGGGCTAGTAGATTAAACTCAAGCCAAATACTTCTTGTCTAAACTTCACTTTTGGTTAACTTTTGTACTCAATCCCAAATTAAAACACTTAGACCTCGAGTCTTTGGATTCCAAGCCAAAACTCCTTATTATCTTATCATAACAACATTTGGATTTTGGACGGTTCGATTTATTGGATTAGCTACCCAAAAAGCTGCTAACCGGTTGAAAGATTATCAAACCGTCTTTTCGTCTGTCGGTACAAGAAAATTTCCCGAGAGATTAAATTAAGCGAAACACGATTTTATATATTCTCTAAAATCTCTTCTTTTTTTTCTTTTACAAGCAAAAGGCACACAATTATAAAACTTTCGGAGGAAAAGGAAAATAACTGAAAGATGATGAAACCGTCTCAACCTTTAATCACGCAACACGTGTCCGTAATACAAAGTATGTCTTAATAATAATAACGTAATGACCATGATGAACGGCTGAGATCCACCGAGAGGCCACATGATTTTTCTCGGTGAAAACGCGGAGAGAGAGAGAGAGAAGGCGAAGCGGTCAACGTAACCCAACGGCTCCGATCAAATCATATTTTCTGGAGCTTCGCCGCAACGACCAACGGATTAGCCTTCGCGATCTCCTCACGCCCGGCCGATTTGAAATCGAACGTGCATCCGTGGACCTCCGGATACCTGTGGGTCCCACAGAAAGTCGTCCCGCACCGGCACATGAATCCAGTCAACCCGACCCGTTTCCTGCACGCGGTGCACCGGTTCGGCCGTTGTTGCGGCGGCGGCTGTTCCGTCGCCGTCTGAATCTTCGAAATCGGCTTCTCCGTCGCCGGGATCTCTAGCTCGGCTGCGTAATTCTCGAGGACGGGTGCGATCGCTGACGACGACGACGAGGAGGTGGATTCGATTTCCGCCGACGGAGGAGGAGATGCGGCGGAGAGAGAGGATTCGACGGTTGATTTCATGGTGGCTTGCTGCTGTTGGCTGAGGCAGAGATCGCCGTAGCAATTGGAGCAGAGATTCATGGTGGCTGAGCTTCCGAAGAAACCGCAGTTATTAACACAGAGACGGTGACCTTCCGGCGTCTCGCATCGATGTTCCTCCGCCATAACTTTGTTGTTGATCACCGAAACAACAGATCTTCGAAAAACTCTATAAGTTAATCAATCAAGAGATTCGTCGAAAATCTGAAACAAAACAATACAATCAACAAAGGTTACGAATATGGAGAATCGTTTATCTGGTCACCGAGTTTTGCAGAATGTTTTTCCTGCGATTTCTCGGCAACCAAACAGAAAGGGTAACAAAAAAACGGCAGAAATGGAACAAAAAAGAAAGAGAATATAAAAAAAGAAGGAGAGAGAGAGAGAAGTTTGTTAACCTGTTTTTGGAGAAGAAGAAGATGATGATTCAGTGATTTCTATAAAGGGTGAAATGGGCAGAGAGACAGAGAAAGATTTATCATACTCCCAATTAGAGAGAAAACAACGGCGATATGATGATGATGATGATGATGATGATGATGCACAAAAGTTTAAATCTTTCTTATTTTAAAAAATGAAGATAAGTCTATGATATTTTTTCCAATTACACAAACCCACTGATATTTTTTAATGTTTGTATACTTTTTGTTTGGTGGTGATGCCAATATATATCACTATTGAAACCGTGTCTGAAACCTTGGTAAAAGAAAGAAAACTAGGAATCTGCAACCATATTATATAGTTTATTTGTCAAATAATCAAATTACATGGACTGTACTAATACTAGTTATTTTCTTCCATTGAGTTTAAAAACAATTCCAAACCAAAGTAAGAGATCCAAACCAAAGTAAGAGATCCGTTGACTTATACTCCTTCTATCCCAAATTATAAGCTATTTTGGGTTTGTATACAAATATTTATACAATATTACTTTATGTTTTTTATAATCCTTTGAAACACTTAATTAAATAAAAAAATAAAAGTTAACCAATCTCTAACTTTTTCTCTTTAACTTTTCTGCATTAATTTCTGAAACAGTTTATATTGTGGGACAAAATTTATAAGTTAAAACAGTTTATAATATAGGACAGCGGGAGTAGTATATTTTCTCTTTTAAATTAAATAATTTTTAAGCAATTATTTACGAGTTGTACAACATAATTTATAATTTATCGAATAAAAAAAGGATTGAAAAGACTTATAAATCAAGATTTCTGTTGAAATGTGTGTATGGGGGAATTAGAAAAACAAAATATTGCGTGCAACGAAAAAGTTGTGAAAAGACAGGTTGGAAGAGGAGCCAAAGTGGAAGTCTAGCTTCTCTTTCTCTCTCTCCCACTAGTACACTTCTCTCTCTATCTTATCCTCTTCATCTGTCTTTGTATATATAAATTCAGATGCCTGTATGTATGTACACATATGGGCATAACAACAATAAATTTGCCCAAACTTGGATGATATTTGTTTTCTTTTATTTATTTCCAACTTGTGGAGATTTTATTATAATCACTGATACCAAGTTGCATTTTATCCAAATCTTTGTCAAGATGACTAGTATCTTCATCATAATATCAATCTTAATTTAATAGACTATAAATTTAAAGTCTGATGTTGTAGTTGTATAATAAGTCAGGCAAAACTAGTTTTTATACATATATTTTGTGATTTTGGTATGGAGATATTGATTTAGACAAGCAGATAGTGATATACTACAAAATATCTAGCATAGTTGTTTGTGCATAGATCAGTTGCTTTCTGAGATCATCAGAAATAATTTTCCATTAAAAAAGTAGAAACATGTACAGTTTCATGTAAAACAGGGTTAGGATCACTTAACGTACGTCGAAGTCACAATGGATCCTAAATGTCTTACAAGGAAATGCTATTTTATGGTGTATTTTATTATGTCGGTATATGCTTAATATCTAAGCAATTAGGTACGATTAATATTTTCTTCTCTTTTTCGGATTTCATTTTGTGCTGAAAGCCTGAAACGAAGATCATCTTTACGAAAAAATGCATCTAGATGATCTTTGTTGGAGAGTTGCCAGTTCTTTCTTTTGCTATGTTATATATCATCATATATGAAGTGCTGCGATTTTTCAAATAGTTATTTTGTCTACCTTCAGTCAATAAATGTTATGGTATGTACTTGCGTTTGACATAGGATACAGAGTTAAGAACACACCAAAACCCCCATTACAAAAAAGTAACGTGGATTCTATCGAGTTTTACATCAAAGCTCCGATACTGCATATTTAGGACCGTGGACATGTCGATCTTGTAAGTTTTGAGTCCATGGATTCGATAATTCGCTTATATATGTTTTTGAGAAGTGATCCATTTTGACAAACCTTTCTTACGGATAAAAGACATTTTGATAGAATATAAAGCATTAGTTGGAATTTGGTTGAAACAAGAACGTCGGATTTTATGAAGAAAAAACAAACTGATCCCAACTTTGTTAAAGTGAGTAAACTAATAGAGAGATAATGGAGAAGGTTGGGCTAACAAATGGCATATAAACCCATTTTCGGCCGCCAAGATTCTCGTCTGTCCCATGTTCCCACTTTACTTTTAATTTGTTTATTTATGATTTCTTTTGACATGTACCCTCCTCATTATTGATTGTTTTTGTCGGCAAGAATTTCGTTTGGAATTTTATTATTCAAGAAGTGTTTTAATTATTGTTGAGGTATAATGTCGAGAAGTGCTTATGTTAGAAAGGTGCTACTACTTTGAGAAAAAAACATGTATTCGAGGAATTATATCTATGTATATGTTGAATCCATGGTTTGGCCACACAAGAGAAAGAATGATTTATATTTTAGGGATTACATGCATTTGGACTTCCACGTATTGTCCATGGTCTGATATTGGATTTTTTTTAGCTGGGCATATCCCAAAGTTTGGTGCTTTCCGAGTCGATATACCATTATTTCGGTATTTCCTCTTTTGAGGAAAGTCCATGCAACCCATTTAAGGGCTTCCTGTTTATTCAGCGGGACTAATTCTTGGTCAATTTTCAATTTTATGAACTCCTTATATTTGACAAACTAATATTTGTAATTCATAAACGAAAAAGAGTAGATAGATTGGTTTTTACATGAAATAAAATTGAAAACCAGTGTAACATTTTAAGAGAAAAAAAAACAAGAGAGAAACAAAAAAATGTATTAACTCTAACAAATATTTGTAATTTATTTAAACAAAATACCTTTATATCTATAGTTTAAAACCAAAACATTAGTTGAGAAAAAGGGACTACCTATGAAGTTAGACTTAGATATTTTTGAATAAATTTTCACCAAAATCTTGATCTAGTTCACGTCTATTTCAAGATTAGATGATTAAGCTTAAACATCATTATGCATAGGAAAAAAATAATTAAAATTTTACGTTGGAGTTTCAATTGATCAGGCCTAAGAAACTCTGGGCTTTTTAGTCACGTAATAAAATGTTAGATGGATCATGTGGTTAGGTCCAAGTTTTAATGAAAAAATGGGTAATGCGTGACCAAACAGCCGTCTAGTCAACGACTCAACGTGTCGTTGCTAACAATAACCTGCTTCGTTGGCATCTGACAAAAATGTTCCTTCCTCCAAACTTCCAAATCCAATAATATATTTTTGTTTGTTTAATATTCCAACTATTTTTTTTTTTTTTTTTATAATTGTGAGGATCTAAAGGCTTTCTAGGCCCAAAGATTAATCCTACGAGGCCCACGACTAGCCCTGGGCATTTTGGGACGGGAATCCCGTTCCCACCCTTACCCGTTTAAAATTTCCCAAACTTTTCGAAAATGGAAATTTGCAATTTCCCATTTGGGAACATTTATTTTATTCAAACGGGTAAGGGAAGGGTTCGGGAAGGGTAAGGGATTTCCCGATTTTCCCGTTTAAAAAAATAAAAAGTTGAAAATTAGACATTTTTTCTTAAATATCCCAAATTTTCCCATAATTTTCCAAATTTTCCCATAATATTCCGTATTTTCCCATATTTTCCCGTATTTTCCCGTAATTTCCCATATTATCTTCAATTTTCCCAATTTATTAAGACTTCGGGTATTATATTTTGATTTCCAAATTTTCCATTCCCTTCCCATTCCCGTGATTTCCCTTCCCGTTATAATAAGGGAATGCTTCGGGAATCAAATTTGGTTTCCCAAATTTCCCATTCCCGTCCCGAACCCGTCAATTCTCGTCCCAAAATCCGTAATGCCCAGGGCTACCCACAGCAATCCGCGTATTCTTACCATTTAAGGCAATTCGGGTGGCCAAAGGAACTCGAACCCAAATGACGAAAGTCATAGCTGTTATTATTCCAACTACTTATTATTCTTTGGGATCCTTATTTTATTCTTTTGATAGCTTTCACTAATAATCTGTTTCTTTCTTCACCAACCGGTCCAAAATCCAAAGTTTTTGTTTAATACCACCGATATTTAGGTAAAAACCCCAACTAATCCAAATAAGATGATCGAAATCTTTTCAATATTCAACAAATGATAAATCCATCATCATATTAAATTAACTAAGACCAAAATCAAAAACACGAAATGGTTCCACACTTCCACTTGCATCTGAGTTGTTTGCAAGAGAAATAGAGCTTTGGAATTTTTTAAGTCTGCGTCGTGTTTTACGGCTTTACGCTATGATTCTTCCCATATCCTCGACTTTTCCACACGGCACATGCAAATTCGATAAACAACACTAATTCAAGAAATAACACGTTTTTAATCAAGAAAAATAGTTGTAAAATTATTCCAATTTGAAAAAGGGTTTATCTCGAAAGATAAAAATATAGCTTAAAAATAAGGTTTTCCACCACTTTGACAAAAATAAGGTTTTCAAACCAAACCAAAAGTATAAAATGAATTTTGAGTAAAACTGAAAACTAATAATCCTTCTGTCACACAACCAAAAAAATAAAGAGAAACAAATAAGAAAAGCGAGGCAGGACGACTCAGCAATCCTCTCTCTCCATAAATCTTTTTGTGTTTTGTTCTTCCATAGCTAATCCACTTCATTTTTCTTCCATAAATCTTTTTAAAAGCTGCGACTTTTTGAGGTCTTTTTCGTCTGTTTACCTCAGCAACTTTCTGATCTGATTCCGTATCCCTTTATAAATCTGGAAAGAGAAACTGTTTGCCAACAATTACCACGAGGAGAGAGTTTCAGTGGGTTTAATCAAATTTGTTTTCGATCGAGATGGATTCTGGTATGGAGATTTGCAATGGTGGGCTCTCAAACGGTGACGTTTTGGGTGTCTCTTCTAAGCTTGATAAGCTCATTATCGATACAGACCCAGGAATCGGTTAGCTTCTTCCTCTTAGTTTTCTCATGGCGATTGATTACTTTTGTAGATAGTTAGTAAAATAGATCTTTGACCTCGCTTTGTTTGGATCGAATCCAAATCTCAAGCAAAACCCTTAATGGTTTAAGAGCTGTGGTGATTTATTTGAGCTTAATGGTTGCAAAGTTTGGATCTTTAAGCTCTCAATAGAAACAAGACGCTTACTTGTTAGGCAAAATTGCTTTTTTTTGCTGATGGTTTTCGATTACGGAAACAAGTTTCCTTCAAATGTCAAAGATCAAAAGGAGTAGCTCAAGTTGTACAGAAAAGAAAGTTTTTTTTGAGAATTTGAGAAATGATGGTGATTATGTGTGTGTGATTAGATGATAGCATGGCGATAATGATGGCGTTTCAAACACCGACGCTTGATATATTAGGATTGACTACTGTCTTTGGCAATGTTTCAACACAAGATGCTACTCGCAACGCCTTACTCTTGGTATGTATGTACAACTGCATCACTCAACAGTTTTCTCTTAAAAATGTTTTTGGAATGTGTTTTGTGATCTCCTTCGTTTATGCAAAAGAATAGTGTGAGATTGCTGGCTTCCCTGATGTCCCTGTTGCAGAAGGAAGTTCTGAGCCTTTAAAGGTACAATCTTTCTCTTCTCTCGTGAGCATTTAACCCTGGAAATCGTTAAAGCCAACACGTTGTGATTTAAGTTCTACTTCTGGCTTTGCTGTGATGATGATGATTCAGGGTGGAATTCCTCGCGTTGCTGATTTTGTGCACGGTAAAAACGGGCTAGGAGAGGTCTCTGTTCCTCTTCCGAGTAGAGAGAAATGTGAGAAAAGTGCAGCTGAGTTCTTAGTTGAGAAGGTCTCAGAATATCCTGGTGAAGTCACCATTCTCGCACTAGGACCTCTTACCAACCTCGCATTAGTAAGAATCATGAATCTTTTTCTTTAGTCTTTATTAAATCCGATCATTCTTCTGACCATGACGGTGTTTAGGCCATCAAACGTGATAGTTCATTTGCGAGTAAGGTGAAGAAGATTGTCGTACTTGGTGGAGCTTTCTTCGCTTTGGGAAATGTCAATCCTGCAGCTGAGGCTAATGTAAAACCCTCCCCTTCTAACCTCTTTCTTACACTTTCTGTTGATGAAAATGAAAATGCCGGTTTCATTTTGTGCGTCTCTGCTGTATATGTACAGATATATGGTGACCCGGACGCAGCTGATATCGTGTTCACATGTGGAGCTGATATCACCGTCGTTGGGATAAACATCACAACTCAACTTAAACTATCAGGTGAAAGAAGCTTCTTCTTCTTCCTCTATCTCCTTTAACAATAAGCCACTTATACCAAACCACCTGTTTTAGATGATTGTCTGTTGAAGTTGCGTAACTCGAAAGGGAAACATGCAAAACTGTTGAGCGACATGTGCAAGTTCTACAGAGATTGGCACGTCAAATCTGATGGTGTTTATGGTAATAATCAAGAAACTTTTTTATCAAACATGCTGCTTTTTATAGAATGTGCAGTTTTTGATTCAAAAGTTGTTGTTGTTGTTGTTGTTGCTGTTTTCAGGAGTGTACCTCCATGATCCGGTCAGCTTTGTGGCTGTAGTACGACCTGATCTGTTCACATATAAGAAAGGCGTTGTTCGAGTTGAGACTCAAGGCATCTGCATTGGCCACACGCTCATGGACCAAGGCCTCAAGAGGTTTGATTATTATAAATCATTTCTTTGAATCTTGTTTTAAAGCTTTTGTCTAAAGAGCGGTTTTTGGATTGGCTGTTTGCAGATGGAATGGGAGCAATCCGTGGATGGGATATTCACCGGTATCGGTTGCGTGGACGGTTGATGTAGACGGAGTTTTGGATTATATCAAAGGACTGCTGATGAAGCCATGAAAATGAGACAATGTGAGAATGTGAATATTCATTTGAAATAGCACCATCATCACATTTATCTCTTCTGGTCCTCTAACCAGAATCTCCATTTATCTCCTGTATTTGAATTGTATAAATGCTTTAACTCGGTAAATGAAAACATCTTCGTTTTCTGTTTCTTCTTCTTCCCTTTGTTCTCTGTTCATGTAGATGTTCATAAGTAAAATAACTATTGGGGAACCAATACGGAGAGACTGAAACTGGGGATAGGGAAACAGGGGAGTGGGGGGGGGGGTCACGTAAGTATAATCACAGCCAATGATAGCAGACAAGTAACGAGCAATCATGTAGAATCGTTAAAAGTCGTTCACGTGACAGTCACTCTATCATCCAATCATATCCACACAGGTGAGAGACTTTGCAAACGTCTCTCTCCCCCCCCCCCCCCCCCACCAGAAATCTACTTTCATATTTACCTAGAGCTTACATTCGATAATCGATAGGGAACTTTGCTTGCAAAATGGGTTGGTTTATTAGCGCACTCACGCCAAGTGTAATATTACCTTAATTTTCCCCATATTTATGTTTCTTTATAATACTATTCTGTCCCGTGGCGGGTTCGACTCTCCCCTAAACAGTTGGTAATGAGATTTTTTATTTTTACATTTTTTTTTTCCTTTTGTAAGGTTTTGCAAGTTCCCTTACAAAACCTTACAAAACTATATAAATGCAAAACCATACAAATGTTTAACATTTTAACATTTTATATTTACATTTTCCTTACAAAACCTTGCAAAACCTTACAAATGTTTTTATATTTACACTTTCCCTCCCCTTTACAAAACCTTTACAAATATGTAAAATTATTTGTTTTAAGTTAACATTTCTCAACCATTTTAAGTAAACCTTACAAAACCTTACATTTTCCCTCTTTTATAAGGTTTTTTATACATTTTCCCTCCTTTATAAAGTTTTTATACAAAATTTGCAAGATTTTGTTAAGTTCTATTTACAAAACCGCACGTGGTTTGCATCCCCGGCAATCCTCCATCAATCTCTTCTCACCGATATACAGAAAGTCGGTTAAAGCTTTGGATCCTAAGGAGAGGAGGAGTATTAAGAGAGCCATAAAGGTGGCACAAAACAACTTTGTGAAGGACAAACTTCTGAAAGGTCTCTTTGCTTGTCTGTTTCTTTGCATTATTCTAAAAAGATCTTCTTATGGCACATCTAAACTGTCATTTTGTTGTTGACACATGATTTAGCTGCCCGATCTGCCGTGATGTGATGACTGCTCCGGTGACAATTCCATGTGGGCACAACTTCTGCACAGGTTGCTTAGAAGGGAAGTTCGCAGGGGTTGCACATGTGAGAGTCAGAAGCAGAGGCGGACGCACACTTCGTTCTCAAAAGAACGTCACAAAGTGCCCTTGTTGCCCAACCGACATCTCTGAGTTTCTTCAGAATCCAGAGGTAATCACAATCTCTCTTCTTCTCCCATTGTTCATGTGTAGTAGTAATAAGCAAATGAATGAGTTCATTGGTAAACTTGTTGATGCGTAGGAACAGTTTATAACTTATTTGTGGTAAATTACTTTAAACAGGTGAACAGAGAAGTGGTGAGTGTGGTAGAGGCGCTAAAGAATATTGTTTTTATATTTAGTATTTACATTAGACTAATGCCCGCGTATACACGCGAATTTTTCTATTGTAACATTTTTTGAAAAAGTATTTGAAACCAACTATAGATTTGTGATTTATATGATAATCTCTTACCCAAATAACACCATCATTTTAATTCCACTTTGTATGATTAGTAATTGCTTTCAACTGTATACTTTTGTATTATACCACATGTCTCCATGCCATTAATTCTCGTTATTTATTCATCATCACATAGAATGGACTATGCTTCCCTGCGATCATTAATCGTTGGATCCATTTTCAGTATATTATGAGAATTTAGATGTTTAACAGTGAATATGGAAGCTGAAGCATAGTAGTTTTAAAGTAATAAAGTGATTTGAAATAAATAAGATTTAAAGTTGTTAACTAAAAGGAAAAAACCATAACATGTATTAATTATAAGAGTGTCCAGGTGTCACATAGATGGAGAGGGTTGGTCTCTTTTCATATATATGATTGCAATGTTTCTTTCTAATATATTCTCTTATTTTTTACACTAAAAATGAATATTTTATGGTATATGCTAAATCAAAATTTATTGTAAGAACTTTTTATTATAGGTTTTACAAATTAGCCTCACTTATGTTATTCTTTGTAAATTCAATAAATTAGTTTATGACAGTCACAAGAGCTGATGTCGTTCCTCGGATAGTGAATCAGCTTACTTCCGAAGCTTCTAATGCCGAGGAGCGTTTCTTTTGATTTGCCAAGTCTGCTTTTCTTGAACTACTTTGATTTGGTTGCGGAAGACTATCCATTAGTCAATATGAAGGATTTAGTTGAAGCTTCAATCAATCTTACGGTAAAGGATTGTTTACGACAAGTTGTTTCCGAGTTGCAATGTCCAGCTCCTGGTTAGTGATTTCTTGGAGAAGAAGTGGAAAGCACAAGGACATATCTGAAGAAGAAAACTTACTCCATAGTTTTGCCTTGGAATATGCAAAACCTGAATCTGTTTCTAATGTTTCACCTTATTTGACTTCGTCGTTTAGTTTTGTTTAGTTGGAATGTACACCTTCTCAGTTCAAACCAATCGGTTAACCTGAAACTTTGATCAAACATGCGTTTTAAAAAATTTGCAGTTTTGATCAATTGTTTGCTGGTTTCAGGATAAACATCACAACTCAACTTAAACTATCAGGTGAACAAACTTCTTCTTCTTCTTCCTCTATCTCCTTTAACAATAACTCAATAAGCCACTTATACCAAATCACCTGTTTTAGATGATTGTCTGTTGAAGTTGCGTAACTCAAAAGGGAAACACGCAAAACTGTTGAGCGACATGTGCAAGTTCTACAGAGATTGGCACGTCAAATCTGATGGTGTTTATGGTAATAAGCAAGAAACTTTTTATCAAACATGCTTTTTTTTAATAGAAATTTTCAGTTTTTTATTCAAAAGTTTGTTGTTGTTGTTGCTGGTTTCAGGAGTGTACCTCCACGATCCGGTCAGCTTTGTGGCTGTAGTACGACCTGATCTATTCACATACAAGAAAGGAGTTGTTCGAGTGGAGACTCAACTACTCAAGGCCTCAAGAGGTTTGATTATAAATTTATAATAAATCATTGCTTTGAATCTTGTGTGGTATGAAATATGAGAAAACAACAATTAAAAGAAAAATATAGTAAGTGTGGCTGCTGGGATTCGAGCCCAGGTCTCCACGGCCACAACGTGGAATTCTTACCACTAAACTACAGCCACTTTTGTTGTTCTAGCAGAAACAATGAACTACAGATACAGAAAATCACATACTATTCTTTAACCAAACTTATATTGTAGTGTATTGTTTTTTATATCAGGAATTATATAAATTTCTTCTGTTTTTACAAAAGAGTTATTTCATAGAACTGACAATCAAATTCTCGGAATATATGATTTTGTTTTTCTTACAAAAATCATGATGCAAAAAAATGATAAGAGTGGGAACATGTGAAAGAGGGTGGTAGGCTAAAGAGGAGATGATTAAATGTAGATGGTTATAACAAGTTGTGCTCACTATGCATAACTGTATCTACAGGCAATATGGTGGATGATGTTGATCATCATCATCATCATCATGAAGTTGGGAGTAGTACTCATGAGTACTTCTTCTACCTTTTTTCTTTTGATTTTTAATTAACAAACTGTTGAATCATTTATTATTGGGTTTTGTGCAAAAAAACCATCCAACTAAATTAAATTTGCAAAATAAATCCTCACCTTTTTTCTGTGCAGGTCAATCCCCTTAACTCGTAAGTCACCCGCTAAACAGCCCCTACATATATCGTCGACGTGTTTCTTTTGTAGCCTTATAAAAAACCGCAAAACACTGCGTTTTTGCATTAAAATGGGACGTAGTTTTGCTTCTCCATGCCTTTTCGGACAAAACTAAAACACGTTGTCGGGATTTGATTTGGGGAAAATTCAAATTAGGGTTCTTGGCGATTGGCTATTGATTTTAGGTGTGGACTCATGGAAGCTGAAATCGATTGCTGTATCGTTTTCTTTCTTCCTGTGTTTGTTTTGGCTTTTTCTGTTCTTGGGTTTATGATTGATTAGGAATGTTTATTGCGCAGGCTTTCTTTGATTTGGAGAACACCAACCAGGAGCTGAAAAGTGACTTGAAATATCTGTACATTAGCTAAGCAGTGTATGTAGTCGTTTCTCGTGGTTGCAAGGATTTTAACTTTGCTTTCTCGACTGAGATCTCTTCGTTTTTTTTTTCTGTGCAGTCACTTGGATATTTCTGGCAACCGTAAGGCTGTTGTGATCTACGTTCCAATTAGATTGAGGAAAGCTTTCCGCAAGATTCATTCTCGTCTTGTCAGAGAGCTTGAGAAGAAGTTCAGTGGCAAAGATGTTATGTTTGTCGCCACCAGAAGAATTGTGCGTCCCCCAAAGAAAGGCTCAACTATTCAGAGACCACACAACAGAACTCTCACTTCTGTCCATGAATCAATGCTCGAGGATGTTGCTTACCCTGCTGAAATTGTAGGAAAACGAACCAGATACCATGTTGATGCCTTGATGGAACCAAGATCATGAAGGTAGTGAAGCTAAATACATATATTGATCCTCTTTAAATGTTATAAGCTGCTCGCTAACATAATGCATCTCCTGAACTATGGCAGGTCTATTTGGACGTTAAGGAGAAGAACAACACCGAGTACAAGCTTGAGTCGATGGTTTGTGTGTACAGGAAACTTACTGGAAGAGATGTAGTTTTCGAGTACCCAGTCGAAGCTTGAGAGATGATTTGTTTGGTTCTTTTTTTTTGTCGGATAGGGAGCTTTTGATTCTGTGTGCGAGTATAACTTTTTCGAAAAGATTTTCTTGTTTTATCAATTGAAGTCTTCTTCAAAGTTCTATTTAACAAACTCATCTGTTATGCTTCAAGCTTTCTCTCAAAAAATTTCACATTGTTTAAATATAACTTTTGTTGACAAAGTTTAATTTAACCAAGAAAAAGCTTGTGTGTAGTTCAACTATAGAGAATACAAAAACCTATTGTTCACTCCTGCCTTGTCCAGCTTCAAGTAAGATGGAGACTTTAAGTGAATCTTCAGGCATAAATAGAACGTGATAAGAAGAGCAAATGAAGAGCAAAGTAGACAGTAACATGGAAGTTCCATGGCTGACGTGACTCTCCATATGCAGACGGCGTTTTAGTTTGAATACAATTGCCTTTGTTGTATCAGGACCTGAAGACATTAGCACGGTGAAGATTGTTCGCACAACAGACTTCACTTTCTCCTCATCATGTTCACTGATGCAGAAGACTTGGTTTGCTTCTTCACTCCCAACAAGTTCTTCAATCTCGGGAATATCCCCAATGACACTCTTAAGCTCCTGCAACATTAGTCCAAGAAACAATTCTGGAAAGTAAGCTAACAATACTTGAGTTTTGGGAAATAAACAGATAGATTTGTTCAGCGAATCCAAACTCGAACATTGGGAAAGACCTCAACACATTATCTAAAACTTGTCTCAAAGGTTAAGCAAAAGAAAAATAGACAATACATTCTTTAACCATCACTCATGCAAACGATTTACATCACGAAACAGACAAAACAACATGTGCCATACTTGTCCATTTGAGAAATTAAGTGAGACATTGCAAAGTTCATCTCTAACGTTTAAAAAAAAAATTGAGGACGATAAAGATAGAGATGACAGAGAAATTGATACCTGAAGAGGTATAAACCCACACAGGCCTCAAATTGGGTAGAGCCAAAGCCATCCTTGGTTTGTGATTGTCTGTCTTTATAAAGAGTTGGATGAGCTTTGTGCATTTTCTTTGCCAATTTCTTATTTGGATGTGCTTAGATCGACAAGGGCCTTGCCATCGACAACACCTATCAAATTTTACAATATCAAGATTACATTTCTGCAACTCACAGCATAAGAAATGAGGAAAATTTGTTTCTGCAAATGGTAAAGTTCAGAGATTTTGTCGAAAAAATCAACAATGTGGCAATGTATAGATGTATGTACCTTGAATAGAAACGGGAGATCACAACCCCATTTCTCCAAAACCTTATCTCCGAAAGATTTATGGATTTCGGCAATCCACGATCTTAGGGTCACGTCGTTGGACCCATCAGCATCCTCCAAGTAATTCAGACCACAAGAAGAAAGAAAACTATACAGCAATCGATTTCAGCTTCTACAAGTCCACACCAAAAGTCAATAGCCAATCGCCAAGAACCCTAATTTGAATTTTCCCCAAATCGATTTTCTGTTTTCCCCAAATCAAATCCCGACAACGTGTTTTAGTTTTGTCCGAAAACGGCATGGAGAAGCAAAACTGCGTCCCGTTTTAATGCCAAAACGCAGTGTTTTACAGTTTTTTATAAGGCTAAAAAAGAAACACGTCGACGATACACGTAGGGGCTGTTTAGCGGGTGACTTACGAGTTGGGGGAATTGACCTGCACAGAAAAAAGGTGAGGGTTTATTTTGCAAATTTAATTTAGTTTGAATGGTTTTTTTGCACAAAACCCTTTATTATTTCCAAACTATAAACAGTAAATTTGTGTGTGTGTTGATATAGTTGGGGACATTCAGAGTTAATACAATAAAATATTTGGTTGAAAATGCAGACTGATATCGATTAATATAATTGGAAATTTTTACATTTTAGCAGTTTAATCCAATTTTATAAATTTTAATCCTCGATATATCATTTACATATTTAATTTTGTACGATTAAAAAGGGATCAAATAAGCCATTTCTTTCAAAGCTAAAGAAATGCACTATTTTCAGTAGTTGTGGACATGTTTGTTTCTAATTATTCGATTCTGAATTTTGATCAGTAATAAGGTATAGTGGGAAACTCTATACAAAAGTACATCTTCATCTTTAAAATTAGTTCGTTGAACGGTACAAAAATGTTTTTATAAAAAAAAAAGACGATAAAATAGTGTTGATAGTATCACTGTTTTTCTATTAAATGTCCAATTGAATAATTTTGTTCATGTTGGCTTTTTAGTTTTTACTCAATTACTTCTCTTTTTTCTTTGTCGTCCATGACTCAATAACTTCCTTAAATCATGAGGTCAGATTTTCTTTTCTTTTTACCCCTTTTCACTAATTTTCTGTAAATTGTATTTAAGATACGCTGAAAAAGTTTATTTTTAACTTTTTTTTTTGGATAATTGCACTAGCTAAAAATAAAAATAAAAAGCAAAATGAGAGGGGTAAAAGAGCTTTTTATAATTAGAGGGGCTTGGTCATCATTGGATGCTACAGAAGAAGGGTTTTATTATGAGACTCGCAGCTACTCCTACTTCTAATTTTTGATTACCCTAAGACCCATTTTGTCTCCCTTCTCTTAGGCTTTTATTATTACCGAAGCTCCAAAATTTAAAATTTCTCATTTCTTATTTGTTGATCAGATTAAACCGTCCGGTACTAATCAACTTCAATGTACATAAGTTATTGATACTATTCAACAATCTTTTTAATTGGCTTAAAACATTTAAGCCTAAGAAGTTGGTTTGTTTTGACTCCTTGCTCACTGATCGGACAGCGAGACTCATGGATCATCATCGCAACTCGCATGCACTTAATTAGATTCAAAACCATATCAATTCCATTTTCCTAAGTCTTATTTTGGATAATTAACATCTTTATATAGTCGATCAAACTAATTAAGCTTCGAATTATGTAAAATCTCATATATATATTCTTGTCATTTAAAATACCTAGCACCTACGAGAAAAAAAACTACATCAATTTTGATGGAACTCGATCCATGGCTTTGAACCGCAGGACTAGTCCACTTCCCGCTCAAACAAATCACCAGACCACATGCAGTTCGTTAACTTACGTCGACATGGAATATTGGAATGGTTTGTTTCATGTTAAGGTTCATATACATTTTTGAGTCTGATATGACGTTTCCATAAGCGAATTTAAATCGCAAAGAATAATCATTGTGGAAAATCCACGAGAGATTACGAATCCACATAATATGGACATAAAGATAAAATGGTTACACATATGGTTTATATATATATATATAATATAAAGTAGTGCATGTGCATAAAGATAAAATTTTGCACGATATGATAGTGTAACACCCAGAGAGCAAAGTTAACACGATGCTTCCTCTTTATTATCTTTCTTTTCCTATTTTAATTCATTTTATATGACTTTTGTTTACCTTTTATGTAATTAAATATCAGCAACACAAAAATTGCGTAGACAAAACAAAACAAAGTGGAACCCCAAAATGCAGGGAGAAAGCGGAATGCGTTTTAATTAAAGGTCTCTGTTTGGTTGATCACTTTGTTTTTAAGAAAATGAGTCATTGTCCCGATTTCGAGTTTTATTTGAGGATATAACTTACGCCTTAGGCCCTTAGCCAATATGAGTAAATAACTAAATGATCGGGAAACAAAAAAACTATAGAGTCAGGTTATTAAATTTCCACAAAAAAAAAAACATAAAATGTTGAATATATGGAAAGTTCCACAACGCCATGCAAAAACATGACATAATTTCTTTAACTTAACAACAACTTTAGTGGATTAGCTACAAGGAGAACGTCTGAAAATATGAAAATATGAAGGAAAATCGAACTATCGAAGTACAAGTCCTGAAACAATTGAGTGGTAACAGTAATCTCTAGAGTGGAGTGGAGTGGCCTCAGTCCCTTATATATTATTCAAGGTCTCTCCCACTTTCCGATGTGGGACTTTATTTTCACACTCTCTAGAGATTAAGGCCTTCATGGCCCATTAACCTTACAATATCTCAATACCCTCCCTCGAGATAATGGCCATTCTAGCCATTAATCTCGCAGACCATCAATCCTAGGGTCGGGGAGGGTCGGGCTCTTTCTGGGCCGGGTCATGAGAGTGTGGGGATCATTACTCTGATACCATGTTAAGTTTCCTTGGCATCCAACCTAAAACCAATTGGCAATAGGTGGAGAGGCCTCAGTCTTTTATATACCACTTAAGGTCCCTTCCCACTTCCGATGTGGGACTTTAGCTTACACACTCTCTAGAGATTAAGGCCTTATGGCCCATTAACCTCTACATATCTCAATACCCTCCCTCGAGATAATGGTCCTTCTAACCATTAATCTCGTAGACCATCAATCTAGGGTCAGGGGGTCGGGCCCTTTCTGGGCCGGGTTGAGAGTGTGCGGGTCAAGCTCTGATACCATGTTAAGTTCCTTGGCATCCAACCTAAAACCAATTGGCAATAGGTGGAGTGGCCTCAATCCCTTATATATTATTGAAGGTCCCTCCCACTTTCCGATATGGGACTTTATTTGCACACTCTCTAAAGATTAAGGCTTCATGGCCCATTAACCTCTACAATATCCCAATAGTATGAATGACAATATATAAAAAGTGTACATATCAAACTAAAATTTCAAATCAATTTCGTAAGAATTACATATGAAACTATATATAGATTCTCTTTTATGTATTATCACTTATGTCTCACTTGCATAAAAGAGCCCTCTATCTCTTAATTATACTTCATGCCATGTATATATCACTAGTGCTCCACCCCACAAAATCTTTATTAAGTATTGAATGTTTGTTTTAAAAATTAGAAGATGTTATGATAATGTTTCCATGCAATGCAATATGGACGCACTTTATACCTTATGGAGACCCAAAACATAAAAAGAAATAAAGTTCTAAAGGGACGAAATGATGACAAATTACAATGATTAAAAGTGGGATATAGTTTCATACTCGCACGATTTAACACACTATAGACCATACATTTTGATGTCCTACACATACAACCAATGAATACAACATATATATTTAACTGGTCTATATCAACCAGTTTTCAAAACAATGAAACATAAAAGATGTTTAGTTCTGAAGAGAACCAAACCATATGGGGTCATATATGTCATTTCAAATTCCCCTAACAATAACAACGATGACTCACGCACACCTCCCTACTTATTAATTATCATTGCCTTTGATGTAAGCAACTAGTGCAACCACTATATAATTTTCACTCCCATTTTTATTTATTTATAGTTCTATTTCAAGACACACATAATAATTATGATTTCAAACTTGTGTTTTGGTCGTAAAAACCATTGTCGTTTAGGAAAGCTTAGCTCAAAAGGAAAAATAGGATAGGACAGTAACACATCAGTTTATCATTATAGCGTTCACAAAACATGCATATAAAACGATTTCCAAAATTTATTCCGTGGATAAAATAACAAAAGCCAAAAAAAATTCACAAGATTTGATACAAGAAACGTAATTATAAACGTGACAAGTGCAATAATTCGTATTAGTAAGCAACCAAACGAGGTTAATGAAGCAGTAAGCAACTAAACTGCCCATAATAGAAACAAATCCACCTTGTAAACTATGATCTTTCACGCTGCTGCACACTAATGACAAATTAACACAGTTTTTTCTTTTTTTTTTAGGTTTTTGGTGTCCCAAAACTTTCCTCTTCATAATTATCTCATTTTCCCTTTTTAATTATTTCGATCTTTATCTAAACAAGGGATGATGAAAGAAGAAAAAGAGGGGCATGAAGAGAAAAATGGGCACGAACACCCTCTAAAATGTGTTATTATGGCTGATGATGAGTAGTGTTGACTAAACCAATACTGACCAAACCGGGAAATGAAAGGAGTAATGAAAATGGTCCACATTGAAATTGAAGTTGAAATTGAATAATGAATGATGATGGTTCGAACCAATCCCAACCATCATTGCGAATCTTTAAGGGACGACGGCCTATAGCCCTCCCCTTCATTATCATCATCATTATCATCATTTTCACTCAATAACTCGTTTCACCTTGTTAGTATATAGTTACATTTTTAACCTTCATTTACTACAAAACTACCCTTCCTATGATCCTATCTAAGTACTAATATGTATTAACCCAAGCCGGTCTATACACTAAGTTTGGCGTTTAACTATTATCAATTTATCATGACTTTTATTTTCGTAAATATGTAATCTGGTTCTACAAATATGTGCGTAATCTTGGTTTGTTTTAGGCTACAAGAATTGCTATTGAAATATTGCGGTTACATCTACCAATTTGTTGTGTCTATAATATCAAAACGGTGAGATGACGCAACATGAATGATTATTTGGCGGGTCGGGGAATGAACATGAACGAAAAAGAGAGAACGGTTAAATCTCATACCAAACCAAAATGTGAAAATGCATTAAAAAGACAAAAATACCCTGTAGAGAAATTTCAAAATAACACACCCATGTTTCCCTCTAATTTTTCTTCTTTGGATCATCATTCACATTTCACATGACGCAACACAAATCTTTTTCTCCTTTTCCCTCACAAATCATAATTAAGTGGAGTATTTAAAAAAAAAAAAAAAAACACAAACAAAAAATATTGAGCTGCCAAATCGGCCGCCATGTAAGCATAAACACAACACAAAGCATGATTTGTTGTGTCAGGAGAGAGGGTCATGTACTCATGTCCCCTTCTCTCTCTAGCTTTTGGGGTTCTATATAAGACACACTCTCTTCACTTTGTTCTCTTTGTCCCTTCCATATATACAATCTCTCTCCCTCACAAACATAACCAAGTACTTCACTTCCTCCGCAGCCGATTCTAACACTCTTCCCTAAAGGTAACATCTCTCTCTCTCTGCCTTCGAGAAACTTCTAATCGTCAATACCATATTTGTTCAATGGCGGCATTTTGTCTCTCCTCTGTTTTCATTTTCTGTTCTCTAACGTACAAGCGACGTGAATATCATTTACATAACAACCAAACGATTCTTTCTTTTATATAACAAACTTTCAATTGATGGAAAAACTTAAAGCTTTTCTTTCAAACAAAGGGAACCGAATAAACCCTATTTGTTTCTTTGCTTTTTCACTTTCTCTTTTTGCTTCAGAAACTCACTTTTACTCCTTCTAAACTCACTTTGGCTCTGTTTTTTGTTGTACCTGCTCTGTGTTTTTTTCTTTTGTTCTTTTTAATCCTCTAAATGTTTTTTGTATTTTCGTTTTCAAATTTCATCATTATACTTACTGCATCATCATTACTTTATTGTTGTTTTCATTGTTGTGGTGGCTTTATCTTTTATTCGTTTTCACCCTCGCAACCAAAAAGAACATGATTGTTCGTCTGTTTGAACATTGGTATTTTCTTTATATTAAAAAAAAAAATTGACATTTTTGGTTGAAAACGAAATAAATGCGGTCATGATTTTTGCTTAATGTAATTCCACATTTAACGTGTGAAGCTGCACAACCCATGTGGTGCTGCAATGATTTAACCTCAGCTATAATCATAACATAGAGCTTTAATAGACCAAATCTTCTTCTTCTTTTTTCTTTCAACAAAGTCTCATATTTTGCTTTTAAATTTTTGAAGAAAAGGAGCCAAGCTTGTAGAAGATGGAGAGGCTAAACTCGAAGCTGTTTCTGCAAAACTGTTACATAATAAAGGAGAATGAGAGGCTGAGGAAGAAAGCTCAGATTCTGAATCAGGAGAATCAACAGCTTCTCTTCGAACTTAAACAGAAGCTCTCCAAAACCAAGAACCCTAGTGGATCAAATCAAGGAAGCAACAACAGCCTTTCTTCATCAAGCTCTGCTTCTGGACAGTCCTGATGCAACAAAAACTGTTAGGATAAGATTTGGATTTGGTAGACTTAAAAAATCATCATGACCCTGCTTAATTAGAAGAACCCATCTTCTTTTTTCTTTCTTTTATTGGTGTAATGTAAGAAAATAGTTAAGAATAGTGGTTAGTGGTCGTACTATGAATTAATTATCAAGTAGTTTATATTTTTTCTTGTTTAGTTTTATTTTGTGGGTTCTTCTAATTTATTTACTACAAAAAGGAGAGAATGGTTGTGTCTCTCTGCCTATCTTCTCAGGGATATTTTACTTTTGTTTCCATTTATATGTTAATTAGATTTTCCTTTCCGCCTTTTCATGTGGGGTTTGGTTCTTTAGGATATGGTGGATTCTGGGACTACATTGTACCTTCTGCTCTTCTCTTAAACAACCAGTATCTTAATATTTTATTATTCTACATTTTCCTTTGTTTCTTTTAAAAAAATTCTATCAGTTTCTAGTTTTTTGTTTATCCCTATCACAGTTATGTGACAATGACAATCGTCCTAAAGTGGCCTGTTTAAATATCTACCATAAATCCAAACCAGCATAAAATTTCTTAGGATTGTGGCACAGAACTCAAGTGTTTGTGAGAAAATTACAGAGAGACCTACGAATCTCGTATACATAGGTAGTCCTAAGTGAATCATCATCATAAAAAGCTTGGAAAGTCAACTTTGAGATATAATTTTCAGAAAATCATTCCGTTTTGATCATTACCTCGCAGAATCTTCTTCGGAAGATCATGCAAGACATCATCTTCTGATGTAAGATTATGGACTAATGTTCTACTTATATAATCATTGTTTTTGGCGTATTGACTTTGGACAAAATAGTTTAAGCTAGTTTTGCTATGTAGAATGTTTAAAATTGCGATATAGAGAAGTTTTATTTGTTAAAAATCAAAAACAATTTGATCACGGACCACAGTTTCTGTTAAAATTTAAAAACATGATCAGTGGAAGTTGGAAAACATAAATTCAGAGATGTGATTGCAGAGTTTCAATTCCACAAACAATATCCAAGCCAACACGGACAATCGTTGGTTCTATCGTTGTACATAAGAGGCTTTGTTAAAGGAAAGAGAAGTAAGACGAATCCGACGACACCGAACAAGAACGCTGCACTCACCAAACCTGCGAGAAGAATCACGAGAGCATCTTTAGCTTATTCTTCTTCTGCAATTTGCATTTGTTACCAATCTTGAAATCTATGTCTTTTTCTTTATTATTACCTTTTCCTCGGGCGTATAGCGCAGGCAATCCCATGTAATTGCAGAATACATGAGCAAACAAAGGCGCAGCGAGATGTCCTGTAAACATTACGCAATGCAGGAGAGATCATCATCAAGGGCCAATATTAGAAGAGCTAATACATGTAATTATATAATGTATGGAATGTACCAGTTCTGATGAAGAGAAACGATGCATATGCACCAAAAACGACTGTGTAGCCAAGCTGAAGACCTGATCAAAAGGACAAGTTAAGCTCAGGACTGATTAATTTCATCTGAGACTGAGACAAACATTGCCATTATGATTATGCTGGTTAACTTGGGACATACCAACAATCAGTGAAGCCTTGAGATAGCTGCGGTTATGCCTGATGTACATTTCTCTAAAATGGTTCAAGTGTGCTGCACCACAAAACATACAAGAAGACAAATCCAGCAATTTTTCATCTCACTCTCCACTTGTGTAAACAGTCATTCACAGAGAGCAGAGAAAACAAACCCAAACTGAAGAGAATTGGGCAGAGAAAGATGGCGCTGTATATCCTAAATCCAGCACAGAGAAGCAGAGGTATCATACAAGCTCTGAAAACCAGCTCTTCAGTTAATGGTGCCTACAAATCACAAGAAAATGCCAGCTCTCATACAAAGCCATGTCGTATGTAGTTTCGATACAAAAAAAAAAATGATGGAGAACAGTTGATTACCACGACGAGATTGCGCCACAAGGAAATATTAGAAGCACCAGTCAGTATCCAAGCAGGGATTGTTTGAACAAAGCTTTTTATGTTATTAAAGGAACTACATCCTCCACCATCTTCCTTCCATGACTTTAGGAGCAATAATAGTTTCAACACCAAAGATCCGGCATAAACGAGAGAGGTCAATAGAAGAGGATACAACACTCCTTGCCACTATTCCATATCATAAAAAACATCATCTTTTAAATCGATGGTGTATCAAAGGCAATTCTGAAAAGTGGGGACTTTATACAATTAGCTAAGAGAAGACAAAGTGCTTACCAGATGATCTCTCCTTATGCCAAAAACTCCAAGTACATAAGAGGCCTCCCAGGCTTTTATCTAACATTTCCCGAGCAAACAAAAAAGGAAGAGAGGTTTCAGCAACTAATAGTAAGATCAATCACCATGGACTCGTACAAATTGAAACTAGCTTCTTCTAGCTTTGGCCTAATTCGGTTACAGATCAACGGAGAGTCAACTTCAAATCGAGGATGCGACTAATAGAAGCTTACCGGGAGTAAGGAAGCTGTGAAGATGAGGGACGCGACGGTGGAAATGGCAGCGCAAATGAATCGGCGAATAATGAAGTCAGAGAAAGAAGAAGCCTCCGGGAGGCGTAGAATCACGGTGGGAGCGTAGAGGATCAAGACGTAGAATATCGCCATTGCGACGCAGGCGACAACCGCCACCGGCATAGAGATGCTCTCGCCATCGACGGACATATTCACAAAATGTAGTGAAGGAGCTGGCGAAATCTCCGGCGAGGAATCCACCGGCTAAATGTGGAAGTCGCCGGCTTTTCTTCGCTGGTTGAAATTCTCAATTCTTAGTCCGGCGATCTTCCTGGCGAAGGAGACTTTGACCAATAATGTCGCGCCACATTATCAAATTGAAGATGGTGCTTATTGGGCCGATAAGACCCATTGGGCCTTTTACAATTTATTTAAGCTTAAAAGGAGGATAGTACGGTCATTTCGCGTGGCAGATTGACGTCAACATGCCAATGGCGAAGAAGCTCACTAAATAGAATGACGAATCTGCCCTGACATGCCCTCTTCTAAACGAGAAGTTGTCTCTCTGTACGCTTCACTAACACGGGAAAGAGAGCAAATAAGGAATTTCTCTGAAACGTCGTGAACGTGGAAGGGGGTTAAATTTCTATCGTTGGATCCCAGCCTGAACCCTAATTTCGATTCCGTTGCCGATTTCGGGATCTCAATTTCGGAAACAAACTTGAAGAAGAAGATGACGAAGGACTTCGCAGTTCCACCTGTGGTTTTCCCCTCCGGCGGATCCTCTGCCGGTGCTAATGTCCAGCAGCGACGATTCCCGACGGCTCCGTTTCAGCCGCCTCGTCCCTCCACTTCCGCCATCCCATTCATGTCGTTCGACATCGGATCCGCAGCCGCGTCCTCCGCAACCCCCGCCGGACCTTTCGGTGGCACAATGACATCGTCCTCATCTTTCGGCGGAGGCTCAGCTTCGTTCGAAGACGAGGAGCCTCTGCTTGATGAGCTCGGGATCCATCCAGATCAAATCTGGAAGAAGACTAGATCGATTCTCAATCCTTTCCGGATCAACCATACCGTTCACAAGGATTCAGATCTGTCCGGCCCGATCTTCCTCTACCTCGCGCTTTGCCTGTTTCAGCTGCTCGCCGGGAAGATCCAATTCGGCGTCATACTCGGATGGATCGTCGTCTCCTCTATCTTCCTGTACGCGGTGTTCAACATGCTTGCGGGTCGTAATGGAAACCTTAAGCTCCACACGTGTACGAGCCTGCTCGGGTACTGTCTGCTTCCGGTGGTGATGTTATCGGCGGTGTCACTATTCGTGCCGCAAGGGGCGGGGCCGGTCCGGTTCGTGCTTGCGGCGGCGTTCGTGATGTGGTCAACAAGAGCTTGCTCCGCTTTGTTGGTATCTCTCGCCGACGGTGGAGAAGAACATCGTGGCTTGATCTCGTACGCTTGTTTCTTGATCTATACTCTCTTCTCGCTTCTCGTCATCTTTTGAGTTTCCTCTGTTATGGTTTTGGAATATTTGATAGTTTGTGAATCTTCTCCGGTAGCAAGAATTGCTACAATATAAGTTCTTTGATGTGAGGTTGAAATTGGGTTGGGAAATTGAATAGCAGCGACATGTAAAGGCTTTTTTCTTTTTGGGGTAACTTTAGAAACATGTTTAAGAAATTTGATTCCAATGTTTTGTATCTGTCACTTTATGGTTTTTACTTGAGGATTCTTTATACAATTCATCAAATATCCTTCTTTCTCCTAGGCAGTCTTTTCACATAGCTTGTTCTTGCCATTAGATTTGTGAGTAATAGTGGAAATGCTCGTTGGGAATTACATTTTGTGTATTGAGAAGTGTGCTTATTATCTTCCTTGGATTTTTGAATAGTATTTGATTGAATATGAGAGTTAAACATGAGTGTTGCTGCTGACACAGAGACGAATCTATAACACAAACTAAGTAGGCTACATGTCATGTGGATAACCTTTGTTTATTTCGGTTCCTAGAGCTTCAATATAGAGAAACCCTCTAAACCAAACAGATTCACTCCAAGCACTTGATGTTGCTGGCACAGCACCGGAGATTTCCGCAGCTGGTAACAGACAGTTCGCCAGTAAAACGCTGCCTGTCTTCGCCGGAGGTCTCTCCCAATCATATGGTGGAGGGGACGATGTCGTGTCACTCACGGCGTCCAGGTTTATCTCGAACAGATCATCCTCCTCTCCGTCTTCTTCACTACCTTCCTCGCTATCGCGTTTAGCTTCATTTGCTTCTTGTTTCTCTTCTTCTGTTCCCCGGTTAACCAAACCAGCACGACGTGCCATGTTGATTCCGTTTAATTTTCCGGTATGGGAATCGTTGTGGTTTTAAGTTTAATCTGTATTTATAAAGGCGATTAGAGTGTGGAGATTGGTGGGTTAGTGGAACGCTCCTCAACGAAATTACAACTATCTTTGTTGAGAATTTTGGGGCTTTGGACTTTGCAGATATTTATTTATATCTACTAATAAAGGAAATTCCAAAAGAATAAAAAGTCTCAAAATCTGTAAGTTTCTACGGAGACGACAAGCTCACCGAGAATCCCCCAAAAAGCCAAAACAGAATTTGTAATAGAACAACCTGACAACAATAACACCATGAGGTCCATGACTATGTAGTTTATAGTTAGCATTAAATGTTTCCGGTGCAACGGTCGCTATATGTTTTTAATGAGCAAGTCATGAATGACACTTTTTAAAAATAGTTATTAACGTAAGAGCAAATGGTAGTACTGTAATACCTTTTGTTTGGAATGTTATCGGTTCTTAATTTTGATATCTCTATTTTTATCAGCTAATCGTAAACCTAACTGATCCTGATTTTTTTTTTTTTTTTTTTTTTAACATCTGCTTATATTATTAATATTTAACTGAATATAAGAATACATAAAATAATAAGAAAAAACATACAAGATGATGAAATAACAACATATCAAATGAAGTAAAATTTGAAGATGTTCTTGCTTGATAGGTCTTCGTGAATAACAGAGTTTCAACTCTGTTAATTTCCTTGGGAGCTTTAACACTTCGTCCCATTTTAAATACTGTATTATATTGGCCGTATCCCAATCTAGAACTATTGATAATTTGTGTAGAATCCAACATATTAATTCTTCCATCAGAAATAAAGATTGGGACATCCAATTTTCAACAACTTTAAGAACGTCGCCATACAACAAAGAGAATACATCTTTAAACCGCCGTCTTTTCCATGGATGTCCATGGTTCCAACGAGAATTAATATATTGATGCCAAATATAATGTATCAAAATATAAACTTTAGTAGATACTGCATTTGTGAAAATCCATCTTCTACCTTTGGTGTTGAAGTCTTGCTGTTGAAGTCTTGCCCATCATACTCCAATGGCCATAAGTGGTTGAACATCATCTTCTCATTATGTAACTTCCTCCATAAAACTGATTTTCCAGGATCCCAGATTCGCCGACCAATGCACCAAAACACTCGTTGGACTTTGTATGCAATCCCTTCACCGGATTGGTATCCGGAATGGCGAGCATCATGGAGAGTCACACAACCCTTCATGGAGATAACATGTTCGGCCTGGATGATTTTAGAAAAACCACCCATTAGGACGAACAAAAGATATTGCGTCTCCATTAATGGAGAACGATGCCACTCACTAACCAACACCAAAACAGAGTGGTTTGTGAGAAAAAACTTTGATTCTATGGACTGAGACTTTCCCGAATCCATCCCTAGACAAAGAAAAGCCATATGATTATGACCCAGAAACTGAGAAGAAGAAAAACCGATAACATCAACTCCATAACTAAATTGCATATTCCCTTTCTTCTCCACTTTTGACACGTGAAGAGAAGGAAATAGAAGCAAAACCAGTAATGGAAGATAAACCAGTAATGGAAGATTCACTGAATAGGGAGACAATTGAATTTCGCTGAGATCTCTCATCTCCTTCGTCAGATCGCTTTCCCAATCGCATGAGAGAGAAGAGAGCGATAAGACGGTTTTCGGTTTTGTAACTGATCCTGATTGAACATCTTTTGTTATCATGTACAAATAAGATTAATGGTCAGAATTATGAAAATATAATCCACAAGATTTTTTTTATAGCCGAATGCCATGAATATGAGAATATCAAATGTTCAAGTCCAGTTCATGGTAATTTCTAGACTACTTTACTGTTTTATAATTTATATATGATTTGACACAAAAACGTCACTGTCGAAACTAAATAAATTAATTATGGGAAGATTAGTAATAAATTTTAAAGGGTTTTATGGAGGAGAAGGTACACCTAACACAAATAAAATATAATGTATTATTTACTTTTAGTGGGTTTATAATATTTTCTACCATGGAAGTGTTCATTGGTGAAAAGAAGAACAAAGTGAGCCAAGTTTCCATTATATATAACTTCTTTTCTGGTTTTAAGTAGGCCGTTGTGAACCAAACAGCTGGTCCGGCCATGTAAGACCCACTGCAGGGCGGATTGGGGTCAATCAAATTTAAGCTTTCCAAATAAGTAGATTATCCGGCCATATTCATGGCTTGAGAGTGCATTTGCACTAGGTTCCATGTTTTTAACAAATATTTCTTAAGATTTAAGATCTTGAAATTTGAAAATATTGTAAAAGGGTACAAATTTTTTAAAAATTTCATATTTGATTATAATTTTATTAATTTTGCATAGGGTCCAATAGCTATTTGGGCCGGGTCTGGCGGGATAGGTGCATATCTGATTTTCTGGAGGAGTGGGTATGGTTTTTAATTTTTAATTTGTAAGTGTTTTATCGTTTTGATTAAAACTGTGTGTCGTTTCAATACAAAAGAGAAAAAACCTATTAGGTTTTACTATAAATCCCTAATCATTTATCCTCATTTCTTCATTCTCTTTTTCTTTGTCCTACGACGGCGGCGATTCTCTTTGTCTCATCTCTTAAACTATAGATCTATCGAATCCTTTATGCAAATCAGCTTTCTCTCTCACTCTCTTTATGTATCTCGACCTTGTTTATGTTTACCTATTTCTCTCGTCGGATCTCTATTTCACTGGTTTCCTATCGACAATAGCTCTCAACAAATCTCTCTCTTTCACCAGGTTTATCTACTTGTGACTCTATATCTCTCAGTTTATCATTAAAGTAGGTAGTTTCAAAAGTTAATTAGTAGTATTTCTAATTATTTGGTGTTTGGAGATTTCTAAAAATTATGCAATTGAACGTAACTGATTTTGCTTGTTTTAGTTAAGTTTTGTTCGCCTTTAAAGCATTATTAGGGGTTTTCTCGGTGAAAATCAAAGGAAATCTAAGTCATGTGAAATTCTTGTTGTCCTTGATGTTAATAAGTAGAAGGTGACAAACAAAACAACTTTCGCCAAAAACATGTAAGTGTTAGTGGGAAATCTGCTTTGGATTTATACTTAGAAGAACCATTAGTAGATATGAAGATATTTTCAAGTTTACATGTCTTTGGTTTTTGGAAAAACAATTATCATTGCTTTGGAGAGTTATCTAGGATGGCTTGTGATCTTTGAAGCATACATATCACACCGATAGCGTTTAAATCCTCTTTTAGCATTTGATTACGGGTCATTAGTAAGCATAGAAGTTGTCTTCTCCCACAAAATGTTCAAGCCTTGATATGTGCTCGTAATAGGCTTCGAGGTTTAACAGCATATGACAATAGTAATACATAATCTGTGATATTTCAGTTATAATTTTGTAGTTATATTCAGGGCCTGACTGGTTTAAATGCTGCAGTTGTGGATGTTTGCTGAAGCGGGCGATTTACGACTAGGACAACATCTGAAAATGGATGCATTTACGGTATGTTTATGAATGGTTTCATATTAGCGATTAAAAAATAAATTAATTATATACACATTAAATAACAATAAAAACATCAAAACTACATTATTATGAAAAATTATAAAATTCAGCATAACTAATAATAAAAATTTATGAAAATAATATATGTATAATTTACATTTAAATTTATAAAAATTTAATCTGCATGAAAGTTGTGATTTTCATTCAGAAAATATTTTTTGATATGGAAAATCAGTTTAGACTAAGAGAAGTTTAGTCGTTACAATTTTTTGGTTAGATGAAAAAAACATTTATCCAGAAAATTTTGATTTTAAAAATTACGATATGTCTTTAAAGAATTATTTTTATCTTGTTATTATAATATCAAATTCTTATTTTTTTTACAGAAATATTATTACTGGACTAGATTTGGTCCCGCGTATACGCGAGATTTATAATTTAATGATATACGTTTTGTATAAAAAAAATACAGAAAAGGCTTATTAATTTTAAAGTAAGTAAAATTAGAAAATATCACCATTAGAAATAATTTTTTTAATATGTACATTTTCATAAATTCAATAACTGTATCAGAGCATTCAAATAAAACTTAGTTGAACTGGCGCTTGTGGCCCAGTGGTAAAGGGGTCACGGCTCTGACTTCCACCAGTTTCTTTAGTGATACATTTCACGATCTTAATGCATTCAAAACTAATAATGAAACATGTCACGATCCTATGAGTTATTAAAATTTTAAATGTTGCAAACACGTTGCGCACATCTAATTATATTTATTACAGCCTACTACTAATATTCAATTTAGGAAAATAGTAATGACCGATAACTTCCTTAGTTTGATATAATCAATGATATGCTTGAAGCAAAATATGGTTCGATGGACAGTAGTGTATATCATATGCACAACGGTTCATCAATAACTATTACTCATATAATGGCATTGCGGATCTTGAGATCTGTGGCATGTCACAAAGATATTGTATATATTTCTTCATTCTTCTTCTTCTTCATTTTCTTTACCATATAGATATGGACAACTGGATGGGCTAACACAAACATAATGGCATATGGCTAATATGAACTTGTCTTTATTGGCTATGAGTAACCAAGACGATGCATCGTTAGCATGAGTAAGTGATCACTCTTACTTTCAGTTAGGTTTATGATCAAATCCAAATTTGTCTTCAGAAATCTTCGGTTATAAAAACTTCAAACCATCAAACAGAAACTGATCAGTCTGATGAACTCAAAGTTAGTTGGGTTCATGACAAATCTTAAAACAATAATGATATATATGAAATTTTGGGAATGAGCATGCATTGTAATCTTTTCATATATAGAGATAAAAATAAAAAAATCATTCGGTGTAAAGAGAGTTATTTTCAAATAAATCTTTTCACGTAATCGTTTAAAATGATTTTTTTTCTTTCATTTCTATATATGAAAATATTACAATGCATTTCCCTTTAACCCAAAATCTCATATATGTATATCATCATTGTTTAAAGATTTTCCATGAACCAATGCTAACTCTGAATTCATGGATCAGACTCAATTTATGTTTGATAGCCTGAAGTTTATATAACCGTTGATTCATGAAGATAAATCCGAGGTTGATGAACCTAAGTGAAAATAAGAGTAATTACTTGATGAAGCTAATGATGCATCGTCTTAGCCAAAAAAAAAGACAACTTCATATTAGCTATTTGCCATTGTGTTTGTGCCAGCCCATCCAGTTGCCTATTCCCATATGGCAAAGAAGATGAAGAAGAAAAATGGGGTATATATTCACTATAACTCTGTGAAATGTCAGGGATCTTAAGATTTGTAGTGCCATTATATGAGTAACGGTTGTTGTTGACCCATTGTGTCTTGGTATATGCTACTGTCCATTGACCCATATTTGTCTTCAAACAGATCATTGATGATAGCAAGGTGTGGGAAATCTTAGACTTTGTGCCGTTTTCCCAAACTGTACATTATTAGTAGACATGACTAGTTTAATCGCTGTGGTTGCGGTTGCGAGTGTGGGAGTTTCCGGAAGTGGGCGATTGTGGTTAGTAGTGTTCTTAAGCGGTTTGTACGACTAGTATAGTGGTTAGAAACTGATGTATTTGTAAGATACTTATGATTGGTTAATTTAAGGGCTAACTTGAATGTGTAGTAGTGGTTAAACAATAAATAAACAATATAATATTTTATAATGATAAATATCGAACATATATAATTGTAATCATTGATAAAAATAACTAATTCAATGTAACTTAATAATTAAAATCATTTGTAAAATCCTTTTTTATTTTCTCTAAATTGGATGAAGTTATCATTTTAATAGATTAAAATATTTATTTGTGAAGATTAATGTAAAATTTAAATAATTTACTTTATTAAATTTTTATAAGTTATATTAGTGATGAAGAAAAAATAAATTTAAATTTATCTAGGGAATTTTTGTTTAATAATTTTAAATACATATTTCTAATAGGTGGTTTGTGAATATTAAGTAAAAATTACCAAATATTTTCATATATATTGTAACATCCGTAGACAATTCTATCCTGTTGAGATGTTGGTGTTGAGTGACACTTTCAAGTGATGTCGGTCGACACCGGTTATGGCGAATTGGACCCGGTTCAGTTTAGGTGAATTGATTTTCAGTTTGGGCAAGAAAAGCTCTAATCCGCATAGATAAAAGGTGCAGCTGTTGAGTATTGTAGCAGTTTTGTCGTTTTGTCCCGTGGAGAAGGAGAAGATGCAATTTCAAGGTGAAATCCGGTGTTCTTAAGCGAATCCGGAACCGTTTGTTGTTGTTTTTCGTTGATTGCATCTCCTTTCTCTGTTTCAATCCTTTGTCAAGGTGAGTGTGTGACTGTAGGCTTGCGAATTGCTAGATCTCTGTTGGTTCTTGTTGAGTTCATGTGTTATGCGTGGGATTTCATGTTGTTTTGTTGACTCTATGATGAATTCTGTGTTTTTGTATTGTTTCGTTGATGTTGGCATCGACCCGCCGAGCGTGTGTCGACACCAATCCGGTGTCTGTCGAGACAAAGTCGTCTTGTATCGACCGACACAAAGCGTGTGTCGCTTGAACCAAACCGGTTCAGTCCGGTTCGATTGGAATTGAATTGTGGTTTAAATAATTTATGGTTTAGTCTGATTATCTGGTTATTTCAGAATTAATTACAATTTATTAATTGTTATCTTAATTAATTAAATGGAAATTAGTTTAAGTGATGAAAATTATTATTTAATTATGAAAATTATTTAATAATTGAGAAAAAATATTTTAATAATTATTGAGAATTATTAATGTTATTTAATTATCTGGTAAATTGTGTAATTGGCCAATAGATAGAGTGATCGCCTCACTTAATATTTTATCAAATACTTACGCAACTCTTTTGCAATGTGTTGGAAGTAAAAGGTTTAAGCGATCGCGGAATCAAGACCGAAGAAGAGGATGATAGGATGTTTAATATTTTATTTGTTTAAGTTGAACCTGATGTTAGGTTGCTAAACTATCATTGTTTTATTTCTTCCGCGGAATTATTGTTGAATTATTATTTATTTATAAAAAAAAAAAGGTTATGGTTGTTTCATATTTCATCACTATAATATTAAGGTATGATTTTTTCTTTAACTTTACTCCATTTGTCCCCAAAATATAAGCAGTTTAGGAAAATAACTTTGTTCTAAAATATAAGCATTTTTTCTTCTATCAATACACTTTATACTTTATGAGATATTGTGTGATCAATTTTTTTTTTACAGTTTTTCAAGAATTGGTTAAATTATATTTGATAATATATTAAACAATACTTTATCAATGAATTTTTTTCTTAATTTTTCCCTTGTTACTAAAACAGTTTACATAATGAGACATGGGGAGTATAATATTTCAGTTTTGAATAATTTTTGTTTTTAATTATCTACCTTTAGCCGGCTGCAACCGCAAACGTTTGCGGAAAGCAACTTTTGAATTTGAGAGGATTGGAGCGGTATGAAGATAAAAAGCAAAAATGCAACGTTTTCAGGTGATAGTGGGTGAATCAATCAACAGCTAAGTCTTGTTGTTGAAATTTCTTTTCTAAACTTTTATAGAAAATTATTTTTAATAAGTAATTTTTTTTATGTCATATATGATGGGTGGCGGATTATCTGCTAAACCTGCTTAATTAATTTGGAGCGGATTCGTATATTGAATACACAATCTACGGGTCAACTGGGTTCCTTTTTTAGATTAATTTAACCCAAATCCGACCCGCTTGACAGATCTAGTTTTAAGGTAACTTCATATAAACTTTTTAAAATAGAAATTTATTAATACAAAATCATCTACAATAACTAAAGACAGATAGGTCTGATTGGTTTAAAAGTTGCGGCTGTGGTTGCGCTTGCGAGAGTTTGTTGAAGCAGGAGTTTGTAGTTAAGAACGTTATTAAGCAGTTTGTAAAACTGGTATAACGGTTGAAAACGAATGCATTTGCGGAATACTTATGACTGGTTGACTTGCGGATGCAGTAGCGGTTAAATAATAAATTAGTGAATATAAATACATTATATAATTATAAAATAATAGTTCAAGATAACTAGTAATAAAACTTTAAAAAACATATTATGTGTATAATACTTACTTTTATCTTGTAACTATACTAATGCCCGCGCATACGCGCGAGTTTTCCTGTTGTTGTAGTTTAAGAAGAATGCTCACATTTTAATATTTTAATCCAATTAACATCTGCATTTTTATCCTTATTTGCTCGGTTAGCGACTGATTTTCAAATATATAGTTTTGCATAATACTGCATGTCTATGTGCCCTTCACTCTCTTTATTTATTAAGTGCTACATGGAATAAACTCTACTTCTCTGTCATTGCTTTTCGCGGGATCCAGTTCTTTATATATTAAAAGGATGTTGATGCTTACTAGTAATTCAAGATGGAAGCCGAAAGATATTATTCTTGGAATAATAAAATAGTTTTTTTTATTTTGTAATTTACAATTGACATAAAAGAAAACTATAAGTTGCATTTAAGTTCCATTAAATATTTGAGTTTTTTTTTAAGTGAATATTATATAAAGATTTATTTTTTAAGTTACAATAAGCACAAAAGAATACCAAAAGTTACACTGATGTTTCACTAAACTTTTGAATTTTTGTTTTTTAAAGGGAAAATTATATGCCACATGTCCTTTTCTCTTATATCTACATGTCCACAATATGGAGAGAGTTGATCACAATTCATATATATGATTTCTTTAATTTAGATGAAATATATGATTTTCATTAAAAATAAATATCAATATATAATAGCAAACTCATTTTTGTGTTCGCTGATGTCAGCATTTTTTTGTAGGAAAAAAATGTAAAATCGAATGGTTAAGATTGTTTGGCTTTTGTGATCTAATTGACAGGAGATTCTGGGATGACATCATCAAATGATTTCATCAAAGGAAGGGGTGCCTTCAGAAACAGTCATATCTTTTCCTCTGCGAGACTGCGAACAAAGGCTTTACCAATCCCACTTTGATTTTATCGAAAAGGTATAAGATAGAGATGCAATCAAAAAGAAAAGTCATGTCCTTTGCTACGTTCTTTGAACTAAGCTTCTTTAAAAATTACAGACCAAAAGGGTTGCTGCTTTTCAAAAATTATAAATAGTTTCCTTCTTAGAAGATATCAGATTTTGTATTCATCATTATAGTTGTAGTTTATTCATTATAGTCTTATTTTTGTTATCAGGATTTTCAAACACATGTTTTCGTTTTCTCAATTCCAATGTGAATTTTTCAAACATGATACGTTCATTCACAATCACTCATTCGTTCCTACAGTGGAGTCTACCTTGAATCGGAGAGCTTCAGCGGCAAAGGCTTCCTGCACCTAAGAAATGGACAGGTGTCTGTCAAGGCGGCGAAAAGTTCTCTACAAGTATAAAACCCACTCAAACTGATCATACAATTAACTGCGTTTAAGTTTTGTCAATTTTTTTTATTTTGAGTGTGAGTGATGATGTGTTTTGTTGTATGCAGCAAGCTTATTGGAACTACACATTTGAGGGGCTTCCTCAGTAAGCCAGGGACAACGTTGGACACGGATCACACATAGCTTCTACGGGCTAGGAAACGGAACCGTGAGAGGAGGCGTTCCAGCCGCGAGAATAGCGGTTTACAAAGTATGCGATAAGCAAAGGTGCAGGAATGACGGAATTCTATCTGCGTTTGATGATGCAATAGCGGACCAAGTGGACATCATAAACCATTTTTGTTTATATACATATCTCCATTACTCGCTATAAGTAGCACACAAAATAAAATAAATATACAAAAAAAATTAGTAAGATTATTTAAGTTACATCCTCTAAACTAAATCTGTATGTAAATGCCATAGCTTAGTCACACTGCTATAAGTGAAATTTAGTTAACGCTAAAGAACAAATTATATATCATAAAATTTAGCAAAACATAAGTAAATATATCATCAAAATTTAGCAAAACATAAGTAAAATATAAGCAAAAATGACATTAAGTTATCAAAGTGATCAAAATTTGAAGAATGATCCTATATAGAAACACTAACCTTTTTATACATTTCTTAATTTCTTCAATACATTTTCAGAATCTCTCGGTTAAATTAATTAAACTACCCTTCGATGACTGCTCAAGTCTCGGCGACAAAACCGTTTAATGTGACTTTCTGTAGAACAGTGTATGGCTAAAGCTACATACAAAGCGAAGATGGTCGGATCTAAACTCAAGGTCAAGGTTGTTCCTAGTTTAGTTAAAACTAAATTTATATGATAATTTTATTTGTTGGATATATTTATACTGTAAATATTATATCCAAATTTTAATTTTTAATTATATATATATATATTTGCTGATTTTAAATCAATCAGTATTTAAAAAAAAAAATTATAACCGCAACCGCCAGCAACCGTAAACGCTGCTGGAAATGAGTTTTTGATTATAAGAGTTCTGAAGCGGTTTTGAACGTTTTGAGTCGATAGAAAGCGTTTATGATGATTGTTATCAAACACTAACAACCACCACCACTCACAAAAACTACAATTACGGGTTGTAGCGGCCTCCCCAATGCAAAAGATTTTTTTCTTTAATATACCTACCAACCAAAATATGTTCATGTTTATGTTAACTTTGAACATTTTTAGTTTCATCTTTTTCAACTTTTTAACCTTTTTTGGGTCTTAGATTCTTCTCTTTATTAGAAAGTTTTTGGTAGTAGTAACTTTTTTATTTTCTTTAACCAATACGTGGCTTAAGCATATTCACATCTGACTCCTATTTTACAGTAGATCAACTAACAAACAAACAAGAAACGACCAAAGTTGCAAGTAACCTGCGTTAATTAGACCAACCAACCTTTTTCTTCTCTCACTTCCAGCTACTTCTCTTCCCTCTCTCTTGGCAATGGCTACTGGATCGTCAGATTCCTCCAGCTCCCGCTCCTCAGGTTTGATCTTTTCCTCTTTCCATTCTACGCTCTCAGTTAGATTTCCAATTATCTCGAAGAGGACGAGAATCTTTCAAAACAGAGAGATATCATATAAGAGTCAGAAAGTAAAAGAAAATTAAAAGATCATAATCAAAATTAAAAGTTCATGAAAGTTGTTCCTCCTGCACAAGAAAAAAGAAAATCAGTAAATCAAATGATGAATATTCCTAGATTCTAATCCTTCTGTGGGTCCTCCCCAATTTCTGGATTTGATGTGTTTGTTTAGTTTAATAGGTTCTTGAATCTGTCAATTGTTTAGCCAAAGACATCAGGTTTTTTATAAGTCCAAGAATATTTGTTTGAGGACTCTTAATAAATGCCCGTGAGTGAGTTTCTTAACTGATTTGGTCTTAAAAGACTTGACAGCATTGTTTCTTGCCCTTGAAGATTCGTTTTAGAGACAGGACAACAACAGTTTATGTTTTGTCTGAATCTAATCTAATTACAGGTCTTCTCTACAAGCTGTTGTTGGTGTTCTCTGTCGGAATAGCTGCTTCGACTTATCAAGCGATCCAGCCACCTCCTCCAAAGCTATGTGGCTCTTCTGATGGTCCTAAAATAACAGCACCGAGAATCAAGCTCAGAGATGGAAGACACTTGGCTTACAAAGAGCATGGAGTTCCCAGAGCTGAAGCTTCCCGTAAAATCGTCTTCGTCCATGGCTCTGATAGTTGCAGGCACGACAACGCTTTCGCAGCTTTACTCTCACCGGTACTTACTAATTAAACTCTTCTTGTGGTTGTGGTGATGATCTCTACTACTTGATGTTTTTAAAGATCTAAAGTTTTGATGTTGTAGGATATTAAGGAAGGATTAGGTGTGTATATGGTTTCGTTTGATAGACCTGGTTATGGAGAGAGTGATCCAAACCCTAACCGTACTCCTAAAAGCTTGGCTTTGGATATAGAAGAGCTTGCTGATCAGTTGAGCCTAGGATCTAAGTTTTACGTGATCGGGTACTCGATGGGAGGACAAGCTACATGGGCTTGTCTTAAATACATTCCTCACAGGTAATGTATGACTTCAACCAAATTCTTGTTTTTTTTGTTATGTGAATGTGAATGTGAATGTCTCTGTTTTGATTCTTCTAGGTTGGCTGGTGTAACGCTTGTGGCTCCGGTGGTGAACTATTGGTGGAAGAGCTTTCCATCAGACATCTCGAGTGAGGCTTATTACAAGCAAGCGAGGAATGACCAATGGGCGGTTCGTGTTGCACACTATGCTCCTTGGCTTATTCATTGGTGGAACTCACATAAGTGGTTTCTTGGTTCGAGTGTTGTGACACGTAATCTTGGCTCGCTTTCGAAAGCAGACAAAGAGATCTTGTTTAAGATGGGCGCTGCTGGGAGACCACATGAGGTATTTATTTAACAACATTCTTCTTCTTCTTCTTCTTGACATGTTGATATTGATCCAATCAAGAATATGTTATCTTGTAGGGTCAAATAAGGCAGCAAGGAACGCATGAGACCGTGAACCGTGACATGATTGTTGGGTTTGGGACATGGGAATTCGATCCGATGGAACTCGAGAATCTGTTCAAGAACAATGAAGGATCGGTGCACTTGTGGCAGGGAGATGATGACATGCTTGTCCCTGTGACTCTTCAACGTTACGTGGCGAAGAAGCTTCCATGGATTCATTACCATGAGATTCCTGGAGCTGGGCATATGTTCCCGCTCGCTCCAGGTATGGTTAATAACATCGTGAAGACGCTCTTAACCAACGATGAAGTCAAGAATTAATAAACTCATCTTTTTTCAGAAAGATTGGCTAATTTGGGGTTTGTGACATGAATGATTGGTATAAATACTTTGGTCTAATTAGAGAGGTTCACCAATATCTTACCTTTCTTTATAGATGTTTTGATTACTTATGTATTTTGTGGGTGAAATGGTAAAGCTTTTATGAAAGCATATAATGCAGATCGTGACCGAACACTATAATGTTTGAGTAAATACACTTTGTTAGACCAAAAGCTATTAATCATAGATTGTTTGTCTTCGTTTACTTTTTTAACAAAGAAAATAAGTCTCATTTTGGTCGGAAAAAGCAAGCAAATGTTTAAACAAAAAAGGTGATGTTATAAGAAAATATAGGACTGTTGTTTTTAGTTTAAAACCAGTAGATTATTATTACAGAAAAAGTCTGGTTGTTGTTTTTTTTTTTTTTTTTTCTTTTGGTTTTAATGTTAAGATTTTATACCAAAAGCAATACGAACATAATGTACAAGCTAAAAACGTGAAAAGCTTGCCTAAGCAACTTACCCCTACAAGCGGAAAAGACCAGAGTTTAACTTAACGGATAAGAGATACATCGGAAATAAGATTCTAGAAGAGAAGGATTGCCATCCAAAGTGGAGAAGGAGAGCAGCCGGTCTCGGATTATTCGATCAATCACACCCTTCAGGGCGATCAATCACACCCTTCAAGTCTGGTTGTTGAAGTCGCAATCTTTAAGATTTGACTTATTATTAATAGCAAAAGAAGTTTCAGTTTCGTATGTCTGAATTCTGAAAGTTTGAACTACTACGTTTTTTAAGCCACTTGTGTTTTGTCCGGAAGAAAACAACAAAGAGAAGATGAAAATGTCTAGAATAAAATACAAACTACCAACACGTATTTATATATAAACTAATTGGTACTAATGTCAGTATCCGACCTTAGCTCAGTTGGTAGAGCGGAAGACTGTAGTAGTTGCTGTGATCTTTAGGTCGCTGGTTCGATTCCGGCAGGTCGGATTTGTTTTTTGTTTTTTAAGTATTTTAAGAATCTTGCTATAGTAGAAAGCAATATGATGAGATTATATAATCATGCGAAGATATAAACAGCCTGTGACCCGTCTTGCAAGTTTATAAACTTTAAAAATGGATACCGAACCCACGTGCACTCTTAAACGATGGTTGGAATCTTTTTTCTTTGTCAAGTAAATTAGATGTCTTCAAAAGAAAGGAAAACAAAAGTTTATTTAACTGAGAATCAAATTTTTGTTTGTCTAGATTCTTAAGAACAGTCGCATACAATTTTTTTTAACATAAGTGAGTGTATCTTGTTATGTATACAGAATCAATAACTTGTTATGTTTTTTACTTTCATAGGAATAAAATTGATAATAATCTTATTTTCCTATCATGGAATAATATAATAGCGTACATCATCATCACTCATTCACTTGATCTCAGTTTCTTAACTCTTAATCCAGATTTCACGTGCTATGCTTCAAAAAAAGGAATCCAGTTTTTGACGTAAAATAAACATTTTGTGTAGCGAATGTCACACGTGTCATGCCCAAGAGAAGACACTGCAAGACACACAAGGGAAACACGTGTATAACACGTGTCAAAAGCAGCCGCACCGATTCCTTCCCTCTGATCATGGGCCTGGACCTCGACCTCTCTAAGTTTGCATCTCTCTGAAATCTCATTGGCTAAAACGCAACTTCGGACAAAAAAATGTTGACCTTCACGCCACTGTTAATGGGTCCCACGCGCCACCCTTCCTCACGGTGAACTTAAATACACCATCTAACCTCTTTTACCGCTTCTCAAAAACATTTTATCTATCTCCCTTACAACAGACGGAAAAAATATCTCAAAACTTTTTTTTTTGTTGAAAATTCTCCGGCGGCTTTTTTTAAGCTATGTGAAGGAGGAGAAGCCTCTAGAATAAGCAGCTATTCCTTGGTTTCCCGGCGGCAGTGGAGCAACACAGAGCCACCGGTTTCGGACACAGCTTTAAGTTTCAGGTTCTCTTACGCACTTTCTTGTTTTTTATTTTACACTGTGTAACTTTCTTTGTTATTTTGTATTTTTCAAGATCTTCAACAAAATATATCCTGGATTAGAGGACTGTTTCTCAGAGGAAACTGATTTTTTTTTAAGCTCAGTTTAGATTAAAATCTTTGATTTAACAGATTTACTTGAGTGGCTGGTTTATGGTCCTAATCTGCGTATCAATTATCAGTAAACATAAAATAAAGTGATACTTTATAATAGGCGGATATAAGGATGCCCCAAACTATAGGTAATTTGAGCTCTAAATTATAGGTAGCCGGAATAAGGTATGCAGGAGAAAAGGTTTATAAAATATGTAGAGGAAAAAAATATGTGGCGATGATAAGTTCGCTTTAGGGGAAAACGAAGTGGAGATATTTATTCCTCTTTCGGAAACCAAAACTTTATTGAAATGTGTAATTATTAGTTTGTTTATTGCTAAATTTAGTATCGCTAGTCGCTGTCACGATGTCGACCGTTCTTCTTTACTTTCACGTGGACCGACTTAAAAATCCTATTTGATTCTTTTTATAATTTTTTTCGGTAACAGTTAAATCACTATAAACTATTTTTACCAGTCCAAAACAAAATTATATTATCGTTTTCCTTGTATTTTTTCATTGATTTATTTCGTTCTTTGACCATTTCTTATTAACATCATTCGTTTTGTTTTGAAAAGAGATAGCATCAAGAGTTGTTGAATACTGCCAAGTTAGAAAATTGTATACCAATAAACATTTGACTTCTCATAGAACAATTTGTGACATTAATTATATAAAATACAAATACCATTTTGTGTATGTTTGAATTCAGATTTATGTAGATTTGAATATAGATTTTTAACTGGTCATCGTTGTTGTGTATATGCAGTTGGTAAATGGTAGTTAGAGAAACAGAGATGATCCCTGAGCGAGAAGTAGAGTCATCAACGGCGCAAGCAAGACATCATGGAGGAGGAGGAGGAGGAGAGAACCATCCGTTTACTTCACTGGGAAGACAATCCTCAATCTACTCATTGACACTCGACGAGTTCCAACACGCTCTCTGCGAGAACGGCAAGAACTTCGGGTCCATGAACATGGACGAGTTTCTCGTCTCTATTTGGAACGCAGAGGAGAATAACAACAACCAGCAAGCGGCAAACGCAGCTTCACATTCTGTTCCTCCTAATCACAATGGTTTCAACAACAACAACAACGGTGGAGGTGAGAGTGGTGTTGGTGGCTTTGGTGGTGGCTCTTCAGGTAACCAAGGGGCTAATAATAAGAGATCTGGAGGGTTAGTGAAGCAGCCGAGTCTTCCTCGTCAAGGCTCGTTGACACTTCCAGCTCCGCTTTGTAGGAAGACCGTTGATGAGGTATGGTCTGAGATACATAGAGGTGGTGGTACTGGTGGTTGTGGAGACAGCAATGGACGTAGTAGTAGTAGTAATGGTCAGAACAATGCTCACAACGGTGGTGGTGAGACTGCGGCTAGACAACCCACTTTTGGGGAGATGACACTTGAGGATTTCTTGGTGAAGGCTGGTGTGGTTAGAGAACATCCTACTAACCCTAACCCTAAACCTAATCCAGTTCCGAATCCAAATCCAAACCAAAACCCGTCTAGTGTTATACCGCAGCAGCAGCAGCTCTATAATGTGTTTCAAGGAACTGGTGATCCTACTTTCCCTGGTCAAGGCATGGGTGTTGGTGACCCTACGGGTTATGGTAAAAGAACAGGAGGAGGGTACCAGCAGGCGCCACCGGCTCAGCCAGGTGTTTGTTATGGTGGTGGTGGTGGGTTTGGAGCTGGTGGACAGCAAATGGGGATGGTGGGGCCGTTAAGCCCGGTGTCGTCAGACGGGTTAGGACATGGGCAAGTGGATAACATAGGAGGTCAGTATGGAGTGGACATGGGAGGGTTAAGGGGAAGGAAGAGAGTAGTGGATGGTCCGGTGGAGAAAGTAGTTGAGAGAAGGCAGAGGAGGATGATCAAGAACAGGGAGTCTGCTGCGAGGTCTAGAGCAAGAAAGCAGGTTTATTTGATGACTGTGAATGTCCCTTTTAGGCTTGTAGGAGAAATAACCTAATATTTTTTTTTGGTTTTATTATGAAGGCATATACGGTGGAATTGGAAGCAGAGCTGAACCAGTTGAAAGAAGAGAACGCACAGCTTAAACATGCATTGGTAATATTCATATATGATTTGGTTAAAAGACTTTGTTTTTGTTTTGCGGAAGGTGATTGTTAACAATTAGCCTTTGTTTTTGGATTTAACAGGGAGAGTTAGAGAGGAAAAGGAAGCAACAGGTAAAAGCTTTTGATAATTTTTGCATTTCTTGGAACCAATGTGTTGTGTGTGGGAAAATTTTGAAAATCTTGGTTGGTCTGTTTATGGTTGCAGTATTTTGAGAGTTTGAAGACGAGAGCACAACCGAAGTTGCCAAAAGCGTGCGGGAGATTGCGGACATTGATGAGGAACCCGAGTTGTCCGCTATGAACAAACAAATAGTAGAAAAAGAACAAGGAAGTCATATTTGGACACAGAAAGTGATGATTTTCTAAGGTGGTTGGTACGTTGGTTGTTCTGTTTTGTCCTGAGGAATGATATATTAGATAGAATCTTTACTTTGATGTATTACTGTGTTAGTAGGAGGACAACAACCTGTCTTCGTTACTTATGTTCCTTGATCGTGTGTTCAACGTCATAAATCTCTGGAAAATATAACACTCTGAAACCTGAAAACAGAGTCATATACAAGATGGTAAAATGAAGAATTACTTTACTTTTGTTTTCTGTGTTGTGTTCCTTAACAAGAAAGATTCAGAAAAGTGATACTAGGTCGAATTAGCCGACCAAAGCCACCCGTCTTGTTTCTCTCTTTTGCTTATGAATGACTCACCACATCCACACTCGCCTATTGAGTTTGGGTTGATGAACACAAACTCAGACCTGCCCACAACAACATACAATATCAGTAGATGATGTTAAAAGAGGGTAAGATTGGCACACGTGAAAGGGCACAAACCTGAGCTTGTTGTCCACGAAATCCATCTTCATCCCGAGCACATGCATAACAGCTTTTGGTTCCACAAGGATTCTCACACCCTTCTCTTCCACCAGCTCGTCAAACTTCCCTTTTTCCTCTGTCAAACAAAGAGCATAGCGGACCGAACTGTTTAATATAAATACTACAAACAGACACCCAAGTAAGTGATAGAGATTCAGTATGTACTAATGATAACCCCAAACACCTTCCTTCATGCTTTTGCTTGTTCGAGGGAAAAAACTAAGGGTGTCTTAATTTCCTTAAGGAAGGTGACAAATCTATTTAAATATTTCATACGTTTTGTCAAAATAGCAGAAAGTTTGTGTATATTTTATTTGATAGGACAGAGAATCTATAAAACAAGAAATATTCTTATTCCCAAGTGTCTCTAATTCGACATGGACACAAACATCAAAGAGTGCGAAAATCAACAGAATTTTTATGGGGATAAAAAGGGAAAAGCTTTACCGGCGTAATTGAGGACGTAACTTAGGCCATTGCACCCTTTGGATATGACACCGAGTCGGAGGAAAGGTTTTTGCCGGTGCTGCAGAAGAAGGCGAACTCTGGACGCGGCAGGGTCTGTCAAAGTTAAGACCTGCTTCCTCATAGCCGGCCGGATCCTCTCAGCGGCGGTCGCTAGAAACCGGTAGCTTCTCATCGATCAAAACCTCAAATTAGTTAGAAATATTAGAATGTGTTGTTTGTTTTCGAAGAAAAAGTCTATATATACGACGTTTCCGTAAATTTTACAATCAACAAACAAGACCGGTTCGCCATTAGTTGAAGTATCCAACTTGACCAAGCCATTGGTGTTGTGATTGTGATCTCTGAATTAGGAAAGCTCCCATGGGCCATGGTTGAACATAAACATAACCCAACGGACCAAGCACTATACTATAAAGTCAGATCATTGTGTAACTTGTGTTACATAAGTTGTCTAGTTGTTTACAGCTGCGCCTTCCCATATAATATATTGCTTGAATTGTTGGACTTGAGCTAATGCGTACATGTAGAGAAATGCTAGTTGGATAAGTTTCATGCTCAAAATGTGCAACCAAAGTTCCAGATTGGTGGATGTGAATCAGCCAAGTTCTATTCCTAAATGTACTCATTCAAATCAATATACATTCAAAGACATGTTTCTTGATTATTACAAATAAAAACTTAGGGCATCTCCAATGTATTGCTCCACATTTGACTCCAAAATGAAGAAATCTCAAAATGGAGTTGAGTTTTGCTCCAATGTATTGCCTCATTTTTTACTTCAAAACTTTTTATTAATTACTAAATTTACATTGTATATTTATATATATTACAAATTGCCCCATAATTTTTTTTTCTTCAAAAATTTCACAATTTATTATAATTATTTAAATTAATATGAAAATATTAATAATACATTATTACAAGACTAAAAATAAGAACACAAACTTGATCAATAATAGTTGTTTTAATAAATTTATTTTTGATGTTATTTCTAATCAACAAAATTTCCTTTCTATTTAAATTTATTATTACCTTAAATAATTCATTTTCTTATAATATGTGTTATTTGTATTTTAGAGTAAAAATAAATATCAAAATAATTAATTATATATAAACTAAAATAATTTAAAACTTCAAGGACTGTTATATAATTTAAAAACTTCAACTCCAAAATGGAGATGAAAATGGGATCAACCTCAATTTGGGAAAAAATATGGCATTTTGCCATTTTGAGATTTAAAATAGGGTTGGATTGGAGCAAAATTGACTCCAAAAACAATAAAGGTGAAATATAGGGTTGGGTTGGAGATGCTCTAGGCACGCATTTAATTTCTTTTGGAAAAGAATAGAATCGAAATTACCGGCCGAAATGAACAAGACAACGAGCAGAAGAGTGGCGATGATGGAATCTTTGCCATTTTCGTAGCTTTAGTTTGGTGCTTCTTTTTACACTTAATGTATTGCTTCTCTCTGTTTTCAGAAACTTGGATGATACTAATGAATGGGGGAGTGTATCTATTTATAGTAAAACTTCGTCGACTTTTTAATTAGTTTAATTATATTATATATGCTAGAAATATATACAATCGCAAGTGATTTTCAGATCCAGCTCTTAACCTCCATACTTTCATTTTGAAGCCCACTAGATAATTTCCCTAAAAGAACATTTGTTCTTACAAAATGCCATGGTTTTTTTCCATATAGAAGATATGCCATGGGTTTTTTTTAACGATATCACAAATAAATATTCGTTGTTACAAAATGCCATGTTTTTTTTTTTTCATATAGAAAATATGCTTTTTTAAACTAAGTGATATTGGCTGAGTGGTGGAGAAAGAAGATAGAGAAGAAGTAGAAGATAGGAAGGATAACTTTGTCGAGTATACGATTTTTCTTCACTTTAATTTCGGTGCTAACTTTTTGTTTTGTAAATTGTGGTAAACGTTTTGATTCAGTGATATACTGTATAGTTCCTAAATCTATAGAGGTCATTTGCTCCCATTAATTGCTTCGTAGCTAAGCTGTCCGCTCTCCATGGTCAGTTGGTTATAGTTCCTACTTCCTAATGAAATTCCTCTACTCATTAATGACGCTAATTAATTACCCCGGGGAGAAGTTTTCTTTCGACTTTTGTGAAAGTTTTAAAGTCAAAAAAAAAATTTCTTTAGACAAAATGGATTAGTGCAGAAATCCACAGGAGCAAAATAAGGATTAGTGCAGGATGTATGTGGTACTGCACATTACCTTTATCCACTAGATTATATGTAACCTATATTATTTTACCATCTCTTTTTAAAACACCACTTTGATCAAACGCAAGCCAATGAATAAAATGAAATCAACTTGAAGACATAAACTGACGAAAACTATTGTTAAACTATATCAAAATAATAAACTTACTAGTAGAGTACCCGCACGTTTGTGCGGTGTGACGTTGTTGTTTTGTGTAGAAAATTTAAACCCTAAATCCGAACCCGACAAAAAACCCTAATCAAAAAATTTAAAAACCCAAACTTTTTTAATAGGTCTAAACATGAAAATCCGAAATCAAAAAAATCCCGAAAACCCTGACTGAACAAAAAAAATCTGGAAACTTTTTCACCCGGAACCCGACCCCAATACCTAATCAAAATTTTAAAATACTCAATTTTTTTAATATATCTAAACCCGAAAACCAGAAATCTAAAAAATCCGGAAAACCCTAAACTGAAAAAAAAAATTGAACCTAACCCGAACAGAAATTTTCAAAGAAACCCGAACAATTTCTATATCTCTATAAAATTATGTCTCAGATTTTCACCCAAACCCGAACTTGTCTATAAAAACCCGAAAATCCAAAAAGCATATTCTATTGATTTGGAATTATCGTTAGATTATGTTAAGTTTTCTTTTTTGCAGATTTTTAAGAGATGGAAAACGGAAGTTTTCTAAACCATCGGTTTATTTTAAGTTATTATTCTTGTATCCAAACAATTTTTTCCATTTATTCTTCTATCCAAATAGATTTTTCTCTTATTCTTCTATCCAAATAGATTTTCTCTAATTCTTGTATCCAAACATTAGAATGTACTTCTCAATTAATAATATAAAGATGTAACTTACTTCATGACGGGACTGTTAAAGAAGGATGATTCACGGTGACAATCTTTCATATTTTCTTTCCAATATAAACAAACAAAAATGCAATGTAAAAATTGTGTTCTAAACTATTGAAAACCCCCATATAACTATGCCATCTTAATGGGTTTGTCTGTATGTACTAAGGAGTAGGGAGGATTCGATATCATGTATCACCAATCCATAAAAATACCGAGATAATACATGAGAGCAAACAAGTTTATAGGGTTCAGACAAAGCATGGAGTCATGCAATATAATACGAATACAATCATAGACATTTGATGCACTTTCAATAGGTACGGTTTGGATAAACATACAAGAAGTTATATAAATTTATCACACTAATTATTCCAAGAAGAATCACGAAGCAAAAGTCATTCGACTTGTTAGGGAAATCAAGTAAGATCAATTGCACATTCTAAATTTACACCAAGTGATTCAATAGATTTTCAAACTCCATCAACCATGTAAGAGTGTAAGACTAATAGACCATGAGATAGACACTAGCACCATAATAAAGATATTTTCAGTCGCTGCTAGTTCAAAATTAAGTCAACGAGAAAACCTTTTATAATCAACCACAATAACCATTTTGCACTAATCCTTATTTTTCAGCATAGAGAAAAAAATCCAAGAAAGCTTAGTCAATTTACCACACTAACTATTCCAAGAAGCACAAGTCAAGATGGTATATGGGAAGCAAATATCACAATCGGTCCTAACAATCAATGAACAAAAAGGACACCAAACCAAAATGCAAGCTAAAAATGTGTTCACATACAGATTTTACAATATTTTTTATTATTGCTAAACTGATAATGCATAGATGAACTATAAACTTGTTAGGGGATCACACAAAGGCCTCATTGGCCAAAGCTTATGCTAAATATTCCTCACTACGAGGAATGAAATCAAAAGAGTTATTAATCAGACTCTAACACACAACAAAACTAACAGCAAAATTAGACAAACAATCAACAATAGATGTTCTTTTGATCATGTCTATTAATCATGTCATAAGTGTATGCTGCAAAGGCAAGAATTGCTGAGGATATCATTAAACATGTTTAGAATAATCATGCATAGATAAACTATAAACTTGTTAGGAGATCACACAAAGGCCTCATTGGCCAAAGCTTATGCTAAAAATTCCTCACTACGAGGAATGAAATCAAAAGACTTATTAATCAGACTCTAACACACAGCAAAACTAACAGCAAAATTAGACAAACAATCAACAATAGATGTTCTTTTGATCATGTCTATTAATCATGTCATAAGTGTATGCTGCAAATGCAAGAAGTTCTGAGGATATCATTAAACATGTTTAGAATAATCACCAAAGGTTTAGAGCATAATGCAAATTCTAGTATAGTACACTGGAGATTCAAGGAAGCTACCATATTGTGCATGAGGTCTCACATGCGCTCAAAATAAATATATCTAGCAGACTCCAAGATGCATATATTTCATAAATTGAGATACCTTATGATACATATAAGCATCAGAACAGAGATAACAAGTAATTTCAAAACAGATATTACTCAAATCACAGATAATGAGTAATGTTCTAATACTGAATATAAGATCTACATTTCTCAGTGGATAAGTTAGCAAATAAAGATCTACATGAGACCCAAAGATACACCCATTTCATAAAATGAAAGATCTTAACTACATACAAGCACCAGACAGATAAAAATGTATTCTTATCAAGACAGTGATTACTCACACTGTAAACACAATCTGATGTTTGAATACCAAAGGTAGAATCTACCTTTTAATCAATGGATATGCTAGCAATAAGTTTATATAATCTGATAAAAACTAGATCAAGAGTAGTAATATTATCAAGACAGCTATTTAAGAAATATTCCTAATACATGTGACACTTAGATTAGTATTTCTATCTTTACGTGTATCACTTACCTTAGTTTGTGATTTTGATATGTAGTGATTGCAATTTAATACATAAAAGTCTAGAAAAGCATATACCTGGCCAGAGAGTTTCACTACATTTAGAAATCTCTTTGGCGTCCATGAGAATTTAATA